AAAAATAGCAAAAGTAATTTTTCCTAATCTTAATTTTTACCCACTGGAGATTATGTAAAGTGTTGACGGTAATAACAAAATTACAAGCACTTTTCCCTCAATCGCACATTGAACATTGAATTTCACGTGATTACACTCAAACCCCGATCTAATAGAACGTGTAACTTTCAAGTCAAGTCACCGGTAGACAAAAAAAACCACACCGCGGCAATTTTCTGCCATCCAGCGCAATATACCCAACGCACTTTTTACATAAAATTCTTTCCGAGCTTATTACACCAGTACGACTTTTTTGCGCGCATTAAAAGTCTCGCCGCACACATTAGTATAAGCCTCCGCTACAAATTACACACTGCACACTGCTCAATCTACCTGTGTTTAAACGAAGCTGACACAAAATTGCAATGAGAATGAAAATGAAGACAACTCCGTGGCGCGGCGCGAAATGAATGCTATTTCATTGGCAAATCAAATGATTACATGCAATAATAGTTATTCACTTTATCCGCGCACGTTTATTATTATTGTTGCCGAGGTAATGGCATTTTGGTCGCCGCGCCGAAATAATCGCTGGCATAATCGTGACGGTATTGACGCTGCTCAATGTCGCGGAAAGATTACATCGAGATTTTAGTTATTGTGACTTTGGTGTTGGCTTAAAATTAATGAAAATGAAAAAGCAAAAGGTTTTATTGTCTAGCGCACAGGGAATCACAGTTGTGTTCAAATTTTGTATCTTTTGTTCTGTGGAGAGAACATTATCGATAACAATAAACGAGGGGAGTGGATGGTGCAGGGTGTATTTGTATTTTTATTGCTTTCGGGGTGGTTGACGACTTTATCTACCACCAAAAACTTGGAGAAACTTGCTTGGGTCTTGTTCAACAGCACCCTCGTGACGATAAAATCGAAATCTACAAAATTACTTATTTTTTTCCTTCGTCTAGGCACGCAAATGTGAAATTTGTATGTTTGTAACACTTTCACGCGAAAACTACTCAACAAATCATCATGAAATTTTCTACACATATTCCTAAAGGTATTGTAGAGAACATAAAACACTTTTTCCCAAAAAAAATTTAAAATTTGGAAAAAATCAAAGAAAAATTGATAAAAATTACTTTTTCCAATTTACAAGCAAAAACTAAGAGTTATACCAAAGAAATCTATTATAATTCAGTCGTAAATATAAATAAATGCTTGTAATTTAATGCCTAGACAATAATTTTTTAGTGCATTGACCCATCTGCGCTATTTTCGCAATATTGGTTTTTGTAGCGCTCACCTTCGAACAAGAAAACGCTGTAAGTTGTAACTACTTACACGACGTACTTACAAATAAGTTGACTTGTAATATTATTGCAAGCTCAGGCTTGGCCTCTCTTCCACGTTACGGAATCGTTTTTGCGGCGCGCTTCGCACAGCCTATAACCGCGTGTATTTGCGTTTTGTTGTGCTGAAGCCAGCCACTCAGCCCGCAGCCGACCTTTGACTTCGCATAAGTTATGTCAATTCAAGTCATCCATGCGTGATTTCCCTTATGTTACCTGAACATTACTTAGTCGACGCTGAGGTTTTCTCAGCCTGCGCGCGATGCTTTGCAATAATCGTGATTTTAATAAAGTGCATTTTTACTATATACAAAGCACAAAGAAAAAAGAGACGTGATCATGCAAAAACACATCCATCGCGCATGCGCATCAAACTTATATACTCGTATTCGCTGAAAAGTCGTGATTTTAATCAGAATTTCAAATAATAATTGCACGAAACGTGGGCTCACTTGCGCATCATGACTTCTTGCACTGATTGAAAATACTCCGGTAACATTTAGAGACAAAGCAAAGAGTGATACTCGAAAGTTATTAATCTCGGCGGTGAATCAATGTCTTCTTTGTCAATTATTTCAGTCGTGAACTTTTCCCTTTTCGGAGAGGAGAGCCCGCACGTAATTACATAATTAAAGTACTCGTGGACGTCAACGACGAGCGGAGTCTTTGCGCAAAAGTCAGTCACGACTCGCTATGTTCTATGCATCACTATCGGAATAATCGATCAGCCATAGAAATAAAAGTATTTAAAAATAAAAATTAAGAGAAATAAAGTCTCAAGGGACATGCAACCAAAGTTGCAAACAATTATATAATCAACAACTTTAGTTTTGTCCCCTCCGAGCTTTATTTTCACAAAAATAAACTAAACTATGAAGATTAAAGTCTCTAGAGACATCAATCAAAGTTGCAAACTATCACAAAATCACCAACTTTAGTTTTTGTCTCTTTTGGGCTTTATTTCAGTGATTATTACATTGAACTTTATTGGGTTTCACATACTTGACCTGAAAATTAACTGAACTGTGAAACCACAACATTACGAAGTCCCTAAAGTGTCAAAATGAATAATTTTGACGTATATGTAACCCAAATATAATTTTTTCTCCTTTCATGAAAAATGAGCTTTATTACAATTCCAAGGCTGGACTCGCGCACAGAATACATGGAAGTCGTAGTAGCGCGAGCGCGTAATGAAATTGGTAATGCGACACGGAAGGAATTTGCATTTTCATTACAACCGGGCAGGTCTCGCGCGTGTATTATGCTGCGCGCGATATTTTATGCGTTATAACGCTAAGCGTTAAGTAATTTTAGATTCGCGTGAACTGAATTTATGTGTGCATACGGTGGAATGTTCAAGATCGCATGCGTTAGATTTCAGCGCAAACTTGGGCTTGAAAAATGGAAAATTTTATCGTTTCTCCGATGAAAAATCATAAAAAATCTAACCTATTTTTTTTTATTTTTTTAGATTTATTTCGATGGTGGTTGGAGAGTTTATTGTTATGGTCCCGTAGGCGTTGGACATTATCCGCTTATGGTAAATAAAATAAAGTCTTGAAATATATTTATATATGCGCGCGCGTTCGACCGAAGGCAACAAAGCGCCGTTGCATGCGCACAAAGCGCGCCACAGCGCAAAGAAAAACGATGCCCAATAACGACAACAATAGGTGGTGCCCCTCTGCGAGCACAAAGCGGCGGCCACCGACGCCTGCCTGCACACAACCAGAGTGAGTGCATCGTAATTTATTTTCCGCAGCCGGGCGAGTCAAAAGCATCAAAGTTTTATCGATTTCAATCATAAATGCATCAAGTTACAAAGCAACAAACTGCACCTCACAAAAACGAAAAATTTAATTTCACAACAAAATTCACTTCTTTCTTATGTCCACAGCTTTTATATTTATAATTAATTATTATTTATAATCCAGTGTGAATTATTGACAATCAATTTCAATTACACACGTGTCCAACGCACGTCCGCGCTTATTATCGCACTCGCGAGTAAATTGCATTCGTCGTCCGTGGGTAATTAACTAATTGCCTTGTAGGCAGGCGCAGGCCTAGCCTCCGCTGCAGAAAAATCGCCAGCGGACAGAACACATTTGATATTATAGTAGTAAATAAATGTATGGCCGATGCGATAATGCATATAAATTGTAAACTAAACTAAATCTATAAGAGTATGCAAAGTGGGGCATTAATCATGCGAGAATAATGAGTATTAAATGATATCACAACCGTGTGATTTAATTGAGCGTTCAATAAGTATCGACGTTAATTAATTACTCTAGCGATCAATATAATTTACACATTAGGAGAGAGAATATGTTGTGAAATAAAATTTTATTTAAAATTGATTTTTCATGAATAAATTTTGTGGTAAATTAATTATTATTTAAATTTAACTCAATTTTGCTGTGATTTATATTTTTTTGAAGCTAAAACCTTTAAATTCCACGATTTTCAGACATAAAAAGTATTACTTTTGTCACAAAAGGGAATAAAGTACTTTAGTCACGGGTTTTAATCACGGGGTGCAATTTTATTCTTAATATACTATTTTCCTTGTATTCTAAAATTACTACAAACTTTTAAAACCAAAAATTTTTAATTTTTTTTTTTCACTAAAAACAAATTTTTGATTAAAAATCCAACAAATACTGCATATTATGCACTCCAACTAAAAATATTAAATTTTCCCCTCCATTCTACGCTTTGCTATATTTAAATTTCTTTCGCGTTGGCAAAAATGTAACCTTTTTGCATCTCCTGTCCCGCGTGTGCATACGTAATGACTATTATTAACTCCAAGACGCAGAGGGTTCCCTGCCAGCGCGACGGCAACGGCGCGCGCACCGACAAACCAACTTTTTATTAGTAACCACTACTACATCCACCAGTGCAATAACTTCTCAACTTGTGGAACAAATTCGCGTTCCCAACGCGACGCACAACCCAAGGCCTTGTTATCGCCATTGTGATCTTCCACTCCGCTCCTCTCACACAAGCACCACAAACAGCGACATACTAATAATAATTTAATGCATATTAAAAATTTTAGTAACACACTGGTTACCAGTATGAATCCGAAAGCGAAAACATTGAAATACACATTAAACATGCGACTGAAATCACTTACACCGCCAGAGTCATGAAAGTGTAAAGAATTCGCGTACTTATAAAATATGCGAAATAAACCGCTGGAAAATTTATTGTCCCCTTGGCAAGGCAGACGTGTAATTGTTTTCTGTAATCGTATCAAAGTGTGCAGTCATTAAAATATTTTAAAATGTACAAAGAGCAAGCATTACTCTCCTAAATTTACACGCGGAGACGACGCGCTGTAATTAGCGAATTAAGAAGATACACACAGGTTGGTAAAGAAGTAGACATTCGGTAATAATTCCTCTAGTGCAGTAGGTAATTAATATTAATTAACAATTACGCAAATTACCTTTAAAGTAATTAATTTTGCGTTGTGTTGTTTTGTACCAGCGACAATATGCCAGTTATTGATTTAATACGAATACCACTTGAGTGGAAGCAAAAACAACAAGACCTCAAAGTTGTTCCTTTGTAAGCCGACCGGTAACATATATGGATTTCAAGACAATGGGTCGTTAAAGAGTCTGGGAGCAGGCAGGCATAACTTAAACTCACCTTCAACTTTCCCCATAGCCAAAATCGCGATGGTCTTCACCGCTGGAATGGCCCACGCCGCCAAATGGAAATATTGCGAGTTGGCTTCAATAGCTTCATGGCCCCATTTCAATCCAGCCGCCAGGAACCACGTGAGGGTTAATATCACCCACCAGAAACTCGACGCCATGCTGAAGAAGTACAACACCATGAACAAGATGGTGCATAATTCGTACTTGGTGCCCTGCGTGATCGTGCTCACGGTCTGCGCGCCTCCAATCCGCGTGGGAAAGGGCTCGCGGCAGGCGATCGTGTCCTCGGCGAGGAAACCCACCACGTAAGCGAGCGCGACCATCAGATAGCACACCGAGAGGAAGATGATCGGCCGCTCCGGATAGCGGAAGCGATCGGTGTCGATGAGGAACGTGCATACGGTGAAGAGGCACGACGCCAGACACATCATCGCCCACGTGCCCACCCAGACACGTGCGAATTTACGCTCGGTTTCGTTGAAATACATCATGTGGCATGGTGCCCCGCAATCTTTCTCAACTTTATCACCGACTTTCAAAGAATATTCAAGAATTTTGGGACTTTGAATTGTAACGGACAAACAAATCCGATGTCTCTTATACCGAATTCAGGGCTTTTAGGACCGAAAGTAGACCCGAATTTATTGAATTTCGTTATGGAGGTTGGTGTGGTCGCGGAGGTTTCTGTTTTGTTTTCGCCAACGCACAGTTCAACATCGGGACTCTCCGGATATTTATCGCAGTTTAAATGTTCGGGCCATGGGAAACCGAATGTGAGCATAACTTGCTCACAGCCGCTTTTTGCCGAGAGGCAAAGTGACCGGCATGGTGGTAGGACTTTATCCAGGATGGTACAAACCGGCGCGTAGACACTACATAAAAAGAACTGCAGTGTGGGACTGCATTTGACTTTAACAAGCGGAAAGTATTGATGCACTTCCATGCCGGCGTCGTCTTGCTTCTGATGGCCGAGGTCGTTGGGCATGATGGTCATGTTGTACTGTAGGTCCCTGCAGAATGGGATCGTTATAGGCTGGCACCTGTCGTGCGTGGCCAATTCGTCGGTGTCCGAGACGCGCGACACCCCCATGACTGGTTGGAGGCTTAGAACTGATGTTAAATGCACGAGAAACACGAATAAGTATCCTGACCACATGATGAGGCACGTTGCGAGTTGTTTTAGTTAACTGGCTGTAAGCACAAATGAACAAAAATCACTGATTATTTGGATGTTAGGCACTTTGTTTAGGCGGATAATGGCGGTGCACTTAACGGACGCATGTTTTTGTTTTAAGACGCGCGCGCGTGTGTAGTCATGATAAACCAGCGGAAACGAGCGCCAGATGCACAAATAACCTCACTACCTGGATGAAGAACGAGGCACTGGAAGAAGCGGCAGCGGCGACACCGCAACGCACGACGCTCGGATGCGGACTAAAGCCGGCGTTTCGTTTGTTTGGAAATGGAGGGAGATGAAGAGGAAGTGTATTGCGAGCATGCACGAAGAACTGGAGTCGGGTGTAATCGTTTAAACAGCGTCACTTCTTCAAAATTCAATTGATTTGAATGAAACAAAGGTTATTTAAACTATTTTAAGCTAAAATTATTACTGTGTAACTGATAATTGTGAACTAGAATGTTATCTATGTTAACTTATCATTAAATAAACAATAAATTGTTAATTGTCGGCAGTTATTTATATAAATTTGATAATTTTTGGTATAAATTGTTATAAAATAATAATTTAATGCTATAATTGTTAATATGTATTGTTTTTGTATTGTTTATAATTGTTTATAACCCAATTTGAAAAAATATAAAAATACATTCACATTTAACTATAGGCAACTTTCAATACACAAAACAAAAAGAGGTAAAATTTCATATTTAACATAGGCAACACTTTTACACTACAAATCAAATTTTAAACTGTATGCCACTTATATCACATATTTTCCAATTAAAAACATTTTTAAACATTAAAAATGTAATTTATTAGTTATATAAGCATTAATAAATAATTTTAAACATCAAGTCACAATATAATTGGCTCAATTTTATTGCAACAAATTAAGAAAAAGTGAAAACACGAATAAAACTTTTATTTTCAAGAAGTGGCGTGCGCATAATAATAAAGCAGATGCACAATATACTCATTAGCCTAATCATTTCGAATTAATCCAGTTTTATGCTCCGTTCACTTTGACGTTTCATTGTCGGCGCGTGCTACAATGAAATTAAGAATATCCACACTTTCATACTTTAATGAATCTAAAACGCTGCACATGTCTGCACATGCAAAATCATTCAAAACGCAAGCGCAGTAAACTAATTGCGTTAATATGCCAGTAATAACAATAAAACTCTAAACGCTTACAAAGTTAAACTCTTTATACTGCTACAAATAGATATCATAATGAGTATATCGGGGGCAGTAATTGCTTCTGCTTCGGCAATTAGTTTTTTCGCTTTTCTTTGAAAACTTATTCGCGCATGTAAAAACGAAGATGCGTTGCATATAAATATGAATATCAAGTGCATTACTGGTCAGTGAGTGCTGCAGATTGATGAAGTGTTGACGTACAAGCAACAGAGTAAATTACAGATATGTTTAAGTGCATTAAAGTAAGAATATCAGCAATATGAAGAGGTTTTAAGAGATTAAAACAAGTTTTGTGTGTTTAACAGATGTTTGGACTCATTTTCATGATGTGCAGTGTTGTAATGACATCTACACATCATGTAAGAAGGAGACAATTCACACAAGATGGCGTTTCAGAAGAAAACAACGATAATTTTGTAAGTTAGGTTATTTAACCTCAAATTAGGTTATGTTTTATGTTTTAATATGATTTTCAATAGGATACAAGCAGATATAAATTTGCATACGGCGTGGAAGATCACAAAACCGGCGATTTCAAGATGCACCAGGAAGAACGCGATGGCGACCTCGTCAAAGGCGAGTACACCGTAGCCGAAGCGGATGGCACTCTTCGCACAGTGCGATACACCGCCGACAAACACAACGGTTTCCACGCGGTGATTTCCAAAGCCGGCGAGACGCGTCAAGTCCCAGCCGTGGCTTCTTCGACTTATCATCATCGGTCGATCAAAGTGCCGCCAGCGTCCCCCAGTCATCACGAACCGCATGGACATCTTCCGATCAAGAAGTACATCAATGAATTGCCGCAGTTCGCGAAGAACTACGCTGCCAAACACAACAAAGTCATCGAAAGCTTCGCCGCGGACAACGCCGCGCATTATCAGAGTGTTAATATCGACAGTAATGATGAACGCACGCAGTACGGATATAATTTATCGCAGGAAAAGTTAAGAGAAGAAAATGCTAAGAAAGCTGTTTATGGACAACCTGTAATGTTTCATTTGCAAATTCCACAAGGGTTTAAAAAGAATGAGGAGTTACCAATGGCGTTGCCATTGATCAGTCAAAATGTACATCCGGTTTATGAAGACGTTGGAGAGGAAAATCAAGAAAGGCCAAGTTCTGTGGAGGCACAGGAACAGCAAGGACATGTAAATAATTATAAACATATTTTTGAGACGCATTTTGGAAAGTTTCGAAGGCCTGGCAAGGAAAACAATCAAGGTGCTTATTCCTACATGAATTTTGAAGGAGAATCTAGAAATGGTTATGAATTACAACACAATTCACCCCAAGATCAACGGAAATATTCAATATAAACATAAAATCAAATTTTAATTTATGTACCAATTTTTGTCCGCGACTTTGTCTCGGTAGTGTTTAATAAAAATGTAATTCATTTTTACTTTCTTGTTTTATAAATAGTATGTGTCAATTCTATCAATAAGATTCGCAATTTTATTTTAAAGAAATTAATTATATAAAGAATAGCTAATAATGCACTTCAGCGCGCCATCTCGGATTCAACTATTTAACTATAACTATGATTGAATCTCAATGTCAACTTTTATCCTATAGAAAAGGGCTGTTTTTAGGGTTTTTCCGGCAATTATTCAAATTTTACTCGCCGTAAAAACCATCCTTGGACTTTAACCAACAGTTTAAAAAAAGAATTAGCCAAATTGGTCTAGGCGTTGTTGAGTTATGCGCTTACCAACAGATTTTAAGATTATATATTTTATTTTTGACACAAATGCATTTATTTTTTATATTATGTACAATCCACGAATAAATTACTCAATAATTATCTCTTGATGTCTATAATAATCATTCTAGTAATTTAATAATGATGATGATGGTCATGGTGGTACTCGGGGACTTCATGATGGTAGACTGGGACTTCCTTGACCACTTCAGGGTGTACAGCGTGACCGGATTTGGTGACAACAGCGTTGAAACCATTATGGTCATCGGCGGTGTAATGCACTGTGCGGATGGTGCCATCGGGTTCAACAACGGAATATTCTCCTTTGACTACGCCGCCATCGCGTTCCTCATGGTGAGATTTATGGTCACCAGTGTGGTAATCTTCAACGCCATATTTGAATTGGTATTTTGGATGAGCCTAAACATAAAATAAACATAACCAAATATAACAAAAATACAAAAATGTGTATATTGGGTTGCATACGTAATAATCATGTACATCATGGTGTTCGTGATGATCATGATGATTTTCGATCAAATGAGGCTCGTAATGATGCAGATCATGTTCGTAATGATGCGAATCATAAACGGGAAGGGCTCCGGCAACTGTCACGGCCAAAACGGCGCTCAAAAAGACAATCTGTAACATTTAAATTAATGAAATAAATTATTGAATGTTTTAACCTTAAAATTACCTTGCTGAACATGTTAATCCAACTATGTTAACCCTGAGGTATCAAAATTTGTGATTTCTAGTTGACTGTTGTTCAAACGATGAACACACTTCAACTGATGTTTTCCAAACCGCTCCTGCACGCTTTTATACCCAGTTTATTGTTAAATTATTCGCACACATTCGACACAATTACAAAATACAAAAGTTCATTAATTAAAGAAGAACAATCGAACTTACGCGTGCGCTTCTTGGCATTCTTTTGCGTTTTTTTCGTGAATTTTGAGCAATTAACGAATTTCGACCGAGTTTTTACAATCCGTTTTGGTTACACATGCATCTCACGCACATTCGGATGCTTAATTAAGTATTCCGTGTGTGGTTGTAATCTAATCCAACAATAGTTTAAGACATTTTATTTCAGTGCGTGTGAATAAATGATTTGCACATCGAGAAAGTTATTTACACACCGTTTACATACACATTTCGGTCTGCTTAAAATTTAATTTATTTTAATTTTGGGCTTGAGATTTCGTTTATATCTATAACGAGAAGATAATTTGTTACGCTCACCGGATATGTGCGTACGTGCGCACTTATTTATGAATGCACTTAATCATTAATTAAAATTTATTTAAATGGATTCGCACAAATTTAAGCTGATTATGTGTATATGTAATTTTATTTACTTATAATAAATATGCGCGCGCGCTTTAAGTTATGATTTTTGCGGTTGGATTAATTAAAATTATTGTGCAACTGAATTCCTAAATTTTGCGAAAGGATGAAAAATGTTGTCGTTGAAGGTATTCAACGTGTAATGCAATTAATTATTAAGTATAATCCATTTTATTTTATGCTCAATCAAAATTGTGAGTCGGAAAAACATTTAAAAATTTTTTATTTGATTGATTATTAATGATTTTTGGCAAAAATTGTTGTTTTTTATTGAAAAAAAATAATTTTTTGCAATTTTGAAGATTTTTTTTAGGTTTTAAGAGTTATTCTGCTATTTGAGACAAAGATAAAGTCAATAAATCAATAATAATAAAAATTTAGTTAATAGTTACTGAGTTATTAAGAGTGTAACACACAACTTAGATAAAATAAGGTTAGAAACATAATTAGACTAATTTTAACCTAAAAATACTTAATTAATTTATAAACACACATAATTCTATCTTTAATTTCTTTGATTAATTATCTCAAATGAAATAAATTTAATAAAGTTGTTGTTTATTTAAATTTTTTGCTTTTTTTCTATTTATTCTTATTTTTTTTAGAGCTTTTTCTATGTTTCAACAGTTATTCTGCTATTTAAAGAAAAATACATACAATAATACAACAAAAAATAAGGTTATGAATGTGACTTAACCAATCCTAATCTAAAAATACAAATTTAACCTAAAAATAAACAAAATTCACAGTTTTAATTGTTTTAAACTTGTCTAAAATAAAATTAATTTACTTTTTAAAACATAAACGTTTAGCACGCTTGAATTTATTTCTGTTTCAACTTGTGTCCTTCTCAAAACCACCTCTTACCGCTCAAGCGAACGCTTTATAAAACAACAATCGACATGTCAAGTCCGAAAATGCATGTCGGCGCTGAAAAATATAAATCACATTGTAAATTATGCACGTCGCAATCGATAAAGTCGGCGTCCGTTGAAAGTAACTCGCAAATTACGCATTGCACTCGCATTTGATGTGCTCGGATGGCAAAAAGGACGCGACGTGACACCGCAAAAGCACGCCCATTGCACAAACCGCAAAAGCAAAAGCAAGCAAAAGGGCCCAATGTGTTTTATGTGGTTATGTAAAAGTATAAATGCTGCTTTGTTATGTTACATTTCAAGGATACACACACTTGGCACTTGGCACTTGCAGTTTGCTTTAGTTTACTTCGTAATGACTTCATCAATATATAATATTTTCTTTTTTACGTTTAAGATGAAGCATGAAGTGTTATTATTTTAACACGGCAATCAATTTTATGTAGATACGTGCATTTGGCTGAGTGAAAATTTAATTACTCTTTAATTATGCTCGAAATTAAACTTTTTGATGGGTAAAGTGCCCTCTGAAAAGACCTTCACATCAAGACAAGATTAATTCAATAATTAAAGGGTGCAATAAATCGTTTAACATTTTTCATAAAATAAAAATAGAAATTCATCAATTATTTTTTTATATTTACCTAAATGGCGTATAAAACGTATTGTGTTAAAATTGAAACTCTTCGCGTGCGTCTTTCGAAAAGTAAAAGTAAAATTCATACGTGTACTCGCGCACGATGAACAACAAGTGCAAGTAGCAAGCGCGGACGACGAGAAGGAACAACGAAATGAAATGCACTCGAGATAACGATACCGAATTCGTCTGCTGATGAATTTTTTGTCTGTGTGTGGAAGTGTTGCGCCATTACGGGTGAACAGTGGTTGGTTGGGCACTGACGGTCACTTCGGATGGTCATTCGCCATCTCCTGATGGGATGGTGATATAAAAGAGCTTCGGCGATGTGCATCAGCATCAGTTCGTTATCAACCATTGACAACCCCAGTACTGAGATACAATAATAAGTTGATCAAGATGTTTGTTAAGGTAACATTTGTTATTTTTTGTTTTGTTTTTGTTTATATTTTGGTGACGTTAAAAAAAAATTGTTTTTGTTTAATTTTTGATTTTGATAGGTGTTTGTCTTGATGGGTTTGTTTGCCGTGGGTCATTGTGGAGTGTTTGAGTTGACTCCTCCTGCACCTGCAGGATACGCTGCTCTTGGTTTCCCAACCTTTCAATTTGGACAGAATGTTGCTCCAGGACAAGTTACGGGAGCTTATTTGACTTTGCCACAACAACAACAACAACAACAGAAACCTATCCAAGGAGGACAACAACAGCAATCTCAACAACAGCAACCTCAACAACCTTCAAGTCCTCAAAATCAATTAGGACCTCAATTGCCTACTCAACAACCTCAACAACCTCAACAACAACCTCAACAACCTAATGTCCCCCAGGTCCACCCACAACAACCCCCTACACCTTTACCTCAACGCCCTCCTCAACAACCCACTTATCCAGTTTCTGTTCCAGTTCCCGTGATCCAAACCCCACAATACTTTGAACAACCTTCCTACCGTCCCATCTATCGCCCAGTCTATCAACCTGCTCCCGTTTATTCTCCGGTACCCATCGCACAACCAATTGCTGTTCCACAACCCATTCCTGTAGCTACACCTGTAGCAACACCAGTAGCAGTTGCTCCAGTTCCGGTCTACGCTAACGCACACCCCCACTACCAATTCCACTACGGCGTCAGCGATCCACTCACCGGTGACAACAAGTCCCAAGAAGAATCTCGTGATGGTGATGTAGTCAAAGGCCAATACACTCTTCTCCAACCTGATGGCATCACCCGCATTGTGTACTACACCGCTGATAATACTGGTTTCCACGCGCAGGTTACCTATTCCGGACCAGGTGTTCATCCACAACCTCAGAAACCCGTTGCTGTAGCTGTTGCTCCTGTTACTGTAGTGAAACCCATTCAACCAGTGCCTGCTTTTACTCCCGGATATCCACCGAAGGTTATTGGACCGATTTATCATTAAATTGGACCATTCCGCCATTTTTATCATGTGTCATATTTAAACATTTAACGCCAGCAGTATTTCTAATTTTAATCAGTGTATAATGATAATATTGTAATAATGTAATGATTTAGATTCATCAAATAATAAAGCCATAATGTTTAAAATATATATATTTTCTATTTTTTTCAACTAAAAACTTCAAAAAACAACAAAAAAAAAACAAAAAAAAAACAAAAAAATGACAAAAAATATTAAAAATCAATATAATTATTGATAACGTGGTTGATATTCATGATCACGTTGGGCTGCATCTTGTTTTTTGTCATTTTGACCAGTTTTGCTTACAATAGCTTGGAAGCCATTTTGTTTATCAGCTGTATACTTAACAGTACGAATAGTACCATCAGCTTCCACCAAAGAATACTCTCCTTTGACTACGTCACCATCACGTTCTTCATGATGTGATTTCTGATCTCCAGAGTGATGATCTTCAACGCCATATTTATATTCATACTTTGGATGATCCTCATAGTCTTCATCTATGTGTACATGATCTTGTTGTTCACTTGGTTGTACATGCCCATAATCATGACCAGAGCCAACATTAGCATCAATAACAAAATTCTGACGTATATTTGGTTGTTTATGCGCGGTTACAGCAATAATTATCACGCAGTAAATAAAAATCTAAAAAAATATGTATTTTGTATATTTGGTTGCCTATAATGAATGTTTTTACTATATAGACTAATACCTTTGAATACATTTTGTTTGCGAATGTTTCTTGCTTGGAGTTTGAAATAAAACTGATTTCACAACAATAAAGAAGAGCTTTTTATACGACTCGTCAATTATTTTTTGCACTTGTTAAAAATTTCGCCTAATTTTGCTCATTGCAATAGAATTTATTGTAATAATGCATTATGTTTGTTTAGGCAAGTGTAAACTCGTTAATTACACGCTTTTTAAAATTTCATTTCGCTAATAAATCATTATATTTTGTCACAAATACGTCTGTCAGTTTAAAACTGATATCTGGAGCATTTCTTCATAATTTATCGCCCAAATTGAGCGTGTAACTCGCAGCAGGTTAAAAATCCTATTAAAAATGTGTCAACTAAGCCAACTACGCATAAAAAGAACCGACTTTCATTAATTACATAATTGCTACTCACACACAGGACACAGACACATACATCTCATATCATATTGTCTTGAAAAACAAGATTCGGGATTTACTCATGCTCGGCGATAAGAAGCGATATTATGTAAAACAATATGCAATTATTGAACGCATCGCATCGATAAAACTCAACACTGCGCACATGTTGCATGGAATGACACTCGATACGTGCCCACGACGAAGCAGAAGATAAAAATGCAGATTGGGCGACTCATTAAATTCGTGTCATTTGCGCTCTGACGCTAAGTGAGTGCAGCGTGAAATTGTACCGCAAAAGTGTTGGAGCTGCTAGTTGCAGTGACATGTTACGTCCGCCGGAGTAAAATACTTAATTTGGCAACAACAGGAGGAAAATAAGAGCATGAAATTAATTAATCGTTTAAAAATGACATAAGTTCACTGCTCGACGATGCTGTCCAAGCAATTTACATGGTTTTGCTTTTAATTCCGCGCGCCGAAACTGTTTTCACTTTTCACCAAAAACGCAAAAATTGTATTAAATATATGAAAGTCATATTATATCGTTTAATTGTTGCAATGTTTTTCGAGTGTTATTAATAGCTCGTAATTAAAAAGCGTTAAATGTTTTAGTCTAGGAAATTATACTTTGAAATTATTTACAATTTTTGAGTATAAAACCGGTGGATTTGTTGTGGATAGTCATCATTTTGTTTTCAAGTGTTTCATCGACATGTCCAATATTAAATTTACTGTTAGTTGGATTGGTTTAAGTTTAAAAAAGTGTTTTTGTTAATTTTGGGTTTATTTTAAGGTTTTTGTCGTTTGTGTTTCGTGCGCTTGGATTATAAACGCAAGAATCGTGAAACCATCCTATGGAGTTGCCAAATATCAACCTTACCAACTGCAGCAACAAGAACAGCCCACACAGGAATACAAATACGAAGCAAATCCAGATCCAGCTCCCGTACAATTGCATCAAACAAGCGTGCCAACGTACAAGCATCACTACGCAGCAACCAAACATTCAGCTGGAAATTATCATACCAGTGCGAGACACGCTGATGAAGAAAATCACGACGATCACCATGTGAGTTGTTTGATTGTATTGAATTTGTTTAGTTGAATGAATTTTTGTGGATTTTTTATGTAGAGTCATCCAAAATATAAATTTTCATACCATGTCGAAGAACACAAAACTGGTGATTACAAGCGACATGAAGAAGAGCGTGACGGGGACGTCGTGCACGGCGAGTATTCTTTGATCGAAGCCGATGGTAGTCTGCGGACCATTAAGTACACTGTTGATAAAGAGAATGGGTTTCAAGCGATTGTGGTTAAAGGAGATGCTAAGAAGGCCAGAAAGTGATTTTTAAGGTTTTAAAATTTTGTTGTATTTTAAAATAAATGTTTTGTTGTTAAAAATTTGTTGATTTATTTTTTTAAAGTATTAAATCATTTGAGAAATGTTTTTTCCAAGGGGAAAAATTGAAATATTTGCATAATTTTTATTATTTTTTTCTAGTTGGCATTTTTTAAAATGTTTTTTTGTTTTATTTTTGCAAAATAACTGAAGAACATGGTGAATGTTATTATAAATATAATATTTGTTGCAATTTAACAATCCTTTAAAGTTTGTTTATTAAAACAAACATGTCTGCTGATAAATCAATGATTTGATTTATTTTTCTGCAATATTAAAATGTAGAAACATGAAAAAACGTTTTTATTGCTTTTTGTGAGCAATAAGATTTGTAACCACCAAAAACTTCAACTGAAATTTTATTAATATCTATTATTAAAAAATATTAATAATATTATTAAAATTATTCTCAAGCAATTTTTGTCAAAAAGATGCAAAAATATCAAAAATTCTTTTTAATATATAATAATATCTACTAAAATATCTAAAAAATAAATATTTTATTACCAAATTTATGTTAATTAATATTTTGTTTATAGTTAAGGAATTTGAGCAGATTGACAGTAGATAATCTTGTAGGATAAGATAGTAAAATTGCAAAATGTGCACTACATTTCAATATTTTCCACTCTCCACCTGATTCCATTGACACCTGAACGCATAAAAATTCTCCGACAGAAATCAGTTGTACGAGTAAATCAGCAAATCAGGAACTAGTAAAAGGAGGTTGAATGAATAAATTATTTCTGCTTGTTGCCATTGACTGTTTGTATAGGTTCAATATTATGTTAATATGTATGCGGAGGTTTGGATATGTTACTAATAGTATGTTAAACTGTCAAAATTGTTACTTAACTGAAAGAAACTATTAAATTTTGGTGGGATATTGTTATCACAAAGTTGTGAATATAAAAGACTCTTTGTGTTGCTACAAATCAGTATCAACTCAGTCAGCATTCAATCAAAAGTAACAGAAATAAAAACATTAAAAATGTTTTTCAAAGTTTTGGTATTTGCTTTGGTAGCTGTAGCTTCCGCTCAGCATGGACATCAAGCAACTTCTTATGCTTCATCCAACAGCTACAATAATCATGTTTCCCATGATTATCATCATGCTGCCCCAGCCCTTTTGAAGGTTGCTGCCCCAATTGCAACTTATCATGCCCCAATTGTACACCATGCTCCAGTGGTCCACCATGTTGCTCCAGTTGTTCATCATGTCGCTCCCGTGGTACAACATGTTGCTCCAGTCTTGCTGAAGTCTGTCCACCATGAGCCAGAACACTACGGACACCCTAAATACCAATTCAAATATGGTGTCCATGATACCCACACCCATGACATCAAGGAACAAGAGGAATCTCGTGATGGTGATGTTGTCAAGGGTTACTACTCCCTTCTTCAACCTGATGGCCGTACCCGCATTGTCCACTACACTGCTGACAAGCACTCTGGTTTCCAGGCTCAAGTTGAATACAAGGGACATGCTGCTCACCCAGAAGTAGTGCACAAAGCTATCTTGGCCCCAGTCTACCATCATTAAGTGATTTATAAAAAAACATGAATTATTTTTGTATTCTGAGCGTATTTTTATAAAATAAAATGAAAATTTATCAAATTTATATTGCTTTATTAATTCAAGACAACAAAAATGATCAACTTTTCTTAATTTTATTTGTTCTGCATCTTCAAATAGTTATTTATTTAAAAATGGAAAAATAACAAAAACTATTTGTTTAACTTATCAATTTATCAATGCTTTATACATATATGTAAATTAAAACAAGGAAAGAAACAAGATTCTAAGCATATTTGCAAAATTAAAATGAAATAACCTCTTAATTATGCATTTTTTTTTATGTTTTCAGGATGTTTGTAATTATAACCAGCGGAAATACCGTAAAATAACACTGCAACTTTAGTTTACAATTTAATTTTCTGATTAATAGCCTGCAAAACTAAATGTAAAACAAAACATGTTGAAGATACAGCAAAAAAATATAAGATAAATACATAAAAGATTAAATAAAACGATTCAAATTATTAATAAAATTTATGAAATCAACTAGAATAAAATATACTTATACACCCACAATAAATCCTTGAGTGAAATTAATTTTGCATTCATTTACATATTTTATCATTTTGTTACTTATCTCAATATCAATATCAATATCAAGTATCAATGTGCAAATTGTTAAATTAAATGATTTGACCCAACTCTTATCTTTTAAATAACTCAATAATTAATTCATGTGACAAATTAAATTTAAATATAGATACGAGAATTATTTACTTTACTTAGTAGAACAAGAACTAAAACTAATGCGACACAAATTTAAAAGGAAACGAGTGTCAAGCATGCCCGTATCTCGTAAGATATTGTATAATCAACGATATGTTAAACGCTCAAGTTTAAACCAATATTGTTTGTGTTTATAATTAATTCACAATTTGCACTAGATAATTTTATTTCAATTATGTAACACCATGTCCGTAGTTTCTGGACATTGACAATACGATAACGAAACGCGTACATTCTTTTTTTTTTCTTGGCGGTTATAATATTATATGGTATATTCCAATTTTTGCACATAATTCACAAATTTGCATTATTTTGCCACCTCTAAATTTTTAGCGAATATAAAAACGCGTTGAGGTGTCTGCAAATCAAATCAACTCAAGCTTCTCAAGCAATACAAACAAATAATCAAAATGTTTTTCAAGGTATATTCAATTGAAATCATTTAAAGAGAAAAAAAGTATTTTTAATTTAATTTAACTTTTTTATTCAGGTTGCATTTTTTGCTCTTGTGGCTGTTGCTTCAGCCCAACATGGACATCAAGCCACTTCCTATGCTTCATCCAACAGCTACAACAACCACATCTCCCATGATTACCATCAATCTGCTCCAGCCCTCCTGAAGGTTGCTGCTCCGATCGCTACCTATCATGCCCCAATTGTCCATCATGCTCCAGTAGTCCACCAAATTGCCCATGTTGCTCCAGTTGTTCATCACGTAGCTCCAGTAGTACACCATGTAGCTCCAGTCCTTGTGAAGGCTGTCCACCATGAACCGGAACACTACGCCCCAGCTAAATACCAATTCAAATATGGCGTCCATGATACCCACACTCATGACATCAAGGAACAGGAAGAATCTCGCAATGGAGATGTTGTCAAGGGTTACTACTCCCTTCTTCAACCTGATGGCCGGACCCGCATTGTCCACTACACCGCTGACAAGCACTCTGGTTTCCAGGCCCAAGTTGAATACAAGGGACATGCTGCCCATCCAGAAGTTGTGCACAAAGCTATCTTGGCTCCAGTCTATCATCATTAAATTGTTGATGCTATGAAAATTATTATTTTTGTATGACATGAATATTTTTGATAAAATAAAAACTAATATTTTCTTTTAATTCTTGCTATATTTTATATATCACCTTGATATACCTACTTATATTAAATTTGAAAACAAACATGTTGATTATAAATAATTTTAATTATTTTGTTTATAGCCAATTACACAAATTTATTTTTTAACCTGTAGTAGTGAAACCAATATTACAACTGTAAAACTTTAGACATTTTTATCATTTGGCTGAATTAATTTATTGTGCAAATTAATTTACATTCAAATCTTAGTGTAATTCAGTCATAGCATATTCTTCATCATTTCTAAACATTCTTGAGCAAAATAAACTTGTCTAACAATAATATTTACCATTTAAATTATTGAATTTGTCACAAATGCATACATTTTATTCTAAATAATATTTATTTATCTAATATCATAAATAATATTATAGTTCTTATGATTCAAATGATTTAGAATATTTATATAACATTTTAGCATAATATTCTGAATAGACAAATATTTTTACTGAATAAAAACAATATTTTCTCAAAAATTTACTGCCAATATCCTTTTATTTCAACTAATTAAAACCTTGAAATTTATTAAATTTAAATTTGTGTTTAATATAAAATGCATAGGTATAAATTGAAAATAAAAAAAAACTTGATCAAATACAAATCTACAACTAATTAATACAATTATTATGCTAAATACTATAATTAAGTAATAAGTGATTGTATCTACTTGATTATTTCAAAAGCAAGTCTTATATGCGTATGTATTTTTAAATTGATTGCAAAAGTATCGGTTACTTTTTGACACCATTCCTCAAAACTTAAATCATTCATAACTTCTGCGCCAAACCAGAAATCGGCAACCCATAAAAGTTGTTCTGCTTCTGCATACATTATGTCAATAAGAATTTTAATTTGCGATTTAGTGTCCACACTTGTGTTACACATTAATGTGCATTTCTCAATGGTAAAAGGAAGAATTCGGCACTCAAATGCGGTGGGGATATTTTGTGTTTTATCAGGTGTAGAGGTGTGAATATAAAAGTAGCTAAAATCAAAAATAAATCAGTATCAACTCAGTCAGCATTCAATCAAAGAGTAATAGAAATACAAACATTAAAAATGTTTTTCAAAGTTTTGGTATTTGCTTTGGTAGCTGTAGCTTCCGCTCAGCATGGACATCAAGCCACTTCTTATGCTTCATCCAACAGTTACAATAATCATGTTTCTCATGATTATCATCAAGCTGCTCCAGCCCTTTTGAAGGTAGCTGCTCCAATTGCGACTTATCATGCCCCAATTGTACACCATGCTCCAGTGGTTCACCATGTTGCTCCAGTTGTCCAACATGTTGCCCCAGTCTTGTTGAAGTCTGTCCATCATGAGCCAGAACACTACGGACACCCTAAATACCAATTCAAATATGGCGTCCATGATACCCACACTCATGACATCAAGGAACAAGAAGAATCTCGTGATGGTGATGTTGTCAAGGGTTACTACTCCCTTCTTCAACCTGATGGCCGTACCCGCATTGTCCACTACACCGCTGACAAGCACTCCGGTTTCCAGGCTCAAGTTGAATACAAGGGACATGCTGCTCACCCAGAAGTAGTGCACAAAGCTGTCTTGGCTCCAGTCTACCATCACTAAGACTATATGATAATAGAAATTATATTTTTGTAGACAAAATATTTTTTATACAATAAAATAAATTATTTTCCACTAAATTACTCAATAATTTTTTTTTTTTAAAGAAAGTTGAAGCAATTTTAGTTTTATCCACGGGCGATAATAGCATCATAATAGCAGAATCAATCAATTTTGAGTGTGGATACTTAATATCTCATTTAGTTTGAGTAAAATTCGCTTTAAAAACTTGACTCAGCATTATTGCCTTTTGTCTTCCTGTTTTTATATAGTGGCTTCGCAGTTACCAAATTCAAACACCAAATCAGCATAAAATTAATAAAATTAATCCGTTAAAGGCCCGGCACGTTTTAAAATGCGCTTGGAAATGGTATCAGTATTTTATAACTTACATAGTTTTCATATTTTTGATAATCTATATATATAAAATTTGCGTGTCACAGTGTTTGTTTCCATACTCCTCCGAAACGGCTTTACCGATTTTTACCAAATTTTATATGCGTATTCAGTAGGTCTGAGAATCGGCTAACATCTATTTTTTATACCTCTAAGTGATAAGGGTTGTTCACCCTTAACTTTTTTTAAATTTTTGGACAAATTCTTTTGTTCTTATTTTTTTATGATGTGGCATTAAAAAAATACAGACAACTCTAAATATTTACTTTTTTATTACCAACCCCTATATTTTGGTCATTTAATTTTTTTTCATCCCGCTCGAAGGAATGAGACTGAAGTCGGTCTCCTGTTTCACGCACACAATAAGACTTCTCTCACTCCCTACACAGTTTTCGACCATCATTATGGTATATGTATCAAGTGTAGTAGTAACGTTTACAATTATCATATTGCTATCTCAGTGTAACTCTCAGATTAACTATTAATTATTACTGTTTTATTCATAACTAGCGTACCCAACAGACTTCGTTCTGTTAAAAAATTTTGGAATGTTGTAGATTTTGTTCCTCCCCTATTTTATAGTCGGTGCAAAAAATTCTCCTGACCAGAACAGTCTCCCCGTTGACAGGGCGCTTCCACGAACTTTCGCCACCCTTTCAAAGACAAATTATATTAGTGGGACCCACTAAAACACCCCAATTGTGTCACATGCAATACTTAGTGATCGTAGATAATTAACCACCTTGCACAAAAAACGAAATGAAACAATCAAACAAAAATGAATCAAAGAAAACTGCGGAATTTGTTTCGTTTGTCAGTGGTCAAAAGAAAACTCAGTAGAGCACTTTGCGCAAAACACCATATAAAACAATAAATAAAAAATAAGTCGAAGAAGGCTGCGGAATTTGTTTCGTTAATCGATTGAAAAAAGAAAACCTCAGCTTTTCCCCGTTTTCCCGGTAATTATTCCAATTTTGGTTGCCGTAGAAACCACCCTTAGACTTTAACGAACATTTAAAAAAAAAGAATTGGCCAAATTGGTCTAGGCGTTGTTGAGTTAAGCGGTTACCAACACATTTTGCGAGTCATTTTTATATTTTAGATAATAAAATTATAAATTTTCAGTGTATTTGGCACGATTAGTTCAGTTAATCAAGTTTTACATACTTACACACTTATAATAGGTATGTAAGTTACTTTTTGTCTACACTAGAATTTATCTAGAAACTAAAAATAATTTATATGGCAAAACAACGTTTGCCGGGTTAACTAGTACTATATATAATTAAATTAGACATGTTCGTCATGTTTTTAATGACAACTGGGATTTGGTATGTCTCAACGCATAACTAAATAATTATGCGTGAGATATTAATTAATAATTTAAAGTTTAGATACGTTAAAGGACTGATCTGATCAAAAAATGCTTTTGGATTAAATTATGTAAATTTATTGTAAAAATATTGAACAAAATATGAAATAATTGGTTTAGAAATTGATTTTTGAAACGAAAAAAGAATTATTTGAAAGATATTGAATTGAATTATTACTTAATATTTTGTTTGTTTATTGTAATTTCAGTAACACAAACTTGAACTGAGAAATCACCTGGTATTTAATGCAAATAGTGCATCTCAGCGACATCTCAAGACTATAAAATATATTTGTTTTATTTATATTCTAATCATGAAGGAGAAACGCAGTCAAAACAGTTCAATGCAGTCAATGCAGTTATTTCTTATTATTTAGTGCGTTTGTTGTGATTCTACCAATATTTACTTTACTATCAGATATCGCTGCAGATTGGTACGATCTTCGCAACGCCGTGCACATTATCAATGAAATGTGAACATGTTGAAACATGTTGAAACTTGTTGTTTCAAATCACCTGATTTAATTTAATGCAAATAGTGCATCCCAGCGGCATCTTGGGGCCATAAATATATACATATTTATTATGTTTATATTCTCATCTTGAAAGAGAGGCACGATCAAAACAACGTGTTTCACTTGTGCTATCAATGTACCCATGCATTTCTGATTACCTGTCGAAATATTAACACAGTTCTCATATTCAACATTTTTTTAAATTAAACTTTATTATGAATTTCTTTATATCTCTTAAATAAACTCAATATAAACGTAATATTATTTAATTAGTTTAAATAAATAATTATATTATAGAAATATAACATGTTTTTATTATGAAAAATATATGTATATATTTATAAACTGTTTACATCAATATTACATTTTACAAAAATAATAGGGTGATATACGAGTAGGAATATATGAATATAGGAATTTGTAAGTCTTAACATATTGCACAAATTGAAACCTCTCCTTATTTAGTGATGATAGTAAGCTGGAGCAGCAACAATAGCCTTATGGTGCACCTCGGGATGTCCAGCATGTCCAGAATACTCAACATGGGCCTGGAAACCATTGTGCTTGTCAGAAGTGTAGTGCACAATACGTTTACGGCCATCAGGTTGGAGCAGACTGTAAGAACCCTTGACAACATCACCATCACGAGATTCCTCTTGATCCTTAATGTCATGAGTATGGGTATCATGGACGCCATATTTGAATTGGTATTTTGGGTGTCCGTAGTGTTCCGGTTCATGGTGGACTGATTTCAACAAAACTGGAGCGGCATGCACAGCGTGGTGGACAATTGGAGCTGCTTGGTGATAACTAGCGATGGGGGCGGCATGGTGATAGTCATGGGAAGTGTGGGAGTTGAAGCTGTTGGATGAAGCGTAGGAAGTAGCTTGATGTCCATGTTGGGCGATTACAACAGTGGCAAAAGCCAAAACGGCTAAAATCTAAACAAATTTGAAAAATTTTTAAAAAATTTTAAAAAAACTAAGAAAAAAATTGATAACAAACCTTAAAAAACATGTTTAGTTGTTTTGTTATTTGTTTAAAGTATGATTTGATACTGAATTGATAACAACTCCTTCGGTTTATATATTAAACCAACAAACAACTCCCACTCACACAAAAACCGAGAATTTACTCAACTTAAGTCGAATTCAATCGGCTTAAATTCAAAGCAGTTGCTCCGATTGAAAATCGATCACAAACTACTTTTACTTTATATTGATGCATATAGATAAGGAAATCAAACGATTTGTTCGAATAAAATGACATTACTTTGATAAATTCACTCAGAAACATTTAATTTTCCTACACAACTAAAAAAGCAAGCAATAAATGTTTCTGACATCAATAAAATCGCAAGTACATACAATATATTTATCTCCGGATCATAATTGCGCGGCTAACAAGCCATAAATTAATGGCGGTGCTAAAATATGGGCGTACTTTGCACGGATAAATAATTAATCACCCATTTCATTCGGTGGTTAAAATCTCGAACGCTTGCTTTCGCTCTCACCTTGCTTGCCTACTTACATACACACTCATACGCTGGTGTATGTTGTGTTGCATAATGTGTTTGACAGCCGGTCGCGAAGTAAGTCAAGTTATGGCGGTTTAATGAGTGACGTAAGTATGAGTGTTCAAGTCACAAATATGCGGAAACAAGTTCGATGCCGTTTGACAGAATTCACTCATACTCCGCATACACCAGAGTTAAGTGAAAGAAAGTTGTGATCTTGTTTCGGCAACACGCTGTATGCAACGTTCTAAATTTTGAACTTAACCTAGATACAATTCTAGTTATTATTGAATATTGCTTGTCGTAGTAGTACGTTACGTAGCTGCGTACAAATACGGCAAGTAAGAGTTTTTGCTTGCACTTTCTACGAGTACATGAATTGGTTTTAATTGATATTTTAATCGTTTTCGAGCTGTACTAGTTAATCATATTGATTGTGTTTGTGCGATTTTATATAAACGCATTTTTTCTCAATCGTAGGCGATTTTTTACTTTGTTGTATAATATTTCTAGTGATATTATTGATATAGAGAGAACAACTCCTCCGACGATTATTAAAAATGGCCGTTTTACGTCTGTGATTTCGATTCCTTTGAAAGATGGCGGGATGCTTGTACATTTTGGTCTTAGAATATAACGAATGTAGTTGCGGTAATGTAAACCATATTCAGCAACACGAATCGAACTAAAAACAAATTAAAAATAGATTAATATCAGTTTTAATCACAAAATTTGATAATAAATATGATTAAAACACGCATTAGTAACCCAATTTAAGATAGGCAACCAAATATTCATATTACTGTTTTCACTGTTGCCATTTTTTTAATAAAAACAAATCAAAACTGATTTTTGTAATTCTTACGCAATTTTCAAGATTTCTTTATGTACTAAACCCTTAGGAATAGGTACGTATCCCAATTGTGAAGGAATATAATCACCACGTAATGTTTGAAGACTACAAACATCACTTTCATCATAATATTTAGTTAAATAAAACCACGCAGGCGTTGACAGGATATTAAAAGCAAAACCACCTTTCATAACTCTTTCCAAGCCTTCTTTCATTGGATAGAAACCTTTATCACCGATTTTGGTCCGGTATATTTCCTTTCTAATTGCACCTCTTGCTTCCTAAATAGGTTAATGTAGGTTAATTTTGATTAAAATTACAGTTTCCTGTAATTTTTATATGGTTTTTAATACCTTCATGTAAAAATACATATAATGCGTGTCTTCTGCCCCAGCTTGAAAGGAACTCTGCAGGAATGTTTCTAAATCATCTACGGTTCTTGTACTTTGAAGTAAACCAACAATATTTGCTGCATACGCAGTGTAAAAGAGCATAAATATCATGAATACTACAAAGAATAAGATGGCGCCACCTGCTGTTACTACAAGTGTTAAAGTTCCTAATAAATAAAAAAAAATGAATATTTTTGGGTAAAAATTTGTATTAAGATTTTATACTATACCTTGTTGACAGACTGCTTCCAGTAATATCAAGAAAGCATCTCCAGGTGCTCTATTAGGCCCTCCAAAGTAGCGTGTTTCAATAAATAAAACAAATGCAACTCCGGCAGTTAAAAGCAAAAATGTTGGAAACAGTGAATACCAAACGTGTTTATGAAATGCTATATCAAATATATCACGTACTTCTGACACTGGTGGTCGCTTCAGAATGAAATTTATGTCTAGTTTTTGTGTGATGTCACTTAAGAAGTCTACGTATGGTAAACGGTCATTATTCATCAGTAAAGGTGTACCTTCAATTAAATATGTTAATAAAATTGTTTATATTAGGTAATTATTATTATTATTTTTGGCACCACTGAGATTTGAATATCCTGTGATGAGATCCTGAACAACTCCATTCCACTTTTTGGTTGTTTTGTTAAAATAACCATAGGATTCTTTCCATACTATTTTGTAGGTTAGGTTTAACGCATGCATTAGGCATATAAATGTACCGTAGTTTCTTTTTGACAGAGCATCAACATCACGGAATCTAAAACGTAAATTTTTAAGGAATTTGTTGAGTGTTTTGATTGTTATTTTACTTAAAAGTGCCCATATACGCTATGGATTCATTAAGTTCTACAACTGAAGATACTCTGAAGAATAATCCTTGAAGATCTCTTCGACGTTCATGAATTTCTTTACGGAAATAATTTATTGTTAGATTTTTGTTTGACCAAGATCCATAGTTTTCAAAGGCTAAAATTATTTTTCTATTTGTTTTAAAATCCCAAAAAAAATATTATAAATGCGAATGTATTATGGTATTTGTATGTTTGTAACACTTTCACGCTAAAACTATTCAACAAATTTTGATAAATTTTGGCATAGAAGTACATTAAACCTTGGAAAATGACATAGACTACTTTTTGTTGCAAAAATATAACTTATAAGCTATGAAAAAAAGTTTGAACGTTCATTTGGAGAAAAGAGAAATGTCTTCAATATATTATGTTACTATGGTAACTTCAAGCTGAACAATTGGTTGCCTAATTCTATTTCAACTAAATATTTAACACAATTAATATTATCACTTCTTACCTATAGGATAATCTTGTGATATTCTATGAATTTGCAATAGTTCCACTCTAGAATTCGTGAATTTAGCAATAATTACCAGGCTCATTACAGTAATCGTATGACCATGTGTTAAAACATGAACCAATTCATCGAAATGTTGTACATCGCATAGAATTAAACCTTGATATCCACATGTTCTCATATTCGTCAATACCGCAGTAAAATAGTCCATTTCGTAAGCGCAATCATAATCAAGCACGTTGTAAATTCTTTGCCGTTGTTTTACATCAACAACTAAATTACTCGCATTCTTTAATTCTTTCGAGCCGTGCAGAAATATATTGTGTGAATGATTCTGCATAAACACTTTAAGATCATTATCTTTCCAACAGTTTAGATGTAAATTGATATATTTACTAACACTTTTGGGGATAATTTCCTCATTTATAAAATCATTCAAAAATTTAGTTTTTAATTTGATTTTATTGTGATTTGCTTGGAGAAAATTAATAATAAGAAGAAATAACATAAGAAAAGAATAAATTCGTTGGACTTGCATGTTGGAAGTAATATTTACTTTGAGTTCAAGGCGTTATATAAAAGAAATGAAGAAATTAAATATTTATAAACTCCTAGAAACTCCTTGAAATAAAAATACTAGTTTCATAGATTTTTTCCCGTTTCTATAATTTACATAGTTTATATAGATAAAAATAAATTTTTAATTTATTATGACTTTTGAGATGATTTTTTGACATTTTTTTAAAGAAAAAAAGAATAAAAATTATAATTTAATTAATTTGGTTGACTCGTAGGTTGAAATTAATTTTTTTAAGGTTTTCAATCTTTCATAAAAGAAAATAGAGAAATTATTTATTAACAAGCATCTAGAATTGAAATGAAATTACTGCTTTGATAGATTTTTGTATATTATTTTTGCGTACATAATAATTTACATACTTTATATGTGTAATAATAAAATTTTGATTTATTATGACCTGCAGGGGTTATTTTTTAATTTTTTACTTCTTCTTTGTTTTTAATGAATCTTATAGCTTTTTTTGCGAGTGAATTTTATGCTAATATGCTAATGTACTGGTAGAATGTGTAGCACTTGAATTACATCATTACAACGTAACTAATAGTTAATAGATTTGGCTAATATTTCGGCGCGTTTGTACTATCACTCAACTTCCACTTCCTTGCAAATTTTAGACGAGTATAAATACGAAATTAATTTAGGCAGAAGTATCATTCGTCTGTTATCAATCCAATAACAAACAACCAACAAAAATATACAGCAAAATGTTTTTCTCTAAGGTATAATATTGATATTTCAATATTTTCAAGTCAAAAAAATCAAAATAATAAAAATAATATTTTTTTTGGTTAAAATTTCAGATTGTTGTTGCTTTGGCTTTCGTAGCCCTTGCTTCCGCTCAACATGGACATCAAGCCACTTCCTATGCTTCATCCAACAGTTACAACACTCATATTTCGCATGATTATCATCATGCTGCTCCGGTAGCTCACAGGGAAGCAGCTCCAGTTGCTAGTTACCATCATGCTGCTCCAGTTGCCTACCACCATGCACCAGCTCCAGTTGTCCATGCTGCTCCAGTTGCCTACAAAGCTCCAGTTCTTGTTAAGGCTGTCCATCATGAGCCAGAACACTACGCCCCAGCTAAATATCAATTCAAATATGGCGTCCATGATACCCACACTCATGACATCAAGGAACAAGAAGAATCCCGCGATGGTGATGTTGTCAAGGGTTACTACTCCCTTCTTCAACCTGATGGCCGTACCCGCATTGTCCACTACACTGCTGACAAGCACTCCGGTTTCCAGGCTCAAGTTGAATACAAGGGACACGCTGCCCATCCAGAACACAAAGCTTCTGAGTACCATCATTAAGTAAATTTGATGTGGTTGATTTGAAGAAAGACTTGTAATGATTGACTTATAGTTATTAAGGAGATTATATTTTTTTATAATAAAAAAATTCTTAAGCAAAATTACAGCTTGATATTATTTCTACTACCAAATAACTGATATACCTAAGTTAAATATATTGCAATATATTTACTTATATATTTTTTTTATATATTTACTACTTTATAAACATTTTTTAAAAAGTAAGAATTTTTTAAGAAAAAATTTGAGTTACATTTTAACAAAATTATATTTTGACAAGAAAGTATTAAGCACAATAAAATAGAAATTCAAATATTTTCTTGTTTGGGTAATTTAAGTTGCCTATTCAAGAATAGGACAAAATCTGTTATATTTGGTTGCATAAATTAGTTGTCAATGTAGTATTATCACTTATATGTTATATTTTAAGATAAAATATATTATTGAAACGGTACTTATCTTAAGTTATATTTTTGAAGAAATATATACTTATTATTTACAACTGTTTTATATTAATTTGTTTAAAATCGACATCCGAAATTCCACATTTATTTTAAATTTCCAAAAAAAATATGAAAACAAAAGTAAAAACTATTACATAATGCGTACTTAACTTTAATAATCAGATTTGCATAAATTTTTCTACAATATTTACTACTCCTATATTCTAATTAATTTGTCAAGATAATAATTACTAAATTATAATTGATCATAACCTAAATTTTATATTACATAATCATATATCAACGCCAAACTTATCAAAAATAGGCACTACGCGTAAGTAATGAAAGTTGAATTCCTATAACTCGATAAACTTCACCTTGTTTGCATTGTATCAGTAGGAATTAGTAGGAATTACTTATACTCGTATATACTCGTACGTTTTAGCAAGTCGCTAATAAGTTATTACATCATAAATATTAAGCGCCCAAGTTATGCACGCAGAAATCTAGTTTACGCACTCTGCACTCTCTTTGAGCTTTAAAGCCTTTCAATAACAAAGAGGTGGGAGTACTTCAAGATAGCAAAGTCACGCAAAGTGTAATTAGTATAAATTGTAAATTAATCGAATATCGAATATCAGTCTCAAGTTGTAGTTCAAACAGATAACAACCAAAAAACAAACACGAAAGCAACATGTATTTTGCTCAAGTAATATTTTTATTTATTTTTATTAAAATTTAAAAAAATTATTTTTTTTCTTTTATTTTTAGACCGTTGTAGTTTTGGCCCTTGCCGCTTTGGCTTCCGCCCAACATGGCCACCAAGCCACTTCCTACGCTTCCATCAGCAGTTATGACAACCACAACACCCATGATTACCATCAAGCCGCCCCTGTTGCCAGTTACCATCATGCTCCAATTGTGCACGCCACTCCAATCGCTTACAAAGCAGCCCCAGTTCTCCTGAAATCTGTCCACCATGAAGAGGAACACTACGCCCCAGCTAAATACCAATTCAAATATGGCGTCCATGATACCCACACTCATGACATCAAGGAACAGGAAGAATCTCGTGAGGGTGATGTTGTCAAGGGACACTACTCCCTTCTTCAACCTGATGGCCGTACTCGCATTGTCCACTACACCGCTGACAAGCACAACGGTTTCCAGGCTCATGTTGAGTATTCCGGACATGCTGGACATCCAGAGGTGCAACACAAAGCTGTTGTTGCTGCTCCACCTTACTATCATTAAGTAATGAATTGTTGAGGTGTTAATGTATGGAAAGATATATTTTTGTATGAAATAAAAATTATTTTGGACTATATTTTTGTTGTTTTATTGATATTTGTGATATTTTTTAGTAAATCATAAAGAAAATTTAGTAAATTTATCAAAAAATAAAGCAGAAATCGTAAAAAACTGAAAATGTTGTTCTAATTTCTCAATATTAAGACAATACAGTCATTAGTTGACACAGATGCCTTTAGATGGCGGTAAAGTTACACCCTTACGCTACAAACTAAGCTATTAAGGTTGCCTAGGTTATATTTGGTTATAATAGTACTATATGCTGACATATTACAAGTCAGAAACTTAACCGCACTTTAAAAGCTACTAAAAATTTATTTATATGAAAAAATCAATATTCCCACTCATCTACGACTTATATAATGTGATTTATCTGTTTAACACGTTGAGGACGGCGTGTACCACCGGTGGTACACATGCGTCTGGTCTGTGGGACGGCATGTACCACCGGTGGTACACGGCTCATTTGAAACGAGACTTATTCATTTTTGACTACGCCACTGGTTAGGTTATATCTTCTCCTCGTTTCACCTATACAATCAGGGCCTTGCATCTTTGTCATCAAATGTGTCACTCAGATTACATATTATAATAAATAGTGACCGACCAAAGTTTCAGTTTTGGCTTCAAATTTGGTTTTGGCCAAAAATTGGCTGAAACTTTTGACAGAAACGAAACTCAGTGTTCGTGAATTATCGTGCGTCGTTTGGCTAACTCGCGGCTAAGTCGTGGTCGTCACTTGCCATCTCAGTTCGCACATAGTTTCGGTCGGACTCTAAAGATAAAGGCATTCATTACAAAGAAAATAAATAAATGGCGACGCAACTGCAAAAACAATCGCTTTTTGATACAGCAATGCATAACCACCAGTGGCGCGCAGCTGAATTAATTAGACGGAGTTGAAAATGCTCAAACGCCGCCCGATGCGACAGACACCCAAAAACCGCGCCGTCCTCAACGTGTTAATTTAAGTTTATAATTCATATTAATTCATTGTAAAAACTTGATTATTTATACTTTTAAATAAAATTTTTGGAATATTTCTGTTAAAACTTTGTTTCTGGTACATTTTTTACGAATACTTCCTTACAATTTGTCAAAATACCAAAAATCATAAATAAAATTCTTTGCAAATTTGATTAATGTCCACACTTTAGCACTTACACTTCCATTTACTCTACTAGTACCTGCAGTTACGTATCAAAATTTCGTACACCCGTCACACTTCTGGTACACACATGATACATATTTTGCGCTAGATCTAGATTTCGTCTTCGAGGTGTTGACCCAGGCGGTCCGGCCCGCATAAAAGCACATATGATATAATTATAATTAATACACATTTGTGTTCGCGGTGTCCACTTACTTTCAAATTGAGTTCCGAACCAAATTTCTTCTCTCGCACACATATGCACCTTCCAATGTTTTAACGACGCCGGAGCCGAGCCTCTGCGCTTGCAACTCCAACTATTACAACATATTACATAAATGAGTGTGATACGAAGTTATTAAATTTGGTCACTGTGTGTTTTGCACTAATTTACTACCAAGACCCAGGTGGGGGGAAGGCTTAAGATTTAATCATTTGCCAAATAAATTTTTGGCCATAGTATAAATAGTAATCTTTGCTCCTGCAGAAATCAGTTCAGTTGCAGCTGTTCAATCGACTCAATAATTTAAAAATGTTCTTCTCAAAGGTAAAGATATTTTAATTATTACTGTTGTTAATTATTAATTAAATTTTTTTGTTTTTAACTTTTAGGTTATTGTTTCTTTGGCTTTGGTAGCGTTGGCTACAGCCCAACATGGCCATGAAGCCAGTTCCTATTCTTCAATCAACAGTTACAATACCCACACTGCTCATGATTACCACCAAGCTGCTCCAGCCCTTCTGAAAGTAGCTGCCCCAATCGCCACTTACCACCATGCTCCAGCCCCAGTTGTCCATGCTGCTCCAGTTGCCTATCATCACGCCCCAGCTCCAATCGCCTACAAAGCAGCTCCAGTTCTCCTGAAATCCGTCCACCATGAAGAGGAACACTACGAACCTGCTAAATATCAATTCAAATATGGCGTCCATGATACCCACACTCATGACATCAAGGAACAAGAGGAATCTCGTGATGGTGATGTTGTTAAGGGTTACTACTCCCTTCTTCAACCTGATGGCCGCACCCGCATTGTCCACTACACTGCTGACAAGCACAACGGTTTCCAAGCTCAGGTTGAATATTCCGGACATGCTGATCATCCCGAGGTGCAACATAAAGCCATTGTAGCTGCTCCAGTTGTGCATAAGGCTATTGTTGCCGCTCCAGTTTACAAAACTGTTGCTGCTCCAGTCTACAAAACCGCTCCTGTTTACAAAGTCCCAGCTTACCCACATTTCTAGATTTTTACGAATTTAGATATGAAATGCTGTTAAATTGATTCAGAGATATATTTTATTTATGTGTTTATTTTTTTACGCACAGAGCTATATTATTTTGTTAATAAAGTCATTATTTATATTATAAAACAAGTGAAGAGTTATCTTTAACCCTGGAGTATGTTAATACCTCTGAGTATATGAGTAAGAGACCATAAACAGTTGTTAATGTTATTTATGTACAAGAAGGTAAGTTTTATTTCGTGGTGAAGATAACAAAAGCTTTTATGCAGAATCTCAAGGTTAGCAGTCAATAATGTGTGGTTATTTAAGTACAATTTACGACAGTCAATTTAATTTATGTCTTTATCATGTTTGGTGTTTTGAAAGGGACTTAAATGATGTTTATACTTGAAACAATTTAAATTTTGAAAAAAAAAATGAAAAATTGATGTTTTTCCTTATAATTTGCGTCAAAACATTTAAATAGTTACTGAAAGTAATATTTAGGCTAAAAAATTAGAAAATTGGCCAAATTTTTAGAAAAAAAAAAAATAGAAAAATTACAGTTTTTGCTTATATTTTGTTCAAAAACATATAAAAATTTACTGAACGTAATATTTTAGCTTAAAAAATTTAAAATTTGCAAAATTTTTGGAAAAAATTTGGAAAAACTAAATTTTTTGTTGTTTTTAGCTTCAAAAATATATAAAATATAATATTTTGTTATTTATGCTCAGTAACTTTAAGATAAAATACAAAAAACCGTTGATTTATGAAGAAAACAACTTGTTATCAATAAATTGCTCATTTTTGTAATTTGTCAATAATAATTACGCCGCAATATTGATAAGAAATCAACGTTAATAAGACAAGAATCCGACTCATAACAAGCTTTTAATTTCACACAAACAAAAAAAAAACACATACTTTTACCACAAAAAAGGAAATAAACTGATTTAACACTTTACATTCACCTCATAATGAACTTGGCCTTATTCCGTATTCTTGGTGTATCGAATTGTTTCGTTTCCACAGCGTCCACAATACGAATACTCGAATGTTAAGTCACGTCCTGTGTCTTGCTTATCGCAAGCCAAGTTTTAAGTTAAGTTTTAAGTTGTCTTGAACACTTGAACACGGTGGACATCGATGGACCCATCGTCACGCTCCATATCAGTTGTTTCTCGTTTTGTAATACGCTGATGAAATATTCGCCAACATTTGTTTAATTGGCGGCTTAATTAATCCATTGCGAATTCCGAGGGCATTCTTATCGATTAATTGGACACGCACAGCGGGTAGTGCTGGCGCACTCGGTTACATCCAGTTACATGCATCATTATATTGGTAATGGTGGTAATTTAATGAGTTAATGCGCAAAGTGTGTGTACTTGTGAGCATAATTCTTTAATTGCTTTTGAAGCTTCATAATATTTTAAAATCATTTTTTAATTTTACAATTGAACAAAACATTTTGTTTGGTATTTTCTTAGGTATATTAAATAGACTGGGTGGAAAACATAGAAATACATTAGAAATGACTGTAGAGGAAATTTGAGGTTATATTAGTACTGATTATTGGTTATCCTAGCTTCCAAGGCTACTTAAATGAATAGAAAACAGTGTTTTGGAGGGAAAAATTAAATTTTTTTTTTTGTTTGTTAATATAAACTTAAATTTTTAGTTATTTTGATTTGTCCAATAGCATAGAAGTCAGGGTAAAGTGCTTAAAGTGATTTTTTGTAACTCTAGTGTGCAAAAACACTTTTTTATGAGTAAAATATAGTTTTTTCTTCAAAAAAATAATTTTTTACCATTTTCTTGTGTATTTTTAGTTAAAATTAATAAAATTGTTTGAAAATAACATATTTACTCACTTTAAGTGCCTAAAACTGTTACTTTATACACTAATAAACAATTTTTTTCAAAAAATAACAATTTTTTTCATTTTCTGCTAATTTTGAGCCACAAAATTGTTTTGATTCACACAAATACTTTCCTGACACAATTATAAATCAATAAATAATAATATTTAATTATTCCAACCGACAGTGAAAATTTTAAGCCCAACCGTCAACCGCAAGCCACAAACATTACTTCTATAATTCTATAATTACATAACATTGAACGAGTTGCTATTAATAAATTTGGACTATACTAACACCAACCAGCATGTCCGTCCGCAAAATGCGTGGTATGTTCACACAGCTTACAAAACTTCCTAATCTTGTTCTTAATTCTGATTACGACTTTGCGACGTTATACTATTGAGCGTAGATGTGTAGCAATGTAGATTCTGTAATAATGCAAATGCTCAAGTGTTACACTTTCGATTTACCAATAAGTCTCCCATGATCACCGAATGATACCTATTATATGACCGAAAAACTAGTTCCAGTGATTTTGGGCGTATGCGACGACAAGTACAAAATTGATTAAATTACTATGGCGGTACAGCCCAAAACGAAAACCGACAATATATGGGGATATTGAGTAAGAAAACTTATGAAAAATAGTAGGATAATGGTTTTGGTATATAAGCAGAGGGGAATTATTAGGTGGATATCAATTTGTGATAGGTTCTTGTGGAGGTAACAACACAACAATAACAAAAATGTTTGCTAAGGTATAGTAGCTGATTAAAAATATTTTTTGAGGTTATAAATGTTTTTTTTTAATTTTTAATTTGTTGTTTGTTTTTTGAATTTTAAGGTTGTAGCACTTGCTGCCCTTGTGGCTTTAGTCCAAGCTGTGGAGTATGGCCACCATGCCACTTCTTACGCTTCAGTGAACCGTTATGATGACCATAACAACCATCACGTTGCTCATTATGCCGCCCCTGTTGCTCACTACGCTGCTGCTCCAGTTGCCCACGTTGCCCATGTTGCCCATGTTGCTCATGTCGCCCCTGTTGTCCATCATGCTCCTATTGTTCATCATGCTGTCCATGCTGTGCATGCCCCAGCTCACTACGAAGAGGAACACTATGGTCACCCACAATACCAATTCAAATATGGCGTCCATGATACTCATACCCATGACATCAAGGAACAGGAAGAATCTCGTGATGGTGATGTTGTCAAGGGTCACTACTCTCTGTTGCAACCTGATGGTCGTACCCGCACTGTTCACTACAGTTCTGACAAGCATTCCGGATTCCAGGCTCATGTTGAGTATTCTGGACATGCTGGACATCCAGAGGTTCATCATAAGGCTATTGTTGCTGCTCCAGTTTACAAGGTCCCAGCGTACCCTCATTTTTAAATAATATTTGAGGATTTATCATGGATTTATCATATCACTGTCATAGATTAATCAAGATGAGAAATGTTTATTTTGTTAATTGTGGAGATATTTTTGTATGCTGAATAAAACTCATATTTTTATTTAAAAATTATCAAATTTGTTTATTTTACGCATATTTTCCATATCAAAATTTAAAAAAAAAGAAATATTTATACGATTTTGAGCCAAAGTCAGCATTTACGGTAGGCAACTTTCAAATCAGAGCCTATGAGACTGAGAGTTGAAAGTAAAAGTAGACATCGTCAGATGGCAATACTAAGTCCATGATCAGAAATTAATCTAAAAATCTGTTGATCTGTTGACAGACATATATTTACAAAAAAACTCTGAAGTAAGTATTTCTCACGTGTTTTAGGAAATTTATCGCTATTGTAACGTAATGATTGATTAATTCGGATGAAAACTTGAATTAACACATAAATATATTATAATGAGATTTTAAAAGAAAGTTTTAATAATACTAAAATTTTACAAAGGTATTTTCTTAGATTGCTTTTAAATATTATAAATAAATATTAATAAGAAAAGAAAGAAATAAGTTTGTAGTTTATAACAAAAAATATATTGATATTCAGATCACAGTATGACTATTCACAATATTCATATAATACCACCATAGAAATAATAGTAATAATAATACATTTTACAAAATAATGCAACGTATTCAATTTTGTTCTATCTAACACATATAATACGAATATAATTTATCTATCAATTACTAATAATTTCATTAAACCGCATTAATTAATAGTGGTGATGATGATCATGTTGGTCATGTGTCGCATGTCCATGTTTAGTGACCACCGCGTTGAATCCATTATGATCATCAGCAGTGTAATGCACCACTCGAATAGTACCATCGGGTTCCACAACAGTATATTCTCCTTTGACTACGTCCCCATCGCGTTCTTCATGTTGTGATTTAATATCACCAGTATGGAGATCTTGGACGCCATATTTGAATTCATATTTTGGATGAGCCTAAAAATTAGGTTATAAATACATTAATTTTAAGTTAAAATGTAAAGGAGAATAGTTTTACATGGTAATCCACATGGTGTTCATGGGCATAATCATCAATATCATGAGAAACAATGTGATGGTCATAAATTCCAGCGTTGGCAGCAAAAACAAAAGTAGCAACCAGTAAAATAACCTAAAACATAAAAATTACAGATTCCTTTTTTATTATCTTAAAGCTACTCGATGAGCTATTTATAATATTAATATTTAATAAACACAGAGGGCGCTAGTATTCACATAACTCCATATTTTTATATGTAATATATTTTTTCTTTCAAATAAATTAATTTTAAAAACCAAAAATATAATTTCCTTAAAAGAAGAAGGAAGTAAACTTACTTGTAGTTTAGTCATGATTGTTTACTCTAGGATGTGGATAGAATATTTGAATATTTGAATACTTAATTAATTTCACAACACAAAACACCTTTCCTAGTGTCAAGCAATTGATTTTAATTTACTGCTATTTAATTCACGCACAAAGCAGAAGCAAGTGCAACCAACGAAATAAAAGATTCGACTGATCCAGTTCCGGCGCAAATTTCACTTTTTATACACCTCTTGCACCACACTTCTCCATTGCCATCGCAAGAACCGCACTTCCACTTTTTTTGCGCGTTGTTTCATGAATATGAGGCGCACGACACAAACAACCACTTAAAATACCGAGTGTCACAAATCTTCACTCCTCAACTCATGCTACTTTAGCAATAAAATAAAAACAATATAAACAAAGATTTAAAACACCAGTTGTAAACTTCTTCCTCTTTGAATCTCTTTAGCCGCTTCTCTTTTGTTACATAAGTAACGGTAATAATGCGAGCTCGTTTACGATGGAAAACTAGAACAAAAACACGACGAGACGACGAAACGACGAAACGAAACCGAGGAAAGATTATTATGCAAGTTCACCGCAGGAGGTAATGATAGTGAAATTAAAACATACGCGCCATAAAGACATTTCTTCAGCGCTAGAGATAAACGAAAGTTATCGTAGTGCTATTATTAAGAGATTAATTTAATTGGAAGTTCAAGGCTTTTTCTAAATATAGTTTACTAGTCGTATTATGCATGTTGAGTTATTTATAGCATATAGTAAATGTAACGGCTGAATGAGAATGGAAATAAATGTAAAAATAACATAATTCAATTTACAGCTTGTAAATGTTTAGAGGAAGTGGTTTGTTATGTCATTAATTACTCCTTGGGATTGAAATTGAAGCGAGAAAACGTAAATTATAGGAAATAAGTTAATCAGCTTCCATTGGCAGCTTCATAGTTACGAGTTAAACAGTAGTGTGTTATTTGCATCTCATTATTTTCAAAGTGTTACATCTACAGCGTGAAATTCAGAAAAAAAAATTTAAAAATTAAAAATTTTGTTTTAAAATTGCTTAAGTTAAGTAATTGTTTAATAGTAATTGATTTGATAATAGTTTTGTTTATATTTGCACAGAGTTCAAAATATTGAGACATTAACTTGAACTTGAACCAAATAGCGCGAAATTATTGACTCGATTAGTCGCCGGTGGAGACTGCTTAGCATGCGTTGCGTTTTTATTACATGTTCCGTCCGGCATTGGGTACTTTCAAAAAAAATTTCATAACGCAATTGTAATGCTTCATGTAGCACCGCCACCTTGCCGTCAATCAGTATAAAAGCCTAAGCGATCGCCGTAATCGGTATCAAAACAGTTTCGGTCTGATATCAAGACACATCATCTAACAAACAAGAAACAACATGTATTCTAAAGTAAGAATATCTAGACAACAAAATATACATAGTTATAATTAATTTAATTTGATTAATTTTATTTTTTTTATTATTTTTGTTTTAGATTTTTACTTTTTCGGCCATTTTGGTCTGTGTGAGTGCTGGTGTATATGATCTATATGGTCATGGACATTCAGGTTATGTTGCTCCCATTGCTCATGTTGTACCACTGGCGCATCATCATGGTTATGATCATCATGATCATCATGATTATTATGTAAGTCAATATTCTATTACCTTTTTATTTGTTTTAATAAAAAAAACTAAATTTTAAAATAGGCCCATCCAAAATATGCATTCAAATATGGCGTTGAAGATCACCACACTGGTGACTCCAAATCCCAACATGAGGAACGTGATGGTGATGTTGTCAAAGGTGAATATTCTCTTGTGGAGCCCGATGGCACCATCCGTACTGTCAAGTACACAGCCGATGACCATAATGGATTCAACGCGGTTGTTATCAAGTCGGGACATGCTGTCCACCCAGCTCCAGTTCCAGTTCATCATGCTGTGCATGCTGTACATGCTCCCATCTATGAGTATGCGCATGGACATGATCACTATGGATATCACAAATAATTTTTTGGCAAACTTATACACGGGTGTTATATGAACTGGCAGTATTAGCAACGGATGACTCTATTTTATATTTGTATATATTTATACCTCAATGATGAATTAAATAAATAAATTATTTATATAAAATATATCTGTTTTTTATATTTACACACATGCTTTTTTTACAATTGCGAATATCTCGTAAACTAAAAGAGATAAATAAGATCTGATCGCAGCGTCTTAATCTACTCACTGTTCTCTATCAGATAGGATAGTTAAAACGGAAATCTGAGAGATGAAATTTTAATTCTTAAGAAAAAATTGCCAAGGGGGGGTGCTTGATACTTTTTTTCGACGTTTTTTGATAATTGATATCTCTTAAACTAAAAGCGATAGCAACCAACGAATTGCTGATTATGAAAGACTGGAAAATTCTCTATCAGATAAAAATATAAAATAATTATATTTCCTAGAGTAAAAGGTTGAAAACGCGACAAAAAGTGCTAAAAAGTGACATTTTTCAATTTTTGCCCATTTTTTTCAATCGCGAATATCTCGTAAACTAAAAGAGATAATCAAAATCGGATCGCAGCGTCTTAATCTACGGACTTTTCTCTATAAGATAGACCAGTTAAAGCGGAAGTCTGAGAGATCAAATTTTACTTCTTAAGAAAAAATTTCCAAGGGCGGGTGCTTGATACTTTTTTTCGACGATTTTTGATAATTAATATCTCTTAAACTAAAAACGATAGCAATCAACGAATTGCTGATTATGAAAGACTGGAAAATTCTCTATGTGATAAAAATATATACTAATTATATTTCCTACAGTAAAAGGTTGAAAAACGCGACTAAAAGTGCTAAAAAGTAACATTTTTCAATTTTTGCTCCTTTTTTTCAATCGCGAATATCTCGTATACTAAAAGAGATAAATAGGATCTGATCGCAGCGTCTTAATCTACGGACTATTCTCTATAAGATAGACTAGTTAAAGCGAAAATCTGAGAGATTAAATTTGAATTCTTAAGATAAAATGGCAAAGGGTTAACGAAAATAGACAGCCAACATCACAACAGAACATACAAAATATATAAACACCTTAAATTTAATAAAAATAAAACCAAAGATAAATTCACTTCAATTACAACTTTATTTTATAAAAATAAATATGGCATTTGCACTTGAAATACACAAATGTGAACTTGCGCACAAATTGCACATTGACATGCGTGATGCGTGTATAAATTTCATGATAAAATGGATATGCAAAGAAGGCTTTTTATATCGAGCGTATGAGAGCACGTGAAGTCCGAGATGCATCGCAAGGGTGACGAACGTAGAGACCGATATAGGAGATAAAGATTATACGATAAGTTGAGGTATATATACAAGGAGGGCGTCGCACAGTCCTGGAGATCCAATATTACGTTTTGAGCTTAGTGAAGGTATCCACCATGAGCATAGATAGGAGCAGCATAGTGCACTGGAGCAGCCACAACATGCTTCACCACAGCCGGGTGCACAGCGTGTCCGGAACGGGTCACCACCGCGTTGAAACCATTATGGTCATCGGCGGTGTAATGCACGGTACGGATGGTACCATCGGGTTCAGCAACGGAGTATTCACCTTTGACTACATCACCATCACGTTCCTCATGTTGGGATTTGTTGTCACCAGTATGGTGGTCGGCTACGCCATATTTGAAACCATATTTAGGGTAAGCCTACAAAAAATTAGGTTATGAGAGTGTAAAACGTTATTTTAAGTTTTTAGAAAGATATTTGTGTTTTTGGCATGTTTTGAGGTTAGTTTTAGGTTTAGTTATTGTTAGTTAAGTGATGTTGGTTGCCTATTTGAGGTTAAATCAAGAATTTTTGAAGAAATTAAGTGTTTGAGGTTAGAAAATTTACATGATAGTCCACGGCATGTCCACCATATCCGCCTCCATGACCATACCCGCCTCCATGACCATAGGCAACCACAGCAGGAGCAGCATGGACAATTGGCGCAGCATGAACCACAGGAGCAGCTGCTACTGCTACTACATGAGCGGGTCCTGCATGGAGGTTGGTGTTGGCGTAGCTGGAGGCATGTCCATGGCCATATCCCAAAAGGCCAGCCTGCGCGTAAGCCACGAGAGCACTGATCGCCAAAATCTTTTCCAAAATAAAAAAAAAAACATTTTTTAAAATAAAAATCATTCAAATGATAAAATTATTCTTATTATATACTATTACCTTGGTGAACATGTTGATTTAGTTAATATGGGTCGCAGTGTTGTGTTGTTACTGAAAACCAACTGACTATCCGTCGTTCTGGGCAAGATCTTATATAGTCCGACTGGGCAGCCACGACCACGACCACGAAACGTTCACCACATCGTAATTATTCGATTAAACGCTGAAAAGTCGCAAAAATGCATTCTTTGCCTTGGTGGTGGCAGCACCAACGTAGCGCGCCAACGCAGTCTACTCTACCGCGCCGGCGCACAAAAACGGCGTTCATTTATGGATTAATACACGTGTATGAGTGCAAAACGAGAACGCACATTGTATTGCATGACCCTACCATCAACACAAGAAGAAAACAAGAATAGAACCGCAGAAATACTACGTCGATTGATCTGTTATGCGGCGAACAAAGAAGTCCACCGACAAGAAAATAGAATACGTTTAATTAAAACTAAATTGCTTTCTGCAGATGTAAATATCATAAACGCTGAGGTCGTTTGATTAACGTTTTTCTAATTATCATTAACCTCGAATGCGATGATTTTCTATAATCAAAGATTATAGAAAATTTAATTTGTTACCGTATGCAAATTATGCAAGCACGCAAGTGCTTATTACGCTCTTGCTTCATTGTGATGTCAAATTTAATAGTATTTATTTATTCGAAAAATCTAGAGCAGAGCAAAATATAAACTGTGTATTTCAATAAGTTGGTGCGGATTTATGTTGAAAACTAAATTTTCTTTTAGTAGAACATTTATTAATCTTATATAAGGCGCAAACAACACACAAAAATTTATTATTGTTAGATTATAATGGTATTATGCAAAGTACATTTGTTAGGTTATGTAATTGGTGTACTTGTGGACCAAGTGTAAGGAAGTGTAAAAGTAATCTTGATATGTTTATATAGGAATTGATAAAGGTTTCCAATAGTATCTGATGTTATGGTTTATTAAACACATGATTTTACGAAAAAATGTTTTTGTGTATATTTGCTTGCCTAATCATGATTTTATTATTTTAATAAAATTTGGGTTATAGAATTGGTTAGGATGATGTTTATTTTAATTATTTAGAAGGAAACCTGCAAAAAATATTTAAAAAAGATTTTTTTATGAATTAACCTCAATTTTCACCAATTTTTCCATTTTTCTGACTTAACATTGATGTTAAGACCCATGTCAAATGTTTTTGACGCGAGTTACAACCAAAAATGTAATATTTTATCAATTAAACCAAAAATATCTTCAAAAATCATTGAAAAATCATAAAAATCTAGGTTTAACCTCAAATAGGCAACCAACATGCCTTGTAGGCATTAACCTAACCTCAAAATAACCCCAAAACACAAATATCTTCTTAAAAACTTAAAATATCAGTTTTTTATTTTGAAATTCAGCAATTAAACTAAATAAACATTATAAATTTAATTTTGTTAATTATAATAAAGCATAATTCAAATTCTAAAATGAATTTTAATAACAAAGAAAACTTATATGCGCATAAATTAAGTTGTCGCAATATAACACAAGAAACTGCCTCAATTTATCCTCAAGCTTAAACTATATTCTTAAAGTTGTTAGCGATGAAAAGACCAGCAATTCAAACAATGCGTTTAATGCATGAAACCAATTTGCTACGCGAAACACGATAAATAAACTCGTAACTCTTGACGCGCCACGCTTTTATTAAGCTACAATATAGAATATTATTATATTAACTCATGCAGACGGTGAACGTTATACTTATACTTTAGTAAATTATATCTTGAATTGTTCGCCTCGGACATAGGAAATCTATATATTGAAATTTCCATTAATAATTTTATTGGAAAAATGATTCATGTCAGCGTTTGCGAAATTTTATGCGCCCGCTGCGAGTGGTCGACTTCGGTCAAGCGATAATAATAAATGACAAAGCCGGTGTGGTGATTACGTAATGCCGGTCTGCGCGGAATGTCCGCACACGAAATTAAATACGAAGTCATCGAAGTCGAAACGATTTAATGCACACGCCGAATTCGACGCAAGCGCGGAATGCATATGCACGCGAGACACTTTCAATTTGAGCGCATTTTTCGCGTGCACTTCCGCATGCTCATTTTGAATGCGAGTTGCGGTTTTGCTGGTGAGCTACAACTGTGTTCTATATAGGTAGAAGTATTGAGTACGTAAGTACCTACCGATATTGGGTATGGATTAAGCAGAGTTGAAGTTTTCGAGTTGTGGAGTGTAGAGTTAACTATGGTCTAACTATCACTTGTTAATTCTGTGAGTGTTTGTGTTAGAAGTTAGAGAGTTCAATGGTGTGGAAAAAAATCTTGCGGTGAAGTCCTATGTTACATAATTTTAGTACGACAGTAAAGCTAAAATCAGTTTTGTCGTTTTTTTGTAGGTGAATAACGTGGGGGAGAGTAGAGGTTGCTAGGCAGCGAAGTAGTTGCTAAGCAACGAAATAAACAAAGGGGTCGTCAGGTAGTGGGGCTTATCAGTATTTGCAAATTCTTTTTATTCACTAAACTAAACTAAAACTAAAATCAGTTTTTTTCAGTTTTGTTCGTGATTAACGAGGGGGAGAGTAAACGTTACTAAGCAACGAAGTGGTTGCCAAGCAACGAAACAAACAAAGGGGTCGACAGATAGTAAGATTAATACTAAAGATCACAATTTTACAAAACCTTTGTATTCAGTTAGAAAAATAAGTTTGCGGTGTTAAGATGTGAATAACTAAAGAACTTCTGATCCGATTTTTAAAATATTTGATTTATTGGGTTTGTTTTTTCCACAACTATCAAAATATTTATTACAACACAAGAAAAAACTAATTTTTAATTAGATTTTTTTGTTTAAATTTAAAAATTTACATTTTTTGTAATAATTACACATTTTAATTACCTTATCTTATTAATTAATCTTTTACTATTGAAACCACCGAATTAATCGAAGTGCACTCAACCATAACAATTAATGACGAATGTAGACCACCATAATACACACGGGTGAGATTGCGATTTTATCAAATTAATTTTTGCGCAAGCGCAGCAATTATTACCGTCCAAACATTATTTTATTAAAATTTCCTAACTTTGTCCAACGTAGGCCGGCACGAGACATAGGTAAGTTATAAAATAAAACTCATACAACATATGGAGTGCGGTTGTGCAAGTCTTAAAGTTGTTGTTTTGTTGTTGACGGCACTGAAAAAATGTCATTTGATTTATGGCCAACTGCAAAACAGCGGATACCGCAAATTATGTCTGCAGCTAATTCACATTTAACCAGTCTACAATTTGCGAAAAATCAAAAATATTTTACGCTAAATTTTATTCAAGGTTGTTTATTTGCGTGCGCTTATCATTAGCTGTCGTAATTATGCAAATAATCGACTTGATTTCATTATCGGCGTGTTTCGGTCAAGTAATACATTCGTATAATTTGCTCTCGATAACTTAATATTGCAATTCAGCAGGAATTTCGTTGCGTTTGATATTTAGAATAGTTAATCACACATTGCACGCTTGATTGCCTATCTATCAGGTGCAAAACTAACCTTAAAATCCAAAAATTTAATATTTATCATCTAAAATAACTTGTAATGTAACAAAATAATATTATTACGTTATTTCGGTTTGTGTAACACACCCAAATGATTACCGCTCGTATTATCAAGCAGTTAAAGTCTTTTTAGAGATTTTGCAATTGTGGTCAAACACGAATAAATAGATTTATGATTGCCGGCATTCGGCAAAGTACCTACACCTATGTTTTTCTTTTCTTTCTTTGCTCGCATCGTGTTTTGGTATATTCGTAACGACGACACGCTCTAATTATTTCCAGATATATCAGGCAGAAAATTTTAAGCGTGCGAGCATTATTACGTCTTAAGAGCTGAGTTTATTTGACATGCGCACAAAATACGCATAAATCCAAAGCCACAAATCACACGCAAGTATTATTTTATTACAATGCAATGAATGAATGAATGATTATTATTAATAATGCATGATGTAACAATATATTATAAATAATTATAAGTACACTAATCATAATTCAATAACACACATGAACGAACAACGCAATATAAATTCTATAAGTATAAATATAAATAACTTGATAAAATATCTTTTTAAATATGTACAAAATAAGAAGATCTCTGAAATATAACTAAATTATTGTTTAAAAACATACTTAACATTATTTAACATATACATCAATCGAACACAGAGCATGAGACAGTGGGAAAATCATTTGGCATTGCGTATTTATCGTCTTTTGTTTATAAACCAGTCATTTTGTGTGTGTTTGTAATTTTTGTGTTAATGTAGTCCTTTATAACCCAAAAGGTGTAATGGAGCATGAACTGGTGCTGGTGCTACGTGTACAGGTGGTGCAGCTGGATGGATTGCATGACCAGATCTTGATACCACAGCGTTGAAACCGTTATGGTCATCGGCGGTGTAATGCACCGTACGGAGAGTACCATCGGGTTCTAGGACGGAATATTCACCTTTGACTACGTCGCCATCGCGTTCTTCATGTTGGGATTTGTGATCGCCAGTGTGATGATCTTCGACGCCATATTTGAATGCATATTTTGGGTACGCCTACAATTTTATTTATATTTTTTAATTAACGTTGTTTTTGCCGTTTTTTAATTTTGTTTCTTACCACATAATCTACAACATGTGCAGCTTTTACTGGTGCAGGTTTGACGACGGCAATGGGAGCAGCGTAGGCATGCGCAGCGTAGAGTGGTCCCGTAGCTGGTCCCGGAAACCCATGGCCGCCTGGGAGCAGGCCCGCCTTCGCGTCCGCCAACAGCGCCAACGTTACAAACACCAATATCTAACAACCGATAAACGTTTTATTTTTTATTTATTTTCAGATTTGTCAACTAAACTAGTTGGTTGAAATGTGTTGAAAGATTTCTTCTTTGTGTTGAGCCCTACCTTTGTAAACATTATGCAACAACAATCACGGTTTGTTACGCTGAGAGTCACCGGATGAAACTGGCCCTAGACGCTGCACCAAACATCTTTTATATGCCAGCATTCGAGTGCATTTGGCGAATAAATTCATCCCAGCGAAATTCGTACGTTCACCAATATATACTGACTGTTAGAAAAAATTCAATCAAAAAATCCGAAACAAAATTAAAAAATTGAAAAAATTGCAGGATACTATGCATAATCGTATAATTTATCTCATAACATAATATATCACCAAAAGTAAATAATTTATTGATAAATTTATTAATTTTTAAACAAAAGGTTGAAAAAATTATTTTAAAAGACAAAAAATTCAAAAATAAGATTTTTTTTGAAGTTACCATAATATTTTAGTGTAAATTATTATGTGATGAGTTTAATTGATAAGATACTGTATACATTCGCTAATGTGTGTAATGTGGAAGTACGCGGTGATAGTATAAGTAATTACGCCATAAAAGTAATCTATTTGCGCGCTCGCAGTGACTTCGATTAGGTTGGCAATCGCTGGGAAAAACTTCCATCGAGTACTTAGGAGTAAAATCCGGGCCAACGCTTTTTACTTTATTCGTGGTCGTGTCAATACACAAGTACGCCATGTAATACCTCCTCGTACTCGTACTCTCGCTGCAACAGCAACAGCACCGTAGCTGTTGAAATATGACTGTAGATGCATTAGATCCAGATTGAAATGTTTATTGCGTACTTGTTTTGATTTTTAGCGAACACGTGCAAATATAGCAATAAACGTACAAAATATTAAAATTTATTGCAAAAGTAGAGAAAAATTGAGGTTAGATTATGTTGATTACCGGTTGAGGTTAGAATTTTCGTATTTTAGCAGGGAGATAAGACTCTTGCCTTGAAAGTAACAATTAATTCGAATTATTTAAATCTTGCGTGACTAAACGCAGTAATATGGGTAACGTTATGGTTAGTTTAAAGTTTAACGCTGTTTAATTTGAATAAACACTCGAAACCGACATTTGGTTACGCACAAATGCGTTTTCTGTAAATACCTACGTTTAGTAATTACGTGAATTTCAAGTGGATAACAAAACTTGAAAATTGAATGTTGAAGTAATTCATTATTACTTCATTACAGAATTACTTCACATTCACCTTGTATTAATTAGTTAAAATTTAAATTATTTAGTCAAATGTTTTTTTCTGAACTAATTTCAATTTATATTTGAATATTTAACATAAAAACATCGTCAAAACGTCAAAATAATAATAATTTTAAAGAAAAAATCAGTTTGGTTGAATAAAACTATCAAAAAAGCAGAAAAAATAGAAAAGTACTAAAACTGCGCCATCTATACGCAAGTAAAGTCATTTGTTGTACTAGCAGCAATGTATGCAACCCACATGTATAACCCAACTTTCCGCACTCGAAATACCACACAAAAAGATGTATTTCTAAGCTGGTAGGCGTAAAAAGAGTGTTTGGTGTTACAACAGCACATGCGTGCTTTACAGTCGTACCGAATTCAGATCAGGGTGTGGCGCATAATGCGACGTAATCCAATGTAACTGTACCGAGCGCATTTGCAGCTAGTGCAATTCCGAATGAAGCTGCATCACGAGCGCACACAACATTCGCATTCGAATTCGACGTGGCTTTTGCACTTACTCCTTGTTACAAATAATTGAATTCCTCGTTGAACAAAGTCTAGACTTGTAGGAGATGTAATTTGGTAGGACCTGTATCCATGCTCATTATTTCCACTGAACGTGCTCATTCCTAGTGCGCATACGTTACTTTACTTTCACTCTCGACGACCAAATGTACGTTGAATGTTTTGTTTTTAAATTGTGTTCAGAGCCAAAACAAAACAAGAAAAACAAAAATTTTAAATTTTAAAAGTTTTTAATTTAAAGTAATTAATATAGATTAGTAGTGATTTTTGAGACAATTTTATTATTTACTATTAATTTATTTAAAATTTTGCATACTAATGTTTCGTAATTGAAAGTTATTAGCAATGAAACCAATAACTTCATGTACCTACAACAATAGTGCTCTTACATTAATGCCAATTAAATTTTATATCGATTTTACAACCATTCACATTTTACTGCATCATGAAAACTGCACTTTTACTCTACTTAACCTCAAATCAAATAATCTAAGTAATTGTAAAACGAATCTAAGTCATGCGGAAAAGTCTCATTTCGTAAAACGAATAAAAGACAATGCGCAAGGTCGTTCCGTGGCTTTGTAATTCATCATTTTTCATCCGGTCTGCGAAAGTAACAGTAACAGTATTACACTTAAGTAACTGAATCACTAGGTTAACTTAACTTACTCAATAACTTAATAAAAATGCATGCAAATAATTACAATTTGTATAAAATTTTGTTACATATTCGTTGCGTGCGTCTAAAACTCTAAAATTCTAAACTTTTCAACTTGTGTGCATGCAAATGCCTATTTTGTAAACATCGTCAGTTCTGAGCATTGTGCGCATGTAAAACACAATTGGGTAAAAGTCGTATCACTCGTCTTACGAGCACTTGACTTCCGCTACTGTTGAACATGAAAGCACGTTCGTAACCGGCAGCCGTCAACATTGCTTCATTTGTCAGTGAATTAATTTACATGGCTATAAACTTGCCACATCAATACCATCTTAATTAGACGTCTTGTGTTACATTAAAATTGATTGCAATTTGGAGCACTACTATAGACATTTTATTTGTAATCAAATAAGAGATATATTTACATGTGTTACATAACTTTCTTTTCTTTCTGACTTAGCATTTGTATTTCTTAAGTAAATTCTAAACTCTTTTCTTGAAAATATATTGCAGGTCGACACGAAACGCAAAACACGCCGTGAATTACATTTTTGCCGCTGTTTGTTTACGTGCGCAGCGCGAAACTATTTTATCTCGGTGCGCAAAGAAGCATTTAGCTTCGTACTTAGTTAATTTTAATTTGCAAGCGCTTTTTGCGGCGGCATTGCGCCGAATTGCGAAAGCTTTAAATATGTGCATTATTAACATTATTCGCTTGCAAAATAACGAGCTGTTGGGGAATAACGACATTGGTCATTGTAAATTATATCGTTGTTCGCGCGCGCTGCAATGATATGTTCTAAATATCTAAATAAGTAAAATTGTTTCACACCACACGCCGCAATTAAGTAGTGCTTTCGTCACTGCGTGTTCTCTTATTAAAATTAAATTCATCCAGGTACCAGAAACTGTCTTCTGAGTATGGTTGACGACAACAATGCTCCTCACAAAGCTCTACTCTATATGGATTACTATAAATAAATAAATAATAATACGTAGTATTATTGAATATTGTTTAAACTTGTGTTTATTCAATTAATACTTACGTTTTATCTTCAGAACCGATACAATTGTATGCGTCGTCGCAAACATTACAAATGTGTTGCGTTTTTACAACTAAAAGTCATTAACATATCCAACAATTGAACAAGAAGTATAAAAATACTTACTTTTAATTAAAATTATTAATATAATTAGGAAAAATATATTTATATGCTTCATTATAGTTGTTGTGCACTTTGAGGTTGTACAATCAACGAAACTCGTGTAACTTATGCGGAGAAAACAGGAATTCAGTGCGCAAAAACGTGACAAACTTTGTAATTACATTAAATTAACGTAAAGTACACGTACGTGTTTTTATAACGCTTGTTTTCATACATTTCACACATTTTCTACTTTAATTTTATTTTGTATACGCTAGCATAACTTTGGTTATGTTTGGTGTGACTTAGACCGTCGGTGGGAGGTTAGTTTTGTCCCCAACACGTTGATTATAAACATATTCATCTAAATAATAAAACATATTTGCCATTGTGTCTTCTACATAAGGACAGCATCGGGATTCACATAACTTGATTATCATACTAGTTCTAAAAATAAATTATTTTTAATAATTTGTTCAAAATTTATAATAATTTATTTAATTAATGTATCTTACCTTCGACGTTTGGTTGGTGATGATTGACAAGTGTAAAGATCCATACATAGATTGCAAATGTGTTGCGAATAAGTATCTGAAACATGATGAGAAAATAATTGAACCACAAGGATTTAAAACGATGATAGTTGATTCACGATCGATTAAATTGCAATCAAATGCATTTTAGACGTTTTTCTGCCGGCAACCTTCGCAAAACACTTTAATTTAACGAATATCTAATACTTACGGTGAATTAGTGCTAAACACAGTAATAATAAATTTATTACAATTAATTTCATGATGATGCTCTGCGAAATCGTTTAATATTGAAGCTACGAATGAATATTTTGCTAAAATCTTTATTAAAACAATAAAATAAGTGTTTTTTTTTGCTATGTTGGTTTAGTATTGCAAAAATAAAACATTTAAACAATTTTGATGAAATTTACAACAAAAATTGCGATATAGACGTAAAATATTTGTGTTTATTGAAGTAAACAAATTTTATCTACAGAATATTTTAGTTTTAATATCGCTGTCGCCACCTGACGACGAATATCTTAACTAAACTTATAAATTGTTTACTTAGGTTTGTAAATTTTTGTTAAACACTCCAAACTACATTTTATATGTTCCAGTTACACCTACACTGTTATCAATTCATTATCTTAGTTATTTAATATTCCTACGACTGTGGTTAAACATTAAGTCATATTTTTGGAAACTACGCGTTGAAAAGTGTAAATTTGGGAGTAACGTAAGTAAAGTACGAGTAATGTAACTAGATATTAATTTTTAATAAGTAATAATTCACAGATCTCTAGATTCAAGATTATTAATTTCATCCAAATAGTAAAATCCGCTTTCTAAGTATGGGCAGCATTGTCTTTCGCAGAGTTCATTCTTATCCGTTCGCCTAAAAACAACAAAAATGATAAAATTACACAAAAATAATATAAAAATATAAAATATAGTACTTACCATCGATCTGTTTCTTTGGTGCATTTGTAGACATCCATACAGACGTTGCAAATATGCTGAGCATCTATAACTACATTAAAACATGGATTAAAACACTAAAAGGTTTAATTAACCTCATAAAACCTACCATTTCGTGGAGTAAGAACACTGGAGAACAAAATCAAACACAAAAATACGTTTAGTTTGGTTTGTGGAATCATCTCTGCGCGATAAAAGTGGCACGAAATGCCAGACTTTGTTGAAGTCGGAATACAAGTATACTCAACGTGTCTGTTATTGTATTGTTCTACATTTGCGACACTTTCTCAAGGTAAGATGTAAATTAATTACTTATGTTTACTTGAATTTGTTGATTTAATAACATTATTGGAATACACGTTAAGAAAAAAATATTTATTTTATAAAATAATAAAATAAAAAAAGCAATTTACATAGAAATTAAAAACAGTGATTAAAAATTAACTTAAAATAATAAATTAAACATTTAATACGAGGATTCTCTATTAATATCATTTAAATACCAAATACTGTATTCATAATATGGACAACATTTTGTTTCACAAATTTCTAGTCTATTTGTTCGCCTAAAAAATGTAAAAAACAAAAAAATACAAATTTTAGTAGAAAAATTTATTTGTTTTTACTTACGTGTGATCATTTGGTTCTGTACATTTATAAACATCCATACACACAGCACAAATATGCTGACCTATTAAAATACACAATAAAATAACAATATTTTCACTAGTTTCCAATTTTATAACTTACAATTTACAAAAACCAAAGAAAAAGTAAAACTCAGCACGTAAACTGTAAGAAAACTCAATTTTAACATATTATAATCGTTTTACTCTTCAACAAGTCTAGTAAGCAAATCAAGTATATAAAGGAATTACTCACGTCATAAATTCTATAAAAACACATATTTGACTTTCGTACAATAATAAATATTAAATACAACTCCTGATAACTTGATATTTATTCTATACGAAATAATATAACATACAATAATCAACAATTCAATTAAAATAACTTAACAATAACATTGCACAAATCCTCATAAATTCAATAAATTATCAAACTTAACAAAAACTTTTAATATTAAAATATTAATACAATTAATAATCTTCTGTATTATAAGAAACATGCTTTCTATACCTCAAACTGTTTTTCTTATTTTTCCCAGCAGAAAACTGAACAATCCTGTCTTTATCCATCCGCTTCGGGAAGATAACAGGTCCTCGTAAATGTGGCCTGTGTGAATCACTCGCATACGTCTTCAAACCCGGCGTAGTAATCGGTTTCTTATTCGTAGTGAAAGTATTGGGAATATTTGGTAAGGCCTCTTGTCCTTTACTCTTCGGTACAGGTTTGAATCCGGTTTCAATTTCCGGCTCGACAAAGCCTCCTTGCTTATAATTATCGAAATCGTACTGCGTTAAATCAATCGTTACCGGCGTCAACAAATCGTAACTAATTGGCTGCTCATGTTGACTATGCTTAATCTTCAAATTCGGTTGAATTGAAGTATAAGTAGATTTGTGGTTATGTGGTACATCATGGCCGTCATAATTCACAAAATGTTGATATTTATCATCCGATACCAACTCATACTGATGATTTTTTGTGTTGTGATGTGATGGAATGTATAAATACGCATCAATCGCTTCCATTTCCGGTTCCGGTTCAATATTAACACTTTGTGTATCCAAAGATGGCTGCTCTTCAATGATAGGTTTCGGTGTGGTGTAAGTAAATTTATTAATCTTTGATTTTGATTTATTAGGAGCTGGAGACGTCGCAAAATATGAATCGGTTTGTAGCGTATGACTCGACGGTATTGTCACAGGATGATAAGAAGGTCCTTCATGTTTAACCACGGCGTTGAATCCATTTTTTTCATCGGCTGTGTAATGCACAATGCGCAGCGATCCATCGGGTTCCAAGACTGTGTAATGACCGTGAATCGTGTCTCCGACCTTTTTCTCCCATTGGTTCTTCACGTCGCCGGTGTTGAGATCTTTAACGCCATAACTAAACGTGTAATCTTGGCGTTCCTACAAAGAAGTTAATTTTATTGAGTTATCTAGGTAAACGATGCGTTTCTATTACAAACATGGCATAACTTTCTTTCGACTCGATAAACCACGACAAATATCCATCGGAAGCTTTCAAATTTCGTCGGTTAATTAAATTATTATCAATCGAATGAAAATAAGAACTCTCACTTCATAAATATTATCAAAGTTAAACAGATTAGTGTTGTTGAGTTATTAACGATTGAAAGTGGTACTCTTGGAATTTAAATTAGCAATTGGTTTAATCGCCCAATTGAATACTTTGAGCATTTGCCATCTGTTGTTTATGGGCGATGAGGAACACGCGAGCTGTTTGTCCGCGCACGTTTGTAATTTAACTACCGTTTACTTTCCATTTTTAATTTTTGTTTTCTGCGGCATCTCCGCACGTGGATTTCGCTTCTCGTGTGCGAGTATGAGAGTATGAGTACTTGTGCATTGGACACGCGCTAAATTTTCTAGAAACTTACGTGCTCCCAAACTGGTATCGCATCTGGGCGGTATTTTCCATCATTGTCATCGTGTTCTTGAGCAGATATCACACTCAATATACTTAAGATAACAAAACATCTCTACAAAAATTATTAAAAGTATTAAAAATGTATAAAAACATAAAAAAACTTAAATTTTACCTTAAAATACATTTTTTCTTCTTTTTTGCCAAATTGACCTTGGCTTTGTCCTTGAAAACGTTGTTTTTATTAAACCACACAACTGTTTTCTAATTTCTAATTTTTAATTTATTATTGACTAGAAATATTGCACGCAAAGCACTAAATCAATATTCGAATGATTCATTAAGTTAATAAAAGTTTTGTCACGTTGTCAATTTCTACAGAGATGAATGCGCGTCTTGTCTGCGCCTACTTTCACGAAGAACTAAACGCCGGCTGGGATGATACCAAACTATTTATGGTCTACCCGCGGACTAATGGATACCTGTTTTATATCTTCCAATATACGCCAAATTAAGAAGCTAATGATGAAGACTGCTGGCGGCCGGACTAGGCCTGCTAAGAATACGCACATTAAATAAACTTTCTTTTCAATCTTCTAAATCTGAAATACAGAAATATTCGATTAAAACTAACTGTTTTAACCACATAGTTATACAGTTAAAATTAGTTTGCACGTGTGGTAAGTTTTTCTTAAATATGAAAGAGAGTTAGGTGATAGAATAATCAATTTTTTAAATTGATTTATTTTTAGCTAAACTCTAAACTCTGTCGGTTGATTTTGAAAGGTAAAATATTATAAAGTTACAGATTTCTGTCGAGTAGCTCCTACTTTAGTTTACTTTCCTTTCTCTTTTCTTACAGATTACTTTAACCAACTTTAGTTTTACGCTACTTACTTTAAATAGCTCATCCTTTCTATAGGTGGCACTAGTTTACATTTATTTATTTCTAAATTATAAACAATTGAGCTTTGTATATTGCATTTTGTTACAAATCAAATCTACACTAAATTAAAATTAGGAATTGACCTTTTCAAACAAAACTTTATTCCAAAATGCCAACACAATTAACAGCAGTACAATAAATCATATACAACATATATTTTTACGCGCTGTTGACTCTTGCTTGCATTTCCTAGTTTCGCTCCGACGGTAAATTCGGATAGAACTCCTTGGGTCGAAATAAATCCGGCGTGATTAGACTGACAGGCTCGGCGAGACGAATTGGCGTACGGTAGTGATACGGAAAACGTAGATGGCCTAAATCGTTACCAGCTACAACCAAACAAAAATTAAATACACAACAATTCAACCACAATCCATAAGGTTACTGGTTCACATTTGAAAAAATCTATACACAATATTGGGTGTGTCATTGATTTATCATATGCAGCATTAAAAAAAGTGTGAAAAAAGTGTTTAGAATTAAGATATTTAAATATTTAATTTGTTTTTTTGTTTCTTGAATTGTTTCTTTGAACAATAGTTGTTTGTTTACCTGGTGGTCGGCGATATTGAACGAAAGCTTTGAACCCGTGTCCTCCATCGACGTGGTACTCAACGACACGGACTTTTCCGTTCGGATCTAACATGCTATAACCGCCGGTGACCACGGAACCGTGTCGCTTCTCCCAGTGATGGGTCACGATACCATATTCGGGTTTTTGTATTGAATAACTATATGAATAATCATCTACCTAAAATAAATTTAAAAAAATAAAAATAAAAAATGAAATTTTAATAATTTTAATACAAACATTATTCGTGCGACATCCAACACTTAATAATTGATTTAATCCAATTGTAATAATCTGTAATTAAAATCTCAATCAATTATTTATTCAACAAAAACAATAAAATAATCATTTTAAAAATAAATACAAATTAAAGCGTGTTTAGTTTGCCTAAATTGATTTAAAGTTCAATGCCCATACATAGGACAATAGAGCAATTACGCAACCACCATAATTTGATTTAAAATTGTCCCGGAGTGCCATCATGAGAAATACTTGGTTGTATTCGACTGCCCATCGGTGTCAATGTCGAGCACAGCGTAACACGTTGTCATTCTCATTCTAACCATCCCGCCAAACGCGATAATAACTCAATCACCTTTGCATTGTTGCATTCTAACGCTGCTCATCAACTTCACAATAAAAAACAAACACACATAAATACACATAAAAATCGTGTCATTCATTGCTGCGGGTCGTAGGTAATAATACTAGATACAAACATTGTTTAAGCAAATAAATAAAACATGCTGGTACTCTAATTACGCATTACTCTACTTGGTACTTAACTAGTTTAATTACAAGCATTAGTTCTTATTGGCGTATACATTGCAGATGGTCTTTAAAGTGTAGAATTTGATGGGTTAGAAGTGCAGAGAGATCGAATCTGATCGTGCGGTGGGAGGATCACCTTCATCGGCGGTATTGCTATAATCGTACGCGTTTAATTACAAAATTACAACTGTGACGCGTCACGTATCCAGGTTGACTCGGCCGTAAATAGTGAGTGCAAACACGCAGAGGTATAAAGATGTTCGTGATGTATTTAACGCACTGAGACGGAGAAAATGCTAAATGCGGAAAGTTAATGATTTTGATTGAGTTTGAAATTAACACTATATAATATTTATATTTTAAGGAATTATATTTTGATTAGATTTACTTGAAAAAATAGCATAAAAAATTAGAAAAATTAAAATTTTGCATTTTTAGTCATATTTTTACGCCAAAAACTAGTTTATGTTATTTTCCAAAGTCTAAAATATCTCTAAATCAAATTTTATCAAAATTTGTTTATTGGTTTATGCGCGAAAGCGTAACAAACAAACAAAAACACACATTTACATATATAAAATGAGTTATGACTTTACTGTTTAAATAATGGCATAGAATATTATTTAATTACTCTAATAAAATATCAAATAAGGCATGTTTTATGACATTGTTCTTAAAATTGACATAAATCTTCTTTAAATAAAATATTTCAGACATTTCTCAATCAAAAAGTCTTCTAAAAGACACTTAATACACGAAATATTTATATATTAAACCATTGCAATATCTAAATTTTAATTACAGTGTACTTTGATGCACTGATACTCAAATAATTGAAAGTTGTAGATAATAATTAGAAAACGTGCTCATACCGCGCTCCAGTTTCGTGACAAACCAAGAAGCTTCGCATCAGAAACGTGCCTTACAGTTTCCATTAATGTAATAATATGTAACATCAACATCCAACGCAATCAATGCATCAATACTATTCGATTGTGCAACAATATTGACACAGAGTAGCACACTGTTAGTTCCTAATATCGTTATAATAAATTAAATGTCTATGAGTATTAAAATACCAAGTGGTACTGGTGTTATGATGCGACTAGTATAACAATTATCTGTAACCAAATAAGGCGCACGTCTGAAGATCAACGTCTGAAGATTAGCAACTTATAGATATTTGTACCAATTCTAACAACATAGATTAGATAATCAACTACATATAGACTCATAGACATAAATGGTTAATTTCATTAAGTCGGGAAGTAAGAGTAGGTACACTATTCTGATTTATACACATTAATTCTGTGTCAAATGTAATAACAAAAATAATAGACCAAGAGCCAGTGACGGCCAGACTTTCGTCATTTTAGGAAAGATGAAATTTTGTCCATGTGTTTCTCCAGCACAGGTAAGAACGATCCCAAATTATGAAACCTGGATCGTGGTTCCTTTGACAGTTAACAGCCAACAAAGATGTACACATGATGACCTATGTTTCGTTATTTTAGCAAAATGTCACATTATTATAACATGCGCTGCTCATTGCCAGTTAACCTTAGCCAGACACCCCTCAAGTATATTATATTTTAACTTTTTTACTTTCGTTATATTAGGAAAGCATTATACAGAGAGTCCAGCACGCCAGACAGTTTGGTCGGTTCTATCATCCTGCCAGACGCATTGAAAGTGTATAAGAGTTGCAAAAATTGAATTGTTTATACATGAAATTTTCGCATAATAGTAATTTTATTTCAACAAATATTTAATAATAATCCATATACAACATATATGATTCGCTCGCAAAAATTGTTGAAGTAGCTCACTCTTGCAAGGTGGTAAGCTGCTAGCATCAAACTATTCTGATTTATAGCAGGCGATATTAACGATCAAACATCGGACTGGAGTTGCAGTGATGGCGAAAATGGAGATATCGATAACAAAATTTCATGTATAAACTTAAACTAAATTAAATTAATTTTAATTTACAAAATTAAATACTTACGAATATTATTGTGACAGTGTTACGTAGGTGAAACATTTGCGTAGAACTATGTAACGTTTTGTTTGGTTGTTTAATTGCAAATAAATAGAATAATTTATTTTAGTTGTTTTACTCTAATTTAATTGGTGATAAATTTAGCATATGAATTACACTTGATTAACATTTTCGCACATTTGTTTACACCGCGTTGTACGCTACATGTATGGCTCGTTGCACTTGTAATCGTAATCTGAAGACGCGAATGAGACGGCGAGGCGGCGATGATGCCGGAGGATTCGCCTGAATTCGAAGCACCGTCTTCGTGCATGTGGCAATAATAAAAGTTGCTTCAATTCACATCTTCTCTGCTCGCGCACAGCTCGTGCGAGGTGATGAGGCTTTTGTAAATGTATACCACAACTAAATATACACATTGTTTTCTTATCAAAAAAATTAAAATTTCACATTAAAACCATTAAAATAGTGTAAAATTGAGGTTATGGTTAAAACTAACCTTAAAATTTGGTTATTTTCAAAGTAAAAGATTAAAATATATTTTTGGTTATGTTTTTATAATGAATACTTTGAACAAAGTGTATTTTGACATTCATTATTATTGGTACGTGCTAACTTAAACTTGTTGCATTGCAAGCGGGCAGAAGAAGCGCGATTATGTAATTACAAAATCTATGGCGTGCAGGTTGGCCTCCCGAGCGCAATTTGTTACCTTTTTTTAATGTTTATCAGCGGCGTTCTTTTACATTCTAAAACGCCCATAAACTAAAAACTTATGTCATTTATTCATCACTTATTTTTTAATTTCCAAATAAATTAAAAAATCAAACAAATTTAATAAAATTGCTCCAATTATAATTGAATTCGCTAGGAATTCGCCTGAATTTAAGATTGAGTGCAACAAAAGTGACGGATTGCATTCATGCAGTGAGGAAAAAGCAAATAATACCGTCAGTCGTCCGCAAACGACGTTATGTAAGTAATTACAGCCTAATTATTAATTGAATTAAAGCGTTATAAAGATTGTGTACTCTTGATAAAATGCGCTTGTTGCAATCGTTGCAAAATAAACACACAACACTACAACGTGCTTTACACTTTCTTCTTCCTGCTTTCAAATGCATTCAAAACACAAATGATAGATATTTACTCGTTTAAAAATCACAGATTTTAATCGCAAAATTAAATATGTTACAATAAAATTACAATAAATTAAAAAAAAAATGCATAAAAATAAATTTTAGAATTAAACATTTTAAAATCATAATATTTTAATTATTGCGCACGCTTGGCTCAGTTTCAATCCGTCAGGTCGCAATCCAGTGATTAACATAATGAAAAGCAGCGCGCTTGAGGTTGAAATCGCGCCGCCGAAGATCGTGCACCTTTCATTTTCTTCTTTCGGTTTTTATTACCACTCTGCCTGCGATTGCTACGAATATATCAACATAATGCGCATCGTGCACTGCGCAGTAACCTTGTCGTTTTGAATTTTCTTTTGCATTTTTAATCATTCATCTCGTCTTGTTGATGAGTGCCACAGGCTGAATGAAGCAACAACGTCTCCACATGCGACTTACTTGTAAATGTATCTAAACGAGTTGTTATGTTATGAGCATATTAATTAATTATTGCAAAGGACAGATTTATGATCGCTTTATAAATTTTCTTGGGTAATAACAAGCACCAAAGACAGAAGACGCTCGTAAGTCAATTGATATGCGTGTGTTTTAATAAGTCGCTTGAATATTCAATATTCAATAGAAAACAATTTATTATGATGTGTGTTTGATGGATCGTGATGTTGTAAATGTTAACATAATTGAAAACAAAAAATGTGTAAAAATGGTGAATTGCGGTTTGTTGAGATTTTATTTTAATTACTTTTAATATTAGGTAATTATGCTTAAAATGTATTAAAATGCATTAAAAAGTAATTATTGGTTGAGGACGACACGAATAGGGCCAGAATGCCAGACCATGAGCCACATTTGTTTGATTGGCCTACATATTTCTATTTGTGTTTGTTTTATGATGTTTTATTGTTGTTAGTAGATAAGTATTTGATAAATAATATAATTTCACATGTGTGGAAAAATATATAGCGTATTATTAAACTATATTGAATATATAAAAGTATATTAAGTATTAGGTAGCTAAACGGGAGGTTTTGTCACACCCCGTGACTAAAACCTGTGTCTAAAGTACTTTAGTCACAATTTTGACCATCTGTGATTAAATTGTCACTTTTTGTGTCTCAAAACCTTAGAAAAAATGGTACTTAAAGCTGAAAAATAGAGAAAATAACTTTACGTCGTTTATTTTTATTTTAATCAACAAATACAAGAAAAAAATATGGTTTATATGTATAATGATAATAAATGTATGAAATGCGATACATGATTTATGCGAGAATGCCTGTGATATGTTGCAATTGGAAATTGAATGATTGCAATGAGGAAAATTAAAGGCGTCAACCAAGAAACATAACACAGAAAATACTCAGTGAAATTGCTGCATAATCATCTGTTCTGCAAAACATATTTTTATGTCTATCAAGTTAATATAAATGTCATCACCTTCAGAATATACTTATTTCGTTTTATAAAGAAATGTTATTTAATTCTCGATTTGTTTAAATTTAAACTGAATGAATTGATGTGAAGATAAATGATGAGTAAATAACCATCGTATAACTTTATAACCTGAATCATTTTGTTTGTTCGCATTTAAAAAACGTGAGTTTACGCAAATTGTTGAGAAAGGCGCAGAAATTGGTTCACACTCTGGTTTATTAATTTTTTTAGCTTTCAATATGCACGTCAGAATGATTACACGATTTTTTCGATACTTATGATGCTGAGAGAAATGTTTATGGCGTAATCATAATCTATGTGATTGTATACTTCACTGTATACATTTCATCATACTCGATATAATCGGACTTTCATCTGATGCAGCATGCGAATACAGTTCAGCATATATTATGGTTATACACCTACAAATGTAGAAACAGATTGATATAGAAATAGAAGAGTTGATTGAGAGACAACGGAGCAACAAGTCAATAAAAGCGATAAATCAAATCATCTTCGGAAAGTAAAAGTATGCGTAGATATGTTTGATATTCTTGGTGAAATATTAATTAGTTTCTTCAATAACATACAGAATCTCATAATGATTATGTAATCCTAATTCTTTATTTAGTAAAAACAGTATTTTCATGGAGTAATTTTTTTTGTTTTTGTTTTAAGGAACAACAAGATGTAGGTAAATTGTTTCTTTGTAAACTTCAAGGTAATTCAATGCATTTTATGACTTAAGACACGATGTAAAATGTATAATTACTCTTAATTATGCGGAAAACAATATCATTGTCTTTGTTAATAGTAATTACATTAATTAAACAAGTGTCAATTGAGCATTTAATTTAGTTATTCATCAGTATAAAACATAGGCACGTAATTGGCTTGAGTGTTAAAATTAAACAAATGTTAAATAAAACAAGCAATTTCCTATACTTTATACCCTGTACATCCCGTAAAAATAGAACTGTTAAATTATTTCTTAATGTATTGTAATGATAAAAAGCTAATCTACAAAATGCATTCAATAATTACCCAATAAATTCTTGGTTATGTTTTAAAATGTTTTTTAAATATAACCAATCTCTCATATTTCTTAAAATTTGTTTAGCAAATGCAATTAGTTTATATTACTTGAAAAATTAAGTAAATTTATGGTATTTGAAAGTCATCAAATAGTAAAATTAACTCTTTACTGTGTACACATACTGTTTATTTATCAAACCCCTAGGAAGTACGCCAAATTTTCTCATTTTTAGAAACTTTGTAGAAAACACTTTGTATTTTCGAAAATAATTAATTTATTTAATATATCATAAAATCAGATAATGGCCGGAAAAATTTTTATAAATTGCAAGACCTAGGGTGTTTTTACAAAGATGTGAATTACACTCAATGAGAATATTTTGTGTGAGAATAATTACAAGCAAAATACAGCTATGCACATAAATCACATGAATTTTTAATATATTCCTCATGCAATTCGATTTCAAAATAAACGCATTCATTTAATTCTTTTAATTTTTTGCTAATTGCACACATTTCCAACCAAGATTTTGCAAACACAAGAAACATTCCTAGAAAAAACTTTATACAAATGACTAAAACAAGACTTATTGTTATAGCTACTGGAAATAGAACTAGAAATTCACAATTCTCAATTATTAGAAATCCGCGCGTTTTTGTCTTAATAAAAATCAAGTAACATTTAAAACAGTTAAACAGAATCAGTTGCATCACCGTCCGCAACGCGATAGAAATCTGAAAAATGTCATCTACATTGCACAAAAATTTCACCATTTTTATAGTTCACTTGAATTCTTTCATCTTGCACGAATCAACAAACTCAAATAAAAAAAAATAGACACCAGCCATAATCGTGTGCAAATTTATTTCACTGCTGGGCATTGTAACTGTCTCAATCGAATTCAAAATCGAATTTCAATCTCAAGCTATTCGTATATAAAAATAAAAATGTATCAGTGTCAGCATCAGCTACACAACAAAAAATTAAAGCAAGGTTAATGTACTGTAATTTAGAACCAACAGCTAATGTCAAGGATAACCATTAACATTAAAAATCTACTATCAGCATTTAATAGATAAATAAATAAAAATTCAAGGTATGGTCGAAGACAAAAATTAAAACTACGAATTTATTTATTTACAGAAAGTACATACACATGTGACATTAGAAAAATATCATTTAATCATTTAAATTTAATTTAATTGGCATACGATTGCAGTGATTTCGTCCTTTTTCTTATTTCTTGTTGATGATGGTCATACAATAATTAAAACTAATTGGCATTGGCACTTACTGGTCTTAATTATGTTTAAAACTTAATTTTCCTACATAATAGCGAACTTTTTACTTCTCTCAAACACAAATTCAAAAATAATAAAAAAACAAAATTTTAATGACTTTAATTTTTACTCCAACGACAAAATAATACTTCAATGACCATAGATGGCGTTACTGTTCACTTCATTGTAGCCATGATGTGACTTATGATAATTCTGCTGATATTGCTGTTGCTGTTGCTGCCTGCTATCATAATAATAATATTGCGGCACGTAATATCTCAATCCCGACGAGAAAGCCACACCAAAGCCAGGAGTTTGTTGCTGTTGCTGTTGCTGTTGCTGGTTGAGTTGATTCTGCTGTTGCTGCTGCTGATTCTGGTTTTGTTGATTGTTGTTATAATTGTAATGAAACCGATAGTTATATTGAGGCTGAGGTTGTTGCTGTTGCGGTTGTGGTTCACTCACAGAATATACTCTGGTGTATCTGGTCGCACCTTGCACAGCTTGATCTTTTTGTGGATGTCTCTGTTGTCTTATATTTTGTTTCTGTTCTTGAGGTTGAGGTTTTTCAGTTGTGGTAGGTGTCTGTGATTGAACTTGATTGTTTGGTTGAACTTGTCTTTTCGGGATGTATTGTTGTACGAATTGCTGGGCGCTTGTGAGTTGACCTTGACCTTGATTCTGTTGATTTTGTTGATTTTGTCTATTCCTAGCATTATCATATTCATATTCTTGTACTCCAAATACTTGTGCGCCTGTATATCCCAGTCCTTGTTGCCTGGCCAACTCAGCTTTCTGTTGTTGGACTTGCAACTGCGACAGCGTATTCAAATCTTGATATTTAATATCCAACGGTGTGCCTAGTTGTAAATTGGGATTAGGTTTGTAAGAATTGATTAAATTTCTGTATTGGTTTGGTGTTGGTGCTCGGTAAACAGGCGGTGGAATGTCATCGCTTTGATCTTCATAAACAGGCGCTGGATTTTTGGGTGCAAGAGGATTTAGTGTTGTGGTTCTTGGTGTTGGAGGAACAATTGGACCTCCATTTGTTCCGAAAGATACCATTATAGGTTTTGTGTTGACGAAAGAGGCACAGGCGATCTGGAAACAAATCAAAACAAGAAAATTAATATTATGATTTGTAACACAAGTGATAAACTATAATTATTGAACCTTGACAAGTTATCTTGTTTAAAAAGACAACAACCTGTTATTATAGGCTATAATATTGTGTGATTTTTTGATGAGACAAACAAAAATGTCTTGAGGCTATATATTACCATATAAATTATGATCTAGATAAATAAATATAATTTTTAAAATAATTTTTTACTTCCATATTTAAAGCGCAAGTTTTTCCACGGTTTTTAGATACAAAAGGTGGTACTTTATATTCGGACGGTCAAGATGTGAGTAATGTCCATTATCCACGGGTATTATTTACGAGACGGAGCTTGCGCCTGCGCATTTGCCTACGGAGCAACACAAAACTATTTATAACCTTACATTTTCTAGTAGTGTGCGAGTAAATTTCGAAAATTTCAAATTAAAAGTTTAAACACAAAAACTCAACGTGGAACTAAAGTAGAAGCAGAAAAAATAGCGTAAGCATCACGTGGCTAAACGTTATTAAGAACTAGATTGATTAAACGCTCCATACGTTCACTTTTAATCAATCTTGTGACAAAAACTGGAATTTAGTCAATTGATACTTAATATACTTTAACCCTTTTATAATCAATTTATAACATGACGAAATATTTTATAAATGTCCACAAAAGTACACAACCGACAATTAAATATAATTTAAATCAAATACCTCTTCGTGTCATTAAACATTTGCATAAATTTATCTACAAATTTTATCATCAGATTGGCGTGTGAAGTGAAGAAGAAAATTAATCTCGGCAGTCATGCACCTCACATTAATAAATATCGAACAAATTACCTACACTTAAGACGCGTTCTGCCATTTATGCTGCGATGCGCATTATGTAATGTTTCATTGCGTGTTTTATTATTAACTTAACTTAGCGCAAGCGCTTTTAATGTTCCTCGTAGTTCATGCGAGTTATCGAGTTATTAGTTTCCAGTACGCGTAAAGCCAATCACACCATTTGGTATTTAAATGTCTATAAACTCAACAAACGAAGATGATGTAGAAGTCAACAACAAAATTTACTCATTAGCTGAGACCAGAGATGTTCTGCTCTTGAAACTGGTTTATTTTAAGACTCAAGGACGACACGCGTTTAATTATCCATTGAATCATTCTGTAATTGGCAAAAATCGTTTGTTTTCATGACGGAAACTATTAAATCCGACGCGTATCATCTGAATAATCACCTGGAGGTTTGTTTTTATTATCATTAGCACTCAGAAACATCCGACGCGGAAAAGAATACGTTTTGAAATTTCGGTTACGTGTAACAGAATCTTTTGTGCACGATAAACAAGCAGCGAACAAATTGGTTTCGGTGCGGCCATTATTCTTCGGCTAAGCATAAGAGCAGTGAACATGGTTACACAGCGTGAAGATTAAAGATATGCATTTGTGGTACTCGTGTTTTTCCTCCTTGAGTTACCAGCAACTGAGTTAGAAGTTGAGAGAAGTTTTACTGGCGTTTTTCGCCATCTTCAACGTCAACAAAAACTGTAACTCGCGAGCATTTGGCATATTTCAATCTAATGCAACTCGATGTTTGCCCATTACTGCATTTTGTGCAATTTTAATTCGATTACAGCATCTGGGCAACACAACATCACTTGCAACACACAACAAACAAACATCTTGAAATCTGCAATTGCATAAATCACGAAAATCTATTTAAATCGTGAATATTGACGAGAATAATTGAAATAAATTATTTCTTCATTGCTTGCAATAATTTTCAATACAATACAAGGTCAAGAGCAATGTAAATCAATGTCAAAGTGATTGAAGATTAATTAGAAATCATTATTCTTAATATAAACATGACGTTTGAGTTTAGTCAGAATCTTGCATCATCTAATTGACGGAATGATGGATTTTTTTCGATGTAATGTATCGTGTCAATCATTCCTACTGATTTAAATATTCAAAAAAGTTGTTTCAAGAGCATTCGAAGCGGAAGAAATAATTTATATTGCATTTTTATTATATTCAAGGACATTTCTTTATAGCATCTATAAAAATATTCAAATTATGTCAAAATATAAATAAAAATAAATATATCTAAGGTCGGGATTTTATTTTATTTTTATTTTAATGACTCCATGGTTAAATTATTTCCAATTCGATAATAAAATGCGGTTTTACTTTCATTTCATTTCAGTACATGTTATTAAAACAATGGTTTTAATAACACAGAACTTAAACCAATATAATTCCCACATGCAGCTTTCTTTCATCGCGCATTAATCGTTTGATCTTTCACACTTTAGTCAGCGCACGTTGTAAGTGTCCGTAATTGCTTGAAAGGCGCTCGGTTGTCATAGGTCAATGTGTCGCAGCTTCTTTTCTTTCCTGCTTTTCCGCCAACCGGGCAACAAAGGAAATAATACCTATCATGGCTGCGCATAATGCACATCTTCACGTCTGATATAAAATAATAGAAAATAAAGTGATACGCGACTAGGGAAAAAGTCACCTTCCTCATTCTGCAACATGCGCATGCTAATAGTAATAATAGCGAATATGAGAAAGGAAGCAATTGCAGAAGATTTGTGCACAAGTGCAGCATTCGAGGAGGTTATGTAAGAGAAAGTCTTTCTCTGTGAGGCGTTCGGAAATTATGCACATCGTGACGATATTTTCTTTTTTATTTGTTTTAATGTTTAATTTACAACTAAATGACGCTTGAGGACTTGAAACAATCGATCACGACAGGAATTTCATTTGTCACGTACGCGTTTATAATACGCGGCTAATAACAATAGAATTAAGTGTTAATTTATAACCGTGCAATTTGCTAATTGTCGTCACCGGCACGCACTCATCATAATGGATTGAATTCCATCATGCAAATGAAGAGAAACTTAACTGTACATTTCCCAGTAGGCAAAGAATATGAATTACCTACTCATAAAAATTAATAACAATTTCATTTAAATTATTTATTTATTAATAACTTAGAAGCACTTCATGTTAATGCAATAAAATAAACGTGACACTAAAGAAAAAATAAATCTTCACGGATGTATCCCAGTAAATTATTTCCAGTGGCTTTTAAGTAAAGTCGATAATTGCAATTTGCATTTATTAGCATCTATCAAAAATGTACAGGTAATAATAATGATCGTAATCGATTAATACGGGAATATAATTGCCGTCAGTGACTGTTAAAGATAAAATATTTATTATCGTGCGGTAAGTGTGCTTACAATTGTGCGGATTGTAAGCAACGCTTACTTAATTGCAACATATTTACATATTTGGAGTGGTTTTCACTCTCGGATGGTCGTAGAATTGTAAATTGTGTCGTCAAAGTCGTTCAGAAGCGACAGCGGCGACTTTTTCGCTCGATGCGTTGATTAATTTATTCAAGGTTTCTTCTACTCTTAATCATTAAAAAAAAACACGACTTTTTCTTAGTAAATGTCAACGATAAAAACTCCTAATGTGAATAAAGTGCAGTATTCTCATGGGGATTATATAATCATCAATAAAAATTAGTAGATGAGTATTATATCATCTTAAACAATAGTTTTAGTCATTATTAGAACAAAGACTTCCTTTAAAAGTAATAAAAAGTAATAAAAATGTTTAAAAAATAAAATTTTTAGTATTTTACATAATATTTACTTAAAATCCGTGTAAAAACTTGTAGAATCTTGTGAACACGTTAATTAAAACTTTAAAAATGAATTTTAATATTAAACAAAACGTTTAAACGTTTTTGCTTCCTTTGTATGCAAAATATCATTTAGAATTTTGTTACGGATGAAAAACATATCTATAATTAATCTTAATTCCTTAATAATACCTTCACGGTGATTAATCGTTAATTGCGTATTAGGTAGATGTGTTTATTGTGTCTTTTTTCAAGCATCTGATGATAAATAAATTCATTACACATTTCGGTGGGCACATGTGCGCAGCTTTGCATAACAAAGACCTTGATACCAAAACATTTTAATCTCAATCTGTGGTAATTATGCTAATTTCACATTTGGAGGTATTGGGCGTACGATTATGTTAATACCAATAAATTATTGTCAATTTTCAAACTAAAAACTTAAAATTCATAAAAATAAATAAAAATTAAAAAATTACTTTGACATGTAAATACCAATTGCTTTAATCACGTTTTTAGGTTAATAAGGTATTTGCTTTTCTTCTATATTCTCGGCGTCTTCAATAGTTTATTGCAAACCGCAGCGCAACGTGCGTGTTACATGACCATTCGTTTAACTCTTTATTCGCGTCAATCTTTGTGTGCGCGCACGTCCCGAGCTGCGGTGCGATTCGGATTACCATTGCGATAACGAGCGGCGCAATGAAAGACTGCATCTAATTAGAAATTGGGTGCCACCTAGTTTGTTCATCGCGTCGGCGACGATTTCGTATTCGGCTTGCGTCCGCGCAAACAATTACTTCAGCAGGTTGCAGGTTTAAATGGACAGCGTGTTATTTAATGCCTATAGGCATGAATAACGTGATTACTTAATGATAAGCTTTGTTCATTAACCCCTTAGAAAGCTGGCGGTGTCACGATAAGAGTAATAGAGTAATGTAATTCAGTATAAATTCACACTTAAACCTGATGTAATTTAATATTTACCTAATTTAGTAGTTTCACCTTTAAAACGATTAAGAAACGAGAGTAATTGCAGTTTTTTGTGTTTATTTACTTAAACAAGAGCAAATGAAAGTGAAAAAAACCAGTGGCGAGCAAAAGCAGCGAATGTTGTTTTGGACGACACGAGATGAAAACGAAAGGAAATATACACACAAGATGACCAAAATTTATTATATAACACATAAATTTAATTAAATTAATTTTAAAATGTTTAAAAATTCAACTTACCGTTATTATTAACCTTCCAATCATGTTGATAAATTATTCTAATAAATAAGTCCACTGAGAATGAAACCACAAGTTTTTATTTAAATTTTTTCACTTTTTATTAAATATTTATTCCGAAAATAAATTAGAAATAGTTTAGAAATTGTTCGTGAAGTATCTCGCACGAGGTGAATATTTTATTTAAAAAAATACGTGTGCATCGCAAAGTGTTGTCAAATAAACTGAGCGCGCGGTACGCTCTTGATGCCGTGCTTCATTATTTCGTAATCGCCGCCGACTGGCTGGGTCGCGTCGTCGCTTCGCCGTTTCGCGTTTTGCTTCGCCGCCTGTCTGCCCTGTCCGCGATGCAAACCGCGACCGAGTTCACTATCAGACGCCCGCCTGTCTTCTGATGCCACTGCAACAGGTTTTGCGAGGTTATGCGAACACATCTGCGAGCAAATTAGGCAAACTTTTGTTTTTTGTTTTTTTCGGTGTAATGTGTAATTAGGGTTCGTGCGGCCTGAAGAAATGATTATGTAAGTTTATAATAATAAAAAATTAAATTTTATAAGCATTATGAGTTAATCTGTTAAATTTTGCTCCGCCCTTTGTAAAATTCACGCCTTTACATTATCTGACCAATCATGTTACTGAGGCGGAGCGATTGATGTTTTATTTCATTTCTTTGTAATTCTGAGTTTTATTGCTAATCAGCACACATATGATGTCTTTACATAGCTTTTACAATCCAGTCATATTCATTATTATTTTATTTGTGTTGTTGTACGCGTACAATAACAATAAGTTACGTGTGGTCACTAATAATATATCATCAAATGCATTGCTTCAATATTGCTACACGGTTTGTGTGACTGCGGCTTTTTGAAAGTTTTAACCACAAATTTCAGTGTAACATTGAACTGAATGAATACATATTACTAACTTAACATTAGTCAAAAGTCCTTTGGATTAAAGTCACGTATTTGTATATGACACTTAAAGTTAGGATGATTTTTATGTAAAAAACTGTAAATTGTATGTTTGTTACTCATTTACGCAAAACCAATCAACCAATTTTTATAAAACTTCACAAAATTAAAGATAATATATCAGAATAGGAGATAGGTTAGTTTTTGTTGCAAAAATATTACTGTAAAGGTGTAAAATTGGGGATAAAAGTGAAAACAGTGATTAAATCATAGTTTTAGTTGTATAATTCACATCTAGATGGCGCAAAATGCATTTTTAACAGATTTTCACTTATATACAATAAAATTGAGGGTTTTATTGATTAATTTGACAGATAATAAGCTCTAAAATGAAAAAAATAATACATTTTTCCAATCCTTACTAATATTATAAATGCGTATGTCCTGAAGTTTATCGTGCTTTCACGCAAAAACTACTTAACAGATCATCATAAAAATTTGTACACATATTCTTAGTGGTCCCCGATAGGTTATAGGCTACTTTTTATTTAATAAAAATAATTATTTTTTAAAATAAAATAAAGAAATTGTTTAGTCACTAACACCACTGCATCTGGCTAATTGACTACTTTAACGCCATCTAGCATTCCATCTAAAATTTAAAACTTTATTGCATGTAGTAATTTTTTCACATAGATAATCCTAGCCAAGCAGTGAAATATACATTCTTTCTATCAATCCGTTTCAACTATGTATAATGATTTCTAATATTTATTTGATTGATTCAACGCGAGCGAAGCCGCGGGTTAAAGCTAGTTTTCAATAAAAATCAACTCGGATGTAACAGTAATAAATGTTTTATGGTAAAAGTAATTTATTGTGATTATAATTTATTGTTATGTTTAATTAGATATTAAATTACAATTAACATGCATTCAAACGTCACTTAACACATGTTTTAATATTGATGATGATGAATTCACAAACCGCGCAAACAGCACTACCAATTCCACATCTAATAAATTGCACTTTATGAATATTTATTCATCTCATTGTCTATATTCATAAATGTGCAAATAACGCAACAAGATTTATATTTCCATTCAATTTCGAGCATTACGCTATTACGCATTTCGTGAATTGTAATTAAGCAGAATATTTACAAAACTAGGATGAGGATGTCGGGATGTATGAAATCTCTTCATTCGTACCAAGGTCGAGTTTAACTCGTCGAAAAAATTGCATTCAGCGGATGTTTATTGCGAGTGATTTTTTTTACATGTTTAATCATTTGCCAATTGTTGCAGTTTGATGCCTACAAGGTGAATGGGTTGAAATGCATGTATATTTTGAGCTCGGATGTAGTAATTTTCAGTTATTCAGAGAGTTTGAATAAAGATATCACAATAGGATATAAAAAGAGAAATAGGCAAAAACACATAGAGTAAATATAGAGATATGAACTCAGCTGGAGATGTGTGTTCACACATTAACATTACCACATTGCGTTTTATAGTTTTGTGCTCTCACAATGCTTGTGAATGGTTTTAATTGAAATTGAAAAGGATTTAAATGTGATGTTGAGTTTTTTAATTTAATAAATTGCATCCTGCTGCAGATTAACTTCTGTATCCGCTTTATAATTGATTTGATAGTATTTTCTTTATGTAAACAAGAATATTGTGTGAATTTTTAATTAAAGTAAAGAGTACTTAATAATTATGGATTATACATCCGTGTGCGAGTTAAAAAAATGTATTTATTTTTATTTATTTGAAAAATTATTACTTAAGTAAATAAAAGTAAAGTAATATTATATTGATTTAAAGTAGTAAAATATTATATTTTTATTTTGTCATTTTTGTATGATTTTTGAAGGACAATGTAAATATGAATGTTTTTTTTTGTTTTTACTTTAGTTATTGTGGTTTAGTTAATTGTTTTAAGTGGTTTATATTGGTTCATATTGCAATTACTGCTATAAATGTTAAGTTTAAAAATTTAACGACAGTTTAAGCCAAAGAAATGTGTAATTTTACGTAAATATCGGTTATTGTTTGAATATAATTGGTAAAAGTCGCGAGTTGTTAGTTTAACGAGGCGTTTCACCAAATTTGAAGGCAAAATTTTTAGCTACCATTTATTCTCAAATAAACAACTATAAAATTGATGTTATTGATTTAGTGTAGGTATTCATTTGAACTACATGATAGTCAGCATATCAAGTTATTGGTTGCTTTCAAATGAATTAATTTTTATATTCCTTAGAAATTAAGAAATTGAGGAAAACAAGAAAAATATTCCGGTACCGGGAATCGAACCCGGGCCTGCTGGGTGAGAGCCAGCTATCCTAGCCACTAGACCATACCGGATATAAACAATTAACGATGATAGCAGTTTTCCGTATATATTTTACCTCCAAAACTATCAAAAATGCAGTTTTTCACAATATTTTACTTGATTTTCGGTTTCCCTAGAAATGTTATGATTTGAGGTTCAACAATGATGACAGCACAACTAATTTTACAAGTCTTTCCGAGGAACGAAGTTCTTACCTCCGGTTATTGTAAAGATCAAAAAACGCAAAAGATTTCCGGTACCGGGAATCGAACCCGAGCCTGCTGGGTGAAAGCCAGCTATCCTAGCCACTAGACCATACCGGATATGAACAATCTAAGGTATTAGCAATTTTCCGGAAATGTAATTTATCCAATAGTTTCAAAAATGGGTTATTTGCAATATTTTGCATGATTTTCGATTAACTCATATGATTTTATGATTTGGTGGTTAACCATAATGGCAACACAACTATCCTTTACATGTCATTCTTGCCACATAAGCTCACATTTCCGGTAGTTATAAATATCAAAAACGTAAAAGATTTCCGGTACCGGGAATCGAACCCGGCCTGCTGGGTGAGAGCCAGCTATCCTAGCCACTAGACCATACCGGATGAAAAACAATAATAAATGTCCAAAATTAACTGCAAAAATTATCTAAAAATAACGCTAATATCAAAAGTCAGTTATAAATATTGATAACATTATGACCACTACACGTATTACAACCATTTCTGACAATTTAACATCTCAATTCAGCATTTTAACGATAGAAAGCGACAAACTAAACTACACAATACAAACACGAATAAAATCTAAATAATTTATGAGTTTAAATAGCATGAATCACTTTTGCATTAAAATTGAAGTCACATTCACATTCATGATACTCTTCAGACGCTTTGTAAACTATGCAGAAGTATATTTCGCATGTATTATCCACATGAGATGGAAATAGATTCATCGCATTTAGTATTATTATTATTATTACAACATTTGCATAAATCTCAATACTATGCGGCTACTTAGTGCGTTCGTTGTGGATGTCACGCCTCGGTGATATAAATATTTAACGCTAAGACTCTTTGTGTCTTTGTTCCCACTCAAAATTTTAATTCAAGTCGAAATGAAAATCAAAGAAAATTACATTTCAACATAAATAAAATATAAACATAAATTAAAACAAATTTCACATTTATTTAAATACAAATATAAATAAAGTATTAAATTTATTGTTGGTATATTATAATATTACATAAAAGTTTACGGAAATTTGTATAAAAATTTGAAGCATTTCACCTGTTTTCATATCGAGTAAACCACTTTGAAAATGTCAATGAATTCATTGAAATTGAAAGCCATTGAAAGTTTCGTGTGAATATTTCTTCTTCGATAGTTTAGAATATCTGCTCAAATGTTATGTAAATTCATAAGCGGAATGTTGAACATCGAGAGATAAATTTGGCATTTAACCACACACACGATTTGTTCATTTCGCTAAATTCAATTATTTCAAGAAAATTCAAACACTTTCTACAAATACTTTTGTTTATTTCATGTTTACAACTTAAACTCTAAAAAATGCATTTCTCCAAGTTTTGAAGCCATATTTACATATTTTTACACAAGTTTAGCGAAAATATTTGAATAAGTTACGTCTATGATCTTTGTCTTATGATTACAAAGCATAAAATATTTTTTGGTTTTGAGTATCTACGATCTAAACGGCTAAAATAGTCAGAAGGCACATGCACACACGTGCGATTAGCGTGTGGCTTTCATGAATTGGTAAAGTTCGACAATGCGTGGACGATGCGAGATGGATTTTAATAATGTCCATCGTAATGGTCGTCATAATAGCCGTTCAGGTCGTAATCGTAGCCGTGTTGCTGATGTCCCAAATACGCCGTCTCGTAGCCGCCGTAATAGCCGTGGTTCAAACCTAAAATTATCGTTTTAAACAATTACATAATATGCACAACTCATACGCATAAACTTAAAGGTCAGCAAATATAATAAATAAATAAATAAATAAGTTATGAATTTATTTGTTTCTTTTTTCGTTTTCGGTTTGTTCTTAATATTTTTTATAAGTAAATTAATTAATTTGAGTTTTGTGATTAGTATGCGTGATAATTGCGATTTGCATATTTTTAAAGTCAAGTTTACGAGTTTATAAACTCGTTAATCAGTCAATGAAACATATCTAGATGTATTTACATGCGTGCTGATGTTTTGTAATGACCACAAAACAAAATCTGGAGCAGCGATATTTTGCAATCGTGATTTTTTCCATGACTGAAATGTCAACGGGTAATTTCTTATTGACAAAATATACCGAATCCAAGTCCAACGCGAATGCAAATGCAACAATGGTGGCAATCACGCATTTTGTGGGAGCATGGCATTAACATTGGAATATACTCGAACTACTTTCAAGTTATTATTGTTCACTTAAATGGTGATGCTTTTGCACAAAAGTTTAAATATTGGTTTGAAGAAGAAAAACATTCCGGTACCGGGAATCGAACCCGGGCCTGCTGGGTGAGAGCCAGCTATCCTAGCCACTAGACCATACCGGATATATAAAGCATTGAAGTGCAGCACTTTTCCGGATATAATTAGCATATGATAATATCCAAAATTTGGATTAATTTGGATTAATTAATTAATACATCATCCGGTATGGTCTAGTGGCTAGGATAGCTGGCTCTCACCCAGCAGGCTCGGGTTCGATTCCCGGTACCGGAAGCTTTTTAATGTTTTTGAACTTACAGGTAGAACAACAGCTTTTGGATATCTAAGCTTAATCCGTAAGAGCAACTTAGTATTGACTGCAAGGTATTGTTATAAGGCACCAAATCATAACTGCCACAATATTGAATGTAAATTTTGAATATTTAAGCAAGGTTGCAATTGCTATACATTAATACATGAAAAATCTCATCTCTTTGATCTTACAGATGTGGATTCTTTGATAAAGGGACCGATACCACTTTTCAACGAATTGCTAGACCCATGTTCGGTAATATACGGCACACGCACCAATACCGAAAGTAGTTGATAACGAAGGGGTCCTTATTTAAAAGGATTTCCGGTACCGGGAATCGAACCCGAGCCTGCTGGGTGAAAGCCAGCTATCCTAGCCACTAGACCATACCGGATATGACTAGTCCTGCACTCCAGCACATTTCCGAGAATAATTTGCGAATGATATAAAACAAAAATGGAATTTTGAACAAATTAATTAAAGGATATATCCGGTATGGTCTAGTGGCTAGGATAGCTGGCTTTCACCCAGCAGGCTCGGGTTCGATTCCCGGTACCGGAAATCTTTTGCATTTTGTGCTATGGAAGCCTATGAATGCCCAAAATTTTAACTTTTAAGCAATAATCTCTTATTTTGTAAAATTGACAAGTTAGAATTTATTTTGATTCATTATTACTAATCATTATACCAAACCAAACCAAAACCCAAGTCAACATCTCAAGTTTTAGTGATATATTTTTTACTTTGTGCCAATTAACAACAAAGACATGATAAATGTCAGAGTCGAGTGTCTGCATTGGTAAAAACTGCATTAGTTGTTAATCTAGTATTCAGTATAAGTAAACTAGTAAGCAACTATGTAAAAACTCGAAAACATAATCAATACGAAAGAAAAAACGCATAAAAAGTGATATATGTATATCATTTCAAATGCCAAAGCTGTCAAACTCTTAAAGCAACTTGTCCAAATATAATAATTAACTAAAATTGCCATTGTTTATTTGGCATTTTGGGCTTATAAGAAATCAAAAGTAATTTGATTGATGATCGGATACGGTTATACCAATTAACAAGCCCCTATCACTCCTACTCCACCTTCACAGAATTAATGACAAAGCCAAATATTTGGAAGGTCAAGGTTATTTAAGCAATTATAAGTATTTGTATATCAAAAGTCACAAATTCCTCTATTCCAGGACTGATAAAAACACAAATGTTCTGAATTTTTTGCCTAAAATACAGCATCAATTATACCATTTATTTTTTTCTTATCATTCAAGAGCACTTATAAACTTTATTGTCGGAAAATTTAAAAGAAAATGTATTCCGATACCGGGAATCGAACCCGAGCCTGCTGGGTGAAAGCCAGCTATCCTAGCCACTAGACCATATCGGAGTTGTTTAAGTTGTTCGCGGATTTTTTCCCTCACATCAATTTTCGTGTGTATTTTCCACAAATAAAATTAAATTCCTTATTTAAACCTAGTAATAATTACTTTTAACCATTGCAAGATTCATAACTAATTCCTATCCAAACCAAACTCTAAGTTACTCACCTAAATGCGAAGCAAGAATCGGCTGTGGATGCGTCTGAGCAACCTGCGCAACCGTCTTGTAATACGGCTCAGCCGCAACAATCTGCTTCAACTGGTACGTCGCAGGCTCGACAGCTGGCAGCACCTGCTGGGCGACCGCATGAACTGGAATATGCTGCTGTTGTACATGCGCAGTAATCGGCACAGACGCAACGACAGGCTTCACAACTGGAATCGCTTGATGATGCACTGGCACAGCCACAGGTGCCGCTGGCGCATGATGAACAGGCACTCCATGTATAGATGGAGCACTCTTCGATACCACAGCGTTGAAACCGTTCACCGGGTCAGCGGTATAATCCACGGTACGTACGGAACCATCGGGTTCCACCAGCGAATACTGCCCTTTAACAACATCACCATCACGGCTTTCATGTTGTGATTTATGATCACCAGTGTGTGGATCTGATACGCCGTATTTAAACGCATATTTTGGGTGAGACTTAATAAATAAAAATTTAAATAAAATTATATTAATTTTGGAATGTTTAAAGATAAAACAATAAAAACTTACATAATAATCTATAGCATGTGGAGCATATACAGCATGAGGACCTATCACGCCAGGTCTTGCAACTACTGATGAAATTATTATCGTGAATGACAATATAAACGTCTAAAACATCAAAAATCATATTTACATTGTTGTAGATTTCAAAGTGTTTTTAATTATGCGTGGAGAAATTTTGTCGCATGCGAACGTGACAAATTAACAAACAAAATTACATTAACCACCTGTCATGCTATCGTTTAAGTATGGTAATTTGTATGAGTTGACACGAATTTTAACTCAATTCAAACGTTAATTTAAAAATTATTCTTTGACACATCCTTGATCAGAAAATACTTTCACGGAATAAATTAACAATAGATACATATTGTGATATTGTTCTTTATAAAAAATAATTTTTAACCATATTATTAATTAATTAAATCATAAAAATAATAAAAAATTAATTACCTTCATGTTTAGTCCTTTATAATATTTAATCCTTTGATAAATAATAGTTTTTGATGTAAATATTCACTATAATCACTCAAAACAATAATAATTTTTATTAAAAAAATTAATTTTGATGTTTATTGATAATAATATTCGTACAACGCTCAAGTCTAGTTTTTTTGAGAAACTGAGCGACGTTTTGCGAGAGTCTCCTTTTTATACGCACTTCCCGATGCGCCTCAAAACAATGCAAGACTCCATCCCGCCATTATTTAACACTCATGGTGGAAGCCCACCAGTACCTCGTAAACAAAAGCCATTGCACAAGGCGTCACTTACAACTAACTAACCAACGCACTGACTAAAAATTATATTCACTTCAGTTTTTGCCTTGTCTCAGGGTTTTTTTGAGTGCGTGAATGCGTGGAAGGTTTTGAGTCAATTTTGTAATTACGTATTCTATGAAATTGTTATGTCTTGTTGCTGAATATTAGACAAGGACGAATTTACTTACTCGTATTGTCATTGCGTGCGTTATAATTTTGATGTTTGAATGAAACAATTGAAAAAATGTGAGAAATTTGCGATGGAAATCTTTTATTTGGTTAATAAATCAAAATATTTACAATTGGCCTTAATTAAATGCAGAGTTTAAAGGATAAATCAAGTTATTATCTGTTTGACTTAAAATTTATTAAAAAAAAACTAAATTTTAAGAAAAAATTGTTTTTCTCTGGAAAAACACAAAATTTGCTTATTTTACGTTATTTATTATACGATTTATTATTTAAATTCATTTAGTGCGTGTATATTGCTACACTTTTGACATCGTCTTAATATTTAACACACATTTTACTTTTTGTGTCTGTGTGTGTGACGTCGTTGGTAGTTCACTCGTGAAAACACGTAATATGGCTTAGTTTAATTCTATTAATATAATAGAACAAAGCCGGAGAAAAAGAGAAAACAAAAAGAGGAAAAAATTGAGAGACGATGATGTACAAATGATGAAATAATTATTATGCGTGACGGAGTGTGTAATTGTAGGTTGATAAAACGCACTGTGGAATATAAATGAAGAAGTGAGGAAAATGTATTACACAAATGTGAAATGAGAAAATTATTACTACCTGCAAAGATTAGATGAGAAACTGACTAAATTAAGTGTGGTGAAGATGAGAGGATGAGAATGATGAAAAGATGATGAGAATATAAATAAATTTATTATTTATAGCAAATGTTGATTTGGTGTTGTACTGTAATATACAACTTATACAACTCCGATATGGTCTAGTGGCTAGGATAGCTGGCTTTCACCCAGCAGGCTCGGGTTCGATTCCCGGTATCGGAAGTCTTTTTGCATATTTATGCATTTTCATGAAAATTTTAACTTTGAAATTTAACTTTATTTTTGTATAATTTTTTATTCAGGGGATAATCATGATTTTATTACATTAACATTTTTTTAAACTTTAATTTCAACATTTTTACAATTAAAAACTGTACTAAAGCTATGAAATACCAAAACAATGTGTTTTAATGTGTTTCAACCAGAAAATTATGACTCACAAGGCGATATAATGCACAGTGCGTTATCGCGTTTTGGTCTTTCGTGTTTTTAAGTAGCTGCAATAAGTACACAGCGAACTTGTGAAACAAACCTTGAGCAAACACACAAAACAAGGAGAACGTTTAATTATACTATGTATGTAAAAATTATTTTTCGCATTCAATAATAGCATATTGCACAATGCGTGAAGAAACAGGTGTAATCAAATAGAAGCACTGATTCAACCAAGATTATAAAAATTTATTTTAAAAAGTCATTCTAACAAAAATTTAAAATATTTAGGTTTTATTATAGATTCTTTAAGAACATGAGATTTTGAATGTTTTATCTTAGTAAAATTTTCTAATTTGAGTTATGGTTTAGAAGATAAATGTAAAAAATTATTTTTTTTATCAAAATTGTTATTATTGCACCAAAAGTTATCACACAATTGTTGTACCTCCATTTCCGTGTTTGTTTTTTATTTTTGGTATAATTTTAAAACATAACAAACAATTATTAACACGTTGAGGACGGCGTGTACCACCGGTGGTACACACGCGCCTGGTCTGTGGGACGGCGTGTACCACCGGTGGTACACAGCTCATTTGAAACCAGACTTATTCATTTTTGACTACGCCACTGGTTAGGTTATATCTTCTCCTCGTTTCACCTATACAATCAGGGCCTTGCATCTTTGTCATCAAATGTGTCACTCAGATTACATATTATAATAAATAGTGACCGACCAAAGTTTCAGTTTTGGCTTCAAATTTAGTTTCGGCCAAAAATTAGCTGAAACTTTTGGCAGAACCGAAACTCAGTGTTCATGAATTATCGTGCGTCGTTCGGCTAACTCGCGGCTAAGTCGTGGTCGTCACTTGCCATCTCAGTTCGCACCTAGTTTCGGTCGGACTCTAAAGATAAAGGCATTCATTACAAAGAAAATAAATAAATGGCGACGCAACTGCAAAAACAATCGCTTTTTGATACAGCAATGCATAACCACCAGTGGCGCACAGCTGAATTAATTAGACGGAGTTGAAAATGCTCAAACGCCGCCCGATGCGACAGACACCCAAAAACCGCGCCGTCCTCAACGTGTTAAAGTTATTTTAAGTTTTTTAGACTTAAATCTGCATATAACATGCTTCATGTTCTTTCATAACAATGTAGTTCACTGGTGCAAAGATTACAAACTAACTTTTCATCAAAAGTGGCAAAAACTCATGTTGCAACATAAACAAACAACATTCATTATACAATGTGTTCATAAAAAACCACAGCACATTTTTTCATAAGTAAAAATTAAGTGTTTATGTGAAGAAAACATCTTTACACTGTAACAGTGCAGAGATTACTCTTAATTTTCATGTTGTACTTCGCCTGGTGAGAACTGTGCTAATATTATGCAACTACATGACCAGTATGTAACATGGAAAAAATCTACGACTACTGCCTGGTAGACAATGACTGAGATAAAAAAAAATACAACAAGAATCGCTGTAATTATTCACGAAAATTGTCAAGACCCGCATACATTTTTTCACACAAGTGTCTACATCTAATTTATTAAGTACATATGAGAATATCTTAAAAATTGTATTTTTTAAGCAGAAAAAAAGTTGAAATTTTTATTTTATTTCAAGGATAATTGAATTGTTTGTACAAAAACTACATCAAGATTTCGATGCAAACGTACTTGTAGTATTGTAAATTCAAAAAATGACACCTTGCGCACGCTAATTATACAATTAATTACGTTTATGTGTTTATTAGTATGCCGACAATCATAGTCGCGGTGCACTCAGTGAGAAATTTAATTACGCTTATTGCTAATTTGGTTAATAAATGCAGTTCTCATCAGTGGTGCTGAATCTGTTTAATTGCTCAATTTAACGCCGGAAATAAGTGTTTTGTTTGTGATAATTTCGCAATTAATTAAAAGATTTACTAAATAACAATCGTTTAAGCTTTTAGTTATCAAATAATTCATTCAAACTATAAAAGTTTTTATCTAGGCAACCAGTAATGCACCAAAATATAGTGTATGAACAGTTGCCTATAAAACAAATCATTTTTAACTTTTTTTTTGGTTGTTTTTAAAGAAAAACGATTTGAACATAATATTTTATATTAATAAAACAAACATGTTGAATATTACATTACAAAAATACTTCTTATTTATAAATTAATATTCCTTGCGATGTCTTGGCCGTCTTCATTGACAATATATTACAACATTATAATTATAAATAAACAACGCAATGCACTTACTCTATTACATTACAAGAAGCGTACTTGAAAATCGTAAATCGTGTGGAAAGGGCAATACAATGTTTATACTTTATACAAGTTCATATCGCAGCGTGTGATCGTCATCTATATCGGACAAGTTGATAAATATTCAATTAACCTTTTCTTTTTATAAAAAAAAAAGTTAATTAATACCATCAATAAATTTGGTTATGTTGTTGCATGTTTCTAATAGTGTCCATGGTGTCCGTGGTAGAGACCAGCATGATGGTAGCCATCATATCCGTGGGCGTGTCCAGCATAGGCAACCGCAGGTGCAGCATGAACCACAGGAGCAGCGTGTACAATGGGAGCAGCGTGAGCAATTGGAGCAGCGTGTACAGCATGTCCAGACTTGGTAACCACAGCATTGAAACCATTGTGGTCATCGGCGGTGTAGTGTACTGTACGGATGGTACCATCGGGTTCAGCCACGGAGTAAGAGCCTTTCACTACGTCACCGTCGCGGCTTTCGTGCTGGGATTTGTGGTCACCAGTGAGGCCATCGGCGACTCCATAGTTGTAGGAGTATTTTGGATGGGCCTAAAAATTTTTATTTATAATAATTTTAAGTTGAATTTTAAGTTTTTTTATTTTTACGTAGTAATCAACGTCATGATGACCATGTCCATGTCCATGCCCATAGGCGGCAATGGGGCGGCAACGGCGATGGGGGCAGCGGCGTAACCATGTCCACCATATCCGTGACCCGCGTAACCGTGGTATGCAACCGGAGCGATCCCACACTGCACCGCAGCAATGGTAATAGCCAAAATAGTCAACTAAACAAAATTTTTAGGTTAAATTCAATTTAAGGTTATGTTATGATGTATAAAACTCAATTCCAATGCATGTGAATATTGTTAAATGTCACAAAAATCCGACCAGTTGTTCATTAGGTCATAGCATGCATTGGTAACTTCATCCGCTGGATAAACTTTGAAAACGTCGAAAAAATCCACAGCGTTACGGCATACGCTCAAGAGTTCAAAGCAGTAAGTTCGTGATATATCAAACCGCCGGGCAATCTCACGCTCCACCATTAACCAATAACAATCAACAAGCAAATCACAACTGCACAGAAGACTTAATGCGAATGCATGCCATGAATAAATCCTAATGAATCATATTATTGAACTGTTCACATTTGCATAATTAACGACATGCAATAATGCATTAATTCCATCAATGAATTTCGATATTCATTCATCTTATATTTATTTATGGTGAATGTACGACAACTGCAATATTGTATAATAAGGTGTTGTTGATTTTTCAAAATTTTAATTTTAATTGTCTCTCGTGTCGTTGGCGTATTGTTCGGCATGGAATTCGCACCTATTCAAATGAAAATAATAACCGTGCGTGGAAACATCGTCATTTGCATAACAACATGATTCCCAGCTGTGTGAAAAACTCCAACAACCTATACCACACGATTAACTAAGTCAATTTCGTAACTGTGCTAGATCAGCGTTTGTTTTTTTTATTTTGTGTGTGTTGCGCGCTGGGAAAATTTATTTCATTGCAAATGATGCGCGAACGATGCGCTAAACATTCTAAATGTATTGAGTGTATTATTGACGAAACAAGGCCGGTACTTAACATTTAATACTCTCATTATTTAACAATAGTTATTTTAATTACCGTAAGTGTATGACTGGTTGTATATTACAAAATATTGAAATTTTCAAAAAAAATATTGCGTAAAATTTTGAAATAAAACTTGATTTAATTTATTTTAAATGTGACTTAAGTTAACTTAAGTATAGTAAAGTGTTTGTTACTTACTTTAAAGAATGCCATGTTGAATGTCGTGTCGATTGGTCGTGTTTCGACGCGAATGCACAAATTGATACTGAATGTTTCTTCCTTATCCATTCGATATTTATACGAAATAATGGCATAAGGTCCTCACCATCAAATCCTTCAAGGCCCCTCGACTTCTTCGCGCGCAGAGAAACGTCTACGTCGGTAGGGACGGCGCAGTCGAACATTGTGTTCCTACCATCTACCACCTACAGAGGAGCTCTTCATAGCTCATAGAGAGGTTACGTTGCTAAACCATTTTTAAATTTCGATTTCGTTCGCCATCGAAGAAAGAACAACAACATTAACAATTACAAGCGATTGCATTATTGTTATTTTGCGCCGGCGGCAGCCGGTAAATACGAAGAATTGCGTCGTTCAGAGAATATTCGTAACAAACGATCGGTAGTTAGAAGCGAAAAGAGAATAAAAAAAGCGAAAACGTTTCTCAACGCAGTAAACTGATCGGAAATAAATTGTAAATTGTGCTTGTTTGTATTGTTGGTGGGCGAGTTAAACGAGAGATAAGTGTATCGAGATGAAGTATTTTGATTTATTTGCGGTGATATTTCAAAAAATTACTTTCACAGCACACGTTACATTAGTTCATGATATAAGACAATAAAATTGTGAATAATAAGAACAATTTGTTGTGGGTTTTTAAATTAAAGTAATTTTCAATGAAAAGTCACATTGAAAATAATAAAGAATTATATTTAAGTATTTATTATACTGCAACTTTAAATTTATTTTGATTTGCGCATCAATAACACCTATATTAATAATCTGATAACGGTTTTAATGGGTTTCTTTATCTACTGACTTCATATCTGGAAACATCCTGTATCTTGCATTTAAAATTATAAGCGTATAATAAAATCATAGCGTAGTAGGTATTATTTATTTTTGCGAGGTAGAGATATGTTTTCATTCCTAATAATTTTTGAAACATAGCTTTGAAAACACTCTGCATCTCATATACCAATGAAGAAGTCTAGAGTTTCTTATAACTAAATAGAAGATTAAAGTTTACTTTACAAGTTGGGTATGATATATCCTGTTTAAATCCTTAGGATGGCCATTTACTAATTAAGTAATTTTTGATTTTTAATCGTCAGGATATAGTTAATGAGACCCTTTACCACACACATATTTTTCCTGTGCTCTAAACCTTTAGGAACTGCTCTGAAATGCCCTTTAAAAATCCCTATTTTTCTCAATAAATTTTAATTATTTAGTCATATTTTAAGATTAAACTTGGGCTAAAATTCTATTTATCGTATGTTGAAAAACAGAGTCAAACGACTTATACCATAATTTTAGTAAGACAAAAAATCAAACTTTAAAAAAATTTTTAGGCCGAAGTACAGGGTCGAACTTTTTTAAATGAAATTATTATCAGCCGAAGAACAGGGTCGAACTTTTTCTTAAAATATTTTCCTGTCGAAACCAAATAAAATTTTTAAAAGCAAATATCTCGGAAACTAAAAGGGTTAGGACAAAAATTCTTTCAGATCCTTGATCCTTGAACAATTCTTTAGCGGATTAACTAATAAAACATGAAATTTCAATTCTCTCAAAACCGAAAAAAGTGCAAAGAGGTACCTCTTCTCACTTTTTTGATTTTTGAAAAAATAAAACTAAACACGCTATCCTGTAAAGAATCCTTTAAGGAGTAAGGATCCAAAGTCGCTTTTATCCTAGTCCTTTTAGTTCACGAGTTATTAGCGTTTAAAGTTTTAAATTGCGATTATCTCGGAAACTAAAGGCGAACGCCAAAAAAGCACTTCAGCTCCTTGATCCTTAAAGGGATCTCTACAGGATAGCGTGCTCAGTTTCATTTTTTCAAAAATTGAAAAAGTGAGAAGAGGTACCTCTTTGCACTTTTTTCAGTTTTGAGAGAATTGAAATATCGTGTTTTAATAGTTAATCCGGTAAAGAATTGTTCAAGGATCAAGAATCTGAAAGAATTTTTGTCCAAGCCCTTTTAGTTTCCGAGATATTTGTATTTAAAAAAAAATTTTGGTTTTGACCGGAAAAAAATTTAAGAAAAAGTTTGCCCCTGTTCTTCGGGCAAAAATAAATTTTAAAAATTAGTTCGACCCTGTTTTTCGAGCAAAAATAAAAAAATATAAAATTAAAAATTTATTAAACTTGAACGTTATTTCAGAATATTTTACAGATAATAAATATTTAAAACGATAAAAATAATACTTTAAATGTATTTTCATCCTCGTGATCAATACGAAACACAAATTTTGAGGCATTTTTAAGGTTTTGAAGCATTTTTAGGGCATTAATTAGCCGTTTTAAGGGCATAAATACATCGCAATCAAAAGAGAAACTCTTCTTCTATCATATTCTTTTTATTGCTGGGCAATTATTCTTTTAATATATTTGCAACAGGGTGTTTATCACAAAAAAACTAGAGTTTTTTGAAGAAATATTGGTTTACTGACTCTTTTAGGGCATTTCAAAGTCCTTTCGTAGGCAAAGACTCATATTAAACAAAAGAACTCTTCCTATATAAAATGTTATAAGTTATGTTAGAATAGGACTCATATTTCCAAAAATACAGAGTGTTTTCTACGCAAATTTTTTAAAATTGGCACAAAAAAATGAAGTTTAATTGTGTTTTAGGGTAGATTTGAGCAGTTTCAAAAGCAGAAATATTTGTTAAATGAAAGAGGCATTATTGTTTTATATAATACAGAAAACCACCCTAAAATTATGCTTTTCTATGGCAAAATATAAGAAATTTTCTAAAGGGTGCGATTAAAATTTATAGATATTTGTTTATTAGACAATTCCTTGTCTGTAATATGATTTCCTCCTACTAAAGATACTTATTCTTAATTTAACACATGACATAAAGAGCAATTTTACAAATGACCAAACATATAATTAATGCCTGTGAATAAAGTTAACCAACTGAATAAAATGAATAAAGTATAGAATTCAATTGTGTTATTTAAATAAAAAATCATTAACCCTTGCAAAACATCCGAAGAAAATCGTAAATTATTCACACTTGCCTCTCCTAAACAACGTAAAAGCAATTGAATGAAGCAACATGCACATTAATACCGACCGCGCGCAATAAAAATATGTGTAACATGCTGAAATTCGCAATGGATGTGAATGTCAAATAATTCATGGAATGTCTTATTGTTGAACTCTTGGTGACACAGATCTGCTCCTACGAACAGATCCATAATGCATATTATATAAGTGCAATTGCTTCAAGATAATCGATGTTATTATCTGTAATACTATAATCCAGCAACAATTTGTGCAAGATCCATGCTGCAAAATGCTAATATTATTGCTATTGATATATGCCATAAAACAAAACCACAATTTTTCACTTCTGATCCACATCTTATACAACACTTGCACCTCTGACCTTAGAACATTTCCAATGCGTTAATTTTGGCACACAACGATCATTTCTTTTGCCTCGCCACGGGTGAGTAAGCAATGGGCACACACGCAATCCACATTCATCTCAATCAGCCGAAAAATATTTCAAGAGTCACTCAAACAAATTTATCTGCATAACATTCATTCATTCCAAGAATAAACGTTAATAATTTTAAGCAGATACTTAAAATAGAATTATGCGTTGCTTTGTATTCGTTCAATACAATTATGTAAACAGAATTGATTAGCTTCGAACCAAATAATATCAAATAAAACTCCATCGGCGTGTGTTTTGATGTAACCAGCAAAACATAACAATTTTCAAGGATAGAATACTTAGAGTTACAGCAATCATTATTAAATGCGTACGGCTGCAATTTACTAGTTGTGAATTAGTCGAGCTTTCTCGAGGGAGAATGCTTTGTCTTCTTTTTGCGGAAGACCCTGAATCGAATTACACCATCATCAAATCGTGTTCATTGTTTTTTCTGTCGAACTTCAACTTTACGATATTTATTTTATCGTTAGTGAATTCGAAATGGAAGCAAGGACACGACATTCAAATAATTACTTCATTCCAAAACAAAAAATATAATTATTCATTATTCTACGCTAAATCGCACACGTTTAAACTTAATTTTATATAATTTATAATAACGGATATATATTTCAAACGGAACTACGTTCATTAAATTTCATTCACATGAAATTGTATAATATTACACTATGAGTATTGCAGGCTTTAATGTTTTGTTCACGAGTGATTTTATTATTTCTTGCAAGTGATATGTTAAAAAAATGTATAATCTAAAGGTTGTGAGATTGGCGATCGCGTTGAAGGAAGAAAATAAACTCGCTGTGATTTACCTGAAATGAAAACATGTTTCGACCGTATTTGCGCTGTAACACAATTCTAATTAAACTAGTTCCAGCCATGCCTGTAAAGTTTGCACCTTAATTACAACCGCAATCGGTAGATATTTCAGATATAGCAAAAAAATGCGTAAAAAACCAACGACCTTCTCGTACTTCTCCAGTTCTTAGTGCTTGGAGTCTAATGTAGGTGTGTCTTTCACTTCAACACTCATTATTGGCTTAGTTCTGTTTGTTACCTTCTAATATTTCGTGATTTTCATTTAGTTTTCGATTAAGAATCAACAAAAAATTGTAATTTATCTGTCGAAATATATATTTTGCTTATTTTTATATGAAATTCATTGTTACGCCCTAAAGTGGCTCCCAAAACTTCTTAAAAATTATTTTTGATCAAAGAACAGAGTCAAATATGCGTAGAAAACACTCTATATCTGTGGATATATGAGTCCAATTCTAACGAAATTTATAACATTTTATAGAAAAAGAGTTGTTCTTTTGTTTAAGATGCATCTCTGCCTATGTAAGGGCTTTGAAATGACCTAAAAAGAGTCATCAAAACAATAATTCTTTGAAAAACTCTTGATTTTTTGTTAAAAACACCCTGTAGCAAGTGTTTGAAAAGGATAATTGCCCAGAAATTCAAAGATTATGATAGTAGGAGAGTTTCTCTTTTGTTTGCTATGTATTTATGCCCTTAAAACGGCTTATTAGTGCCTTGAATATGCCCTAAAACGTCAAAAATGCCTCAAAACTAGTGTTTTTATTGATCACCAGGATGAAAATACTTTAAAAGTATTATTATTATTATCGCTTTTAAATATTTATTATCCGTAAAATATGCTGAAATACCATTCAAATTTAATAAATTTTTATTTTTGGTTTTTGGTTTTTGCTCGAAACACAGGGTCGAACTAATTTTTAAAAATTATTTTTGCTCGAAGAACAGGGTCGAACTTTTTCTTAAAATTTTTTCCTGCGAAACCAAAGAAAATTTTTAAATGCATATATCTCGGGAACTAAAAGGGTTAGGACAAAAATTCTTTCAGATCCTTGATCCTTGAAGAATTCTCTACAGGATAGGTAATTAAAACAGCAAATTTTGATTCTCTCAAAACTGAAAAAAGTGCAAAGAGGTACCTCTTCTCAGTTTTTCAATTTTTGAAAAAATCGAACTGAACACGCTATCCTGTAAAGAATCCTTGAAGGTTTAAGGATCTGAAGTCCTTTTTATCCTAGCCCTTTTAATTCACGAGTTATTAGCGTTTAAAGTTTTAAATTGCGATTATCTCGGAAACTAAAGGCGAGCGCCAAAAAAGGACTTCAGGTCCTTGATCCTTAAAGGGTTCTCTACAGGATAGCGTGCTCAGTTTGATTTTTTCAAAAATTGAAAAAGTGAGAAGAGGTACCTCTTTGCACTTTTTTCAGTTTTGAGTGAATTGAAATTTCGTGTTTTAATAGCTAATACGGTAGAGTATTCTTCAAGGATCAAGGATTTAAAAGAATTTTTGTCCTAACGCTTTTAGATTCCGAGATATTTGCTTCTAAAAATTTTATTTGGTTTCGACCGGAAAAAATTGTAAGAAAAAGTTCGGCCCTGTTGTTCGACCACAAATAATATTTAGAAATTAGTTCGGCCCTGTGTTTCGACCAAAAACAAAAAATATAAAAATAAAAATTTATTAAATTTAAATGTTACTTCAGCATATTTCACAGATAGTAAATATTAAAATACGATAAAAGCAATAATTTAAAAGTATTTTTGTCCACGTGATCAATAAAATTCACAATTTACTAGAGTTTTGAGATTTTAAGGTATTAATAAGCCCTTTTAAGTGCTCAAATATATAGAAAACAAAAAAGAAACTCCTCTACTATAACATTCTTCTAATAACAGACCATTTATCCTTTTTATGTACCAGCTACAGAGTGTGTTTTTATAAAAATATAAGGAGTATATAAAAGGATTATTGTTTTAATGGCCCTTTTTGGACATTTCAAAGTCTTGTCGAAAGCTGTAATGCACATAAAGGAAAGGAGCAACTGTTCCTCTATAAAATGTTTCAAATTACGTTATAATTGGACTTATATATCCAAAGATATAGGGTGTTTTCTACGCATACTTTTAAAATTGGCAAAACAATGAAGTTTAATTTTTGTTTTTGGGTAGATTTGAGCCGTTTCAAAAGCAGAAATATATTGGGATTTTTTAAAAGGCTGCGCTTAAAATTGAGGTATATGACTTAAAGATATGTGACTTTTAGGACTTCTCACAACAAATAACTGACAATTAATAATTTTGACAAATTCAGTTCATTTCAAAATGTCACCCTTAAGTATATTCCCAATTATGTTCTTACTTTTACCCTTTATAACAGCAACAAAAGTTGATATACTTCCATCTATCCAATACAAATACAAATGTGACTTTGAATATGTCGAATTAATCGAAGAATTCCCCTCGGAGATGTCAAGCATCGAACGCAAATACATCCTCCATTTACACAACCAACTACGCAACAACATAGCGATGGGTAAAATCAGTTTCGTACCTTACATTCGCAACATGGGCTATGTCCAATACGATCTCGAGCTGGAATACATTATAACCTGCCTTGTCCGCACCAACGCCATTTTAATAGCTGAAGTACGCGCAGAACTACAAAGAAAATTCGTTGCACGCGTGTATGACTTCGATAATAACATAGTATTAATGGTACATTACCTAAGAAGCTACTATAGACCATTCGAAATGCGGAAAACGTTGATCAAGGCCGCGTTTGAAGCATGGCGAGATCCCAAGCGTGATTTTGGTAGCGCTGCTGTATCCACAAAAGCATTCAACCATATAGGTTATCACAGTGTGCGTGCAATAGGCTGCGCTAAGTTAATCACAGCCAGATTGTTCCCGATGTACGGATATGAATTCGGATGCCTGTACAAGTGCCTCCAAGATGTCCCACTGCCTGAAGATATGATGTATGTGAAACTAGGCGAATATGGCAAACCAAAATTGGTCATGAGTCAAAAATATCCGGCGTTGATTTATGACGGATACATAGTAAAACCATTCGTCCCGCCAATTCCGGGAATAATCGCAGATGCAAGCGATGGAATTCATTTTAATCATAAGTTACAGTTGCTTATAGTTTTAATAATGATATTAGTCTAGCTTAACACCTTTATAATCGCATTGTAACCTTTTGAATTATGGCATTATAAGGTATTATTTAGTGTATGCAAGATGCAAATGTAATGCATCTCGTAAAAATCACGATCTAACGATCCGTGCGCGGCGAGTAAATTGCTTTGGTATTTATATTTGATAATATCAGCCAACTAGAATTTCATTCAGCCATTTCAATCATTTTACTCTATATGTATTTCTTGAAAAGTTCGTGTGTAATAATTGCATTAACAAAGAATTTGTACAAAAAACAAAACGGTTTAAATAATCAACACATATTCTTATATAGTTGAGGATATGTGTGGTGATGAAATAAATAATTATTTATTAAACAATGTTAATAGGTGATTCAATATCCGTTGAAGTGTGAGTTGTCTTGATGGTGATGATGTCCCTTGATCGGTTCGGTCTTGTGAACGATGGCGTTGAAGCCGTTGTGCTTGTCGGCAGTGTAATCGACCGTGCGAATGGAGCCATCGGGTTCCACCAGTGTGTAACTCCCTTTTACGACATCGCCGTCACGCGATTCATGCTGGGACTTGATGTCACCCGTGTGGAAATCGTTCACGCCGTATTTGTAACTGTATTTCGGATGAGCCTGCGTGAGAAAATGCGATTATTCAACGTAAAATGCAGAAAAACAGAAAATTAAGTGTATATTTGGTTGCATACATTACAACTCTATCTAGTGTATTATATAGTTGGAAATGTTGAAACTTAATCACCTAATTACAAATTGTTGAAAATGCTGGTGATTCCATAAAAGTGCCTAATAGAAAATCACCTCAAACATGTGCAGTGCAGTTGTAGAGAAATTTAAGAGAAATTTACTTACAACTTCAAAAAAGAGAGCAAGCAATTTCTCGCGGGCTTCTTCAACATTTTAACGAGTTAGAAAATTTAAAGAAGCCGAGTTTCTTTCGCTTAATTACCATTTGTTTAATTAATTATGTCAATTATGAGTACTTACATAGTAATCGATGTGATGCGGGTCGACGAAATGTCTCTCGTGAAACGCGCGACTTTCATGATGGCCGCCATCGTCGTAATCCTGGGGATTTTCGTATTTAGGATACTGTTGTACCGGATATGACGTTACCACTGCCACGAGAAATAACCACAAAGGCAATAATTTCTATAATGATAAAATTTAAGATGATTAATTGTTAGGTTTGATTATTTTTTTAATACCTGAATGTAAATCATAGTTGACACTTTGATTTTTTGATTACTGAGTAAATGAAACAAAATGCACGACCTTGAACGCACGTCTACCTATCAAGTAGTGATTAAGTGAAATTGCAGATGCTTTATTTATATGCTTTCATCGCCTTTGCCGGTTGTAGTGGACGAGTAAAGAAATGCAGCCAAGTGAAAGAACCACCTTGCACCTTGCACTGAAATCGTGACACACGCAGAAGGTGTTAATTGGTTTAAAACATTCAAGTACAGCATAAATTAAATGGTTATGCATATTTTAATTGATTTTATACAACACTCATAATAATTAAAACAAGCAAAAATTGATTTTTTCTTAAATTTGGTTACAAATGTCATTATTATGCAACTTTTCAAACACATAAATTAATATTTGGGTTGTCTATACATAAAAATAATCAATTTTAGTTTTTTACACATTACTTTTAATTAAAATAACAAAAAATATTTTTAATCTTAAATTTGGTTACAAATGTAATAATTATGCAACTTTACGAACAGATAAATTAATATTTGGGTTGCTTATACATACAAATAATAGATTTTAATTTTTTTACCCAACAATTTTAATTGAAACGTCAAAAACATTTTTTATCATAAATTTGGTAACAAATGTAATATTATGCTACTTTGCACGCAGATAAATGATATAATAAATGATATGATACATGATAAATGATAAATGCACGCAGATATGATATTTGGGTTGCCTATAAACAAAAATCCTAGATTTTTATTACTATACTGGAAGTAATTAACTAATGTACTCCATCAATGTGTCCGAGATTAACAAGGAATGTAAGCCAGCAGGAAGTAAACTAACTCGTCTTTTGCAATTAAAAAAATAGATGATAGTTACACGCCGTATATAAGCTTTCGATTCGGAAGTAATACCGTCCGAATATTATGTTCCTGAGAACTTCGATCTGCGATGTTTGATGCTCGCCATCGTAAGGATGCAAACATTCTAATTCCAAAACGAAAACACGATTCAAGATTTATCTCATAGTCTTAAGATGCGTTACGCAAGGCATTTCCTCGATCCATTTCGCCGCTTTTAGCAAACGCGCAAGCTAATGAAGCAGACCTAGACGCGCGCAAATTGATTTCTGGCGAATTTATTAGCTAACGCCGCGAAAAATAAAAGTCCACGCATAAATGAAGAAAACGTAACGAAATGAAGATGTGTAATTATAGCTATTAAATGCATTTCGACCCGAACGCATGCGCTGCGCAATAGTAATTTCTATTTTCACCTCGTTTTCATTTATGAAACCGCTTGCCGGCGTAAATGGTTATTGTTAATTTATGCACAAATTACTTCAAAACGTCTTCATTATAATAAATTATATTAATGTCATTGCAATAGTAGAGTTTTATAGTTTATTGTGTGCTAAATATGGAAAAACTTGATTTTTATGATGATTTTTATCATAACTCACGTAGTATTTAAAAAAATCGAAGTATTTTTGGTCACACGTAACAATTTTTAGATTATTTTGATAAAAAATTATGTCAAAACTGTTAAATTCGAATATTTTTTTAGGTTATGAAAAGTTTTAGACCTGTAGAAGTAAAAAAAAACTAGTAATTATACCAACACATGTACAAATCTATCAATTTTAGGTTATTTTAATATAAAACTAGGTTAAATCTGTCAAATTAAAGAAATTTTGAGGTTATAATAATTTTGACACTTCTAGAACTTTTAGAAGTGAATATAACCTCAAAAAACATTAAATTAGCACCGAAAATGTCATTTAACAAAAATGCAAGCAAAAATTTCAATAAAAATTAGTGCTAACGTAATAAAAGATATTATTTAACCAAAAATATGTTAATAGATCAAATTTTCACCTAGTTTAATCATGCGCAGCGACAATTTTGCGGTCTAAACCGTATAACTCACTACTTATAATCGATTCTATGGCAAAATATTTGCGGCTTGTAAATTTTCAACATTGCAGCTCGTAACTAGATTATATGAGCATCATAATAATTCCAATCGAAATGATGTATTCAATTATTTCCGGATTGCAAGACAATTGTATAATGCAATTGACTAATGCAATGCCAAATCAGCTATAAAACACCAAACTCCAGAGATTGTCTTCAGTTCTGATTGAAATTTACCTCATAAAACAAGTTTAAGTTTACTTAAGTCGTTTAAATCATGTTTGTTAAATTATTGTTAATTTCTGTTAGTTAAAACATAAAATGAAGGTTTTAGTGCGATGGTTAATTTTGATTTGATTTTAGTACGTGTTTGGTGTGATCGTAGTTGGAATACCGACGCCTGCCGAAGATGTCGACGAAGATAACGCTCAGCAAGAGCACGAACCTAATGCGGAATACGGATATTCCTTTCACAAGTTCAGCGGACCTGTTAGTGGTGAAATTAAGCCGATTTATGTGCCCGACGGTCAGGAAGGACAGAAACTCGATTATTATGTGAGTGGCGTAAATAGATCATAAATTATCCGGTTAAATATTATTTTTACACCTCATTTAAATAGTAATACTCGTAAATTATGTGAAAAGTGAAATTGTCAATAAAAACCCATTTTTAATTTACTCGTAATTTACAGGCAACGCCAGATTATAATTATTCCTATGGTGTAAAAGATCCTAAAACCGGAAATACTCAGGAGCATCAAGAGAGTAGGCAAGGGGATGCTGTGAAGGGGCAGTATAGTGTTGTACAGGCTGATGGTGTGACTAGAGTGGTGAAATATACAGCGGATCCAAAAAATGGATTTCAAGCCATTGTTGAATATCATTAAATTTTATAATGGATTATAGTCAATGCCAGTCAAATAAATAGTATTCTTGTTACAGTTATTATGTTCTTCTATGTATATTTAGTGAAAAAGTCAATAAAATAATTGTTTTTAGTTTTTTTAACATTAATTTTAAAGAAACCTGTCATAAAACCGTTTAGTGCAACATTGGTTGCATATTCTTGTGAATGTAATGCAAACATAACCTATAAAAATAAAATTTATGTCCGTATAAATGCAATTATACTGATTTACAATTAATTATAATACAAAACAATTATAATCCGAGAAGAATCCAAGAAAAAACTGTTTAAACAATAAAATTGCATAAAAATCAAAATTTAATAGAAAAATCAATAAATCACTTGTTTCATGCTTATTATTGGCTAATCTTTAAAGAAAATTGCAAAATACTCGTAACTTTCTGAAAATACTTAAATAATTACTGCTTTAATTTTAAATCTATTATTTTTGATAGCTCCAACATTAATTTCAAAGATAAATGTCAAAAACGTAACATTGGTTGCAGTTTCTTGTAAGTGTAATTACAACATAACCTATGAAAATGCAATTATATTAATTGGCCACGAATTAAAACATAAAACAACTATATCCAGCAGATGTATACATGATTTAAACAATAAATAATAATAATTTACTGATAAAATCAAAGAAAACGCTATTTAAACAACAAAAACAGACGTAAATGTAAAACTAATAAAATAAAGTTAATTTTAACTGCTAAATTAATAAATTCTTCATTTTATGCTCATAATTTCCAAATCTAGATAGAAAATTACAAAATTACTTTATGAGGTTTTCGTAAATAATGTCTCCTTTGATTTTAGCTCCATTCCAACACCGCGCCGCCGATTTGTCGAATTGGAATTTTCACTGGTGCCATTACAACAAAAAAAACCGCACAAATTCCTCTTTAGGTATCGCCTAATGACAAGAAATAACGAGCCACGGCACACTTTAGTTACTTCGCAAGTCACGAGGTAACAACCGCCGGCTAAAACTCCAGACGCGATCACGCGAATAACCTGACTAATTCGTTATTATTATTCAATTCATTCTTGCGCGGATCGCCACATTGCAAAAAGCAATTAAACACGCCAAAGACTATATTTTCATGTCTAATCATGCGCATCACGAAATCCTATTAATCGAACATTTATGTGAATTTATAAGCGGCGTAAATTATGGCACCAGTTTTTCGATGTTTCTATCCGCGCACGATTTCTTATATCAACTCGGATTGCATAATATAGTGCACATATGTCGTCGTCGTAGTTTTTTTCAGTTTCTGGTTCAACATGCATGCGCATGCACCTTTCTTCGTGTCCATATTGGAAGTCGCCTTTTTCGTGCGGAATTCTCTGTGTGTCGCATTATAAACATTCCCAAACTCATAGATTTGCTTTATGATTCGTGGAATATGTACAATCACAATAAATGCCCATAGTCTTAATATCAAATTGTTGCAATCTGACTGCAAAGTTGCAAAATAAGCATAAATTAAGTTTAATCTACGCGCGTAATTCAGTGAATGAGTTTAATTGGCACTTTGCGCAGTTTAATGCGTTTAGTGCTTAAAACGCCAAACTCGTAATTCCTCTGTTGTCGCTTCTGATATGCATTTGGTAATCTGCAGATTGCAGTGAAGAGAAGGAACTGTGCAGGAATTCAATCTGCAATCGTGTATCTTTAATGGTGGGACTTTGGTATAAAACGGGCGTTCAGCGTACGCACCTGTCCAGTGTCTGTAATCAGTCGTTTTCTCTTTTTCCAAAATCAAATAATCACACACCAATATACGATATTAAACAACGATCTCACAATGAGAGTAAGTGTTTAAAATCAAAAGTGTTTTAATAAAATGTGTTCTAATAAAATTTTGTAGGTGATTCTGGCATTGTTGTTGGTGACCTTTGCGCACTGCTATCCTCAACATGGTTATGGCCATTACGATGGAGGGCTGATAGGACATGCGCCCATCATTCACGCTGCGCCTGTTCATAAAATTATTGCTGAACCAGTCGTACGTATAAATTTTTATCTTATTTTTTTTATTACATAATATCTAAACACGCATTATGTAATTTTATGTGTTGTAATAGATTTTTATCACACATGTTGAAGAAGAAGAAGAAGAAGAAGAGAAAACCTTGTTTTTCTTCTTCCTAGAGAGTATTTATTGTTTTATTATTGGTTATTTTAATTTGAAACTTTGCAGTGAATAGAAACAAGTTTTTGGTCTTTGACTGCGCTTTCTCAAATGGCCATAAACGCACAAAAGTCCTTGTAAAGAAATTTACGACCTGTACTAGAAACTTTTTGCCTTTTTCAAATTTAATTAACGTTTTTCTCTAAAAATATTGCATACATACTAAAGTATATTAATGTATAATATGTTGCATACATTAGAGTAAAGGTTATGATTTTTATCTTGTAGGCCTATCCAAAATACGCGTTTAAATATGGCGTGCAAGATCATCACACTGGTGATCACAAATCGCAGCATGAGGAACGCGATGGTGATGTAGTGAAAGGTGAGTACTCGCTAGTGGAACCCGATGGTACCATCCGCAACGTGAAGTACACCGCCGACCATCACAACGGATTCAACGCGGTGGTCACCAAGTCTGGACATGCGGTGCATCCGCAGGTTGTGCACAAGGTTGTCCCGGTTGCCGCCCATTACTCTACCGGCCATGGACATTACTAATTCTATTCTATTTTATGCCATTTTTATGCCATGACTTAACATAACCTATACCATTATCCCAAGTGAGATTCACTTATGCATTGAGTTACCGTTTATTCAACGCGCCATTACACTATTTATACGCTGACCATATTTTAGCACTAGTTATGTTTATATTTAACACCAAACAATACAGAAACCGTTATGATGATGAAGTTTATCGTTTTCGAAAGATCTCTTTAAATCAAGAAAAATTATTCTTATTAATAAATACACATATTGTTCGTATGTACGTGTACAATAAAGTTGATTCCGAAAACTTAGTTCGTAGATGATTTGTGTTATTCATTTTAAAATGGTTGTAGCTGATGACTAATTTAATGTTGTTGCGCTCAGCGTGGGGTGTTTTGTGGAGTTTTTGACTTCAACTCACGCATTTCGAAGATTATTAATCGCGGAATGTCATCTGCGACTTGTATATTTAATTATTACGATTTATTTTATCAGGAAATAGGCAAATATGTTGACACGAACATTATGAACAGCAATAAATTATAGATTAGTTTATGTGAAATTCTTGAAAATAGAAAATGTTGATCTAATATATAACTTTTCAGAAACAAACATAAAAATAATTCATTTTTGTGTTTTGGAGCTGCATACAATTACATGTTATAGTGTAGGCAACCAATCGTGCATCATTGTTTGGCATGCATATGCATATGCATTAACCTTAAATTTTTAATTTTTATCATAAACTAGTTTTTGCCCACGACTTTGTCCCGGTAGTGTATAATAAAAATGTAATTAGGTTTTACTCTCTTGTTCTAGACATAGTATGTGTCAATACTATCAATAAGGTTCGCAATTTTATTTTAAAGAAATTAATTATATAAAGAATTACTAATAATGCACTTCAGCGCGCCATCTCGGATTCAACTATTTAACAATAACTATGATTGAATCTCAATGCCAACTTTTATCCTATAGAAAAGGGCTGTCTTAAGGGTTTTCCCGGCAATTATTCAAAATTTTCTCGCCGTATAAACCATCCTTGGACTTTAACAAACATTTAAAAAAAGAATTGGCCAAATTGGTCTAGGCGTTGTTGAGTTATGCGGTTACCAACAGATTTTGCGATTCATTTTTATATCATAGATGTGGTCATTACAGTGTTAATAATGAATTAATACCAATTAACAACGTAAATAATATCACTTTAATTATGTAGTTTGTAAATTAAATTAGAAACAATTACGTTACGCTAAATTTAACTTTCTACAAGCAAAAATAAATAATTCACTCTCGTTATTTGAAGCTGCATACAATTGTACACAATTATTGCAGGTTATGTTATGTTATGTTACGCATGCGCATTATGTGCACTCATTTTAACCTTAAATATTCTTATAAAAGCGTTAATAAGTAATTAATTCTAATAAATAACATAAATAACATAATTATTACTCATGTAATTTATAAATTCGATTAGAAACGATTACGTTACGGTCAATGCGCTAATAAATTTCGGCACATCTTCTAAAAAAAACACTCAAAATGCCTCAAAACACACACATTCCTATGAATTATTAATATTTACTGGAAATCATGAAGTTGTGAACAAAACGACGCTTGACGTGTGTCACGTATACTTTATTAGCGTCGGCCAGATACTCCATGTCCGCAGTCTCTAATGTCCACAGATTAAAGTAATAAGAAGTTTAATTTATTGTTGATGAGAATGCCAAACATTGTGGTTTAATTCCTAACACCCTAATACTACAATAAATACGCAAAAACACTTTTAAAATTTAATGTTTCTCGTAAATAAATGTTGGTGTAACAATAGTTAACCCGTTAGTTAATAAAAAATAATCAAAAATAAAATTTTATAAAACAAGTTTATGACAGTTATAAAACTTATTCGAAGATTCACACATTCACGCCTCCAAGTTTATTATTTTTATTTTTTATTCAAATAATAACATTTGATACAAAACCATTTTGATATTTTATGACATATTGTCAATCATAAAAATCACGTTAAACCATAAAACAGATTACAGATTACTTAACTTAAGCATTTATCGCTCTTCCTACGCCATCTTGGATACCAAAAGTTCAAAAATCTTTCAAGTGTTTAAGAAGCAATTAATTTATTAAGTTTTAATGCGTGGGATTAATTAAATATTGAAACAAAAAGTTTAAGCTAACTTAACTTAAGTCAACTTAAGTAAACTTACGAGTTGCCTATGTTTGACTTGCGGTATAAGTCAAAAAATTGAGATAATCATCTTAAAATGACCACAAAAGTACAAACAGATAATTTAAAGTAGTTTAAATTAAATTTTTATACAAAAACTTTTCAAACATTATTTGAAGCAATAATTGACGTATAATTACATCTATTCTAATGGTGCACGCACTCTACGGCACGTACTACATGTTTTTATTGTTGTTCCTACTGATTAGTTGCCAGTTTTTTTATGATCACTCCCAAAATCAGTACCTGGAGTCCACTGAACCTTTATTCATGCATGTAGGTGTGTTTTTTGGTTAATTACTAAATTAATAGCCGCAAGACTGACAGTTTGAGTGTGTAAACTATATTTAACTATTGGAAAACTATAAATTCAACATAAAATCGTTAATTGTAACAATTTTACATAAGAAATTGGTGAATTAGTAAATAAAATTATATCGAGTATAAATGAATTTTGAGGAGGCCGAGATGTTGATGACCGTTTTACCACCACTTATTGAAATCGATGAAAATCGATTTTTTTAGGCAATGGGCAAGGAGTAGGAGGAGAAGAGGTCCGATATATCCTGATATTTCCGTGTGTATATATATTTTTCTGAAGATGATGTACGCGTGAGTTTCGTGTTGGGTGTTATAATCGCAAGTTCAAGTTCAAGACCAGAATAAAAGTGCAGAATAAATTTCTTTGTGCATTCGAGCATTTTTTTATTCAAATTAGCGATAATCATGCCGTCGTACCAATTCTTTCTGCGAATGGTGAGTGTAAGCATTAAAAATTACAATAAAAAGTGAATTTGTATGCGTGAAGAGAAGAAACGTTTTCAATTTCTATTTTTATTCATGTTTTTATTGAAATAATTAGTGCAATAGTGCAAATTTAAAGAAATAATATTATTTATGAAGTAAAAGAAATATTTAAACTAATAATTTAGGAATAATAATAAATCATTTTATTTATCTTTTATTTTTTAACATCATTTTAATTTGTGTAACTGTGAATCTCTGCCCACGTTGATTTTGATAAATTTTGCGCTATATTTTAAACAAGTCGTGCATTAATTTTGAGTGGTAACTATATTTTGCACTTAATGTTTTAATGTCGCCGGTTTTAATTTATTTTAACTCTGAATACATTTCTCTCCGGCCTCCACGCGATGATTATCTATATTCGGCGATCGTTAAAAGCCGCCGCCTAGTATTAAAGGCAATGTTTTGATTTGTATTAATCATGTTAATAAAATCAGCAGCCGTGAATTATCACAATTTAAACAGTCGTAAAATTAGCGAGTTCATAAGCATATGCTTTGCACATGTTCTGGTAATTGATGGTAATTGAAATATTGCACTTTAAGAAGATATTTTGTTGATAAATAATGTTTTTACGTGTGAATTGTAAAAGTAAATTGTAAAAACCATAAATTTTAATAACTCAATGTTGGAATAACGATTTAAGTGTCAAACATAAGAGATAATTGTGTTAAATATTGAAATAATTCATAAATCACCCAAAAACAGCTAAAATGTGAGGTTATGAGATTTGTTTCACGTCAAAAATGATGAAACTGGCAAAATTTATGTTCATAAAGTTGCCTACGTTAGTACAATTAACTTTTATTGCTTAATTATGTAAAAAATGGTTTATTTAAATATTTTCCGAAATTATTAAATAACCTTTCCTATAATATGTAAAGATATTTTTTTATTCGTTAAAATATCCATTATTTGACCTGAATTTAAACACAAATGTTTAATTTTAATTTAAACTATGGCATGAACACACAAATCAATAAATAAAAACGTTTGTAAACGAATCGATTAATTTTAATAACAGCTTACAAACAAAAACAATTATTTCTACAAGTTAATCCGTTAACTGTGCCTGTATACCGCCGGTTATTTTTAGTCAAACAATTTTACGAACATCAATGCGTGGTTTAATTTCGGCCTACACTTTATTTATAACAAATATTTTCATCGTGTAATAAAATAACAATAGCGTCATGGCGTCATGTAGTTCAATTGTTAGATTTAATTCAATTCAGTGTTTATCAACGCTAAATCTATGCTAATAAAATTTTATTGTTTTTTTATTGCTCGATTAGATAAAGATCAATCTTTTAGTGATGTTATGATTATTATAACTAAAATATAGTTTGAGAGAGTTTTATGATGTTTGATTTATCAACTATTTATCTAAGGAAGTAGCATATCATAAAAGTAATGAGAATAGAAAAATTAGAGACGAAAAATTATTGTTTTGATGATGTTAGATTTTTTGTTTGTTTGTTACTCTTTCTCGCTCAAACTTCTAAATCAATTTTAATAAATTGTGGTATAGAGATAGTTTTGACGAAGGAAAATAACATAGACTACTTTTTGTCCCAAATTTATATCTAAAAAAGTGTCAAATGGAATAAAAGTTGATATTGAGATTCAATAATAGTGATAATACAAACCGAGATGCATCTAACTCTAAATATGTTTCAGATATTAATTTCTCTAAGCATAATTTACAAATTATCAGCAGCTTACCCTGCATTTCCGGTTCAACGTTACAATACAAATTCTCCACGACTATCTGTAGTAGAATGGGACCAATACAACGAGCGCGACGTGCAAGGACCTGATACCTACGCATTTGGTTACGACGTGCAGAACCCGGACACTGATGATGTTCACTTCCGACATGAAGAACGTCTAGCAAACGGAACGGTAGTTGGTAGTTATGGTTATGTAACACCCGATGGAAATGCGCATGTTGTCAGATACATCGCAGATGAAAGAGGCTACAGGTAATTTTGTTATATTAAATTCAATTTTATAAAACAAAATAAATAATAAATTATATTGTCTATTAAGGGCCACGATTGAGTCCGGAAGGCGTCTTAATGACGTGAAACCAATTCGTGTGGATGTGGACCAAGCGTTGGCGGACGAACTCGCCACGGCTGAATTAGCACTACAGAATGATGATTTAGCAAAAGTTGCGAAATATGACAGCGGGAGTAAGAAATACATCACGCAGAGAATAAAACCTCAAAGATATAATAATAATAATAATAATGTTAATATTAATAATAGAAGAGAACATGTTTATGCTGTGAGTAACAATTTAGCACAAGCAGTACCTTTAAATGGCAATTATTATAAATGGAATTATTAATTATTAATTGGAATAAATATATATTTACAATAGTTTTTAATTTGATCTGTTTTTTTATTTGTTTTTCATGTTCTTATTGACAACTGGGATTTGGTGTCTCAACGCATGAATATTTAGTCCGTCAGCTATTAATTATCTCACTACATATTATTCAGTACTGAGAACTGAGAAATCACCTGATTTATTTTAATGCAAATAGTGCATCTCAGCGGCCTCTCGGGACTATAAAATATAGTTGTTTTATTTATGTTCTAATCATGAATGTGAAACGCGAAAACGCGAAAAGTGCGTTTGTTGTGATTCTACCAATGTTTACTTTACTATCTGATATCGCTACAGATTTGTACGATCTTCTCAACGCCGTGCACATTATCAGTGAAATGTGAACATGTTGAAACTTGTTGTTTCAAATCACCTGATTTATTTTAATGCAAATAGTACATCCTAGCGGCATCTTGGGACTATAATATAAAATATAGTCGTTTTGTATATATTTTAATCATGAAGAAGAAATACAATCAAAACAACATGAATAACGTCTGCTATCATTGTATCCGTGTATTTCTGATTACCTGTCGAAACATTAACGCAATTCTCATATTCATGCGCATCTAATAAAATAAGCAATTACATTTGTCGTTAATTATTGTGTTTTTTTCTGCAAAATGTTTAAAACAGCTAAAATAAATATTTAAACCTTTTTAAGACAACGAAATCATAATTTACAATTTAAAATTTCACACGTCAAATATTAGAAAAATAAATCATAAAACAACTGCATTCTTACAAATTCTGTCAAAAATTTCTGACAAAACACAGTCACTCATCCAAAATGTCTGGAAACTTCCGGAAAATAAAATCAGTGATAATAGAGACTTCCGACCTACCAAAATTAGACAAAACATCCCTCAATGTCCGATCACGTCTGTTATCAAGAGTACCTGGTATCGAAGCAGTCGACGTCAAACGCAGCACAAAAATCTCCCTATACTTCGATACATTAATTCGTCGAACACAGACTCTCCAACTTCCCTTGTACATCCCAGAACCAAGTCGCTTAGACTTTCTACGAAAGAAAAAATTCAAATACAACAAACGTATAACCTACGTCGAAGACATCGAACACCCTACAGTCTTCCAACGAAAATGTGCATTCACATCAGACCCATTCTGGTACATCTTCATGCGAGGAATAATCGTCCTCATCATTTTATTCATGGCAATATCACCGATTAACTTCTTCAGTTCAAACCTATTGGGTTGCATAAACCGTAAGTCAATTTTATATTTTATTCAAACCTCAAATTATTTACTGAAAACTTTTAGTATCTTTACATATAACTTACGTGATTGACTTTGTGATGAGTTTTCTTATGCAACACCTCGTACAAACGCGTGTCATAGTCCCTAACCCAGTCGCAAAACCCGTCTGGGTATTCATAATCGACTTCATCGCTATATTCCCGGTTACTTACATTATGTCAACGCCTGATAACACCGCATTGCAAGTATTCATCCGGTGTAAATCATGTTTACTAATCGTACGATTATTTTATGAATTTTTGTACGATGGCCTCCGATTGGAAGCACCTATAAAATGGCGCGTAATAGAATTAATAGTTCTCACAGTCTGCTTGAGAATATCAAGCTCCCTGTTAGTTTTCACCATAAACGGCATAGACACCTCCAATCCTGACCAAGTAGACTGGATGGAATTCAAAAACACTTTGTGCAAAACCCCTGAGACATTCAGTGTCATCCAGATGGAGCTACCAATCATCTGCACAACATTCCTATTGAATCAATGGTTATACATACCGGCAATATGTTTAATCATGTTTACATACATATTAAACAACACAGCGAAATATTCCTACATGTCACATGTGAAATCTTTCCAAACAATGATTTCCTCACGGTATGGCATCTCCAGAGAAAACGCAACTCAAGTCTTAGAATATTTAAAAATGACATGGGATACACGCGCGGATTTCATGTTCATGGAAGCTGCAGTTGCTGATAATATATATTGCAATACCACATTTATAGCCATGCATTACGATCGTAATCTATACGCATTACAACATTGTCCGATGTTACGAGATCTAGGATATCACGTGTTACGATTTTTGGCACAGATGATAACCCCAAAAATGTATCTCAAAGGTGTAGATCTCTATAAAAGCACAGAAAGGAAAGTATTCATGATTTACATCGCTTCCGGTGAAGTTCATCTTTTATCCAGTGAAGATGGATCAACACCTATACTAAAACTTACAGCTGGGAGCTGTGTGGGTGCAATGGTCCTCATACATCCTTATAAATCCAACTCTAATTTCCGCACGGGGTCAAACTGTGAAATTTATGAATTACAAACAAAAGATTTTTGTGACCTGGCAAGATATTTCCCCAAAGAATACCGACTGTGTTGTAATTATGTCCAGACAAAAATTGATCAAGCGTTTGTCCTGAAAACAATCAAACAGGAAGTGGAACCTAGATCTGTCGAGAAGACAATGATCTGGAGCAAACGTGAACTTCACAGGTTGCTGAGTTTAACCGCTGAGAATCCAGGCGATCATAAAATAACAAATATCTATCTGCAGCAGTATTTCGAAAAAGATAACCTCAATGATTTGATTTTTACAAAAATGAATCTAAATTCCTTATGCATCAAATCACGTGATACCCAATACAACGATCTGGTGTTTATTAAGTCTTCATGCCTTTGGGTTTTCCATCCAGACTCACCCCTGTTGCAATTAACCTGGAAATTCGTGTTTTGCGTCTCCATAGCTACATTTCTAATCATTGCGTATACAAATGTTGTTGGGCCGATGATTTCACTTACATTGATTCATTGTTTGTGTATATTATTAATGATAATCGAAATTATCTTACTTTGTATGACGCCTGTGAGGTTAAACACTTCAAGAAACATGTGGGTGGTGTTCATTTCACGATGTAAAGATGTCACCTTCATCCTGGATCTCATCTCGATAGTTTTGAGCATAGCATCTGTAAGAGGTTTATATGTTCAATTAAATAAAATCAGTATTGTCCATCTGCGTCTCTGGCGTGTTTGGGCTGTGTATGATCATATAGAGACTAATGTAGTGAATAGATTAATGTTTAAACAAGTTATATGTTGGGTAGGTGTTTGTGGATTATTGTGGTTTAATGCTGGTATTGCTTATAAAAAATATTTAGGTTATGATTATATCCTGTCTCATAGTGCGTTGTTAACAGCCCCGGAACAATCATTCAAAGAACCAAATTTTTATTATTTTCACATGTTACCGAAACATATTTTAAGTTGTATTATCAGTGCGGTGATTGCAAGTAGTTTTCATCTATTCCGAACTGATTCTATACATATAACTAATGCTTTGAACATAACCAACAAATTCATGCATTCTGCGCCTGTGCGAAAACGGAATATTTCACTCACCTGGCGTTTACATTCATTCCTAGCCTTGTTTATCAATGATTATAACTACTTACAGATGAAACACCATGAAAAACGCTTCTTTCAATTCCCTAATTATATGCAACACTTGATAAAACCTGAAAATCTCTTGGATTACATCAACCAATCACAGTTTTTCGAAAAATTTCCTAGGGATTTAGTTAAAGAACTAGCCGCGTGTTCCAATGTGGAAACTTTTTATGAAAACGCACTTATATTAACACGTGGTGTTGTAAGTAAAAACTTTAATATATTAATCACAGGACAAGTTTGTAGTGTGGAGTTGTCTAGAGTGCAGAAAGTGTCCCGCGGGCAAGATTTAAACTGTTTGGAGGTTATGCTAGGGCTGCCAACCGCACGCAACTACGTTGCGTTTAGTAACGCTGTCATCGTTTCAATTCCCTACGTCAAATTCATTGAACTGCTTGCACTATTCCCAACAACGAATGTTACCTTTCAGAAAACCCTAAATAACTACCGAGCGGAACTCAGTAACAGTCTCACTAGTATTATTTATGGTAAACCTGTGGTTGTGATTGAGGTTAGTCGAAACCCTGAAGTAGATTCATTTTTTCCGTTTAAATGTGTAATGTATCGTGATTCGTATGATGCCTACGATTATTTTCCACCGTTTGATAATCTAGGGTTTTTCTCTTTTGTTAGGTTTTTCTTACTAAGACTGACATTTCACCCGGAAGGGAAATATCTACTCATATGGGAAAAATTCCGCATTGCTTGTTTATGTACAGGGATTATTATTTATCTTATTCCTTCGTATATTCAACGACAAATTGAATTTTACGCACTGGTTTTTGATTTGATAGGTTTTTTTGATATTTATTTAAGATTTCATGTTTGTTATTATAATAAAGATGGAATTTTAGTGAAACACCCTTTATATACAGCTAAACATTACTTCTACGGGTCGTTTCTTATTGATTTGATCAGTGTATTACCTTTGCAGTTTTATAGTGATTTTACTATATTCAGAAGTTTGATTCGTGCACTGCGCATGATTCAATTGTATCGCCTAGTTGGTTTCAGAAAATATTCTTATTCAAAGAATTATTTATTGTCTATTCTTGATGTGATTTATTTGAAAACCATAATAGTTGTGTCTATGTCCACGCTTGTTTTTGAGTTACATTGCAAAGAATCCACGATTTATAACCTCAAATGTCCGCTGTTGAATGGCACGAATGCAGCGACGTATTACCTAACCTTGATTTATATGACAACTTCAGATTTGACAGGAATAGGTGCGCAAAACATAAAAACTTGGTCTATTTTAAAAGAAGATTATATTGAAGGAATTTTCTGCGTTGTTTTATCAATGAGTATATTCTGGCGTGCGTTTTGTCTTGGCAGGACATTCAATGCATATTCATCAAATCAGTTGTTTTCGAATAGAACAAGTACAGAGTTCTGTAAATTAATGCGGTTTATGAAATCGCATCATATGACTAATACATTACAACGCCATGTTGCTGATTATTTAGATCTGCATTGGAATTGGGTTGAACAAATTAATATCGACAGTGTTTTGTATCACATGGATGTATCTTTAAAACGAGATTTATTATTTCATGTGTTTGGTGATCCTTTCATACGTTTCAATAGTTTCACATCGGATTATCGTAATTTAATCAATTTTTATAAGAATTTATTTCTTGAAACTAAATGTAAAGTGTGTCCAACGCACGGGAAAATTATTTCAATGTACGATGTTGATTCGATGGTTTATTTTGTGTATCGTGGTGTAATTGATATTGCCGGTACTGACAAACAAAATATTACAACATTATTACCAGGATCTATTTTTGGTAATCTTCTTGAACGTCATGAAACTCGTCAGAGTATCACGGCGACGGCAAGATGCAACACGCAGTTTTTATGCATAAAATCAGCGCAGTTATATGACATTTTGAAGTTTTTCCCGAAAGTACAAAATAATTTCATTAAAAGCGCGAAGAAAAATCAATGTTTTATCAAGAGTAAAGCAAAAACCTTCGCGAAATTTGAACATTTAAGTGTTCGACAAGAAATTAAACTTCGCATATTTAATTATGCGACATTTATTCACTTAACAACAGTGTGTTATTTTGGTACACTATTAAATCTGTATCAAATCGCAACCGGTGAGACGCATATTTATTTCTTGGGATATTTATATATTAATGATTTCATACATCTTTTGGCGGTTGTGATTAAATACTTGACACCAGTCCGGAATGAATTAGGTTATTGGTGTATAAGTATAAAAGATATCTATTCCGTTAATGGAAGAAAATTGTTTGTTGTGATTGACTTCCTTACAGTGCTACCAATTGATCTGGTGATATTTTTTAGTGGAATTAACGCTGAGAATAATTTGATGTATAGTTGGTTGCGTACCAATCGCATTCTGCGTGTGTTTTACATTGTAAGAGAATATAACTTCCTCGGAACAAGTTACCTGAAAGATTTATGGATGATTTTTCGTAAAGCAGCTATCATTTGGTATGAAGTTGTGTTTTTCGCGTTTTTCGCCACGATGTTTTTTATTTTGTTAGATATGCACTTGGCTGATGATCATATATTTTCAATACAAAAACGGAGGGATTTAGACATGGCTGAAATTAAATTTTTACGCACATTACCACCGATGAAGAAGCTGAAAATTTTCATGATGTATTTTAGATTTGTGTCTGAGACAATCGTCCTTGAACAATCTGCCTATAATGAAACAGAATCTGTAATCAGACATGTTGTATTCAGTGTTTTTATTTTCATGTGTTTTTCATTGCAATTAATCGTCGTTTGTCATTTTTACGGAGTTGTTTATGATTTATACTCGCGTAATGCTTTCGTAGGAGCCATCATGTTTCATAATATGTTAGAAAAGACTAAATCCTATACAAATCATATAAAAAATCGTGTTTTACAAAATGCTAGATTTGTGTATGGCCGAGATAAGAATCACAGCATTCGTGCGTTGAAAACACCATCAACGCCGATATATTTATTGGAATTAGTGTTGAACACATCCTTCGGGTCGTATTTAACCCGGCATCCGATATTTAAACATTGTCATCCGGATTTCCTGAGGCAGGTTGGCAGAGGTTTCAAACTGGTGGATTTACCCAAAGGCTATGAAGTGATTCATAAATATGATACACGCAAATGCATGTTTTTTCTTTTGCATGGTTGTATAGTGGTATTGGAAGAGGATGATGACATTATTGAGAATTATCTGTATTTATTACAACCGGAAGATTGTTTCTGCTTCCTGTTGGGTTTGAATCATGAGAAGCAAGCGAGGAATACGTATACATGTCGTATACAATCCACCATTTTGGAATTGGAGTATGAATCCTGGGAGAAACTTGTTAGTCATTTTCCTGCTACTGGTGAGATGTTGCAGAGTAAAGCTGAGAGGATGAAAGATCAGCCATTTTTGAGGCTGCCACCATCAAGAAAGTCTTCGAAAAAGAAAAGAAATAAGTAAAAATGAATTTTTGAGGTTATGCGCAAAAACCATCTTGGAATTAGGTTATAAGTAAGAGAAAAATTCACTTTTCGCAAAACAATTCAACCCAAAACGTCATTTAAACAATACCTGTCATTAAATTATCCTTTTTGAATAAATTGTCAAAATTGTTTACGTTAAAAAATAAACTCGGGAAAAAATTACATCAATGGACAGAGTAGCCGGTAGCAGCCATCATCATCCTCCCAGAACACAATACATGTGCCACAAATGCAGAAAAACATTTCGTTTGAGTGCCATGTATGCCTGCTACCATGGGCATTACATGTGTAGACAATGTTACCAAAAAATGACTTCAGGTAATACACACAATATTATTACTTACACTCTTTTGTACTAATTACAAACAAATTCTCTTTAATAGGCAGTAATTATAACATTGTTCCAAACGATTTGGCACCTGCGGAAAGCAAATCACAAGCAACAAATCAATACATTGACCAGAAAATATTTCTTGAACCTGATCAAGAACTTGGTGGTTCTGCACCGCGGAATAAAACCATGTTTCCGAATCCAAGCTCATACCAACAGAACACCATCGATAAGCACAACTCTCTGATCAGTTTAGCGACAATTTACAAACCAAGTCTGCTGAATTTCACTTCAAGTTCAAGAAAGTATTGAATACAAATTTATGAATTTATTCCTTAACTAAACATTTTATAAATTTAATTTGTAGGCCGATTGTTTGTCCACAATATGATTGTAGAAAAACAATAGCTGTTTCCTTGCTGGGAGCACATTTCTATCATGAACACAAACAAGTTACCACAATTGTCACCGAATTGGAGATGCGAAATTGTCTTGAGTTTAACTTTAAAGATCTCCGTAATAAAACTCGAAATTTATGCCTGCTGCTTATCAATTTACGCTCTGAAGTTAGGAAGAATCTTGCAGATGACGAAAGTGGATTGCAAGACAGGTAAAAACATAAAAAACAACAGATTACTGATGATTATTTTTGTTTTTTGAAAAATTTACAGGTCGACATATTCTAAACTGTCCCGCATTCAACAAAATTCCCAACAGCCATTTTTCATAGTGATTGCTGCCAAGATGCCATGTGGAAATTACGAAGAAAAGTCAGATACCTATAATCATTCACACTTCCGATCCCCTGAACGAGTTTTCTTCTATGTTACCTCCAATGTAATTGGTAATTATAGCTACACGATTGCTATATCTTCACCAATTCAGAGTGTAAGAGTGAAATATTTTGGACCATTGCTGTCAGTGAATGAAGACTTTCGAAAATTATGCGAGGAAGGTAAAGGTCTGGTGTTGAATCATCATCAGATCAACGGCATGAGTAATTACTGTTGCTGTCCAGTGAATTTGGATTTGATTCTGCATGAACGAGAAGACCAGTCATTTGATTGTAATTTAGCTAACCAAGGTATATAATTACGCTGTATTAAAACCATTGTAAAGCAGTGATGATCAGTTTATTTTTTAATGTTTTCACAAATATAAAAATTTGTTGAAATTTCTTCTCCTACTCCAAACAGTTTTCCTTGACAGGTCTCAACACGTGAATTAATTCAGGTTAAGGCTCTAGTTAACGATTTTCAACTTATTTTAGTAATAGTATACTAATAAATGAAATGTCGGACGCTGGTGTGTGTAAAATAAAACCAGAGTAAGTTTATTTAATAGAAATTTCATGTGATAATTGATTAAATCAAAATATTTACACTTTTAGATTTGTTCTGCCCGAACATACAAGAGAATTGAATCTTGACTGTGTCTCTGATAGAGATAAACGTAAATTAGATGACACTGATATATCAAATGGAGCAGAAGATGGTCCTGATGAAAAGAAATCAAAGTATAATCAGAAAAAGTTGAAGGGACAGAACAAAGCAAGAAAACACACTCATAAAGCTGATTATTCCAATGAAGCCTGTAATTATTTGCTTACATCGTTGGAAACAGGTGTAGCACAAGAATGCAAAAGACCAAAATGTCCAAAGATACATGAAATATCAGAGTATATGAAAGTAAGACCAGCAGATATTGGAGATAATTGTCATGTGTTCAACACTTTTGGTTACTGCAATAGAGGAATTGCTTGTCGATTTGCTAAGTGCCATCTTGATCAGGAGGGTAATAACATTAAAGATGAGGAAAAGATGAAGATATTTGACATACAAAAGCAAACATCCAATGCAGCCAGTTTGGATTTACTTTTTGCATTGAGAAGAAAGAAATACAACTTTGATTTGAGTGAGAAGTTAGTTCAACATCACGATAAACTCAAAAAAAGAAACCAAACCAATGGTATTACTAATACTACAGAATCCAAAGAAGAAACAGCGACTGAACAATCTGCAGGATCAGGTGTGGTCACTGATGAAGATGTCATTGCTCTGCTTGAAAGAGAAAAGAAAAAGATTTGCTTCAAAGATAAGTTATATTTATCTCCATTGACAACTGTAGGAAATCTGCCATTTAGAAGAATTTGTAAGGAATTTGGCGTTGATATCACTTGTGGTGAGATGGCAATGGCCAAGAGTATACTTCAAGGCTCAACACCTGAGTGGGCTCTAGTTAAACGCCATCACACCGAAGATTTATTCGGCGTGCAAATCTGCGGCAACAATCCGCATATGCTCACGAAATGTGCTCAGGTCCTCGATCAGGAGTGTAATATTGACTTTGTTGACTTAAACTTAGGTTGTCCTATAGATTTAGTTTACCGTGAAGGTGGTGGTTGCGCGTTGTTACACCGCACGCGAATTCTCGAACTCTGCGTGCGGAATTTAAACAAAATTATGAAAATTCCGCTTACGATTAAAACGCGCACTGGGGTTTATTCGAAAGAAAACGTTGCGCATAACTTGGTGCCACAGTTTAAAGAATGGGGTGTATCAGCAGTTACAATTCATGGTAGGTCTAGAGAGCAGAGATATACGCGTTCTGCCGATTGGCAATATGTTCAGCAATGTGCTGAAGCCGCTGGTGATATGCCTCTCTTTGGAAATGGCGATATTATGAGTTATGAAGATTATAAATTAGCAAAAGAAACTGCCCCGGCAATTTCTGGTGTGATGATTGGCCGTGGCGCGTTGATTAAACCGTGGATTTTCAACGAAATCAAAGAGCAGAAAGTTTGGGATATTAGCAGTAGTGAACGATTTGATCTTTTAAAGAAATATGTTAACTACGGTTTGGAACATTGGGGTTCTGATAATAGAGGCGTTGAGAATACTCGTCGCTTCCTATTGGAATGGTTGTCATTTTTATATAGGTATGTTCCTGTGGGTTTGTTAGAATGCCCACCACAGAAAATCAACGATAGACCGCCATATTACAAAGGTAGAGATGATATGGAAACTTTAATGGCAAGTTCAGCCGCTACTGATTGGATTAAAATCAGTGAAATGCTGCTGGGGCCTGTACCAGACAATTTTCAATTTCTACCGAAGCACAAAGCTAATTCTTATAAATAAAGACTTGACTGTTAACATTGCGTTTATTGTTTTAATCAAGAAACCTTTGAAAAGACAATAAAATATCGAGCGAGGTAATGTGTGAGGTTAGGAAATAAATTCATCCATAAAGTTTTGATTCCATTCGATTCTCGAGGAATCATGAATGAAAATATCGTGACAAAAGAAGATGAAGACAAGAAATTTCGCACCAGAGGTAAATTAATAACTTGTAATACATAAACTATGATTATATCAGTGAATCAACCCTTGTTTCAACATTTTAGCCAGTTTATTCCTGGCTAGTGTTGCTGGAATGTCTGCAGTGATAGGTTTTGGCTCAACGTTAGCATCAGCAAAGAAATCCGATCCAAAATACTTCAATAAAGGCGTTGTACCAACGCTAGAAATGCGTGAAACTGGAGCTATGTTAGCTCTCAGAGCATTAGGTTGGGGCACATTCTATGCATTCACTGGTTGTGGATTGTTATTCTATGGAATATGGAAATTATCTGGTGCAAATGATGTTGGTGTACAAAAATATACATTTATACATAATACAACCAAACAATTTGTTTTAGCTTAAAGAATTTAGGTATAAAATCGGTTCAGTACTGCCAAGAATACCAAAAAACAATCCACCCCAAGGTAGGACTGAATTTGAAGGACTAAATGACCTCATGGAGTATCTTTCAACATTGAAAGGTGATAAAGATAAGAAGTAGCAAGAGCTACGCTTTATTATAGTGTAAACAATATGATATAGGCAAATTCTTTTGTAAAATAAAAATTAATATAGGAAAACACAATCAGAATCTCCACACTATTTCTTTGACAATAGATGAAAAGCAGAAACAGCATTAGGATTTAAATTTTTAAACTTTGAATTTGATACGATTTTATTCCTCTTCATGGAAGAGTTATTACTACTAGAACTAGCTTTGGGTTGTGGGAATAAATCTTGTTTACTGTGTCCACCCAGCCCGTTGTAACTATACTCACCTTTACTGGGTGCAACTGCAAGTTTCTTACTGTAGATTGAATATTTCTCAGCGGTGTCATTCGTTGAAGCTGCCGATGCGCCTTTTTTCGGTATTTTGAACTTAGCTTGCAGTAAATGGCCAAATTGGTTGCCTACCATTGGTTTTACAGCCAAGTATGGCGAATCTGATGCTTTTATTTGTGCTACACGTTCAGTCTGTGAATAAAAATCATGTTTTGAATACAATTTTTAAGGGGAATAGAAACATACCACTGTTGGTGAGTCCAAAGCGGTAAGATCAACACAAGCTTCATTAAAATTCGGCCGCAGCGGCGCTGGGCTTTCAAAAACTGCGCGATTAATTGAATCATTTGGATTTACTTCTGTGTTATTTTCCAGGAGACTCGCGAGTTGTTCTTTTAAAGCTGCTATTTTCTGTGGGCATTTTTTATGTTCCTCTTGGGATTTTTTCAAGTCTTCATACTTCTTCTTTAATACATATTCCTCTGCTTTTTTCTGCTGCAAATCACTTTTGTTTAGTCTAAGTTGTGCACTTAACTTGTGCATTTTTCGATCTCCTTCAATAAGTTCCCTTAAAATATCATTGATAATTTAAAGTTTAAAGACAAAATTAGAGAATGTTTTACTTTTGCAAAATTGAAACAAATATGCGTAAAGTTTGAGGATCCCTACAAGTCCTGAGAATATCTTTGACTTCTTCTTCAGATCCATCAATAACCATTTTTAAATTGTGCATGTTGTCTATTTGTGTCCTCAATCTGATGACTTCCTGTGCATATTTTTCTTTATCTTTAATTTTTTCTCTATAATAATGAAGTTGTTCCTTTAATTCTCTCATTGATTGAATGTTGGCTTGCTTTTTTTCTTGTAATATAATTGCAAGATCACTAAAACATTATTATACACTATATTTATGTGAATATTAAGTGTTTTTGTACATACCCTAAAGTTTTACTATTGATTTTATTCTTTGTATAATCCTCTTTCAAGTTCTTCAACTTCTTCTCATTAATCTTCAGTTGAAAGTTTTCATTATCAACCTTTGCTTGGAGTGTAACAATATCTTCAGGGACATTTTCCGTTGCTAGAATATTGAAATACACTTTGTGAATACTCCGCTCTGTTTCTTTATGGCGACATTGCGGACATGTTTTGGACCTTTCAATCCATTGAATCAAGCAGAAGAAATGAAATAAATGTCCACATGATGTAGCATAAATCTCTGATCTTGGTTGAAACAAATCCGAACAAATTATGCAGTTTGCATTCATTTTTTCAGCTAAAAAACTTATCAATCTCTATGAAAATCTATCTTTTTGTATCTGAGGTTATATTTTCAATAGAGGCGGCAAATATTTGACGCAAACTGCGAAGTTTGTCGATGTATTTACAACGTAGTAGACAAAAATAAAGAATTTGAACATTTACAGCTTATATTTATCGGCATTGTTAGTTTTCTTTAAGAAATACGTTAATTTTTATTATATTTTCGTGTATTTAGACTCCATGGATGTGTTTGTAATTGTATAAATATCAATTCAAATCTTCTAGAATTACTGGCAACATTGGCGATTTGTAATTGCCCTGTTTATGCGATGTTTACTTGTTCACGACAGCTGTGTTTGTGATATTGTCCAAAATCGCGATGATACGTCAATCGGGAAAATTAAATTTCATCCGATAAAGGCACTTTTGCAAACACCGCGTTCTCATCATCGACAACTCCCCTAAAACAATAAAATGGCGGAAATGGAAGATGTATTAACAGAAATCGTCTCCTCCGATGATTTAAAGGTAAAAACTATTTCATAACCTTTCGCTACTGCACTAATCAAAGTACAAAGTCATTACTCATTCATGTTTGCAAGCGATTATTACAAGCTGCTTTCAGAAATTCGAGAAAATCTATCATGAGCAGCTCTATGAAAACAACGTAACACCGAACGCACAATTCGAGTACGCCTGGTGCCTCGTCCGAAGCAAATACCCAGCCGATATCAAAAAAGGCATTATTTTATTGGAAGAATTGTACAAATCACACGAGGAAGGCCAACGCGATTATCTCTACTACCTGGCGATCGGGCACGCACGCTTAAAGGACTACAAACGAGCGCTCAAATACATCACATCATTTCTCTCCATTGAACCTGGCAACCAGCAGGTGCAATCATTAGAGAAGTCAGTGAAAAAGAAGCTGGAGAAGGAAGGTCTGGTGGGTATGGCCATCACAACTGGGGCGGTCCTCGGTGTGGGGGCGGTGGTTGCGCTGGCGATGGCTGTTACCAAAAAGTAGCAGTAATGGCAATTATTTTTAGACATTTATCATGTGATCATCTTATACTATTATAACATATTAATCAGGGAGATGAAAAATAGCCCGCAATTCCGAAATGAAGATAAATATCTTAGACCAACTGGCATATCAGCTGAGTATACTTCCTTGTTTAATTAGACTCTCGCGATTAATAACACCCAAAGTTAACAATGCAACAATGGCGGCCCCCTGCTCAGCATTACGCTTGTTTTTCTCCCAGAATGTTGAACTGTAGCGTAAACCGTTGACGTCCACTACGGACCGGAAGAGTTTATCTTCTTGGATTGTTTCGTAGAAAGCTTTCCACTTGTTTTTAGTGCAGAATACATTTAGCATACTCTTTGGTAGGTCGGGATCGTGTGTGTAAGATGCGCGTACAAACGCACATGCCATTGTAGTCACATCTGCGTGGTCAATTTTTAGCTTTTTCGTCGCAGGTGCGAACATGTCGGGGGTTATGTTGCGTCGTCCTAGAATTCCTTTCGCTTGATATTCTAGTTGTTTTTTACGGCAGTAGTCGTCTAAATCCCATATGACACTGAGAATAAACATTTTATTTGAATAAATATTTAATGAACTTATTTTTGGCTGCAACACATCATACATGTGGCGGCCATCTTGAAAAGTTTAAATTACGTACCATATTTGTTCGAGTGTTTGTGTTTCTAAGAACTTTTTCCCTCTTGGAGTCTCTTGCAACTCTTTGAGCATATTCTGCACGCAGTATTTTGTGTTGCTAGGTGCGTTGTCATAATCTACAGCGTATTTTAAATATTCTACGATGACATCGTCCATTGGTATGAGTCCTTGTCGTCGGAATATTGAGCAATTTAATTGTGCAGCTCTGGCTATCATAACACTAGAAGCACCCGTAGATTTTCGAAAATTTTCTATATCTTCATATGAATTGATTTCTTTTGATCCACCACTTTAAATAGAACACAAAATATTAAGTTTTAAATAATATTTTACACATTTATAAAACATACTTGGCTATAACAGGTATTTTTATACTTTCCGCAATCTTTTTAATATAACTATTCCGATTTTGATGTTGAGGTCTTTCCATTTTTGTTCTGCCATGAACACCAATTGCACTAATTCCAGTTGAAACAAATTCTTTTACTAGTTTAATAGATTCCTCAACATTGTCAAAAACTCTGATTTTGCAAGTCACTGGTATGCTGAGGTTGTCAACAAGTGTCTTTAAAATGGCTTTGGCTTTCTCTGGGGATGATAATAGAGCAACACCCATGCCACCTTTGATAGAAAACTCTTTTGGGCATCCCATGTTAATATCAATTGCAGCCACATCTTGTTCACTATAAAACATAGAAATTATGTTAAACCTCACATATATTTTATGATAATAAAGTAGAAATACACTAATTTGCCAACTTTTAATGCTCTGTCTGGATCACAAGTGCCTAGCTGAAGAACCACTTTAGATTTTTCTTTTGCACATGTTCTAAACACAACTGTTCCATCTGTTTTATCAAGATAATCAATTGTCCCCAACACATCTATAAACGAAAGTAGAAATAAGTAATTAAATTGTTTAAAATATAGTTTTTTACAGTGATTACCATTAATTCGTCGTACAGAACGCAGTAGTTTCCAATCTATGAGTTCTTCGCTGTAGACAATGTCAGCACCATAGTCAAGAGCTAACAATCGCATTGGTAACGTGCCTACCCGCACCATAGGTGCGAGAATTATTTTATTTTCATAGCAGAGACGTGTGTTTTCCATCGTGAAGGAGATTCTCTGATTGTTGGAGTTTGAAACTTGAGAAATCTTAAAGGTAACACGTTGAAAATAAACATCTCGGAGGTTATAAACCTTTTCATCTTAGACAACCACACGTACATTCTATGAAATAATTTAAAATTTGCTTGAAATCAATGGAAAAGTTAGAAATTTCCATGGTATTTTAATAAGTAAGTGTTTATTCAATTTAGCATAATTATGTGGTTGTAATTCACTATATTTTCCTAAGTTATATTAACTTTTAAAGTGAATTTTATTATATTATCATGGCTAATAAAAACCAGGAATTTACATCACAAGCGATCGTCATTCAGACCTTATGTGAACCGAAGACCTAAGAAAGAAGAAGAGAGAACCTTAGCAGGATGCGACTTGACTGCTGGACGCTTCAGGCACGACTGAGCACTGTGCTCGTTGCGCCCTGCCCTTTTATACCTGCGGGTTACCAGCAAAAAGTGGTGGGGGCAGGGTGGCATGACGCACCTGCTACAATCATGCCTGCAGCACGCACGACCAGGCACCTTCCCCCCCACTTTTTGCAGGTAACCCGCAGGTATAAAAGGGCAGGGCTCAACGAGCATAGTAGAGCCCGAGTCGTCCAGCAGGCAAGTCGCAGCTCTCTAGGTACCCCTTTCTCTCCTTTACTTCTGGTCATTAGACCACTAGCCATGTTAAGGTGACTATTTCGCAAAGGCTTCCCCAATAATAAATGTATTGTGATACATTAACGTATTGATCACAACATTTGAACAAGTGATACATAACAAGTTCTCCACCTATTTTACTATTTGCACCTCAGTGCATTGAAGCCAGGTACTAGAACAAACAAAAATTTAGGATAATACTAAAGATGTGGGTTGACACCATTAATAGAAGTAAAATTCGCACTTGTATTACATTTTTTTATTAAACACTCTTAATTTAATTGTAACCATAGGCGTTGATGACCTTCTGGTAGGGCGCAATCTGCTTTTCAACCTTGGTGGTTGCGGCGCGTGTGATCTTCTTCAGCTTGTCGCGCTTGCGGATTGAAAGCACAGCCTTGGCCTTACGCTTGGCTTCCAGTGTCTTTACGACAGACTGGTACTTCCAGCCAACCTCGGTCGACAGTCTACCGACGTGACAGTACTAAACAAATATAAACACAATCAATAATACATAAATTGCAATAAATCTTCTAATATGTATTAATTAAAAACTCATTTAAATAGTGATATCACGTCAAATCAAATAATGTAGGTAAATAGTTTGATAATCATTGTTTTGAAATGCAAATCAGCTGAGGAAAATAAAAATAAGTTTACCTTGCGGCCTGGTTTGAGGCACACGACGCGGAGTGCGCCGGGAACGACAAGACGCTTCCTGCGGTCGTAAGGCGAGGGTACACCTTCATAACACTTGAGGTTGGTGAGTGCAGCCTTTCCGCGTTCGGACTTGTGTGGCAGCATACCTAAAAACGCAATAAATCAAGATTTTAGCCTTGTAAACAAAAATTCTGGTATTGTTTAATACACACCTCTAACAGTCTTCCAGAAAATCCTGGAAGGAGCCCTGAAGTGGAAGGGTCCACGCGCGGGGTTCACATTGCATCGCTTGCGCAAGAACGACAAGTACTTCAGCTTGTTGCGGAAGAAGTTGCCGGAAATGTTCAATTGTTCACATCGAACCACAACTATTTTGTTTCCTTCCAGCAGGGTCTTGGCGACGATAGCGGCCAAACGGCCCATAAGATGGCCTCTGCCATCGATTAGAATGGCCTGAAACAAATTATCACCTCTTAATCGCACACGAAACTCGTATTTTAAAAGAGTTGAATCAATATTATAATTATCTATTTGATATTTTGATCATTAAACACGTGTACATCAAGCTGTAATACACGTTTAGAGGTTAAAACGAAACAATCACTCGATTAGTGAAAACTCCGACAATTTGAGTATTAAATTGATGCGCACGTTTAATAACTTTTAATTTTACGCGTTATATACTGCATTTTCATTAATATTGAACGTAATTAATGACTAAAATCTTATTTACCTTTTCACTAAAACCCGTCATGTTTCAGTCACGCAAAGAAAAGAAACACGCCGGAAACTGAGCAAGATGGCTACGCGCTGGCACTACCAACCTCACTAAAATCAGCCAACCAATCCCCACCAAAATCTAGTGACATTTTTGAAAATAAGTTATTCTTTTACGTTTTACGTCTTAAAAGTAGAAATATATAACTTAAATAAGTTATTTTTTACATAACACAACATTTTTAACATATATATTAGGATTTTGTTAGATATACTCGTTTTATTTTCAAATATTTAAGTTATTACAAGTCAAGTATTAAATATCGGACACACTCGGGTATCATCGTTCATTTTTATCAAAACCGGTCACAAAAAGTTCTCTACACAAAATTAGAGTTGTTTTTTGTTGCAAATACGACTATAAACGGTCAAATCTAAACAAACAACGTGAAAGTCCGCCATTATGAAACAAATTCATCCCAATTACTATCATCGCGCTTCGGCTCCGGGTATTCATCATCGAAATCATCGAAGAACTGCGTATCAAACGGATCTTTCAATTGTGGCTTAAACTTCGACTCAATTTCTCTTCTCTGCAACTTCTTCCAATCAAACGACTGATACCATTTGTGTTTGCGAATGTCATCAACACCTCCTTTCTGGCATCCAAGCCGTTCATGCGGGGTAAGTCTACACAATCTTTTTATCAAATTAGATGCTTGTTTACCAATCTGCTTCGGAAACATAATATTATCCATGCCCTTCATAATCAATCCATACGTGGCCATATACGAAGGATCATTACTCTTAAACGGAGTTTTTCCTGCCAACAGCTCAAAAATAAAAATCCCAAACGCCCAATAATCCACACCTCGATTATGACCTTTGCTATAAATAACTTCCGGTGCTACATATTCCGGTGTACCCGCAAACGTAAACGTGAGCCTAGACGGATCAATCGCTTTCGCAAACCCAAAATCAGCCAGTTTAATATACCCATAGTAATCAATCAGCATATTTTCCGGTTTTAAATCGCGGTAGATATAATTCCGCTCATGTAAAAACGCCAACGCTTCCAAAATACAACCGGAAATGAACCGAGCGCCATCTTCATCGAAACAACGCTTGTCCTGGCGTTGCATGTGCGCAAATAGATCACCACCCATACATGGCTCCATCAGGAAGTACAAATATCTATCATCTGTAAACGTGGTATACAACCGTACAACAAAATTGCACTTCCGGCAGTTTTTCTGAATGTTCTTCTCGTTGATCACATGTTGCTTTTGTTCCGGCGAGTTGTTATCGAATTTCCCCAACATTTTCAACGCGAAATACCGGGAACCATTGGTTTCTTTTGTTAGCAACACTCGACCAAAGCCACCTTCACCAATGATGGTCTCCTTGGTAAGTTGGTCAAGATGTGGGTATTCTTCATCATCCTGAGCGGAAGATCTACGTGGTTCAATTGCCCTTTGTGGTGCGGCTGTTGTTTCATGCATGAATTCTTCAAAGTCTCCAAGGTAATCACGGAATTCCTGTCGGGATAACTCCAAGCAGGTTACACCGGGTGCTACCGCAATACAAGTAGCCTGACGTAAATCTGTTTCTCCCAACAAGGCCTTCTCTCCGAAGTAATCGCTTTCTTTCAAATTAGCAACCTGAATGTTGTCTTTTGTAACTGTGACTTTTCCGGCTTTGATGAGGAAGAATTTATCACCCACATCGCCTTGTTTGACAATTACGGTATTGGTCGGGTAAAAGTTAGGCTTAAGCAGCTTCGTAATCTGTCTGAGTTTATCAAGTGAACAGTTGCTTAGTATTTTCACGTTTCGTAGGAAGTTCAAACGTAGTTCCTCCTGCTGGCGAGCATCAATAATCATTATGGCTTTGTATACAGCCGCGTCAATCATCCAGATGCGACCGGCGGCGGTTGCTTGCACGGTTGCGGCCCTTCGCTGATTGTATAACACCGCCAACTCGCCGAAAACTCGTGTTTTGTGGAATTCGGTGTACAGTTCATGGTTGACTATGACTTGATAGGATCCGGTTTCGTTGACGTAGAAGGTTTCTCCGTGCTCGCCTTGTTTGATGATTTTTTGCAAGGGTGTCACGTCCATTGGCGCCATAGCTGAGACGACTTTATCGATGATATCTTTGGGAATCAAGTCATTGAGGAACTGGTTGTCTAGAATCGCTTTTTTTATAATATCTGCGACCCTGGAAAGGAAAAATATTGAATTATTTTATGAGGGATTTTTTTTGTGAGTTTAATTTTAAACGCGCATAACTTTCGTTATTTTAGGGGTAGAATTATGATTGACGGGTGGTGGTAAAGTGGATTTAATAGTGAATCTACTGGTATAATACGTATTAAAATATTTTGTGAAATTTAGAAGTTAGGAGACATTAAAATGTTGAAAATTGTAATTAAGCTTCTAAAATGTAAAAATATTAAGAGGGATGGTTTAAAAATGGCGTAAAAAGCGCTAAAACCCAAGAAAGGATCAAAAGGCGTCGATTAAATCGAAAATTGTGGAAATCGGCCCACGGGAACCCATTCTACAGGCCTCGAAAGTTAGTTTAGATGACAAAAATTGAAAAACGCAACCCAATACACATATATGACGTCATTCGTTCTAACCTAACTTGACCCAATAATATACCTAACCTCAAATTGTGCAAATTTTACCAAAAATATCACCAATTATTATTTTTAAACGGGATTTCCGGTTTAAAGTGATAACAGAACCCAATTATGCATAAATTCATATGTTTATGATAATAATTCATCTTACTGAGGTGATTTTGGATGTTTGGGTATCTCGATAGTTGTATCAACTGGTTGGGCACGTAAACCAATACGTCCTCGACGTCCATCTTGTTTCGCTTGAACGTATTCTCCACTGCAATCACTGGAGCTCCTCCGCGCTGGATTTCCATCCGTTGTACTATTATCTTCTTCTGATTTTGATGTAGTTTTGCTATCATCATCATCTTTTCCCTTGGTTTCACCATCAGCATTCTCAGATTTCGCTTTTGGTTGTGTACTGACAACACTCCTTCTGCTCCCTCCGCGTGATTGCCGCGCAATAACAGTTTGCGGATCATGCGGCAGCGAAAAAGACGCGGTACTCTTGCAACAAAACATTTTGCTGCTTTTGTGATGCTGTAAATTGAATTTTGTTTAGAAACTAGTCGATGTGGCCTAACAAAGCGCTCACTTACTGAGTGGAAATCTTTAATCGATAGATCCGAGTTGTTTTTGATAAAATTTAGATAATAATTTCTAGACGTGATAAAGGTGATCGCAGTTGGCAGTGCACTGAATTCGAATTAAAATTTGGTTCATTCAAAGGTGGGTACTTACCTTATAATTCAGATAATCTGTTTTTTTACGGCGTGCATCTGTGAGGGAAATAATGTTGAGATAAGATAAAGGAGATGATTGTGTACAGTCATTTGTTTTTCTAAAGAATTATTTGGAATTTTTGGGATTTATTTGTACAAAAACAATGTAATGTTTGATTAAACACTAGTTGGGAGCAAATATTTCTATTGTGAGATCATAATGCCACAATGTGTACTCGTAAATAATAGAATAGGAGTAAGGAAAGCAAAGTTATTTTTAGAAATATATTTTTGTTCTTTTGGCAAAAAATGTAAATATGTTGAGAATTTAACCTAAAATTAATGTTTTCGGGTTTCCCCAGTATCATTTTGATACGCACTTTTAAAGAAAAAAGAAATAATGAATTCTAACTACTATAAAAGGCCAATAAAACTTTGTTTGTGTGTTTGTTACTGTTTCACGCAAAAACCACTAAAGCAATTATGATGAAACTCAACAATATTATAGATTATTTAGCAAAATAGACAATAGGTTACTTTTTTTGCAAAAATTAAACCTTTAATGGTGCAAAATTGAGACTAAAACTTGTTAAGGTGATAGAATTACAGTTATACTTAAGTATTTCACATATAGATGGCTCAGAAGTTCATTTATAGATTTTCTATCTAATTAAATTAAAATTGAAACTGTGTATTCTCTATAATTTATAATATTTCAAGGAAAAGCAAAGCAAAAAACGTAATTTTTACCAAAATGCTTCAAAACAAGTAATATACATGCATAAACATTAATCTACATCAAACACAAATTTAATTAGTTAATTATCTCCGTTATAAATTTTTACACATCTTAATCTTCCACTAATTGGTGTTTTTAATTAGTACAATTCCACTAATTCTATTTAAAAACGCATATCATGCTCAATGATAGCAATATTAACACTATTATAATAAAATGATAAGATAATAAATATAAATTCAAAATTTTAATAAATATCTAGCGTTTAAAAAAGTAGCGCAAAGGTGACTTAACCCGATACTCACGCAACTTAACAAAATCAATGTCTTTAAAAAACGTATGTTTTCGGATCTCATTCCCACCGTCTACTTGACATCCAAGACGCTTCGCCGGGTTCATATTCATCAAACTTTGAATAATATCCGCTGTAGAATCATTTAAATTCTTCACATGATCATCTGTAAGACCTTTTGCGATATTTATCGCGATGTTTTTATCATTTCTATCACAAAACGGCGTCACTTTCATGTGCATTTCATAGATCAACACACCCAGAGCCCAATAATCCACCGCCATGTCATAACCGCAAAGTTGTGATATTTCCGGTGCCATGTATTCAAGCGTACCAGCTTGAAGAAACGTCTTTTTCCCGGGCTCCAATTGCACAGCATTGCCGAAATCCAAAAGTTTCGGGTAACACTTTGAATCAATGCAGATATTTTCCGGTTTGAGGTCCAGGAATGCACAGTTACGCTCATGGAGGTAGATTAATGCCTCTGCAATGCCCGCAGCGACAAATTTCGCGTGGTTTTCTTTAAAAACGAATTTTGATTTGTGCAGCAACGCAAACAAATCGCCATTTGGGCAGTACTCAAGTAATAAATAAAAAAATTTCTCATCTTCAAAGGTGTTATATAGGTTGATGATAAATGGATGGTCACATAAACTTAAAAGTTTTGTCTCGTTGGTGGTGATGTACTCGAGATTATGGTCTTTTAACTTCTTTTTCCCGATGGTTTTCAGTGCGAAAAATTCTTTTTTGCCGTATTTTACTTGTTCTACGACTCCAAAAGCACCTTCTCCCAGGCTATTCATTTTTTGCAACTTGGATAATTCAATGTGATTATATTTATCTAATTTTTTCAATTCTGGTGTCTCTGGTGTGGGTTTTGTGATGTCATTTTCGAAAAAGTTACGAAAATCGCCCAAAAACTCATTGAAATCATTTCGGCTGAGAATTATACACTCAACACCATATTCTCCAGCTGTAATCGTTGCTTGTCGCTTATCATCATCGTAAAGCAATGCACGTTCTCCAAAACAATCACCGGGAAGCTCCAAAGTTTTGATCAAACCTTGTTCTGAATGCGTAATTATCACAGATCCTGTTTTTATTATGAAAAACTCATCTCCGCGTTCATTTTCACGAATAATCTGTGTATCTTTAGCAAAATAATTAGTTTCGCAAAGATTCGCTATCTTTTTAAGTTTGGGTTTTGTCAACGCGTTGAGTACGGGTACTTTTGCAAGAAATTCAATCAGAATTTCATATGCGGTGATATTAAAACTGCTTAGAATTGTTTTGAATTCTTTACGTGTCAGATGCCATACTTCACCATCACTTTCGGCTGACACAGTTGCTACTCTTGGTTTATCATAGAGAATTGCTAATTCTCCGAAGAGTCTGCTATCTTCAAAGTGAGAAATTAGTTCATCGTTGATTTCTATCTTGTATTTTCCGGTTTTTGACACGTAAATGGAATTTCCTTCCTCGCCCTGTTTCAAAACCACATCGCCTTCTTTCAAGGCCATCGGGGTCATGTATTTGGCGAAGTTTTTGACTGCTTTGGAAGCAAGAGCCATGAAGAATGGACTTGCTTCCAATGCTTTCGTAATAATTTCTTCATCTCTAAAATTTTGAAGAAAAAATTTTTTTTATGTTTTGATTTTTTTAGAAAAAACTTACTCTTTGAGTATATCCCGTGTATTTAACTCAATTTCCGTTGCTTGTTCATCATCCCGGAACGCTTTTCTGCGTGAAACTTCTTCGATTCCATCTATTTCATCATCCGAATCGGTTTTGGTTTTTTTGCGGCAACTACTAAACATGTTTGAAATCGAATTAAACCCATTTTCGAATTTGCTGCTCTGATTTATTTCCAAACACTTGAAAAGCATTTTTTTCGGATAGGGGAATCATTGATACACATTGATAAGATAATATACATTTTATTATGTCCTAATCTAAGATACTAAGTCAATGCGTAGAAAACAATATCATCGTTTGTATAAGCTGAGTAGAGGCGATTTGATTTGTCTGCTTCGCAGTTTTGGGAAGTCTATGTCTTTAAACCAGTCGTGTTTATACAACCCGTTGACGCCATCACGTAGGCAACCCAACCGCTTCGCTGGATTCACGTCTATTAGTCGTTTGATGAGATCTTTTGCGGATTTATTAAAATTAGGCACAAAGTGTCTTCCGGTTAATCCTTTGATGATATTATCGTATAATTTCTCTTCTGATCGGTCATTAAACGGTGATTTTCCCATTAACATTTCATAGATCAAAACACCGAACGCCCAGTAATCAGCCGCCATGTCAGTTCCGGTGCGTTGAATTATCTCGGGCGCCATGTATTCCGGCGTGCCAGCAAAACTAAATGTCTTCTTTCCTGGTTCCAGCATAACTGCATTTCCAAAATCGGCGATTTTTGGATATCCGTTTTGTCAATGCAGATGTTTTCCGGTTTGAGGTCGAGGTAGGCATATCTCCGCACATGTAAGTATGCCAAAGCTTCTAATACGCATGCGCCTGTGAATATCGCTAGTGGATCAGGAAAATGACGTTTTTTACGTAGCAGGGAGAATAATTCGGCGCGTGGGCAATACTCTAGCAAAAAGTAAATGTTTACATTATCGGAAAGAGTTTTGTGTAGTTGAACGATAAAGACGCAATCGCACGCCATCTGCACGTCCCTTTCATTCATCGCGTTCTTCATTAGACTTTGATTCTCGTGCACGGTTTTCAGTTTCATCTCTTTGAGCGCGAATTGTTTGCCTTTTGATGTTTTTACAAGGTGTACTGCACCAAAACCACCTTCGCCCAATAATTTCACCTTTTTCAAATCGGAGAGTTTGATTTGTTTGAAGGGTTCAAAGCGGGCAGGATCTGGGGGTATTATAGGTATTGGTACGTTTTGAGGAGTTTCGTCATTGCTTTCTAGGAATTTCCGGACGTCTCCGAGGTATTTGTTGAACTCGTAGCGGGTTAGCACTAGGCATTCAACGCCGTATCCTGTTGAGGTAATTGTTGCTTTGCGTTTTTCTTCGTCGTAGAGTAAGGCGCGTTCGCCGAAAAAGTCGCCTTTTACGTAGGTTTTGAGTTTGCCCTGGCCCATTTTGCTGGCGACAGCCGTGCCGGTTTTTACGATGAAGAACTCATCGCCTTTTTGGCCTTCTCGGATGATTATTGTGTCTTTTGGATAGTAACGACTTTCGCAGAGGTCGGCGATTTGACGGAGTTTTTGTGAACTTGTTTCGTTGATTACAGGAACCTGTAATTTAAATAGCACAAAAAATTAATTGAAACGCCATCTGCGTTTGATTTATATAACTATAAGTTGAATTCATTTGCAAAATTTATTTTTATCATTAATTTTAGCTTTTTAAAATTAATTACTTTTGATAAAAAGTCTCTTGATAAAAAGTCTCTTGCTACATCCTAAACAACTTGATTACCAAAATTTATCAAAATTTATGCAGTAGTTTACGCGCGAAAAGCAAACAAACAAACAAAAACATTTTTACTTTTCGTAACAACTTTAAAACTTTAAATTAGCGTCACTTAGATTTTAAATGCCCAACTACAACTAAAATTACTTTGTAATATTAACTTTTACCCTGTTAATATTATTTTCTTCAAAAAAGTATTCTATGTCTTTTTCCTCATCCTAATCTACCAAACTATCAAAAATCATCAAAATTTATGCAGTAGTTTACTCGTGTAAAGCAAACAAACAAACAAGAACATTTTTACCTTGCGTAAAAACTTCAAAACATTAAATTGCGCCACCTATATTCGAGTTAAATACCTATAACTATGATTAATTTTAATATTAACTTTTATCGCTAATTTCCCAAATTTTAAGTAGATTATTTAAACCAAAAACTAGTCTATATCTTTTTCCATATCCCAATCTATCTGATTATCAAATTTTATCAAAATCCATTCAATGATTTTCCGCCAAAATGCATACAAACACACAAAAACATTTTTACCTTGCGTAAAAACTCCAAAACATTATCCTTCGCAAGAATATTCGACTGCCTCAATAAAGTCCTGAATATTTGCCGCTGTAACTGCCATACAGACCCATCACTCATCGCTAAAACAGTCGCTGATCGATCAGTATCATACAAAATCGCCAATTCTCCAAACAGTTTCGGTCCTTTAAACGTGTCCACCATCTGATTGTTGATTTCCACTCTGTACTCGCCCACTTTAGACACGTACATCGAATTACCACGTTCGCCTTGCCTCATAATCACATCACCTTTTCGCACTTCAGTTAGAGTCATGTAACGTGCAAGACTCTCAACGGCATTCGGTGCAACCGCCATTATAAAATCATTCGCTTGGATGGCTTTCTTTATTGTATCCTCATCACTATAAAAAAACAAAAATTTTATTTAAATAAATTAATTTTTAAAAATAAAAAAATGTTTTATTACGTTTGTGACATTTGTTGCGGTTGTAACTCGGTTTCTTCTTCATTGTCATCATCGCGGTAAGCTTTCCGGCGTAGCATGACTACACTCGCACCGGAAGCTGTCGATAAACGCATCGATTCCAATTCGGACCAGCTGTGAGTGGAGTCAATACTCGCGTCGGATTTTTTTGCTGTAGAAATCGACAGGGTATCCATGGATGGTCTTGAAACTTCGGTAATGTGGTTTTCGTTAGCGTCGACTTCAGTTATAAGTATTTTCGATGGTTTTTTAGAGCTTTTTTTCTTGGGTTTTTGCTCGGAAACAACAACTTCCGGTATAGTAATGGTTGGAGTTTGATTTTCATAGTTTTCAAGTTTTTCTAGTTTTTTAAAACTTGTTTTCTGAGGTATTGGTGATTTTGGTGGTTTTTCTTCGGAAATCATGACTTCCGGTATTTTAGAGGTTAGAGTCTGGTCGCCATATTGCACCTGATGAAGCTTATAGTTATTATTATTAACATGCGTGATAATCTCACGTTTTATTTCATATCTCTGTTGTTTTTCCGTTGTGAATTTCTCAATGTAAAACTCCGTGTTTTTATTTTTGACAAGTTGTGCCTCTTGAACCGGTGCTATCTCAATTGTTTGCAATTTCTCCGTTTTGTAGGTGCTTACGATTGGTTCAGGTACATGTTGCCCATTGTGTGATTTTTTGTTTGCGTCTGGTCGACTGGGCCACTCAACTTTTTCTTCTTCTATGGGCCGCCATGATAACACATCCGGCAGCGGCGGTTTCTTCGGTTTTCGACATGACTTGAACATTGTATTAAATTTATTTAAACTTATTGATTGATATGAGGATAAATGCGGCGCGTATTGTTGTCGCACACACAATAACCACTCGTACTAAGTAGGTATAAGCTTTTGGATGTTTTTACTAATTTCGCACGCTTGATAATCCCCCTGTTTGCTCACAATTCCAATAAACGCGAACGTGAAACTTTAAACGGCAGATAAGCCCAATAGATAACACCGTATATAATTCAAGCAATGTGAACTATCTCGTTCGCATTGTTTTCGGCCGATAAAAAGTCCAAACGGTTTGAATTCGTCATTGAATTTTTATTCATTTATGATTGACATCGACACGGCAATTACGTATCGGTTTAATCCATCGTGACGGTAAATTATTAATTCACTTTCAAGTTATATTTCGATCCATTTAGTTTATTAGCCAACACAATAATTTTCGGTGATGAGTGTTCAAATTTTACAATCGCACTCGATGAATCGATCGCCAATACAAAACAACAAAAAAAGCAACGATATTTGTTTTTGGATTTTCAATCGGCTCCCGATAAGCAAATGAGCTTAAATCGACGATGCGACACGAGCGGCGCGCAAAACTGCAGTGTGTGCAAACGATTTAAGTCGCTTCGAAAATCCACCTGCATGACTCAAAAGCGTATATCGACGAGTCCAATCGGTGCGCGACTGAAAAGCAATTCGGTGATAATTAGCGCTCAAGGCTCGTCGGGCTCGCAATGACGCGCGGTTTCAAGTACAAACACACATTTTCGAATTCTAAACCGATTTTTGTTGCGAATGCCGCAACAATTGCTCTCTTTAATGACGATCGCGGATAGTTGTTGTCATTATGCAACGATGTTGGTATTATGTCTGGTGCGGTCGCGCCGATAATTTGCAATCAACAGCGCGCGTGTTTTCCTTTCTGAGTGAATGAATGCGAAGTATTTGTCGATGTTTACCAGGTGTAATTACGGGCATTACGACGGTTTCTACATGGAATTTTGCTTGTTGCTGTTGGCACGACATAAATAGAAAAACTCCGGGAAAATATTTACAAATATAAATAGAATATATATGTAAATATTAATTAAAAAGGATATTTTAATGCAAAAAAACAATGCGCATGCGCTTAATTATTGTAATTTGTATGGTAGATGCGTCAAGATAGGTTTTAAACAAATAAAAAAAGAAATACGAGTAGAAATTAATGATTTAAAGGGTTTTTAATCTTCTTTTGTTGGAATTGGTGTAAAAAGAATATAAACTGATTTATAATGTTTATTCTTTCCAAAAATACGAAAATAATGTAAAGAATGTGACCAAACATGCATAACCTAACTTTTGCACTTAATAATAGATGGCGTTGCATACAAATTATGTTTCACCGTTCTGCCCCCGTCGGTAGTCTCGTAAATAATTATTTTAAGGTTATAAACGAGTTTTAGTGTCACAGAGACACTAGCGACATCTGAAACACCTTAATTCTGCCCAAAATTAATGAAAAATCTAAATAAAATGAAAAAACGTTGTTATAGCTTTAATCTTGCGACCAGGGCTGATTTTCATATTTATTTCTTTCACTGCTGCAGGGAGTCTTATTTTGAACCTTTTATTACTGTTTTTTGTTATTAATTTTATGCACGTGACCTGTAATATCAAATAATCAGCAAACTCAACAACTATTATTGTTGACTAAACACTAAACCACATAATTAAAGTGCCACACAACCGCGTGACCCAAGTTTCCCATCTCAAACACGCTAAAAAGCATCAATTAACACTCGAATGAACGTGCAACTTGTGCCACCGTTAACAATAATAAACTCAATAAACAAAAAGCACTCAAAACAAATTGTTTGTTTAAAATTTCAATCAAAACCAACATATAATACAGTTATTAAGAGCATATAATACACAAAATCATAATTTTCATCGTCTTTTTCAATATAAATTTCCAATTTCAATGCTTACTATATTATTCTTTAATTCATTGCAATTATTAATATAATATTTAATAAATTTATGATTACAATCAGTTTCAATTCGTTCTAAATTCCGTGTTGCCAGCGAGTAATTGCTGCGCCGACTTGGCGGCAATGTCCGGATCATACACAAACGTCTGCGGATGATACGCGCCTGTCGTGGGCGGGTAGACAGCGGTGTTCTGCGGATACGTCGGCGCGGTGTACATGGGCGCAATCGGCGTGGCATTCGCATACTGATTCTGCAACGGCATCGTCGGCATGCTGTAAGGCAACGAACTAGGCGGTGGATAATTATATGCATGTTGTTGTTGTAGCTGTTGTTGTTGCACAGCAGTAGGTGGGGGTAAAACAGGCGGCGCGTTGTAATTAGTAGGCGTTGCAGACGGATAGTGACTATTCTCCACCACGGGCATCGCTGGCACAGTACTCACCGTACTGTAAAATGGCGCAATGTTGGGTATACTCGGCGCGTACGTAAACGCCTCCATATTGTTGTTCACAACCGAAGTAGGCGGGGCGATTGAAGTCACGCCTACATCAATCAAAGGTACACCCACATCCGGTGTAGTTGTGGTGTTATTACCATTCAAATTGAGGTTATCACTCATTTGTGTGGTTAATTCAGCGATGTTATCAACCTGTGCTGGTGCTGAACTAATCGGTTGTTTAAAAGTAGGTGTTATTGTTTGCGTCTGCGGCGGTAACAACGGAGCGTTGATTACATTACTCGCTGGCTCTGCAGGTACATCGGGGTACTTTGCAGCTGGCGCAGGAGTGTCATCGAATCTCACTGGGATTCTATGTAAATATCCATAGCCAATTCCGCAACCAATGCTTCCTTCACCGCCCCAGGATGAATTCGGCGTGATTGTCACCTCTCTGCATGAGTCGTCATTACTGTTGTATACATAAAGCTTCAAACAGCGCCCTTCATGCGCTTCAATTAAAGCAAACAAGTCTTCGTTTTCATGCAGAACTGATTCTGCTCCAATAATATAGTCACTGAATGACTGCAGGCCTGCTAATTCAGCTGGGGAGCTTGGATGCACTTCTAAAATGTGCCAGACGTTCTCATTAGCTCCTTCAAATGAACAGAATCTGATTGAGACACCTAGTAGGCCAGCACCTCCCCAGGAATCACTTGGTTCAATTAAAATACTTCTTACTGACTGGGATTTACTGCTATAGACAGTCAAAGGTAATTGTTTACCTAAAAAATATATAATTTATTGATTTTCATGGCTGGATTTTATAAAATTAGCTTACCTATGCCATTTCGAAGGATTTGTTTAAATGTGTCATTATCTTGGTCTAATCTTGTACCATTTATGGCAATAATAAAGTCGAAAAACGATACCAGCCCGGCGGAACTTCCGGGTGAATTATCTTGCACCTGGAATAAACAATATTTACATTGTTGTACTATGTTATTGATTATTGATTAGATTTTAATCTCTGCCTGTTTGTGTGATGAATTAATTTGTGTTTCTAGTGTGATTTGATGATTGCAAGTACCTTGAGGACATGGTAGCCTTCTGTGCCTCCGCCGGGTATGTCTACGCTGCTAGCGTTGCCCATTTTGTGAAGTCCTGCGAGGATTTCAGGACTTTAGAGCGAAAAATACGTGGCAGACTATTCGCTGGCAGATTCGAGCTTCAACCAGTACACATAACCAACAAACAACAAAGTTGTGTCAGATGACAACCCGACAAAACAAAAGAAAACAAAGGTAACAGATTAGAGTAAATTTATAAATTGGGCTTATAATAATTAATTATTTCGCAGTAATTAATGATCTACCAGAAATCTTGAACGTAAGTAATGAAAATGTACTTTTAAATTCGTGATAAGCCATCGGCTATCTTCGTTACACATCGTGTTTATCGTGAGTTGCGTAAAATTTGAATTTTTGCGTCGTAAATTAGTCACAGAATATAAATTTAAATGCATAAGTCAATGATTAATTTAAAAGTAAATATTAAAAACATATTTACTTGCTGTTTTAATAATTTTATCTAAATTATATCTACGATAACATTATATACTGTTCTGCGCATGCGTTCACATATGGAATGACATTCGCAATCTTCATTTGTTTCGCAGCAAACATTTTCTAAACTTTACCCTGATTCGCAGACAAAATTTCAAGTGCACCACAAACAACCACGTTTATTAGAAACTATAAATTATAACTTTGAATCAATCAGCAATCGCATGTCGCGTCCCACCACAGATAAACATTCAAAATCCGTTAAAATTTGCGTGCGAACCCATCTGTTCTTTGTTTTCGTGGGCTGAGACGGCTGCCTCGTGCGCTCGTCGGTGTGAACCACCTCCAAAACATTCCCTACGTGTGTGCGTGTACGCGCTGTGCGCAGTAACAAGTTTTCCGTGCGCGTTCATCAATCGCTCCGCTTTCATCGTTTGTCGTTGCATATTCAACGCAAACATTCGTGAATCGTGCGTTCTAATAATAACAACACAACTCGCACTCGTTGTGCGCTGCGGGCATTATTCACATAATCCGATGCAAATTCGTGCCTAGGACGAATTGCAGCTGCAAGACACAAGAGGAATGTCTTCGCTGGATGGCTACACGATAGGTAAGCGTGAATAAACACAATAAAATCACGCCACACGCTCAAACTGTGCGTAAACAACGCGCAGTCAAATATTGAAATGTTGCATAGCACTTTGGCCTTGCCATGTAGTTCCAACCATGAGTGTGCACATCAAACAAGTGTAAATCAACGACCATCAACGATCAGCTGTATTTTGTTGATGCAAACATACAGTATGTTTGCAGTGTACACAAACAATACACAAAAACAAATAAATGATATCATTGTAATGGCATTGCATCACATTCATGTTTAGCATATATTTCAGAGTAAAATGCAGAACTACTCCTCCCTGCACCCCGCCAACGATCACGACGCGGACCATGATCAAGAACAGGAAGAAAGCAGCGTGCTCTTTCACGTTGCTGAATCCTCACGCGCCCGATGGCACCACATCGTCGACCTGGACTCATTCTTCGCACGCGTCTACCGCTACCATCAGCGCCACGGATTCCTCTGCATGGTGCTGCAGGAAGCGCTCGAACTCACCCAGTATGTCTTCATGGTCACCTTCACCACGTTCCTCGTCCACTGCGTTGATTACCCCGTGTTGTTCCGCGACGTGAAACCGCCGAATCACGCCGCTAACGCCTCCGACAAAGTCGTCTTCGCCGATTTTGTCCTCTCACCGCAAGAATGCAGCGCCAGCTTTCATACATGGACGTACGTATGTCTCGTCATCGCTATTTTCGTCTGGGCATGGCGGCTGGTACGCGGTGTCATCCATCTGATTCAGTTTTACGACACGCGGTTGTTTTTCAACACCACGCTGGGCATCGCTGATTCAGAATTGGATAATCTCACATGGACGCAGGTGCAGACGCGCGTGCGTGCCGTGCAACACGAGCAGCAGATGTGTATCCACAAGCGCGAGTTAACCGAGCTGGATATTTACCATCGCATTCTTAGGCAGCATAATTATCTGGTAGCTATGACGAATAAACAGCTGATACCACCGCGGATACAGGTGCCGTTCATCGGAGAGGTTGTGTATTGGACCAAAGGTCTCCGGTACAATATGCAGATGTTGTTGTTTTGGGGCCCGTGGGCACCGTTTGAGAATTCGTGGCATCTCAAAGAAGATTATAAAAAATACGGCGCCAGGCATGAGCTCGCCAAGCAGCTTGGGCAGAAGATTCGATGGGTTGCGCTGGCGAATTTGTTATTTTCGCCGTTGGTACTCCTCTGGCAGATACTCTACATGTTTTTTAATTATGCGGAGCTAGCTAAACGGGAACCGGGTAGTCTGGGCATGCGCAATTGGAGTCTTTTCGGCAGGATGTACCTGCGCCATTTTAATGAGCTGGAACATGAGATGCAAGCGCGTTTGAGCCGCGCGCATCGTCCAGCGACGAAATACTTGTCGAGTTTTGGCTCGCCTGTCGCTGCGGTGATTGCGCGAAGTGTTGCCTTCCTCGCAGGCGCTGTTCTCGCTGTAATAATCTCGCTCACACTCTACGATGAGGATGTTTTGAATGTTGAGCATATGCTGTTGGTTGCTTCGGTGCTCACGGGTGTAATAGCTGTGTGTCGTGGGTTGATCCCAGATGAGACCGTTTGTTATTGTACTGAGAGTTTATTGGCGAATGTGTTGGCACACACGCACTATCTGCCTCATGATTGGCGAGGTAACGCACACACGGTGCGCGTGCGTACGGAATTCCAGCAGATCTTTCAGTACAAAGTCGTTGCCATTTTGGAAGAGATGTTGTCACCGATTATCACTCCGATTGTTTTATGGAGGTGTGTGTATCCGAAAGCGTTGGATATTGTTGATTTCTATCGGAATTTTACGGTGAGTGTGGTCGGAGTTGGGGATGTATGCAGTTTCGCGCAGATGGATGTCCGGAAACATGGCAATCCAGATTGGCAGGAACCGCCTGAAGGTGGGCAACCAGCGCCGCCTGATCAGTACACGCAAGCTGAAGATGGTAAAACTGAGTTATCGCTGGTGCATTTCACGCTCACGAATCCCAACTGGGTACCGCCTGAATCCGCGCAGCAATTTGTCGCGTCTCTTGAGCGCGAAAAGACCGCAATGCCTGCGTCGACGAATCCATTCGTTCAACAAGGTGATTACATCACTGGCGACTACATGGCGGACATGTTTGACAGCAGCATCAACTCGATGCCGTCGATTACGAGCCATGCGTGGCGCAATGAAGGCCCGCTGAATGCGGATCCGATGAATATGAGTCTCAGCACACTTTGCTTGCACGATAGATATCATAAACAGCAGACAACGCGCAGGGGCGGCGGGTTTGGCAGTGGAGGCGTGTCGAACGTGCAAGTCCTCCAGGCGTCCGGCATTCGAGGCGGAATGAGCGAAGTTGTGGGTGTCTCTAGTAGCAGGCTGCCGAATGCGGGTGAGTCGACGCCGCTGCTCTTCGGAGCACCCACGAGTCAGTAACGAATCTAGTCTGGGACAGTTTTGATCTCCCGGTAATTTTGTTTTAAACGTGTTCGACGTGTTGCCGCAACATGTCCAATACGGGTAAAGCGATTTAATTTTTGACAAATTCAATTTAGTTAAGTAAGAGCGGTAACGAATTTTAGCAATTTGTTTCTTTTTAAGTTTACGGTCGAATTGTAATGTGTTCGTTCGATACACACATACGAAATTGTACAAAGCTTTGTGTACATGAATGTAATTTTAAGTTTAAAAACCAACAAATTTTCCTTATAAATATATATGACTATAAAATTATACAAAGTGGGGGAAGCTATTATTTATCGATGAGGGTGCCGCGAACTTTTTTCATTTCTTGCGCTTCTTGTTCGAGTTTTCGTTTGTTCATTCCTTTTCTTTCCAGTTGTTTTTCGATTATTCTTGCGTTGTTTGCGTAGGAATCCGCGACTTCTCTCTGTAATAAAATATATTATTATAGTTATTTATATTTTAAGATAAATTGAAGTAAAGAATGCTTACAGCTTCAATTTCATCTTCTTCCTCATCTATGGTGGACACAGTAACAGAACTAAACTTGCCCATATTTTTAGTGTGTTTAGTAACCATGATTTTCTTGGGTTTCACAGCAGCTACTTGATTGTAAATGTCAGTAATAGGTCCTTCATTGGTAGACTTAATTAATGCGCCTTTTACTATGAAACTCACATGACTTTGTGGTTCATGTTTATAGTACAGCCAGAGATTACACTTTTTACATTTTAGTCTGTGTTGTTTTTCAATGCCTTCTGGCCTTTTGATGTAGGTAATTTCATCTGGGTTTGACATTATTTTGTGAGTGTGTTTTAATGCGTCCAGGACTCGCGCTCCATCACGTTTTCTCAGGGGTAGTCTATCTAAAGTACAATCTACAAAAGAAATAATTAGGGATTGTAGGATATAAATCATAGAATTTATAAAAAGCTTAGCTTACCCAAAATTAATGTCATTTGTCCACATAAACAGTAGTAACAGTGAAGTGGTTTTTCTTCACTGTATTCTTCCTGATCTTTGGAATCTGTGCAGGCTATGCTTTTTGATACAACTTTCGGCATTTTAAACTGTAGAATATTCAGAAACTGCGATGTTTAACGTTAGTTTGTAAACATACAAGAATTCTGAGGTTAATTCTGTCATGTGTCAAAGAAAATCGATGTTAAACGATCGTTTCCGAGTGCTAATTAAATTTTCAATTATAAATGAAATAATTTGAATTATTTAGCAATAATTAACAGGAGTGATTCTAGATTTTTGTTAACTATCATATTTATTATTAAATGATAAGTTATTAATTTGAATTGCGCTCAGAAATAAGGTTTCATAAAACGTGTGAAAATTAACCTCATTCTACGTTTTGAGAATCTTTACTTATTCTACAGTATTCTAAAACAAACAAATTAAAATAAATAATGCAGCATGGCAAATACAGTCGAGGCGTATCCTTTTTAACAATAGAATTTAAATTAACCATATATTAAACAAACATTCTTGGTACCTTAACATAATCACAGAACAATTGAAATACCCTTTCCTTCAAAAGAAGTAGCAACAATAGCATACAATGTTCTGAAAGTTGATGAAGAGCCACCAAGGAGTCAAGTAACCAAGAAGTTATCACAGGAAGAGAACATCTTAAAGGTGTAAGTTATCCATTACCCACTGAAAACTCAATATTCACCTGTTTATTTATAAATTTCAGTGTGTTTCATGCTAAACTAGCCAAACATGTCAGAGTAGCATGCACCAGCTTCTTTGACAGTCTCAACCTCATCATCGATACCATAAATTTCACTGGTTTACCTCAACATTCTGGATACTCATATCCTTAACCATTCAAAATGCCAGAACACATGCCAGGACCAACACCCAGCAGAGGTGTCTATGGATTAGCCATGCACCTTGCCTTTCAAATAACATTCATTGCCTTCATCATCTGGGCAGCTGTACCAGAGAAATGGTTCCATGATCTGGGCATTACATATCTACCCCAACACTACTGGGCAGTTGCAGTACCAATATTTGTCCTCACAGTAATAGCACTTTTTGCATTCATAATCTACCCAAGTTTAGGACTTTTAATGACTCCTGATATTGATAGTCTTGACACAATCCAAGATTCTCATTCAAAATTATCAAATGATAGAAAAAATCATATAAATGTTGATAAAAAGAGAAGAATTCCATGTGTTTGCAGAAAGCAAACATTCTGCATGAAACACATCTATGACACAATGGATGATGCTGTAATGCAGAGAAATGCCATACCAGGTGTGAGGGATTTACACATTGAAGATGTTTCTGAAGATCTTTATTTGTAATAAGGGATAAATATGTAGAATATGAGTTGAAAGTTTTAAACATAATATTGTGGCTTTTTGACTGTTATTCCAAACTCAGCCAGAGCTGGTGTGAGATCCTCCATGGTGAGACAGTGTCTTCTATCTTTGATTCCTTTAGCATTTTTGTTGTGACTGGTTGAGGAGTTGCTTGACCTCATCTTGCAGTGCTGTAGGGCATCATTTGCAATGTCAGAGATGAATTTCTGCGCGGCGATCGAGATTAAACGCAGAAGACGAGGATCCTTTGCTTCAAAACCGGATGTGTTCAAATAGTGGGCTGTTACTGCATCAGGTACCTAGAAAAATTAATATTTATGTAAAATTGAAGGTTGTATTTGACATTTATTGACTTACTGTCGGTACATAATCTTCAAGTTGTAGCAGAAAGTCGCTCAAGGGTTGACCCATAGTTAAGGGTAAATCGTCTCCGTTCATATCAATGTCTTTACTTTCTGCCATTGCTAATATTTTGTTGTGTTGTGGTCGCAAATATGAAAACAACTGACTGACTTGTTCTGTGGTTGTTTTACTCAAACATGACAATCGATGTAGAGGGCGCTGTAGTCGCTATAATTTATGATTTTGTCTTTAACTTGCTATGCATTTTAATAGTGGTAAAAAGTTTTTCGTAGATTATTATTATATTTTCTTATTAAAGCTAGTTTTAGTTTGATTAGTATGAAAAGGTAATTTTAAATGTTTGCCTTTGTTAAGTTAAACTATTTTCGTTGCGTGCCTCCTTCCATTCTGAAATGGGTCAATGAGTGGCAAGCATTTTGCCCCACGTGATCAAAATACGCTTGGGCTCCCCAAGCTTCTGTTAGTTTTGTTCAGTCAGCAAATGGCGTCTGTTGCGGTGAGGTGTACGTAATTTTTCGGCGTAGTTCATGAATGAAGACGTTCGCGCGTGTTTGCAAACAACCGAAAACAACTAGTAAAGAGCGCGCATCCACTTGGTACGAGTGCAAGTCCACTGCGATGTATTCGATAGCGTCGTGTCGCACTATCACCTCGAATAATCGCCGTCTAATTAAAGCGTAACGAATAAAAAGCAACGTTTCGCGCCTGAAACCGCGCCAGTGCAATGAACGAGGAGTCCGAACCCAAGCCACCGCCGCCGGTGTCGATGTGGCCACCGGGTGCACTGGACCCATCAGCTGGTGTAAATATGAGCCCCGTCCAGCTTCAGCACCACGGCATCGCGGTACCCACGACGCCACAAGGCGCTCCGGCACCGGTGAACGCTGGCATTGAATATGAACTGCCGCTGGAGTTGACACAGCAGGGTTGGCGTAAGTTTTGGTCGAAGCGTGAGAACCGACCCTATTTCTGGAACAAACTCTCTGGCGAGAGTCTCTGGGAGACGCCACAGTTGAAACCTGCGTTTGACCCGCTCACAGACCCATTGGGCATCCAACATATACCAGCGGCGGCACCTGTGACGGGCTGTACACCACCCGGTGCCAGTCCAGCGATACCACCAACTGGTGGTGTTACTAAACGTCGACCTTCCGAAGAATTAGCTGGTCCCCAAATGAAAAAGTTTGTCCTTGCTGGTCCATGGGACTTGGACGTGCTGACGAATGTTATTATATTGGAACGTCAGCCGTATCCCTATATGCATTCGCATCCAGAGCTGGAACTTTTTCGATGCGGGTTTCTCGCTAAGTTAAGACAGTGCTATCAAGAGTTGTGCCATTCGCGAGAGTCAATTGATGCGCCGAAGGATTCCTTCAATCGCTGGCTGATGGAGCGCAAAGTCATCGACTCTGGCTGTGATCCGCTGCTGCCGAGCTGCTGCTATCCCGAGATCTCACATGCTATGTATAAGGAGATCATGAACGACATACCCATTAAGCTGGTGCGGCCGAAATTCACGGGGGATGCGCGCAAGCAACTCTCGCGATATGCCGAAGCAGCGAAGAAGATTGTCGAGTCACGGAATGCCGACAGTGAGAGTCGGAAAGTCGTCAAATGGAATGTGGATGAGACGTTTCAGTGGTTGAGGAGGACCGTGGGTGCCACCTATGATGACTTTCAAGACAGATTGAGGCATTTGAAGCAGCAATGTCAACCGCACCTAACAGAAACAGTACTTATTTTCACATTTTTCTACCGATTTTATGCTTATGATATGAATTTTTCTAGGTAAAGTCATCCGTTGAAGGCATCTGTTTAAAAATCTACAATCTATCTAGTGAATATGCTAAGAAGGTGAGAGATAAGTCCAATGTGTTACTGAAGGAGCATGGAATGGAGCTACCTCCAGTAATACCCAACAACAGCACTAGAAAAGTCTGGTGTTACCCCATACAGTTTGCCATACCTTGTCCCAGGCTACCAACTGTTGAGTATGTTCCTGATAGGGATCAGGCATTGCTTAGGTTTCAAGGAGATACCCTAGCCATAAACAGCACGCACTTACAAAAATTGGTAATTTAATTTTTCATCTTATAAGAACGTAAATAATTGACTATTTATTTATCCAATAGGAACACCTTTATCGCCATAGTTGCTTCGACGATAAAAAGTTCGAATTGTTTATTCCTCGTGTCTGGGTTTTGTTGAAGCGTTATTCAACATTTTTGGGCGTGAGTCCTTCACAGTCCAATGCTAGTGCAGATGTGCAGGACACGCAAGCCGCCTTACCAATTCCCGTCTTCGAATGTCTTCATCGAATGTTCGGCGTGACATTTGAATGCTTCTCTTCGCCTTTGAATTGTTACTTCAAGCAGTACTGCTCGGCGTTCCCAGACTGCGACTCGTACTTTGGCAGCCGCGGGCCTTTCCTGCAACTTAAGGCGGTGTCGGGTTCATTTCAGGTACATCCGCCATACTGTGAAGAGTTATTAGAAGCAGCTGTTGATCACATGGAGGCTCTACTAGCCGATAGTCCAGAACCGCTGAGTTTTATTGTAATTATGCCCGATTATCGGGACCCGACACCTTCCGGCGTACAGAGGCTTGAGGATAGTCAATTTAAACGCAAACAGGTGACGATACCCGGCTACGAGCATGAATTTCGGCATGGGTTTCAACACGTTTTAACAAAGTAGGTTTTATTGTAAATTGTATTGTATTTGTGTATCTTATACGTTTTTATTGCGTTAGGTCCGAAATAAATGTTCGGGTGGGTCATGGTACTGTAATCGCCTGGCTTCAGAACGCTGCGGGTCAGCAGCGTTGGGGTCCGACGGAGGAGCGAGTAGAAGCTTTACTGGAAGCATTTCGACCAGGCAGGGAGCGCGAAAGGGACAGGCAGGAGTTGCTGAGTCCTACGCGCCAGGGCAACACCACCGATACGAAAGAAGTATTACTACATTAATAGCGAATGTTCTTTTATTACGCTCGAAAATATCGACAAGTACCTGATACATTTGATCTATATCCACAATTACACGCCAACCCTCATATATTGCTAGCGCATCTGTTGAAGTGGGCTCATGTGCAAATTTACTTTTATGTTCGACGATGATTACTAATCATATAATTTTGGTTTCGCCTGTCTAATTGTAGGCAGGAGCAGCGTTAAAGCGTACTAAAACTTAACTAAATTGACTATTTGTATATATTGCCATTTATTCTGTTTGTAGATTTACCTATTTTGTTTAATTCGCTGTAGGCGATTGAAACTTTTATTGATTTGAGTTCCAATCGTCGGAACTGGCAAATAGAGAATCATTGTAAATTTTGTAATATAGTAAATAAGAAATTAACGAGCTATGCAAATACACTGGATATATAATCATCAATTTTTGTATCTGTTCTATATTTTGCGGTCTTTGTATAAATATTTATTGGTACGAGTGCAATCGAACAGTTAGATTTTCTTAATTTATAATGCAGATAATGTACGATTAAAATTTGAACACATATGTTTGTAAACTGATACTTGTTAGTAACTAGCAATGAATTGATCAATAATTCTGTAAATCAATGCAAGATGGCACTGGGATGCACATATTTGAATTAAATTTTATGCGCACTTGTCGCTGCCAGTTGTTGATAGGTAGTATCACGTGTGTGGTTGAATCCGCATCTATTGCTTTTACCTGCGGGGTTCATGCGGTCCGTGCAGAGTCTTGCTGTGAACTGTCGCATCGTTAATTCCATGCAGAGATGGCACTAGCATGAACTAAAAATCATAAATTAGAATTGTATTCGTTTTGAAGACAAATCTATTATCAGCGTTTGTGTATAAACAACTTTCTTATCGCATTCGCCGTGCGAGATGCTACGCGTAAGATTCTCGTCGCGCTGTCGCATGCAGCACATTTTAGTTTAGTTCTTATCACAGGTACCGTGTCTATTGCAAATCGCGCACAAGGTCTCGTGCCAACGACGCGCCGCCGGCTTTGCGCATATATTGCTTATCAGCCAGTTTCGTGCCGGTCTCTGGTTGATCCAGACGTATTTTACGCGACTCGTATTGTTTGTCCGGACACCTATTTCCCAAATTCGCATTATATTCGATCATCAATCGACTATAGTATTGTTATTTACTGTTTGCGCGATTAAGTGTATCGTCACCGTGCTGATTTGATATTTATCACTAGGATGACCCATCGTGCTGATGTAGGTAAGTAACTTTTAACTAAACAGCACAGATTGTTTGTTTTTCTTCGCTGTGTGATTATAATATTACTAAACCGTATGAAATACTTTGTTTTAACTTATGTTTTCTTTTTTTATTTACAGTATTTGCCATGCCTTGGAGTGCCATGAGTTCTGCATTAGTAAGTTTATAATTCAAATATATTTTTCGTTTTAATTTCTGCATCCTCCATTAGTTTGTATTTACGTTGTTTTGATATATCGCGTTCCACCGCGTGTTGTAAATACCTAAAATAGTCGCGTATCCGCTGATCTCATAATTAACTGTTTAGTTTTTCCTTCGCTTACAAAAGCGCAAGAGTAGTACTTGAAGATGCAATACTGCGGAATTCTGCCCTAACCATCCATATCTCTTTTTTGTCTCGGTTTTTTCAATTCCAATTATTGCGGATTAAAAATTCTAAATCTTCGAAAAATTCTTCATAAAATAAGGTATTCAAATTGGAAATATAGGAGAGGTCGAGAATAATTTATAAACCATTTGCTAAGGACAATTCTTGTTTCTTCTCACTGAAAGGTTTCTCATTTTCTTTTTTGGGATAATTTTGGAAATTTGTTTGTTTTTATTTACTATATAATTCATAGATGGATGGGATATTTATCAACGCTTGTGTATAAACAAGGTTAGTTTTGATCGCTTATATCCCACGGAATAGAATTACTTTTAATTATTACCTGGTAGAGAATTTTCCAAACTGTCATATACTTTGTTGCGTTGGACGCTTGCGATTTTAGTTTAAAGAAGGGCAGCGGTAGATGTGACTCGTGTTCAGGGCACCGTACGTGAATGAATGTATAACTGACTCTCATTCACCCATTCAATCGCGAATATCTCGTAAACTGAAAGAGATAATTAGGATCGAATCGCAGCGTCTTAATCTACGGACTATTTTCTATAAGATATGATAGTTAAAACGGAAATCTGAGAGATGAAAATTTAATTCTTAAGAAAAAATTGCCAAGATAATTTGATAATTAATATCTCTTAAACTTAAAGCGGTAGCAACCAACGAATCGCTGCTTATGAAAGATTGGAAAATTCTCTATCAGGTAAAAATATTAAATAATTCTATTTCCAACAGTAGAAGGGCAAAAAACCACTAAAAGTACTAAAAAGTGACATTATTCAATTTTTGCCCATTTTATTCAATCGCGAATCTCTCGTAAACTAAAAGAGATAAATAAGTACAAATCAACACTGGTTAAAGCGGAAATCTGAAAGATGAAATAGAATTGTAGTTTTTTTTTTAATATAGCACGCGAACGCGGTGCCACAGTTAGTTTGAATTAATTTTCTTAGATGCTGAATTTAATTCTGTATCCGCCTGTATTGAAATTTATTGCGAGAAAATTTCGCAACGCGAGTTATATTGAAAGTTGTGTGTGTGCACCGTAGTACTCGTTGCATTGGAATTATAGTTTTTTTAGTATAGCATGCGAATGCGGTGTCATAGTAAGTTAGGTATAGTTTTCCCAGGTGCAGAATTTAATTCTTTATCACCCTGTATTTTAATTTATTGCGAGAAACTTCCGTAACGCGAGTTATATCGAAATTTGTGTGTGTGTACCGTAGTACTTGTTGCGCTATGAATTGCAGTTTTTTTACTATAGCCGGCGAACGCCGTGTTATAGTAAGTTACGTATAATTTTCCCAGATGCAGAATTTATTTCTTTATCTCCGTGTATTTGAATTTACTGCGAGAAAATTCTGTAACGCGAGTTATATTGATAGTTGTGTGTATACGCACTTGTACTCGTTGCGTTAGGAATTGTAGTTTTTTAAGTATAGCATGCGAACGCCGGGTTATAGTAAGTTAGGTATAATTTTCCCAGGTGCAGAATTTAATTCTTTATCACCTTGAATTTGAATTTATTGCGAGAAAGTTCCGAAACGCCCGAACGCGGTGTCAAAATAAGTTCAGAATAATTTTCTCAGATGCGGAATTTAATTCTGTATCACCCTCTATTTGAATTTATTGCGACAAAATTCCGTAACGCGAGTTATATTGAAAGTTGTGTGTGTGCGCTTTAGTACTCGTTGCGCTAGGAGTTGTAGTTTTTTAATATAGCATGCGAACACGGGTTCATAGTAGGTTAGGTATAATTTTCCCAGGTGCAGGTAGCAGGTAGTAGTACGAAGGTAGTGGTAGAAGTGACTCGTGTTCAGGGCACCCTACGAAGGTAGCGGTAGAAGTGACTCGTGTTCGGGCACCTTATGACGATTCGCTCATTTTTTCTTTTGAATTAAAAGAGTTTGAAATCCGTTAATATGTATAAAATATCATACATCAAACATAAATGTTTAAATTTAACTTTTGTTCTTATAAAGTTAATTTAATAATTTATATAATTATTTATTTCAATTTTACGATGTGTAGTGTTATAAATATATTACTCTCGCACTGAGATCAAAATAAGTAATATTTTACTATCCTACACCAATATAAAGTGTAAAGTAACCTTTACAAACAACGCGTGTGTTAACTACGTCTTGGAAGATAAAAAGTATAATATATAAAATTTCATTTTTGTTGTTATTATGTTAACGAAATCATTTATACAATTTTTTATTTCTGTTTTAAAAGGTGTAGGGTTATAATTATAAGACTGTAACAATATAATACGAATAAATATAACTTTAGTGACATTTAAACGTGTTTTATATAGTGTAAAGTGCGCTTTACACCCCACGAATGCGTTAACTAAGTCTTGGCAGGTTGGCACAATTAAACATAACATATAGAACACGAAGTATAGTACCTACATAAAACATAAATATATAAGATTTTACTTCTGTTTTTATTAAATTAATGTAATAACTTATATAATTATTTATTTCAATTTTCGTGTGTGCAGTGTTATAAATGTGCCACCCTTGCACTGAAACAGAAATAAGCCATATTTTATTGTTCTACACATATAAAGTGTGAAGTAACCTGTGCAGAAATGTGTGTGTTAAGTGAGCTACCGAAGTTGTACACAAAAAATACTACGATAAACTTTCGTGGATAAACTACTCGAAAAACACCCGCAAATTTCAGTAATTAGCGAATTTTTAGAATTTTGCGATGGAAATTATTATTAAAAAAAATTGTTCTTTATAATACCCTTTTTCTCAATCCCCTTCATTAACTAAAATTATTATTTAAAATATTGGAATTGTTTGTATCTTCAGGGCGTGTTTACACAAGTTTGTGATCCACATACTCGTAGCCTTGTGGCGTTGGATATCTCATCAGGTGCTTCGACATTGTACATATTTTTCAAACCGTTGGTCGCTATGTGTTTTAGTTTAGTAGAAGTTTTATTGCATGTTTAGTCTCTGCATTATTATATCTAGGCTTGTATGCAATGTTCTAACTAACGTTCTCTTCTCTGTTTTAGCAATCGTCCTTTGAGTTCCGATGACCGACTCACGAGCTAAATTAGAATGCGTATTTGATTCGTTTCGTCGGTCGACTCCCTATTTAAAATAAAATACATTAGCCTGAGTGTTGCACCGCGTGAAATACTGGTATGTGGTGTGTGTAATTAAGTGTTAGTTTTGTACAACTGATCCACGCGTGTTCGTAATATGTAGATCATTTTAGTCATTGCACGCGTGCACGTGTGTCACACAAACTTGAACGGGATGTTTAGAAATGTAGAATTAAATTCTCCGTCGGGTTATATTTGATTGTTCCAGGAATTCAACCTGCAACCCGCGAAAATCTTTTTAAAAATTTGAAGTTCAGTTACTGAAGTTGCCCTCGTAGCGAAACATGTCTAACTCTCATATAACTTGTAATCTAAACTCATATATATATGGGATTTATATATATATATATATTAATTTAAATAATATAGATAAATTTTAGTGTAGACAAAAAGTTACTTACTTATTATAAAAAATAGGGGTTGGTGATAAGAAACCAAAAATTTAGGGTTGTATGTATATTTTAATGCCACATTAGAAAAATAAAAACAAAAAATTTCAAGCAAAATTTAAAAAAAATTAAGGGTGAACAACCCTTATCACTTAGAGATATGAAGTTACCGATTCTCAGACCTACTGACTACGCATATAAAAATTTTCTTTGAGCGGGATGAAAAATGATTAAATTACTAAAATGGCTATAAAAAAATAGGGCTTGGTGATAAAAAAGTAAAAATTTAGGGTTGTATGTATTTTTTAATTCCACATTATAAAAAAAATAAAAACAAAAGAATTTGTCCAAAAATTTAAAAAAAAGTTAAGGGTGAACAACCCTTATCACTTAGAGATATGAAGTTACTGATTCTCAAACCTAGTGAATACGCATATAAAAATTTTCTTTGAGCGGGATGAAAAATGATTAAATTACTAAAATGGCTATAAAGAAATAGGGGTTGGTGATAAAAAACTAAAAATTTAGGGTTGTATGTATTTTTTAATTCCACATTATAAAAAAAATAAAAACAAAAGAATTTGTCCAAAAATTTAAAAAAAAGTTAAGGGTGAACAACCCTTATCACTTAGGGGTATGAAAAATAGATGTTAGCCGATTCTCAGACCTACTGAATACGCTTATAAAATTTTGTAAAACTCGGTAAAGCCGTTTCGGAGGAGTATGGAAACAAACACTGTGACACGCAAATTTTATATATATAGATATAGATATATTAAATTAAATTATTAAATTAATATGGATTACGTATTCGTCAGCGAGGAAAATAAAAGTAGATTTAGTGTATGTGTGTCATTTCAATATTGTGAATTTTTACTTTCGTCTTCTCAAGTACATGTTTACCACTACGTTTGTTTATAAACAACTTTTTTGTTCGACTGACGTGTATTATCGTGACGTACCTGCCTTGTACCTGGCAACGCGCAGCGCACACGGCAGTCGTTTCACCGCGTGGTCCGCGTGCGGGTCTCACTACTACCCACGCGTGTTCAGGCTTCAATTATTCAATTAATCGTCGTGTATTCATTTTGTCATCAAAAAAATATTCGTAACGAGCATGTGTGGCTGTTTTGATCGATGAGTTGTGGCGGTTAGAGTGTTCTTAAGTAAGAAATAAGTGTTCGTTAATCCCTGCACGAGTTTTCAGTTGGTAGAATACGAGTATATTACAGAATATAAAATCTCCTCGTCAATTCAGAGGTAATTGTGTAATAATTTTTTTTATGGAAACTTAATAAAGGCGATATAACTTAAATTGATTATTCCATTTGAGGGATATTATTTTTGCATGTAACATCTTGCCAATTACAAACACGTGGTAGCATTTATATCAGAATTCTTAATCGCGTTTTGGAAAATAACGTGCATGATTAAATTATTACAAAGACGGTTGTAAAAATTATCTGCGGATTATTAAAATGACAATATGCATGTGGTCGACCGCGCTCACTTTGTCGTCGGCCGTCGGCTCGGTCAGCTTTTCGCTGAACACGTGAACGGTTTTAATCGAATTGCACTCGATAGCATCATTAAATTAAGAAGTTTTTTGTTGACCTAATAAAGTCTTGTATGATGAGTACTTCTTCGTTTTTGTAGTTTGCGTATATCTTAATATTTACAAAGAAATAGTTATTTTTGTCCTATTTACTACGCGCCGTCGCTTGCCGTCTGTTGATTTAGATGTTTTCCGCCGGATTATCTATCAATTTATGATGATGCTTCATTTGTCGGTTACCATCAATTATTAATAAATTAATGTTAATAAATTAATAAATATATATTCACAATCTAATAAAATGTAAGTGTTTAATTTTTGTAGCTCCTTTTTGCTCAATTTCCCGTTGGTTTTCGGGTAAAATCTTGGATTTTATATTAAAATATTGTTGTTTTCCGTATCATAATGTGAATATTGATTATCTTTCTAGTTGCGAAAGTTTTTTGCTTGTAACACCCTGTATATTAGTTTTCCTAACACCACGTAGAAGATTGTCTTTAATTGTGAGTTTTGAATGTTCTCTGTTTTGAACTTGGGATTTTCTTTCTGGTACACCCTGTATATTTATTTTCTTTCGTGTCCGTGAAAATTCTGTTTCAACTATTGTTTTTAGCATTTTCCTCTTTGCACTTTGAATTTTCTTTCTGAAACACCCTGTATATTAGTTTCCTTTATCGTCGAGTGAAAACGAGCGGCGTTTGTAGTGTTTTTGTTTGCACTTTATATTTTTCTTTTGTAACACCCTGTATATTTGTTTACATTTTCCGTCACCTAGAAAATTGGCTATTTACTAATTTCAATATCCCGGTAATACTTTATAAAGTAGTACTTTCTTGCATGTGCGCGGCTATGCAGGTCGTAAGTCTTGCTTCAATTGGCGACTTGTATTTTGTTGACATGTAAAATCTATACATGTACTCTATTGTTAATAAAGAAATAGTAATATATATTGACTTCTTTGATTTGTGTACCCCTACTATAATTTCAAGTACAGGTCTCTAAGAGAGTTCCCTCTCTCAGGGGATGATCCCCTCTATAAAAATTGTTAAGGTATCCTCTGTGGTTTGTGTGCTCCTTCTTTCATTTCAGCTACACGTCAGAACTTGTAAGAATATTTTTAAGTGTCACCTCTCTTGGGGCGACTTAAAACTTAGAAATATTTGAACAAGACCTCATAAGGATTGTCCTTATAAGGAGTTCCCTCTCTCTGGGGGTGATCCCCCACCTTAAAAATTGTTGATATGTCTGATAATTTCGGGGATGAAGCGCAGAGACATCGTAGCTGTAGGATGGGCCGGGAGCGATGGACACATCGAAGCAGTGGGCTCGACCGTAGACTGTCTTATAACGACACGTGCCAAAAAATTTAAAAATCTGATCCTCCCCTGTTCTCTTTCTTCTATCTCCTCCTCTTCTTTTCTCTACTCTACTCTCTTTTTTCTTCCTTCTACTCTTCTCTGCTATTCCCACTTCTACTTCTCCTATTTCTCTGTTCTCCGTCTCTACACACTTACTTTCTTGCTTCTCTTACTGCCTTCACTTGTATTTCAATTTCTCATATATTTCGATGCAATTCATATATGCAACCCAAATTACACCTGATATTTTTATCATTTGAGAAAAATGCCTTCTACACCTGAGACTTGATCCGTGTCTATTAGCATGCTAGCAGATGCACGTACCCACTCGACCACCAAGTGTTTTTGTTGTTGTTATTTGATTCTTCTATTTATGTTTCTACTTTATTCAATTTTTAAAAACAACACAATACAAGCAAGAGTTGTGTTGTACACGTTTCACGCACATAAGATTTAGGACGCAAATACTGAAAACGTTAATGAGGATGTCACAAATAACTATGCATGAGATTATAATATTACATTACATTTTATTGACAACATTTAAAAATATATACAATTTTATAAACAAAAAATCATTGCCGGTTTTCAAATCCCGTAGAAATAATTACTTGTAATTTAAAAACAGTTGAACAGAGGTAATTTTTTATTAGACCTTACATACTCCTTTGATGTTCAATCAAGTTTTAAATCGCACGAAATAGAATTGCTAGTAGAATTGATGTATTAATTTTGCACTGGCAACCAGGGGGGAAAACATGTGATTTATTCCCGCGATTTAATAATTGATCCATTTTCACCAATAATTCCAATTGGAATTGAATGAGATCCAACGGCCGGTGGCATTCACACACGCACGAGGTAAAGTCTCTTAAATCTAGAGTCGATTCGCCATAAATTACTTAGCCAGTAGTCGATGACCAAACGATTCTAATGCTTCTACCGTAATAAAATCTCGAGAAACGCTAACAGTTGCGATGAAGACCGACGAAAAATGAGGACACGTGCTCACCTCACCACTTCGCACCACCGACTAAACGGAAAGAAACAATATCCAACACAAATGCTCATTGTCAAGTTGACTAGAAGTAAACAGAAACCTGTAATTCAACAGTAATAACAGTAGGTGCGCAAATTATATCCAATTTCAACGTGCTGCGCAAGCCACTACGAAATGAAAACATAAAGAAAGTGTTGAAATTTCCCCGGATCATATAGATCACATTGATTACACAATACATTTTAGAGTGTATCTGTCTCGCTCTACCTTTAGCAGGATCAGGTCTTAATATTTTCTCTCTCAGTTTTATTAGCTCAAAAATACCTAAATAACGATCCATATTATATATAACAGTGAAACAAGCCAAAATGATTGGTATTATAAAATAAGCAAAAATCAGCGTTTCAAAACACAGAAAATGTAATTGTTTTCGCTCTTTTGTGAACTAAATATTGAAGTTGTTCATGAAAATGACAAAGAAATTAAATACTTACAATCTGATGCAAGATTGACTATCCTGCAATTTCTAGACCACAAAAAACAACAAAAAACAGTGTTTCAAAACACAAAAGTGCCATTTTTTGGCTTTAGCGTGTGAAAATCACAAAACTAAGCCATTAATATAATAAAAAATTATAATACTTACATTTTGATGCAAGAATGACTTTCCTCCAAGATTTCGTTCATTTTCTAGAGCCCTAAAACAACAAAAATCAGTGCTTCAAAACACAAAAGTGCAATTTTTTGGCTTCACCGTGTGATAATCATGAAACTAAGTCATTAATACAATAAAGAATTAAAATACTTACATTTTGATGCAAGAATGACTCTCCTCCAAGTTTTCGTTCATTTTCTAGAGCCCTAAAACAACAAAAATCAGTGCTTCGAAACACAAAATTGCAATTTTTTGGCTTCACCGTGTGATAATCATGAAACTAAGTCATTAATACAATAAAGAATTAAAATACTTACATTTTGATGCAAGAATGACTCTCCTCCAAGTTTTCGTTCATTTTCTAGAGCCCTAAAACAACAAAAATCAGTGCTTCGAAACACAAAATTGCAATTTTTTGGCTTCACCGTGTGATAATCATGAAACTAAGTCATTAATACAATAAAGAATTAAAATACTTACATTTTGATGCAAGAATGACTCTCCTCCAAGTTTTCGTTCATTTTCTAGAGCCCTAAAACAACAAAAATCAGTGCTTTGAAACACAAAAGTGCAATTTTTTTGCTTCAGCGTATGAATATCATAAAACTAAGTCATTAATATAATTAAGAATTAAAATACTTACATTTTGATGCAAGAATGACTCTCCTCCAAGTTTTCGTTCATTTTCTAGAGCCCTAAAACAACAAAAATCAGTGCTTTGAAACACAAAAGTGCAATTTTTTTGCTTCAGCGTGTGAATATCATGAAACTAAGTCATTAATACAATAAAGAATTAAAATACTTACATTTTGATGCAAGAATGACTCTCCTCCAAGTTTTCGTTCATTTTCTAGAGCCCTAAAACAACAAAAATCAGTGCTTCGAAACACAAAAGTGCAATTTTTTGGCTTCAACGTGGGAATATCATGAAACTAAGGCATTAATACAATAAAAAATTAAAATACTTACATTTTGATGCAAGAATGACGCTCCTCCAAGTTTTCGTTCATTTTCTAGTGCCTTAAAATAACAAAAATCAGTGCTTCGAAACACAAAAGTGCAATTTTTTGGCTTCAGCGTGTGAATATCATGAAACTAAGTCATTAATACAATAAAGAATTAAAATACTTACATTTTGATTTAAGAATGACTATCCTGCAAGGTATTCTTCAATTTCTAGACCACAAAAACCAACAAAAATCAGTGCTTCGAAACACAAAAGTGCAATTTTTTGGCTTCAGCGTGTGAATATCATGAAACTAAGTTATTAATATAATTAAAAATTAAAATACTTACATTTTGATGCAAGAATGACTCTCCTCCAAGTTTTCGTTCATTTTCTAGAGCCCTAAAACAATAAAAATCAGTGCTTCGAAACACAAAAGTGCAATTTTTTGGCTTCAGCGTGTGAATATCATGAAACTAAGTCATTAATACAATAAAGAATTAAAATACTTACATTTTGATGCAAGAATGAATCTCCTCCAAGTTTTCGTTCATTTTCTAGAGCCCTAAAACAACAAAAATCAGTGCTTCGAAACACAAAAGTGCAATTTTTTGGCTTCAGAGTGTGAATATCATGAAACTAAGTCATTAATACAATAAAGAATTAAAATACTTACATTTTGATGCAAGAATGACGCTCCTCCAAGTTTTCGTTCATTTTCTAGAGCCCTAAAACAACAAAAATCAGTGCTTCGAAACACAAAAGGTGCCATTTTTTGTCTTCCGCGTGTGAATATCATGAAACTAACTCATTGATGTAATAAAGAATTACAATACTTACATTTTGATGCAAGAATGACTCTCCGACAAAGTTTAGTCAAATTTCTTCATTTTTTGTTCAGCTTCCAGACCCTTAAAACAAACAAAAATCAGTGCCTGGAAATTTTCAAGATTTTGAATATTTTAGTTATTCTCATACTTTTATAAACTGAGAACAAAATTGTTGTTGTAACGTGTTATGTGCGGTGCAATTCTCGTATACCTATAAAATAAAGTCAAAAATTAAAATATTGAATAAAACTAAATTATACAACGACTAATGTTTACCTGTCGGCGGTCAGAACCAAACTAGTTTTAAAACGTGCACGCTGTTGTTGTTACATTTAACGTTTACGTTTTGGACATCAGATGTCGCTAGTACCGCGAAGTTTCCTTCTTTCGAAATTAAATGTTACAATACATTGCCTATAGAAGGCGGCATACAACAAAAACTAAATTAACACAATTTGGCAATTCAATGTTTCATTTCGTAAGGATTAGAGAAAATCGTTGCAAGTTGCGCATGGGCAATGATCCTTTGGTGATTTTAATGATACACACGCAATATTTATAGCCCATCCACATTCTCAACCACATTTTTCTTTAACTAAATACGTAACTAATTGAGCTGACCTCTGCGGAGGCAACAAAAAACATTAAAATGTAATAATGAGCAGTACATCCTTTCTGAAACAAATACTCTTTACTTTTACGATTTCGATAAGCCTTATATACCCGCCGGTGGGAAATATTCCAATGCCTACTTATGGCCAATCAAGTCATTTTTACTGTCTCAAATTATTACCGACACCGCGCCGACAAATTACCAAATGATTTGGGTCGAAATGTGAAAGTTTTTCTCCTCGGAACATGCAACAGCGACGGCATCTTGCGTCGTGCCCGATTTCTTACAATAACTCTGTATTCACGGTGCACGGAATGTTTTGTCCTTGGCACTTTTATTACCTACGATTCGCGTGGAAGTACCTCGCGCAAAACACAACAATATTTGTATTTCCGCATTTAACATGTTTACGGCAAACGCGCTGCCATTAGATAAATACGGAATGCGGTGAGGGACGCGTGTGCGTTAACGTTGTTCGATGATTGTTTTCGCAAGATTACGAAAATTGGAAAACGACTCCATTGTCATTTTCGTGTTGACTGCACGCGTGCGATTTTTGCGCGCGCGCGCGAGGCATCCTTGGAACGTCCCGTTTGATGCGAAAATATTTTTGCTAAACAGAGTGGCGACGTGTGTGTGCCATTCCTCTGTGACAATAAAATGTCATTGCGGAGTATGCAGGGGGAGCCAGAGAAACTGATATGTTCTAAACTACGCCGCAATTGAAGACGGGAGTAGTCACTATTCAAATTTAGATTCACACGTGTATTCAATAGGAATTTTGTTGAAGGATATCAATATTAATGTGTAAAGTACATAAAATTATTATTACAGTGTATTTAAACTCTTTATAACAAAGTTTAAGGAGTTTTCTTACGTTTTACAAACGTTTTGTTATAGAGAAAGACAAAAAACGTTTTAATTTTATCAATGACAGTAATATTTATATAATAAAACTAGTTTTTTTGCAGAAAAAGCTTGAAATGTGGAATAAATTGTTTTTTGTAGTATGATTACTCAAAGGACTATCTATAGCTATTTCTGGACATGTGCAGACAAGTGCCTAAAGCATATACGATGCTATATAATATGACTATATGTGACTATTACTAACCGCGCGTTTCTAGGTCGTTGGGTCGAGAACCGCGCTACACGTGCATACGCATCGCACTAGCACTTGTCCGTTCAGAGCTTTTAACTTTGACTTGCAGACATGACAATCATCCAACTACCAAGTTCAATACTTCCTTGCAGATTCTGCTAAAAGTGAAATTTGCAATGTATGCAACCATATATACTTAATCTATATACTAAATTCTATTATAAGTTATACTAATGTTTTTATAGTTTTATTTTGTGTTGGAATCAGTAATATGTATAAAAATACAATTCGAATTATAGCCACTAGGGAGATTGAGGCGAATGACCAGAACTCTTAGTTGGTGTCAAACTAGGGTAAGCCGGGGCGAGTTTGGCACTCGGCACGTGGCAGCGCTGGCAGGACGATGCACTGCGTGAATTCGATGCCATCAGTTCAGGACTCTCTTCGGCAGCCACAACAAACGGGCAGGGCAAGGCACTTACACGTGCTGCGCATTTTCGGGTTCATCGTCCCTGCGAGCAGCCTGCCTCTCTGCGCGGCGTGTTTTCGGGTCTGGTCCCCCTCGCGGCACGCAACCGGAGTGCCGATGCGGATGCCACGGTCGCGAAGGAGCCACGGGGAAAGCGCTTTCCAAAATCCACCAAAAAGCTAACCCAGGCACTCACTCGGGATCAATAATGCCGAATGACAAGGGGAATAGATACAAACCCAACAACACCAAACTGAAAAAAATGACCAAAAATTGTTTTATTCTCAAATAATGATTATCACGATGAATTTGAAATTAGTCCACGAAAGTTTATCATGTAGATACATAGTATTTGTAGCTCGGGCACACAATGAAACGAAAGTTAAGACAACATAAACTCGCTGGCGCGTTGTACGTTAATCGGCCATCTCGAATCTCGCCGGTCCGCGCGCTAGATAAATATAAATATGTTATGCACGTAGTGTACGCTGGATGCAATAAAAAACGAAATGGGAGCGCGCTCGAGCGACAACTTTTCGGTTTTCGGATGCACACGCATGGAAGCGTGCACTCAACTCGAATTTTTCGGGGGACCTGCCGTGCCACTATCATCTCAGCACGCAGCAGCGAGTTCAAAGAACCTTTTTTATTGATCAACGCGTGTGTGAGTGCGGAGTGCATTGGCGCACAATGTTGAAATTCGTACCATGTTGATGCAGGCAGGGCATTTTTGATCAATTCGGTACTCAGTGGATGAGAAATGATCATCAGAGTGATAGTAATCTGCTTTGGGAGGAAGCATTTCTTGAAAACTCACACAAGTTCAGTTTCTTGCTTGGCGTAGCTGCGGAGATCAACGACCCCATCGGAAAAGGGACGATGCCACAACACACAAGCACGTGTACCCGAAATTTCTCCTCTGAATCAACACAAAATATAAATACCAATAGTACATCTATAATATAAAAATGAATCGCAAAATGTGTTGGTATGCGCATAACTCAACAACGCCTAGAACAATTTGGCCAATTTTTTTGGAAAATGTTTGTTAAAGTCCAAGGATGGTTTTTACAACGAGAAAAATTCGAATAATTGCCGGGAAAACCCTAAAGACAGCCTTTTTATATAGGATAAAAGTTGGCATTGAGATTCAATCATATTTATAGTTAAATAGTTGAATCCTAGATGGCGTGCTAAAGTGCATTATTAGCTATTCTTTCTATAATTAATTTCTTTAAAATAAAATTTTGAATCTTATTGATAGAATTAACACATACTATGTTTAGAACAAAAAAAGGAAAAATAAATTACATTTTTATTAAACACTACCGGGACGAAGTAAAATAGTAAAATGTAATATAATTCATGTTGGTTATTTGTTATTGTTATGATTTCAAAAGTGCCACGCGCGTTGCGCTTTAATTTCGCACACGCTCCTCCAAACATGTTGTGCATTCGTTGTTATTTTATTTCTATTAGTGCGGCAACCTTCTACCTCCACGTGTATGTTTGGTTATGTGTGTAATCGACGCCCCGTAATTAGCAAAGCATTAAATTGCGGCAAAGGCGATCGCGTAATAACACATCAATTATATTTTTGCGCATTTCGCCCGTGTCCGATGGCGATAACTGCGCAATGCGAATATTGTTTACGTGCACACGTGTCGCACATATATCTATGAAATATCAAACATCAAACATCAAACACGACGAAGCAGATTTGTTTCGTTGCGTTGAATTTTCGCATGCCTTAATAACTGATAGCAATACTCAAATGTACTCAAAAGCGTCCGTGACCTAATTTCATGTGTGCGAAAAAAAATTTAATCTCGGTACTGCGTTGTTTATGTTGTCATGGCGGCGCGAAGTTGAAGGCGGCGACGGCGAGAGAGTGAAACCTCAAAATCTCGCGCGTGCCAAAATACACTCGCGTAATGTGTAATGTAGGGCGTCTCTCCCGTTCGTCCTGGCTGGCAGGCTGGCACGTGTTACATAATGGGTGGCACGAGCGCCCTGGCGCACACGGGTCGTCGACCTCGCCTCGCTTTTCCTTTCCGTTGTGTGCCTGCGTGGCACACGCACAATTCCCGAAATTTCGCCTTCGCTCTACCCCAAAAATAACCGGCTACCGAATATGAGTGAGAGAATAAGATGTAATATCCAATTCAAGCAATGTGCGAGTGAAAAAGAGGGTAAAAGTGTGGAAAGTGCGTGTTGCGGGAGTTATCGAGTGCGTTCGTCCTTGTACTCCTTGCGCTCCCTAACAAAATATTCGAGCGTGCGTAGTTACGCGCTCCCCCAGATACACACAAGTGCACGGCCACGCGCGGCTGTTGCGCAAGTCGACGACCGACCCAAAATTCAAGAACGAGGGTTGTGTGGCTGGTGGCGCCCGAACGCACCCAAACAGACGATTTTAAGTTCAAGTTCTGGCGCTGAAAGCGAAACCAGAAAGAGGACAATGAAAGTACGGTGCGGTGTTTCAATATGGCGCGTGGTGGAAACAATTTTCAGGGACTTTTACTTTATTTTTAGGCAACTAAAACGCACTTGTTTTTGCAAGGTTATCTATTTCTACATTTAGCAATATTTTGCCACAAATGTTATTTATTTACTTAAATTTTAAATTTTAGGTTAAAATTTATTTAAAAATTGATTTTTGGTTTAATTTTGACATTAAAATGAGAATTTTATTGGGAATTTTCGTATAGGATATAATTAGCAACAAATTATTAAATGTTTACAAGGCTTAGTGTAATTAGGACAATTTTGAGTGCATGTCTAGCGATTTGTGTACCTTCAAAGCCACACGAGTGTGCGAAAAACATTGTTTTCAAGGCTGTACTCAATAATTTGTTTGCATAGATGATTAAAAAATCATTTTATGTGTTTCCGGCTACCAGTTTTAAAAATCCTCACTTTAAGAATCATTAAAATTGATTTTTAATAAAATAAAAACTAAAATCACTCAAAATATCAATAAAAAACAATTTTCCATTGAATATTACCTGTTTTGATGCAATAATGTCTTTGAAAATGTTATTATTAATCAAAAAAACTAGAAAAATTAATTTTTAACAAATTTTTCGTTTTAATACACGTGTTACCAAAATGTCTATTTTTACAAATAAATTTAGCATTACATGAATTTCGTATTCGACACGAGGCAAGCGGATGATAATGATTTTGATGTATTTGTTATTTTTGTAATGTGTTATTGAGGTAAGTCAAGTTGTTCGCAGCTCGTGTGTCAAGGATAAATCTAATTGGCGTCCGGAGCAGCGGCGCGTTTTTCACATTGAACTCGCGCGGCACTCGCGGCATGAAATCCTGCTGGTATTAGTGTCCCCAGTCGGCCGCCTAGTCAGTCACTCAGTCGCCGCAGTCGATAGCGACGCTGGCAGCCGCTGGTAGAGGGGCGCGCGCGGTGCGCCCCAAATCAACTTGGGTTGAGATTGGTCAAGGTGCGCACCGCGCGCACCACGGCCTCGGCAAGCAGCACGAATGGGCCAAGTGCGCTCGTGTTGATGCGTACTCGTTCACGCTCGCACTTCTAATCGCCAACCGAAAAACCAAACCGAATCTTCCTCTCAAGGCAACAGCCGACCGACGAGTGTGAAATTGTGAAAAACTTTCTCTCTCACCAGACCAGCCAGAAACTAGACAACCACACATACACACACACTTGAATCTATTTTATTAATATCACAACTAAGTATCACTATTTATATTTATTAATATTAAGTAACTGATAAGTTGTGATTAGAAATTTGTAACTAAAAATATTGTTACGTCGCGTGCGTGATTTTGTTCCGTCATTAGTGGGATCCTTTGAATGCTTACAATGTTTGAATCGCTTCAATGTCCTCGCGCTTGGCGCTGGGTTTGTGGAGGCGAGGCACTGTGGCCGGCGTTCGCAGGGCGCACGTGGCGCAATCGAATATAATCCCAGCGAAACGCTGTGACAACCTCAACGCGCACTTACCCACACACATGGAATATTCGCACGACGCCTACACACGGTCATTTGGACGTATTTTTACTTGCTTATCATGTCGCTATCATCCAAACATGCGTCGTGATACACGACGTAAATAACAGTATTTATCTATTGTCATTCCAAATACTAAAATATTGATTTTTGCGCGTTTTTGATTTATATTTTGGTTTTTTCAAAAACAAAACATTGTAAAACATCGTGTATAGGTAAACTATTTATAACGATAACTATTGGCGCGTGTTTTGATTGTATTTGTGTCCGAATGCCAATTTTAGAATAATTGCTGTCGCAGCGCACGCATAACAACACTAGATATATACAAATGTGATGAAAATATACACTCGTCATTGGTGGAATAGACAAGTGTGTGTAATGGGTTGCAAACATTTTGCGCCGCGAGAGATCAACATTAATTATGTTCGCGGCGTGTTTATGCCGCGGATACTACGTCGAAGCGCGCGCGCGTTCAGCAGCGACGGCCACAGTCGTGCGCCTCCACGTGCCTGCTTCCACCAAACTCCGATTCATTCGGAACGCGTGTGTGCACACCGAGTGTTTCACAACGCGCGCCGCACGCGTTCAACGCATACATTTCTGTGTAGATTAGTGCGACGCATGGATGCTTTGCCGCACGCTGTTGATATGGCGAGTGTGAACGAAGCGCGCCGGTGATGCACGAAGGTGATGTTGTGTACTTGTGTACGTTTCAGCCCGCTCGCGGTAAGGGCAGTTTCACGCTAGTATTATTCCGAGCGCAGCGAGCAAGGAGAGCTCAATAGCCAGCACCTTTCGATTGCGATCGCGTCGTCCCACCAACCATCCACCGCTAAAAGTTGTGCAAATTTAAAACATCGCCGCAGATTACCCACTGCTACCGATTGTAAACAATTGAATTGTGATTAAACACAGTGCGCAAAATAAAAATAAAGTGTTTTTAAACTTTTGATTATTTGGAAACAAAAAAAGTTGAAGTTTGTGAAAGTGTTTTTGCAAAGTTTGAAACTTTATGCAGATTTATCTGTGTGCATCATTTTGACTAATTGAGTCAATGAATTGTAAGTACAAATAATTTTTACTTTTTGTTTTAACATTAAGCAATTTACATTGAGATAGGTAATGGGTGAACGTTAAGTCTAAAGTTTTTATTTTCAAATTCAAATAATTTATTTAAAATATACGTATTTACCATGCACACACACATATTTGATTTGTCTCTTTGCGTAATGTTTTAATTAGTAATTTTGAAAAACGTATCGTGGGTCATGGATTTAACCGAAGTACTTTTCGGCGGGCGGTATGTAAGAGTGAGATGAGTGATACGCAGAGACTATGTGTGGAAGAGAGAAGGAAGGCGCGTGCGCTGTGCGCGGGTTGCGTCGCCGGCCGACCTACGTTCGTACGGGTTGACGAGGTCGGTGATCGTTTGTAAAAAAGCGATTCGAACGCGCGGCGAGCCCCACGTGGAGGCGAGCGACTGGCGCTGCGCGCTCGTGCACTCGATGTATGGTGAAGGCCGCACCCGATCGAGCGGCGCTCGTGGTGCGGCCACAGTCGCTCGCCGCCGTGCAGCGGCAGCGCGCTCGTGGCACGAACACCACCATCGCTGGTTGTCTACGTACACAGGACGCACACATGCGCAACACGCGCCGGCGTTGTTTTCTGTTTATTGCCTGTGTGTGTGTGTCTCTACGCGTAAAAAGTTGACTCGACTCGAATTGAATCGTTCTCGAAAACAGTCGCGCACTCACTCTGTATCTAAATTTAAATAATACAGATAAATAAACAAATATTTGTAAATAGTGCTATACGTGCAGAAAGTCGCAAAGGTAAAACTCTGCAACTTATTATACACTTGTATAGAAAATTGTTTTTTTTTTACAAAAAAAATTTAAAACCGGTTAGTTTACATAAAACTATTAATAAATTTTAATTGTCTTGTAAATGAAAGAGAATAATTTATTTTTTAGTCATATTTAAAGAAATTTAATGTTTAAATGAGAAAAAAATAAATTTTTAACGTGTTATTTCCATGACCTAGTCGATAATGTATGAAATAAGCGTCTGAGACATTAGCAGCTTGCTCTCAAACACTTTTTATTTCGATCCGATAACATTTCGATGCGCTGCGGACACCGCGCTTCCGTCCTGTCTCTATGGAAGAGAAAGTAGTGAGTGATATTAACGCGGGACGCGCGGGGCTTCTCGATTTCGGTGATTCTGTTTCGGAAGAAAAGTAGAGGAACCCTGCTTGTGGGGTCGTTGGCCTCGTGTGTGCGTTGCACCCGTAGAGCGCATTCAACGCACTCCATGCGTTGACTCCGCTACGCACACACGATTTTGGGCCTCGTTCGTATTTTCGGCAGCGCGCACAGGACCCACAAATTCGGAGGTCGAAAACCTCGCAGGCGTGTTTCCCCTCTGCCTCTCCTGCTGCGTGCACACGCACAGGGCGGAGTTTCTTGCTTGGCGATGAGAAGACGCGAAGTATTCGTTTATTCGAGTTTACGCAACGCGACCCCGTGTGGCGTGCTTGCGTGTGCATTCATTGCACCTAATCGCGTGGCGCTTCCCCCCACGCACCACGACCGCCCGTCCCCCCTGCTGGGAGCGCATCGTATCGCTGATAGCAAACGCGACTCCCGAAAATCAGTTTAGTTCTTGACGTTGACTCGTACGCTTCGTTTTCCGAGTTGAGTTTGTGTTGCGCGTTTTATAATACTCTACGAATATTAGTGAGTGACTGGTTGCCTTGCTGCACACTCAATGAAATCACCGGTTTAAAATGTCCGCCGACAAAAAGGAGACGAATTTAAAAGAAGTGCAGGAGAATTTCATTCAGAATTTGATTATGCAATGCAAAAGTGAAGTTGTTGCGAATGGTGCGGATTGTTTTTAATTTTTTTTTTTTTTGAAAAAAATTAATTTTTTATGTTTTTCTGATTATTTCAGAAGAAGAAGTGGAGTGGACCATACCGAAAATGGTAGGATTCTACAACGAGACGGTCATTCCGATCCAACTGTCGTCGACTGTGGCCGATGAAGAGTTAGTCAAACGCCTCTTCTGCAGTCCAGATCTACCGATACCTTCCGGTTTACCTCAAAACGCACCTCCAGCGATTCGTCCCTTGGCATCATCCCCGAGCTCGACTTCCTCCGAAGGCAACCTGCAGTGCACGCTGTGTGACAAAATGTTCTCGAGCAAATCATCCTACCAAGCGCATCAGCGTACACACGCGAAGGAAACCGAAGATCCTTACCGGTGCAACATCTGCTCGAAAACCTTCGCGGTGCCCGCTCGTTTAACACGTCATTACCGAACACACACCGGCGAGAAACCTTTCCGATGTGAGTTCTGCAACAAGTCCTTCAGCGTCAAAGAGAACCTCAGCGTACACCGGCGCATTCACACCAAGGAGCGTCCGTATAAATGTGATGTGTGCTCGCGCGCCTTCGAGCACTCTGGCAAACTGCATCGTCACATGCGCATCCACACTGGCGAACGTCCGCACAAGTGCACCGTATGCGCAAAGACCTTTATACAATCCGGTCAGTTGGTCATCCACATGCGTACGCACACTGGTGAGAAGCCCTACGTATGCACTGTGTGCCAAAAAGGTTTTACCTGCAGTAAACAACTCAAAGTCCACAGCCGTACGCACACAGGAGAAAAACCATACTCCTGTGAGATATGCGGTAAGAGTTTCGGTTACAATCATGTCCTGAAACTCCACCAGGTGGCGCACTACGGTGAGAAAGTTTACAAATGTACAATTTGTAATGATACCTTCACGTCCAAGAAAAACATGGAGGCGCACATCAAGAGTCATTCCGAGAATTCCGCACCTGCAGTGAGTGCAAGTCCATCCCCACCACCAGTTGTTGCAACTCCACCTCAATCAACCTCGCCGTCGAGCATAGATTCCTATTCGTCATTCTCGAGCACCAGCAGTACCTCCAGCGACAAGGAGAATAGAGACATGCCTTTGAACCTCACACACATCCCCATTGCTGAGGCACCCGTCAGTTATGAACAGGACATTCGTTACTATCTCTATTCCCGTGGAGATAGATATCCACCGGCTTCAGGTGTGGAATTGCTTGCTGCGGCTGCAAGCGCACGCGAACGCGTCCAGGAAGTCTCCTCGAACTCCAATGACGAAGCACCTGAATCCCTCGCAGTGTTGAATCTTATCTCACGTGGATCCCAGGATGTCGTCGCTGCGATGCGCCAATGCCCGTCTTATTTCGGCGTTCCAACTTTATCCTACGAAGGAGTTCAACCACTGAACGCTGGGGATGACATCCGACGTCGCGTGGAGGCTGCTCTTGCCGGAGCGGAACCCATGCTGACTCCTCCGAGCAGTAATCCTGTCTCACCAGCACCTTCGGTCACACCTGACCCTGAACTGTCACTACCGCCTAGGAAACGCTCGAAGATGATTCTGAAGTCGATGGAAACCGAGGAGGAGGAACGGCGTAATACTCCATCGCCGAAGGATCTTTCGCCGGTGCGTTACTCGTCGGTCATTCAGTACGCACGAGCGTCGTAGTAAAACTGACAATCCTTCGAGAATCATTGGCAATATAGGCAACCAAACTAAGCAGAGAAAACTCGTACTGATATGAAAAGACTAATACGTACTAAAAGGGTGAGCGCGTTCTGTCAAAAATAAAAATTGCTGAAAACATCAAGCGAATTACTTAAAACCGCATATTTTGCGAAGCGCTTGATGTTGTCAACGCACTCGCCCGCATTATTATTAATAATTTAATTTACAATTAGCGTGGATTAGCCACAAAGTCGAAAACGTAGCGAATCTGTGTGTGATCGTGTGTAAATGAAGAAAACAAACACCAAATTCTATGAAATTGTGTGAATTTGAATGAATGCGTTTTATATACATATGCAATTTAGTCTGAACGAAAGAGTTATGCGTAGAGTACGAGTGAATTGTATGCATATTATTATTCGCCTAGTTGTGTAAAATTTTTGTTTCTGTGATAAGACATGACGATTACCTCATTGCAGTGCCTAGGGCGAAACTAAAACCAGCCGGTTTTAACTTAAAATCAGCCCGAGCAATACAAAAAAAAGAAAGAAAGTTTAAAACCTAAAAAAAAGAAAACTATGTAATATTGTAGGTATCTACTAAAATAACCCGAATGAATGTTACAAATACGCATATAGAAGATTTAAGCGCACTGTCATCGTTGTACTAGCATCTATTACGTTACTTCGTAGGTAATTTAAGCGAAAGAAACACGTTACATTAAGCAAATGAATACATTAACAACATTTTCACGTTGTATATAGCTCATCGTTCATATTTACCCACCTAGCAAATAACACAAGTGTCATTGTAAAACTCTCATACCTCATGCGACTCATGGAATACATAAATGCATTAATATTATTACCTAGAGATAGCTAAGCAACGTGCAAAACAATGAAACCATAACTATAACACTAAACACTAAATTAATTATTATAATTATTATTGTATCGTATGTTGTTTTATCTTTCTGTTTGTTTATATACTATGGATATCCCTTTATATATGATTATTATTATAAAAATGATGCACATGATGAATTCTGTTGCAACAAAATGATGAAAAAATATCAAACTATCAAATTGAAATTGATTGATTGACTGAATATAATAAAATAAAATTATTAAAGTAAAAAAACTTAAATTAAACAAATTGTTGTTGGTTTGTGTTGCGTTTGCTGTGTGATTTTTAATTTCAGCTTCTTGTGCAACCTGATTGAATTGATTGGACGATAAGTGCATTAGGTCAATGTTACAACAATTGCAAAATCAGCAGAAAAAAAACTATGGAAATCGAAGTCAACGTTGTGCAAGCTGTGCAAGTCGCGACGGTGCGTAGGAGGAGAGGACAATGGCTCTGACATTTTCGTAAGAGCTATTTATAGATTATTATAAAAAGTCAATTATTACAAAGGTTGCGTTCAATTTCAGTACTGTTATTAATAAGTAAATTATTTGGAAGAAAAAATGCCTGAAAAAATGTGATTAATTGGATATTAAACAATTAATTATTGCAATTTTTATTGCACGAGATTAGAAAAAACGTGATGGTTAATGATTTATTTTAGTTCTATTTAGATATCAGACGTTTTTTGATTGTTTAGACGGTAATTAGGTATAATAGATAGGAGGTTACTGTTCATTTAAATTGAGAAATAAAATGGTCGATAGGACTTAAACGGTGATAATTAGCACAAAATATTACTAAGATAAATTAGTTTAAATTACTGTATCTTTGATATTCTGCAAGAAAAAGTTTAAATTTTTGATTTTAATTAGAATTAGAAAATTAGAAAAGTTAGAGGAAAGCAAAAGTTCAGTTTTTTGCGCTTTCCTTGTAAACTATTAGAGTTTAAGAAAAACTGTTTTCAGATTCGGATTCAGGGCAATATTTTAGATTGTATTGAACTTTAAAATTTTAACTTTTCAATAGTTATGTAATAAATAAAAATGGTCAATATCTTGAAAACTAATTAAGTTATCGGAATGAAAATAGGATTAATGGATTCCTTCTTCATTCTACACTAGATTGGAAAGTTTGGTAAAAATCTGAGTTGTAGTTTAATTTGGAGTGTTCAGATTTTCACCCTGTTTTTCCGAAATATTGGAGTTATTGGAAAATTGACTGGATATCTTTCATCGCATTGTGATTCTCTACCGATTCACGTTTTTTGTTCAGCTCTAGCATAAAAAATAATTTTTAGGCCAAAAAAGAATCAAGTGTAACCTCTTGAGTAATTTGGAGTGGTTTTTATCAACTTTGTAGAATCAAAAAACTAAATCTGCCATTTTGTAGACCTTTGTTATGACATGAAGAAAGTGTAAAAATTTTGTTTGTAATTCTTATAGTTCCCGAGGAAATTGCATCGGAAAATTGATTTTCACTATCTTAGAATTACAATTTTTAAATTGTTATCTTATTCACAATATTCCTCTGAATACAATGACGTTTTCGGTTTTCGATTATCTTCATTAGGTTCTGAGATAATTAGGATTTGAGCGTCGTCGGAAGTGTACGGTGCATTTAAATACACCTACAAGGTACACCAGAAATACAAATATATTAAAAGTTTTGTTAATAAGGTAATTAAAAGCCCCTATACATGGTGAAATAATTAGTTTTTCAGAATTATTACAAACACTAATTAAAATGTCAGGCGCCTCCGCCAAATTTTCAAAGGTTTGCAGTTTTGAACAAAAATTTAAAAAATAAATCTTTTAACGCTTATTATAAAAAAGAACAACTTTATAAATAAATTATTTCAATACCTATTTGTAATTGGACTAAAACTTTAAAAGTTATACGATAAATACTAACTAAATGCCTTCGAATTAAAATTAAACTTTGGGGCTAAATTAAGATTGATTGGCTAACATTATAAGTTTGAGTACATACTAAAACGCAGTTTTCAGTGTGTATTTTGGGTACAAAATGGTAGAAAGAGACGATCACTACGCAAATTAGAAGTAAGTTGCTTGTACGTACTATGAACATCATTTATTCAAGTAGTTTTTCATCATTGTAGAAATCGACACGTAGGCAACCCAATACGCAGCGAGCACATTCATAAACTTAAAACTAATTCTTAATATGAAATCATGTGGAGTCAAAACTAATATGGTCTTGGTGGCCCAGGTGGTCCTCCTCGCATCATACCCGGTGGTGGTCCGCGCATACCCATCGGCGGCGGTGGTCCACCGCGTCCCATCCCTGGCATACCCGGTGGGATGCCCATCATACCAGGCGGCGGTCCCATCATCCCCGGTGGTGGTCCGCCCATTCTCGGCGGGCCTTGGTTCATCTGTGGTGGAGCCGCTACTTGTCCACGGCCACCAGGCGTCATTACTTGTTGAGATGGACCTGAAGAAACACACTTTGTAAAACTCACAATATGAATTTTCAGTAAAACTAACCTCCTACTCCTCTAACAGGGCCTTGCAAACCAACAGGAACACCACCAATACCGGCGGGCATACCCCGACCAGCTGCGCGACCCATGCCTGGCCCTTGAGCAGCACCAGGAATTGGTACTCTTGGTAAACCTTCCTCTGGTGGTGGTGGACCTTCAACTGTGAGTGACACAATGCTTTCACCTCTGAGTAAAACAAAACCTAAAACGCGTTTTTCTTCACGTTCGACTTTCGAATTCTTCGGTTTGATTTTACGGAACTCTTCGCAGTCTCCGAGGATCATGTTCATGTGTTTGTCGAACGCTTTGAACGTGCCGATGAACGTTCGTGAATCTTGCAGGGTTATCCTCACCCTGTAGTTGATGTGTTGGATCATTTTATTATTCTTTCCGATCGTCTATATTAATAAAAACAAATTGTTAACGTATTTATATAAGTTATTGTTTATAATAAATTAATTTACCATCTTGGTGCTTGTATTTTAACTCCGATAAAATTAAATGAAAAAAACCGATGAACGCATCGGTAACGCAAGTTAACCTATAAAAGACAACGTTTGCTTTTGAGCGGCGTCAAAACATAACTAGGGATATTACTAAAGAGTTTCTGTACGGTTGGTTGCCTTAAAATCAATATTCAAATGTTTCGTCAAGTTTTATAACTTGAAATATTTCAATGTTACAATGAATCATCAACTAAATTGTGTTGTATTTATATTTTTTATAAATATTTAAAACACCTGAAACACAACCGAAAGCGCTTCATATAATATTAATTTCGCATATGACTATAGAAAAGATCACACATTGTTTCGTTGCACACATAATTAAATAATGGCACTTCAACATTCTTAAACTAACAAGTTCGTGTTCACACAATGTCTTTTTGGTTACTTTAATGGCAGTAGTTGCATTTGGCATGACACTTGACGCCATTCACTCCACATTTACACCCGCCTGAAGTGTCGCCTTTGCCGGCGGGTCCCCAGCGTAATCCACGTGTTACCCAACAGATTTCCGTCTTGCACATTGAGCAGCGCACCCAGTCACAGCCCCATTTCTTCATCATTACAACATGACACGCGGGGCACGCAAGCGCTTCACCCTTCTCCACCATTTCATTCAACCATTCTCGTGTTTGACGTGCGTCTTCATCCGTTTCCGACTGGTTATTCATGTGTTCTTGATATTGACGACAATTTAGACCCCAGTGTATAGCCTGTCAAAAAGAAACATAATAAAAACCAAATTTAATAAAAAGCAAAGAAATAAATTTACCTGACAAGTTAGGCAATTTGTTTTCTTACAAATTGGACATCGAAACTCATTGACATTGTCTTCAAAAACGCACCAACCTGTGCAATCGGGTGTTTTACAGTGAAAAGTCTTATCCATTTTATTCTCCGCTTGCGCAACGGATTTAGCCAGAAACTGGTCATACGCCTGTCGACTTACCAACGCCTTTATTTCTCGATCTTGCAAAGCAATGTCACATGAATAGTCTTGGTCTCTGTAAGGACACTTTACTTCCGCTTCATCACTGAATTCAATTGTGTGTGCTAAACACATCTTACAAAACTGATGAAGACATTCCCTGAGAGTGACACCTTCCTTCGGCTTCACTTCTGTCAAACAAACAAGACACTCAAATGCATCACAGTTTGGAACCAAATCTGAATTGTCTAAATTCATCAATTCATAGTAATGCAATTTATTATCTGGTTTATTTGTGTTTTCCTGCTTTTGACGCACTGTTGCACACACAGAGCAAATGTTTGCTGTTGGATTATTCACTAGAGTACAAACGTGACAAATCCAATGTGCTTGTTTCGCTTCTTTATTCACACGTGGAGGTCGTATTGTTTTATCATACTCGGAAAAGTCTTCCTGTTCAGCTTTGGGTGGAGTTTTATTTTCTTTTTGTGTTGCAGCTAAAACCGTTGGAGCTGTTTGAACAATAACTGATGTTTTGACAGCTGTGGCTAATCCAGTTGTGCTAGGTTTACTTTCAGAGGAAGTAGAAGCAATTGTTGTACTTGTTAAAGACGAAGACGATGATGATGATTGTAGATGAGAATTGGTTGTTTTAGTTATTAAAGGTAATTTAGAAACAGGTGGTGCCTTGGCAATCTCACCAATTTGTGTCTCTGCGTTGGTTTTTGGTTTGATCATCACGTGGACCTTGAGGTGTTCCCCAACAATTCGAGGAGAATTACTTCCGGAAGAAGTTCCAACAGCAGCGTTTTTAACTTTACCTTTTTCAGATGGCACAACAGCAAATGCTGATTTTTCAGACCTGATAAACCCTGAAGGAGATTGCCCAGATTGTCCAGAAGATAATTTACTAATACCACTAGAGAGATTTGTTGTTGGCACTGGTAAATTCGAAGGTTTAGCAACATTGTCGCTTTTTTCTTTGGTTTGGCTAGTTTTAACGTCAACATTCAACTCTTTAACTTCAATATTAACCACTTTTGGTGTTTTTAATTCTTCATTTGTATTTTTTGCTGTTGGTGCAACCAAATACAAAAATATCGGGCATCCTTGCGTGACATTGAGTTCTTTTAGAGTAGTTTTATCATTACCAGCTAATTCTTTACCCAAAATCCACCGTTGCACTTCAATAGGTATCTCAAACTCACGTTGTACTTGTTGTTTCAACTCAAGAACAGTTTGTTCATTGAATACTTCAATAGGAAACGGTCCACGATGCGATAAACGATCTTCTACATACATTTCCACACTGAAATTTAAAAAAAAATGCTTGTAAAGTTTTGTTTGTGTATTTAAAGTTGCCTATACTCACATAAAACGATTTGCTTTGTTTGGCAGCTCATTGAAGTTTTGTTTCTGTCGTATTACAGAACAATTTACTTTAAGATGAGCTAAATCCTTTGCATACCCAGCTGCATCGTTCAAATCCCCTTTTGCAATCGCATTTTCCAGTCGTCTCAGCAATTTATTAATCTCCAAAGTATCCGCAGCGTTCGGTGTTGACTGAAAACCGCTACCACTTGCTAAATTCTGTTTTAATTCGTTTAATTTTTTCGGAACATTAAAAAACAGTTCTTTGGGCGTTGGATTCTGACTCTCTGGTAAGTTTGCGTACAAATGTTGTGTAGTTGAATTTGTAGCAATCTTTTCACTGTAAATATCTTCAAAATCTTTCGGTCTTAATAATTGATAAGGACTTTCTTTCTTCTGATCATTGGATGTTGATGGTTTGATTTGCGTTTTGATTTCTTCTTCTTTCTGTACAATCTTTTGATCTACTTCCATCATTTTTTCATCTTTCAGGTCAAGATTTGCATCGTTTTCCGCTAAAATCTTATTAGAATTCGCTTTGTTCTGTTGAATTTCCGGTCCCTCATCAATGGTACTCTTGCGATTTTGCAGAACCACATGAGATTTTGCGTTTCGGTAACGAATTCTTCATCTCAATCAACATTTTCTTTAGTTTTTCTTTTTCCTCGCGCTTAGTTTCAGCTGTAGTCTCATTCTGAACTGGGGACGGTGTGGTACCAAGCGCCCTCTGACCACGGTTACCACCAAAACTGATCTGGGTCTTAGACCTCATCAAAATAGGAAGCTCTGAAGTTACTGGTGTTGTAGTCACCGCTGGTTTATCATTAGTCACGTTTAAAACGTTTAAACTGTTGTTGCTGCTTGATGACGAAGAATTATTCACATTTTTGGTTAATTTTACATTTGAATCATCCAATGGTTTACTGTTACCACTATTGGTAGGTGAGTCAGATGCAGCAAAATTATCAAAGTATGGTTTAATTGTAGAACAAACGTGACAAATAATACGCCAGTAATCATTCTCCAAATTGCATTTGGGACACATCCAACTTTTACGTTCGAGTTTTTCTAATTTTGGTGTTTGGGGCTTTGCTTGTGGAACTGGTAAAATACAAGTTGTAGTTTCGCTTTTCATCAAAGGTCCTGGTCCAGCTGCTGCTCCTTGATACAAACCAAATCCATTTTTCTTGACGTCTTTACCGCCAGACACATTTTTCACTTCTTTAACTTCCTTCTTTTTACCAAAGTAATTTTTATCACTTGACGGATTGAAAAACGCCGAATTTACAGTCACCTTCGTCACGCTCGTGATGGCATTGAACTTGGCAATCAAATCTTTGGCAGATTTCCGCTTTGATGGCGGCTGCTGCACATCGTAAACATCTTCCTGTGCTTTCGGCTTCATAAACTCAGGCATTTCCGGTAGTTCATAGTCTGGTTGTTCATTTGGTTGTTTCTGCTTAGAATTCGCTTGATTTTTAATTATTTCACTCGCCTCGCGATCCAATTCGCTGATATTAGTTAAAAACATAATATTTGACTTGCGTTTATCATCCTTTTCAGTTTTCTCCAACTTAAAATTCTTATGATTATTATTATCGACGATGAAAGGTGGTATGACAGGTTCATATTTACTTTCCCGCTTTTTGCTTTGACTGCTAGTCGCACGCTTGTACCATGGTTTCGGCGACACCGGAATTTCGCTTTTTAAACTCGTTGCAACCCCAAGCAATGGACTTTTTTGCGGTTTTAGCACCGGCTGGTCTTTCGTGGGTTTTAACACACCGTGGTCTAACTTTAAACAGTCGTTTTGAATGACGTCCACGTCAGCATACTCAAAACTATGCGCGCCGCCATTTTGTTTCGCGGCCATAGTCACGTTGTCTTCGGTATTCAACGCGTTTATTACCTTTTCAGCTGTTGGCGCAGCTGGTGGTGGAGGCGCAAGACGCTTCTTGCGTCGCAGACTTAAACTGCTTTCTTTTTGTTCGTTCTGCGGCGGTGGTGGAGCTTTGCGCTTTCCTTTCACGTGTAAATACGCACCGGCTTTTCTTCCCTTTGATGAGTCGCTGTTTGTACGTCGATGACCTTTGTCATCATCGCTCATTTTCGTCTTGGTCATCAGTGGTAAACTCTTACAATTATCTTCTTTGTGATTCGTTCTATTTTCCTCTTCGACTTCCGGTTTCTTCTCTTTTTGCTTGGTGCCTTTATCGCGGTTGAAAAACAGATTGTATTTTTTCCTCAGCGTGATATTCTTGTCTTTCTCGCGTACTTTGTCTCGTTGCTTAAGCCTTGCTTTGTAGGTGTCAGTCTCAGGTCCTGGGTGAATGCACTTATCGCTAGTTTTCGGCGTGTAGGCGGCCGGTGGTATAAAATTAAAACTCGCGGCTGTTCCTGTACTATTCAGACTTGAATTACTGCCACCGAAAGGGATGCTTCCTAAACTTGACGTCGGTGAGTCACGTGACGACGCCACTGATTCCTTCGAAGTCGAACGGAACCATTTTAAGAAGGAAAAGATGCCACTATTGCGTTTATTGTTATTATTGTTGACTGGGTATGATGAAGACGATGCGGTTGGAGGCGTCGCAGGCGTCGAGCTGTGTCGATTACTGCTTGGCGCTGCAGATGCGTTGGAAGTTGGCGCGTTGCCAGGACTTTGTCTCGTTGATGTGATGACGCCGGCGACGAGGTCGCGATGGTCATTCATATTATGCCCAAATCTGATGCAGGCGATCAAGGCTTCCACGCGAGAGAAACCATTTTCATTGAATCCTTAAAGTTTTGGATCTGCTGATGATGTCATTCGATATTTGGGCCGAAAATACACTAGAAATATCATTGGACACACAAACATGCTTTACAGGCAAGCGTGGATTGCAATACTCACATGTGGGTCCTTCATGACTTAACTTAAGTAACACTGGTAACGAAAATATCACAGTTTCGCACGAATCTGATGGAAATCCTTGCGATTTTCATGCCGGACGCACACGATGTGCGTGTCCTGAACGTGGACACCGTGCCGACAGTGTGGCACTTGTCCGACGCACAAAGCTTCCTCGCAAGCTGCCGAAAGCACCTTTGGTTTAAATTTAGTCCGCGTCCATTCGTGCCCGTCCGGTCGTGCGTGCGCGCACACACGCCGCGCGTTATATATTTTCCACCGTTTTCGTGCGCGACCACGTAAATACTTTTCCTTTCTATTTTCTTGTTCCTTTTGCGATCGCTTCCTTTAAATTGCGCCGGCGGTGAACTTGTGCGCGCCGCGCGTTCTTCAAGTGCATCGTGCGTGCCTGAAGTGACTGAAAAAGCTGCTATTAGTTCTAAGCGCGCAAAGAAAGCTGCTGGTCCTGGTCAAAACGCTTGGTGCTCAATGCGAGTTATAAATAAGTTCAAAATAAAAACGAAAACAAGATTAAACGCTCACGCTGGCGTTGCTGCAGCTTCATATTCGTGTTGGAAAACTTGGAATGAAAGTTATCTTGAGCTGGTGACTCGAAAAAAGACAACAAAGATGTTCATCCTGTTGGGTCTATAAAAAACCTCTAATGCTAGACCTTAATGAACAGTTTCATGAGTTATTACGGTAAGAGAATTTATTTTCATGTTTATTTTAAGTTAATTACGTTCATTGCAAGAAAACTGTGTATGTTGGGTTGCATACAGTTAATATTATACGTAGTGTAACCAATTCTTTCATCTACAACACGTAATATTTAACTTTATGAAATCAACGCTTTGTTTGTATCTGACTTTGAGTTGCATAATATAAGCAAAACTTGGATATAAAATTGCATAAACTGTATGCATTGAGATGTATTTCATAAAACAAACATATTATTGTGCGCTTATGAACTGTTACGGCTCAACGATAAATATTTACACAATCATTCACGCGTCTCGTTCGTATTGAATTAAAATTTATTTATATGCGTCACACACAGCTGAGTTTGCGGTTTGTACGGTTGTGTATGGTCGTGTTTGTCGTGAAGTCACGTTTCGACGCCCTGGAAACCGCGAAGTTCGAGTTTCGCGACGCTGGCGTGCATCGAACGAGCGCGCAAAATGAAAGCAAAACAAAACCGCTCCTTATGCGCGCGCCCTAGCAACAAGCGACGCGCGAAACGTTGACTCAGTTTAGATTCACTACGAAACGTATGGAACTGAATAGAAAGTTACTGTTTTGCAAGTTTGATTGCCTTGTTTAAGGTAAGTGAATCGTATGAATTATAAAGGTATGCTACTACCGGTACAACAAGATAAATGTTTTTACAAAAAAATGGAATAATGCGTGTATTTTGCATTGTTTACGCGCATTCGCTGAATTAATTGAAAAGCGACGCGTTTCGACACTTTTTAGACTGTGAACAATGTAATATTAATGAGTAAAACGGTTAATTAATTCTATTCGCAATATTCTACGCCTTGTAGTGTACAATTGCCAACAGTGTAAGATTTTTATCGTTTTTAGTTGATTTCACCTTAAAAACAAGTTTTAAATAGATTAATATTGTATTTTTACTATAAAATACATACATGTTTATTATCTTTATTGTGTTGTTAATTAAGTTATAAAACTGTTTTTTCTTTGCTTTTCGTTTCAAGTTTTGTAATCGCGTTTGATTTGCAACTTGGCAACAGCGCTCGCTTGGCATCGGTTAACCGAGTCCTACCCGAACCGTTCGGGTCAGTCAGTTATTCACAGTTCGCAGAGAGAGAACTCCGGTCCCGTACGTTACGTATAGTTGATTAGCTTTGACCTGGAAAAAAACCGTCACCGAACAGCTCGTAGCTTGAGGAATTAGTGCAGTTAGATCAATCAGTGAGTGCGAAATCATGTCTGAATCGACGGAGTATTCTGAACACTGACGAAACGAGTTCGCGTTTGTGCCGTTTGTGCGCCTGTCGTGCATCTCTCTCTCACACACACTCCCGTCCGGGATTCTTGCCCTCCGCCAAGCCTGCCGATCGTCCTTTGTTTGGCCGCGTCCATTTTTGTATACAAACATTCGCGAGCTCACCGCGGTAAACAGTGCGTTGGAGTAGTCGCACGCAACGGGGATTACGATCGCGGCGACGCAGCGGCTTCGGTAATTATTTTTAGCTACACACTCATTCTTGTCCCATCGCCAATGGACTGTCGCAATAACATCTCAACTCTCATATTCTTATAGGTTTAATTGGATCTGAAACAAGTGCGCAACAAATAACACGGAAAACCACAACCAGTTGCAAGGAATACGCGCGCAAAGATCTGTAATGTGCCCAAATCATCTCCTCAGTAAGAAATCGGTGAAGCGCACTCTCGTACCAACGACGACGGCCATCAGCTTGCAGCACTCGAAGAGAAAAGGCATCTTCATACACCCCACAGCTATGTTCAAAAACTTTACCGTGCAGTGTTTCCCGACCGCCTATTCAATATAAGGCGCTACAATATGACCGCTTCCGGTTTAAACTAAAAGTTATTTACAAGCTATTACAAGTGAGCAAAAAGTATCGACATCCAATTGGAATAATCATGAAGCTGCTTGAGAGTACCACTTTCGAAGCCATCAACAATGCGTTGTGCATCGAGACCGGGGATTCACAGATCGTCGGTCGCATCGAGAGCTACTCCTGCAAGATGGCGGGCGGTGATAAGGCAATGTACAAACGCTTTAATTCCGAGGGTGTGCATCCCAATGATTTACAAGCGCTCAGCCCACCGCAGGGTGTTTCACCCGGTCGGTCTACGTACAGTCGAAGTATCTCCGGCGATGAGGATGGACCGCTTTGCGACACGATCAGTCGCAAGACTTTGTTCTATTTGATTGCGACGTTGAACTCTGCTTTTCCAGATTATGATTTTATGGATGTCAAGGTGATTTACCTTCATTTTTATTTACAAAACAACATAAAATTGAATTTATACTCTTTTAGAGTCATGAATTCTCCAAGGAGCCGTCCCTAAAATGGGTTTTATCAGCAATTGACACCAATTTGACAACCACAGCACGCGAACACTACAAGCACCTGAATCAGCAGCTGTGGGCCGCCGTCGAGGACGAGATCGAACTGAACGAATGCGATATCTATTCGTACAATCCTGACCTCGGCTCGGATCCGTACGGCGAGGACGGCTGCCTGTGGAGTTTCAATTATTTCTTCTACAATAAGCGACTCAAGCGCATTGTGTTTTTCACGTGCAGGGCCATCAAGTAAGATACTAGTAAACTTGTTTTGTTGGTGTTACCTTAAAGAGAAAGCACGGCACGCGCATACATCATACGACCTTGAATCGTTGATTTTTATTTGAGTTGACTTGTGTGTTTATTCATTTTTTCTCTCTGTTCTCACGTCTAGTCCGATTTACGCTGTGGATTCTGGTTTTGGAAGTGACTTCGCAATGGAAGACGAAGATTTCGCCGAGTAATTATTCTAAAGCAACCACGCGACAACAATAATTGCAATTAGGTGAAAGATGGTTGCGTATTATTTCGTATTTTTAGCCCATTTGAAGTAAGTATATATATCAACTAATGGAAATGACGGATAAAGAAACAAAAAAGCTAACTGTGATGAGGGTTAGCGCAAGCGACAAACCAAAACGACGAAATGTTTACAACCGGTTGGGCATTCATATGTTTCCCTGTCCCAAACTGTGTTAGCAAACGATATCAACCTGTGCGACAACGAGAGAGGAAACAATCTTTTGGTGAGAGCAAAAGTACAAATTTACGCCCTTAGTGTATAATGTTACAATTAAAACAATTCAACCAAGTTGATGAAATGAATTCGTTATTTAAATAAGTGTTGATCATGCGCGGATTGTTTACACTCGGCACACTTATCTCGCGATATGTGAGAATTTCAGATGATGGCATTGTTTTTATGTTTATGAACGTACAGAGCCCATCTCTAGCACTGATAGTAGTTTTACGTATCTATCTTAAGATCTAACACTATAACATAATGAATGCATGGATGCTTGTCAACGGTTCATCATATTGATTGATTGGTTGGTTAGAAAAATGCGTCTAATTTGTTTCTTGCTATTTTAAGCAACCATTCACAACAGGAAAAATACAACCGGCAAGCATTCATTTTAATGAGTTAGTTATTTTATTATACGACTTTGCTGCTTATACCCCCAGAAGTAGTGTTTATTGCTAATTTTATTTGTATCAATGAAGTTTAAATACAGTAGATTTGATCTCATGACAAGGAATCAAGAAATTTCGTGCAAAATCGCGCATTTTAATACAAATCAACAATCAACTGATAAAAAACAATTGGTTTTTTGGTTGTGGATCAGTTATTCATCCATAATCTCAAAATATTTAGTAATTTATGCATAGCTGGTTGTTAATTTGTATGATAAACTTAAAGAACATCTAAAAAGCAATGCGATTTCAGCGTAGCACGACGCAAATTGAATGTTTTTGACGGAATAAAAAGCGGGATCGAAAAGAACGCAAGCATATGATGAAGAATTATGCAAGAATAAATTATATTTTTCGATTTGTTTTATCTTTATCCAATTTTTATCAATTATTGTAATAGTTGTTTATCTCAGATATTAAGTAACATAACATTGTGTACCTTAAACAATTAAACTTAGTTCGCTAGAATGATGATAACACAAAATATAAACGTTTAAATAAACTTCTTTGCCGAATCATCGCAACAATCAAAAATATCAAATACATAGCTGTATATATATATATTATATATCAGTAATAAATATCGTTATCATGTGTTCGCTAACTAACAATTACAGCAGCGCCTCTAAAGTGTCGTATTAGTCAGTGGTGACTCGAAACAAATGCAATAATAACTAATTCTCCATTCTAGTAAAAATAACATCAGCTAGCCGTGTAGTAATGAGTGAGAAGAAGCGACATACATTTACAGCCGGCAATCCTCATCTGTTTGCTTATTCCCTAGCTTAACTTAGTAATCTCTTTCGATCGGAAAATGCCCAATGGTTTTCCAGTGTCGATATCTTCGAATAAAATTCATCGTAATTTATCGTATAATCATAAATAAACATTTGAAATACTTGTAAACTTAATAGTTCTCTCGTTAGTTGATAAGTCAGTTAAGATAATAAATAATTTTGTTAGTGCCTGCGCGTTTCTCACGCTGATATATAATACTTCAATAACCAACAGTTTTTCTTTTGAGATAGAGTCAACAGATTTGCTAGTTTTACTAGATATTTCTTAGTGGTTGTCAATGAATTTGGATTCGTTAACAAATTTCCTAGATATTTTCTTTGATAAATGATTTGTTTAGATTTAGAAAACTGAAACGAAATTCATAGCTTTTGCTGTGTGAATGATAACAAATCAAAAATAACCTGTTTTACCCTTTGAAGGATTATGAAATCCTTGATCAATACTCGTGATGTTGTCAGACGCAATCTAATTGTACATCATGACGTCGGAACTTTGGTACATGCAAATGTAGGCATCGCACAGCAGACGCCTCGCGTGCTCCGGTAAATGTCTATCCAGAACAGAATTGTCGTGTAGCTCACGGCAAGCTTGCTCATCCGACAGCCATTTTGAAACGTCAGGGCAAGCCACCATTTCGGGGATATTATAGCCATTTAACTCACCTAGAAATATTAATATTACCACATTCTTAATTATAAAATAACCAATGATATTTTACCTTTACGATCCGCCATTGAATCAAAAAAGCACCATGGCGCTTCATGTCCAGCACCACACTTAACAAATGCGACGTAATGCGAAGTCTCTATGCAAATAACAGCGAAAAGTTCCATGTACAACCGTGGCGGTGGACAATGATCGGAAATAATCGCAAAATCCGGCGGCACTTCAAGCGCTACCGGCTTGTGACTCTTCCGTAGATGTTTATGCGCCATCTCTAAGCAGGAATTGCAGAATGCGGTGCTCTCCAGGCCTTCACCGCACTCGCCGAAACAATCACGACATTCAAACTCAGCCAGTTTACCACACACAGTACATTGACGCGGCGCTACAAAACAAATCATCAATATGTTAAGTTTTAACATGTATACACTTACAGTTATCGATTATATCCGTCACATCTAACAATTGCGATGGGAGAATCCTCGGATACATCTTGAAACTCTTACCGAATCGCGGCATTTGTATAATCAAACATGCAGGCACCTCTCTTAACTTGATATTACTCGTGAGAAAACTCTGCTCAAACAACTGCTGCACCGTAGGCAGCTTCAACTCGTCATCCTTTTCAACAAACAACTGATAATAGTAAGCATCCTGCCCGGAATTGAGCTTCAAGAATGGCTCAGCCTTCAGAATCTGCGCCAGCAAAGAATTGAGAAACTCCTCGGGATCTTTCTCTTCGCTCATCAGACCGGAGACGGAACTAAGACGATTGAGCAGCTGCCGTAGATTCATCACTCTGTCCGCACGCACAAAGAGATTCTTCCGGAGTGGATTGACGATCTCTTCACGCAGCACTCTTTGTACTTCTTCGTATTCTGGTATATCTTTGGCTTCTCTAGGGCGGAACAACAAGTTGTCGAAAACAGCCGTATAGGTGAACATTGCAAATAACGTGGCGTCTAGGTAACAAGAATTGTTACGGCCTTGAATGCCACGGAACTGTCCACAGACTGCTTCGACATCTTCTTCGGTTTTCATAATTAACGGTGGGACAGCACCAGGTATAACAGGACAGTCCTAAATGAAATTATTTTATATAAAATCATATTTTTTAGTGTAAACTTACTTTTCCAAATGTTTTCTCAGACGCAGTATGCACCGGAGTAGGAATGCCGTCCTGAAACCGCGAATCCTTGTGACATTGTGTAATGGGCACGAAAAGAACGCGATCTCCCGAACATTCCACCAACTTTCGGCCCTTGTACGTGCCATCTGATAGAGTTAGCGGTAGATGCACAGGTTCGTCCTCTAATTCAACACCAGCGACGACAAAATTCGACCCTTCTTCTTTTCCCATCCATCGCACCACACCATAAAGTGGTTCTTCTGAAACATCGTTAAGCACCTCGACCATGGACCCAATAACCAAATCATTCGTTTCGTTAGGTAATGGCTCCGCAAAGTGAACATCTTCTTGTACAGCCGCCGCCGCTGAAGTTGATGGAAGTGTTTTCCTCGCCAATTCCAACCTCTCGTTCAATTCTATAACAAACAGCGGCAAATTATCGTACACTTCGCCGCCGGAGTTGGTATTTTCGTAGATTTCATCATTAAACGTGTCATCATCATCATGGTATGGCACTGGCACTAATCGCGGCACTTCCACTTCCGGTTTATCCAAAAATTTATGCCGAAAATTCGTTATCGCCGGCGGCAATTCATCCACATTATTGTAGTACAAAGGTTCGTCGAACATGAAATTGCCGTTCGAGTACGTTTCACTATTATGCGCATTGCTAATTAGTAGTTTGAGGTCTTTAATGTTTTTGTGCGACATTTTCTCGGCATTCGAAACGCGAAAAACGAAAGCACGCAGCTTGTAATTTTAAATATAGCTCGGGCTATAATTATAAATATGCCGCTGACCACCACCACCACCGCCAGCCACGCATGAGACACGCGCAGGCGTTCAGTAAATTTAAATTTAAGCATAGACTTACCGTGATCGTCAATGTAGAACTTGCTGTTTGATTGTTTTACTTTCTCGCTGCCACCGCCGATATTCTTGAATTTTCGCGGCATAGTCTTGCTCGCGCTGCCATTAATCAACGAATTATTAACATTCTTCACCTTTCCGTTGCGACCATTCATGCTCAATGTATTTGAGCCGTGGCCATCGATCGCGTTGAAGTACCTCTTGTAATCTTTATCATTCGTCGCTGTGGAGTTCATATTCGGGCTCCAGCTACCAATCGCTTCGATTAAATCCACCGGTCTTTTCCCGTTGACGTGTCGCGCTTTCTCCAAAAGGTATATATTCTCTGACTGTAGTATACTATTCTGATCGAAGTCATTGTTTGTATTCACTGAGTTTTCATTCATTAACGCTTGCAAACTCGGCGAGGATTTCACCTTCGTCCTGCTGCTTTTACCATTTTGATTGTTGAGCGTGCCATTGACGGCGCTCGTGCTTGGTTCTTGCAGTGATATTCTTGAAATGTTTTTCTGCACGAGTGATTCATACTCGTCAATGTGTGTTGCATTTTCGATTTTTGTAGCTGGTTCATTATTAGCGTCGTCGTTTGCGGAGTATGTTGAGCCGTACGTGTAGGGAATGATCTTATCTGCTGTTGTGAAAACACCATACCCAGGAAGACAGTGAAAGTATTGAATGCCGGCGCAGGAACCATCGCAGGTATTGCTAATCTTTTTCTCCTGTTTGAAAATCAACCGATGACACATCAAAACATTTGTTGTTGTTTGTGATGAGTATACTTACATGTAACTGAATGCCAAAACATTTGCCCATGCCCTTGACATTGCCAATAAACTTAACAGTGCCTAGATAAACTTCATCCCCATTGAAACCAACCACAACATCAGTGGTGATCTGAAGCAGTTTGCTTACTCTCTGTTTGTTTATAGCAAGTTTTACTCTTTCTTTTGGCGACGTGACTGCTGCCAGGAACGTCCAGAATCGCTCATCCACTGACTCCACCGACTGCATTGGGCAGGTGAAGGATGTGCTCTCCCAGGTGTCAACATCTTTAAGGAAACGGATGTTATAGTCCTCTTGGTTCTCCAGCACACAGTCGATTTTGACTATCTGGCCCAGGAGCGCGGTGCGTTTGTTTTGTCCCTTGGTGCTTTCCACAATCAGCTCATTCTTGGTAAGGATGCCGTAGCTGTTGTTCAGCTTAATCTCCATCCTCTCGGAGTTGTGAATCGTATTTTTACCGTTCGCATTGGCGGATGTAACGTGTCCGTTCGCAGCTTGCGGCTGATGATACTCTAAAACTTTAGGAAGTAGGTCATATTTGTAGCAATTATCTAGGCGGAATTATTCTAATGCGAGCGCCCACACCGCCGTCGAGCGATAATGAGTCATTAAAACATAAAAACACGAAAAAACGTACGCGCCGCGACACTTCTGTCCATATCTGTCAGCGAGCTTGACAGGTATACACAAGAAATACAAGCAAAACAATGTGAAAACAACGCGATCGAACCAATCACAAGGCGGTGTACAACGTTTGACATTGATGACCTTGAAGTGCACAAAATGCAATCAAAATACATCAAATCATGATTGAGGTAAAAATGATACAGAAACGCCACATTTTCATGGTACTGAATGAATTATTTTATTAGTTTAGCATTTTCGAACAGCAATTCAACAATTATACACCTATTTAACCAAAGATCTATTACATAAACATGATAAACTTTGAATAATTGTAATTTTACTGTCAATTTTATTTCTTTTGCACTGAACATATGCAAACCAACTTATCATTAACTTCTTGACAATCTACCAACTCAATATCAGTCTTTAAACCCTCATTGATTGTATGCATCTCTTTAACTTTTTCTTGCAAGCTTCCCAATTCTTTCTCTTTCTTAGTTATTTTAAACTGTAAATTAGAATTTTCACAACTCTCCTTTATTATTTTCGGATCCAGGTCTTTAATTTTGCGACTACAACAAAAATGTAATGATAAAATCAAGCCTAAATTACGATGAGTGGTTGGCTTACTTGATTTTGTCAATAACTTGAAAGAACTGAACACTTCTTTCACCTTTGCTAACATTGTTATGTAGATATTCACGCTCTTTAATCAGAGTTTTTAGTTCCTCATCAAGGCCAGGAAGTACAGCAACGAAATCCTTGTAAGTGCATTGTATAAGAAATTTATCAAAATGACTATCTCTTCTGTTTTCTTCACACTTGTGTTTCAGGTGTTTCTTTTCCTGTTGTAAACTATTTAATTGTTGCATCAAACTACTCTGTTTCTTGGACATATCAATGTAGTTGTCATTCAACTTGACTACATTTGTTTGGAGCACTTCTCTACCATCATTGACTTCATCAAACAGTGATTTTGGCCTGTTATCAACTTCAGGCACATCCAAACCATGAAATTCGGCTTTTAATGCCATTAAATCACATTCAAGGAGTTCTTTCAGTGAAGAGGCTTCTTGCATGTGTGTTTTATTATGTTCACATTTCTCATCTAGGATTTTGTGACTTTCCTGGGCTGCCTACAAAGTTGCAGTTTTATAATAAATAAGAGAATTAGTGTAAAGAAAACATAGCTACTTTGAATTTAGAAAGGAGCACTTCATTATCAACTACTTGTTTTGCTGCTTCATCTTTCAAGTTATCCCTTTGGTTTTGCACATCAAGTAATACTTGAATTCCACTGGTAGAATTACATGGTTTATCTGGAACTGTTTCCTGTTTAGCTAGATTTATGTCCTCTTGGCATTTCTTCAAATAAATCTGCCTTGTGAGTAAGACTGATTTTTGTTTATCAATTTCTTCATCATTTTGGTGCTGCATACTGTGAACTTCTGCAGCTAGTGCAGCATGTTCCTTTTGGAGCACATTTCGTTTGTCATCTGCACCTATCTTCAATTGTTCTAGTTGCTTAATTTGCTCCCCGTTGGTGGTTGTAAGTCTAGACAATTCCTCTTTTGCATCATGGATTTGTTTAGTCTGACTTTTTAAAAATTTTTGGTTATTCCTGCACTTTTCTCTTAATTCGAGTATTTCCCTAATCATATCGTCTCTGGACATAGTAAACACGTGGATGTTGATTAAATACAAATGAAATCACAAATTTCTGATTATGACCAGATTTATCTCAATTAATAATTAGATTTTAAATATTTAAATAATTTCACTGTCAGCGCGTTAACCGTTAAAAACAGGCGGTCGGTGTTCATGCAGTTCGCGCCATACAGCAGCGCCTTTGGTGGTTGATTTGTAAGTCCACGTTCAAAAAGCAATTCAAATCCTCTTGGTGTAGGCTGGTATAGACCTCAACTCAAAAACTCGATGCGATAAAGAACCAACAGTTTATTTTTCGTATAAGAGAATTCAATAAACATCTAGTTGGATAAAAATATCGAAATAGATGAAACTGAATGAAATTGTTAACATATTATAAGTACATGATTAGTTATTTTATTTTATTATTTTAAACTGCAGCAACTCATTTTGGTTGTGACTTGTTAGTTTTAGCTGTGTTCACATTATAGAACACTCTTCAAGAAGTCTGCGGGCAAATGATTGGTTGGACCCACGACAGCGTCTTGGAAATTGGACATAACAGCGAACCACTTGGGAAGACCGATGGCATGTGATGGGCCTTCCGTGACCGCATGACAGAGTGATAGATTTTACAAAATTACAAAGAACAGTTTGTGATGACTCGTAGCATGGGATTTCGTTTACGTGGCCGCATGGCAACGTGATAGATATTGGGGTATTGCACAGAACCTCTCGAGGAGATTGGTAGCACCGTATGCTAGTTTTGTGGCCACACGGCAGCGTGGTTGAAATTGTGGAAAGACAGGGAACCTTTTGAGTAGACTGGTGGCATGGGATGCTCGTTTCATGGCCGCATGGCAACGTGATAAATATTGTGCTATAGCACAGAACATCTCGAGGAGATTGGTAGCACCGTATGCTAGTTTTGTGGCCACACGGCAGCGTGGTTGAAATTGTGGAATTACAGAGAACCTTTTGGGTAGATAGGTGGCAAGGAACGGTTTGCTTGTGACCACAGCTCAACGTTCTCACCATGGACACTGTACATTTGTCACATACCATGAAGCACTTGTCAGGGCAAACATGACCAAATTCACACAACACCCTAAACAGAAATCTGAGGTAATGTTTGCAACAATATCAAGATTCAAAACTTACCGCATGCATGGTAAATTACAGTTTTCTTTCCTGTGAGATGACCTATGGCACAACTTAGTGCACTGGTGACCGCATGTCAATTGCTTCCCGCAGACCTTCAGACATCCGCCATTGGAAACCTTATCAAAATCTGTGGTATCACGAAGATGTGTCACGCTTTCAGGATGGTTAACGCAACGAGCAGTGAGATGAGAACCAAGGGCGTTGTATTTTTGCAGAATTTTGCGCACATCGCGCCATATCTGCATGAAATATTCAAATATATTTGATTGCTTTAAAGGCTGTCGTACTTGCTTACCGAACTGGCTTTGCGCAGTTGAGACATGTTGCCCATAATGTACATACCATGCTTCGCTCTTGACAAAGCAACACATACGCGGTTTTCTAAATTGAGGAAGCCGATATCACCCTGCCCATTGTTGCGCACCAGCGACAACAGTATGATATCGCTTTCATCGCCTTGAAAGCCGTCCAGGGTACATATGCGTATGTTCTCTAAGCTTGAATGCTTCTTTTTCAGATCCATCAGCAGAGACTTCTGGGCGGCATACGCTGCGATAATGGTTATCCTTGAAACATCATACCTGTTCAGGACAAGATATCGTGCCAAGCGGATGAGATACTCCGCTTCGAAGTGGTTTTTCTTGCTGGAACTATTCTTCCCATCCGGCTGCGATTCGCGATGGTCGTGTGTGATGAAGAACAGTGGCGCGTCGATACCGCGTATACTTTCATACTTGTATACAGACTCATGGTTCTCCAAGGACGGATAAATTGCAGGACTCACCAGATTCGCAATTTGTGGGTGCATGCGATGTTGCACGTTGAGCGTATGACATTGCACACCATTCATGACCATGCGTTCGAACAGACTCACGCCAAGTTTGTACTTCTTGCCGATGTCGTGGTCTGCGGTCGACGGCTGCAGCTGCTTGTGGTCCCCAATGAGAATAAGATGCTTGCATTTAGGATTTAGCGCAGTGATGATATGTGATTCGAGGCACTCGGCTGCCTCCTCAACGATTACAATCGGACACGCTAAATCCTGGAGAGTTTCGAACATTCGCGCCGCGCATGTCGTAGTCATGCCAACAACATCCATCCGTTTCAGTATTGACAAATCTCCATTGATTCTGGGATAACGATTTGCAAGCTTGTACCGTTCACGCCAATTGTCAATTGTATATTGTTTCAATTTCTCGCTTTGGCATTGTCCACCAACGCGCACCAAATGTTGGGTACTGTCCAGCAGGCCTTCCAGGAACTGATCCAATGCGTGATTCTTATAGCAAATAACAAGCAGCGGACCGCCTTTCCACAAACTCTTTCGTTGCAACAATCGGCGAGTTATCTGCAAAGCAAGGAAAGTTTTGCCCGTACCCGGCGGGCCCTGCACCAAGCAGAATTTACTTGACAATGCAGCCCTATACGCAGCTAGCTGGCTGGGATTCAATGTTTTTTCTGCGCTATTCGCCTCAAGGTGCATCCCCCATGGTAGATAATCAGGTAATTTAGTCTCGGTGCGCATGTCGATCAGATACTCCTTGAATGGAAAGCAGTGCTCCTCGATTTTTTTAAGTGCGCTTAATACATGATAGTATGGTTCAAAATAAGTATTGCACTCAACCATAATATATAACTGGTTTGTTCTTGGCTTGCCATTTTCAAACGCCAATCCAAGTTGACCTTTCTTAATGTACTCTTTGCCCCCTTCGATGATTCTTCCGAATATAATGTTGGTGAATGTTATGTCCAACGTGAGGCACACCAGTGATCCGAACATAAATCGATCCGGATCGTCGATGGTGTTTGGCTTGAATGCCTGTACAAGAAGGCCATCCCGTTTGGTGTTTGGGATCGCGCCCAAACATCGGACACTCTTGTAAACAGTTATGTCGGAATGCTTCGGTTCACGCCGCTCTGCAAAACAAATACGATAAAAGATCGATCGTGCAATGCAAATATATTTATACCTCTAGTCGCCTCCAAATATTCGCAAAGTCCCTTCCTTAAAGGAGCGACGAAATCTTCGCGCAGTAAGCGGTAATGCACGTCTAGATAGTGACGAACGTTTTGATACGGCCCACGTACTATATTTTGGGGTAGATTGGGCGATATCTGCTTAGTAATCTCTTGTGCAGTAGGATACACGTCAATATTATGAAAATCGTACATAGTTAATCCTGAAATTAGATACGGCAAATTAATTAATACAATTATAACATTAAAAACTGTTTTTTATTACATTACTACTATGCACATACCTTTTATAATTTTCAGCACATTTCACAATATATTGCAATCATTGCATCATATTTTAGGTACAACTCAAAATTCAACGTAGTTAACGTTACCAGCACTGAATATCGACTAGACTACGTTACAACTAAGCAGTCAATAATGTAACACATAACCTTTGCGAAGGCATTTAAATATAAATTTATATACTCCGGGTATTCCCATACTGGGTAAAGTTTCGAAATCGTTTTTTACGGTTTTAGCAACCAACGCAGAGCGCGTGCGTAGTACTCACGCTCGAGCGACTTCGCATTGCGACGGAACACGACAGAACTAACGGCAACTTATAAAACGTATTGAAATAAACTCCTAAATATCATCTATTAAAATTATGTCTTAGGCTTTAAGATATTTTAATGGTATTATAAGTAAATGAAACATTTAAATAAGTACAAATATATTGCGTTTTTGATTTTATCAAATAAAATTAAGTTGTGTATTAATGGTTGCCGGGGTATACGTCGTTTCTGGCTTGTACTTTGCTAATATTCTGTCATTTCCAACCTAAAGCTTGTTCGTGTCTGCTGTGTTCAAACAAGTTCCGCGCGTTCCACGTGTTTCTGAGTCGAAAACGTGGGAAACACACATTTCGCAAAATGGCAAACGATTTGGAACAGAAAATCATTACGCAATTGGAATACTACTTTGGGGACATCAATTTGCCACGCGACAAATTCTTGAAGGAAACAATCGAGAAAGCCGAAGGCGGTTGGGTTTCGTTGGACGTGCTTCTAACCTTCAAACGCCTTGCCGACTTATCAAAAGACAAGGGAACAATTGTGGAAGCAATCGGCAAATCCACAACAAAACTCATCGAAGTAAGCGATGATAAAGAAAAATTGCGACGGTCATCGGAAAATCCCCTGCCCAATCTCACAACTGAAGAATACAATGCACAATTATTACCCAGATCAGGTATTTTCTTCATTATATTAAAAAAGTTAATTTTTCACTAATGATTATATGGTTTATTTTCAGTATATATCAAAGGATTTCCAAAAGCGGAAACTTTTGATAATATTATGCAGTTTATGCGCACACATGGCACAATTGATTCTTTAAACATGAGACACTATAAAGACAAAGCCACTAACAGCAACATGTTCAAGGGATCAGTTAATGTCATATTCAAGAATGAAGATGACTGCAAGAAGTTCCTTGCTCTTGACTGTGTAAAATACAATGATAATGTATTACAGACAATGTCACAGGAAGCATTTGTGACTGAAAAGAAAGCTGAGTTTGAAGCACGCAAAGAGAAGAAAAACAAGAAAACTCACAAAGATGAAAAAGTTGAAGCAAAACTTGAATTCCCTAGCAAATCGGTTGTTAAGCTTGCAGGCAATACCATTGCAGAGAAATTGGTGTGGGATGACATCAAAGAGAAAGTCAAAGATGTCTCAGGGCTTGAACTTGCTCATGTCAATTTCAAACCTGGACAGGTCGAGGGACATTTGCGATTCCGCGGCGAGAACGAAGGAGAAACGTTCTGTGGTAAGCTGACTGATGGAGCATTCACCGTTGGAGAGTTTGAGTTCAAGGCGAATCTGCTCAATGATGAAGAAGAGAAGGAATACTATCAGGAATGGAATAAAGAGAGGTTCGCCAGGAAGCATAAGCCCAAACAGTTCGGCAAGAAGCGAAAGGGTAACTTTAAGAAGGATAATTCACGGGCGAAGAAACACGCGCATGATTAACTGTAGTTCAAGCGTTAAACATTTAAGTTTCATGTTTTTGACGAGAGCAACATATAATTATTGATTTTAAGCAATTTGCACGATGCTTATATATTTGTAAATGCCGATTGAATGGTCGAATTAAACAACTATTAATGTTATTATAGTTTACTTCAAATTTGAGTGAAGTTTATTTGAAAATATAATATTAATAAAATATAAAACAAACTAGAATTCTCAAAATACGTTTTAAAAACATCAAATTAAATATTTCTTCTGGGAACTTAAATTTTTGCTTTTGTTTTAAACAAAAGAACGCTTATACAATTTAATCGGTAGATAATATTCAACGAAGAACTTGTTACTTTCAAACAAGCCCTCAATCTCGCACATTTTCTTGTTTTGAATCAAAGCATTAATTTCGTCGCAAATTGCCACGTTATACCCGCTTTTGAAATATGGTCTCGTCAACATTGATTTCAACTTTTTCAAGTCTCCACGTTTCAAAGGCAGTGTCTTCGCCGCGTAGTCTTTTAATTCAGAAGGCAAGACACCCAACCATTTAAGCTTTGGTAATGCTAGCTCACGATTCATATGACAATGACTCTAAAAACATATTTTTACATGCAGATATGCTTTATTTAATTTAATTTAATTTAAATACTTACCAAACTACCAAATTTATAAGTGAGGAAAATATCAATGCCGTAAGCATCTGCATCTACCACCATAAACATTGGAATACCCAACAACTTCCAAAGAATATGCAAAAGTCGCCTGGTGTTGATATCAGGATATCCTTTTCCCTAGATTTTTAAAATTACAATATCATCGTAATTTTTTAACTAGTAAAAGTTTTACTTACTGTAACGAGTATGAAATTCCTTGATAATTTATTCGGCAGATCATCAACCAACAACTTCTGGAACACGGTATCTTTCTCCACGATCAGAATGAAATAAGCAGTGGTTTCAACCTTTCGCAAGTCATTTAAATCCATAGGTACAAGCGTACCATTCTGTGCATTGCACTTGATCGCAGTCGATCCAAACGTAAGCGTCACATCACCGTAAACCAAGCCTTTGCTTGTCGATAACACGTTCATAAACGAATACGACGTTCCCAGCATGCTGCTGGCAATATTCAAACCGTCAGAGACTTGTTGCTGCGACAGTTTTCCATGTGGCAGCAGTGATTTTAACTGATAGTAAATAGATCTTTGTGTAATTTGCGTGTTTAACATCAACAGACCGTATATTTTCCGGAGTAAGTACAAAACAATATTCGTCCGCCCTTTGAGGACAGAAAATTGTTTTCTTTCTCCTCTTGCTAACTGAAGAATACCATCTTCATAAACTGTATTTGTCGCGGTAGTTCTCGGGACTTTGATTTGCACCCTGCGCTTGTTTTGAATATCATCATTTAATTTAGCGAATAACGCGCGGATTTGAATCTTTATCTTATCGCTGGTGTTCAACAACGATGCTCGTTTATACTGTGTGTGACTTTTGAAGTTTTCTTTACTAATGATTCGATTCAAACCTTTTTGTAGCATCCGCACGCTTGATGGTTGATGTGGCGCAATTGTGTAGTCCAGTAGTGCGACGACTTCAACCGAGAAGTCTTTCCGTGATTCAATCATTTGGCTGTCGATGTATTTGTCAATATCGTCATCGGTTGCAAACAGCACGTGTTCATCGTGTACTAAAGTGATAAACAAGTGATGATCGGTGAAGGCAAGTAAGGGATCAACTGAGTTTTCGTTGAAGGAACGTTTTGGTAGTAAAGAGTTTGAATATACAGGTTGACAGTTTGAGTGAGAGTTATTAACTTCGGCGGAAGAGTTGAAGTCAGTTTGAATTTCTTGGTCTACTGTCTTGCAAGGCTGAGATGCTTCCGAAGGACAATAACTACTGATCTCGTTTAGATAAGAACTTATGTTTTGGAAGCAAGTTTCCACATTTGCAAGAGGTGTATTTTGATAACTAGCAACGCTGGTAAAAGACGAGTTCAAGTCTGGAAGAGGAATTGAAGAATTGAAAATGTCTTGGGAACAATCTGATTGAGACGGCTTTCGGTTGTCAATCAAAACCAACGGTGTGAATTTTTTGGGTGTTTTTGGAGTGATGGGTGGCGACAGGGGACGCACGAAATCATTCACTGGTTGTAAGACGTTGTGTTTTCTTTTCCTGGTAGTGATTTTGGATGTGTCACGTTGTATTTGTGATTTGGAATTGCGAGATGTAGAAATTATACTGCCAACATCATCCCAGTCTAATTCACCTGCATCGTCATTCTGTTCAGTAATATTCGATTCACTTGTGTGTTGATTACTACTGCCATAGGAATGCATTCGTTCAATCCACCTGCGGACCTTTTCTGATCCAAATGATGAACAGGGTTGTGAAGAGCGCGATTTTTTTGAAACTTTAAAGTATTTTGAAATGGTCGACATGTTTGGTTGTTAAGTGGTATGAAGCTATAACGATGAGCAACAACGATGTAGTTTGAAATGAAGTTATACGTGTTACATATAGTGTAATTATATTCTAAATAAGTATACAGGAAAGTACTTACTTAATGATTAAAACACTTCTGTCACAGTTTGTAATAAGAATTAAATTGCAGAATTTAAGATGTCCACTTGTTTGATCAAAAATATGCTGAAACAATTGAATAACGCGGTCGCAGTAAATGGACAGTGCTGCCATATGATAAAAATTGGAACTAAAATTTTGCTTAACACCCTAAAATTTACAGTCTTTTATGTAGCATCGGTGGTTCAGTGGTAGAATGCTCGCCTGCCACGCGGGCGGCCCGGGTTCGATTCCCGGCCGATGCAACGTTTTGCTTCTCATAGAAACACACACAATGGAAAAATCTGAAATAACGCAATCATTTTTTTCGCTTTCGATTTATTTTGTATTTAATTCATAATTTTAATTTGCTTATTGTTTCATTTAAAACATAGTAAAATAATATTTCTCCCTAAATTTGAAATCTTCTTGCGGCGATTATATTTAACATAACCTTACAATAATTCAGTCATGATTGCGGTTTCTTGCAGTGTCTTGTGCAACTTAAAACTTTGATTAATTCTTAAATAAAATGACATTTACCGATTATGTGTCAGCACTCAGTGATAATCCCTACTTCGGCGCAGGTTTCGGCCTGTTTGGCCTCGGCGCCGGCGCTGCAATCCTTCGTAAAAGCCTCCAAGGCGGCCTCATCCTCTTCAGACGGCATTACATGATCACATTAGAAGTACCCTGCCGGGACAAATCCTACCAATGGCTGCTGCACTGGATGACACAAAAAGGCGCTCGCAGCACGCAGCATTTGAGCGTCGAGACAAGCTTCGAACAAAAGGACACAGGACATGTAAAGACAAAATACGATTTTATTCCAAGCATTGGTACACATTTCTTTAGGTGAGTGTCTTATAAACAGGACTGGAACAATCCCTTCTCAGCCATCTCATGGAAATCACAATAAATATCATAATTCTCATAGAACTCCTTGCTTTTCGCCTTGTGGTTCCATCCTCTCCATTTTTGAAACATGGCTGCTGCTCCAGCCAGTGTTACAGCAATGATTAGATTTCTTTTAGTTTGAGCCATGCACATGCCCTTCATGTTCAGTGGTCTCTCAAAATGGGTAGCCATCTTTCTTGTCTAGTTATTAAATTTATGTATAGAGGAGAGTTTGCTGATTTTGACTAGATAATCTTATTTCAATTGTGTTTAATTATTGGTTTCTATAGTTATGATATGAATTCATTTTGTTTTAGATACAAGACTACTTGGATTCGCGTTGAGCGAACACGGGAACAACACACACTAGATTTACACATGGGCATTCCTTGGGAAACTGTTCAATTAACAGCGTTTGGCAAGGACCGGAATATTTATTTTAATATTTTAGAAGAAGGTAATATATTATCTAATTTTTGAGTTGTAAATAATCACTTGTGCTTCGTTTAAATGTTTCTTCTGTTCAGACGTTAATGCATTCAACTGTTCTCTACTGAACAAATCAAAAATATTTTCGTGTATAAATTGGAACAAATTTTTATCAATCAGTTTCATATCAGATGGTTTAACAATAAGCAGCAGGAATCCCAGCTTTTTAACGATTTTCTCATTCCATAATTCCACATGTGAAATTTGAAAGTTTTCTACAACAACTTCAAACAACACCTACAAGAAAATGATAATAACTTTTAGAAATCAATTCAAATTACATACCTACATTCAATTGGTCCTTGTTACATGCCCATAAATTATTTAAAACATCATCGTTTAAAGTCCATATCACTGAGGAGTTTATTTTTGATAAGTCGTAAGATGGAAAACCACATATCAGTCCACGCATTGAGTTTATTGTATTACTTTGCAAAATTTCTCTGGAAGTCATTGCGAGGTTATTTTTTAATGCGTAGGCCAAAATGGCGGCTTTACGTCTTGACATTCCATGAAAAGTACCTTAAAACACAATTAAACAATAGATATTGTGTTAAATTTATAACATAAATACCTAGATAGTATAAAATGTCATCATCAGTTAAATTTAAATGATATAAATCATTTTCTGGTATGATATTGAACAAAGTTTCGGCTGTTTGTAGATCTATCGCTTGCAGTTCTACAGGCGCCATTTTATTCTTAAAAATCTCCCATAAAATCAGTTCTTTGTCAAGTGATACTTTGATATTATTCAGTTTGGGTAAAGTTTTTAAAACGTTTCTTCGCAAAACAGTCTGCAATTCATCCGTTGTACCATTTAATAATATTTCCAACACTTTTCTTGCTTTTTTTGTTTTAACTTTAATTTTCTTCAAAGGTGTTTGTAGGGTTGTTGGTGTTTTAGTTGTTAAATTATCTTTTAAATTCCTGCGCCCGCTTTCGGTTGTGGTTATGTGTAAATCGCTTTGCAACTTTTCCAATGCTTTGATAATGAAATCTTCACTCTGCACAATGTCATTCCAGTGCATTTGATCATTCTTTAACATTGTTAAAGTCATATTTAAATTATGCACAAGACTAATGAATATAATAAAAATAAAAATAGAAAATATTATACTTGACATGTTTGCGACATGTTTTTATAAAATGTGACTTTTGAATTGATTCTCAGCGCGTCAAATGGCGTTAAAAGCACACGAAGGCAAAACGGTGATGTACACAGCGATGGGCAGCGAATGGCGGCCATTGGGACATCCAAGGAAACGACGGCCTATAGACTCAGTTGTTCTAGATGATACCATCAGTGAGAGAATCGTGCAAGACTGCAAAGAATTCATTGCAAACCCAACGTGGTATACTGATCGTGGTATACCTTACAGAAGAGGTACGTGGAACATCAATAATCTTTATTTGTACTAAACATTTGTTATATTTTAACAGGTTATTTACTACATGGACCACCAGGCTGTGGAAAATCATCATTCATCACTGCCCTTGCTGGAGATTTAGAATTCGGCATTTGTGTTCTGAATCTTTCCGAACGCGGATTAACCGATGATCGGTTGAATCATTTATTAAGCGTTGCGCCACAACAAACAATCATATTATTGGAAGATATCGATGCGGCGTTCTTATCACGAGAAGACACCGCACAACAAAAGTCGGCGTATGAAGGTCTCAATCGGGTTACATTCAGCGGTTTGTTGAATTGTTTGGATGGTGTGGCGAGTACAGAAGCACGGATAGTATTTATGACAACTAACTACCTCGATAGGTAAAGATTTTCTGTTCAATATAATAAATTTTATTGTTTATTTATTTCATGTTTTAATACAGATTAGATCCAGCTTTGATACGACCCGGCCGAGTGGACGTAAAAGAACATATAGGGTATTGTTCACAAACACAGATCGAGCGCATGTTTTTGCGCTTCTACAAAGACGAAGAATCACGCGAAAAGGCACAGGAATTCGCCGAAAAAGTCTTCGCAGGCGGGAAAAATGTAAGTCCGGCACAAATTCAGGGGTACTTTATGTTTCACAAAATGTGTTCGAGTAAAGAGGTGCTGGCAAACACGGATATGATCGGAAAGTTGTAAGGTGTACATAAGTGAATGTTAATAGTGATAGATTGTTGAGTTAATAAGTTATAATACTAAAACATGGTTATGTTGAGAATAAAATTGGTTATGTTTAATGGGGTTAGGTATTATTGGTATATTTTTGTATTTATGGGCGTTTTTGTCTATTTGTTTTTGTTTTTTCCTTTACCCTTTGATTTTTTGACTTTGTATGGGCCTAGTTTACATCGGACCATCATTCCCCTCCACCACGCTTGTATTTTTGTGGCGTTTGCATTCAAATGTGCCAAGTGTATCTCTTCCAAGCGACGTTTTTCTTTTATTTCTTCATATGCGGTTATTTCCGCCTGTCGTGAAGCATACTACAACAACCAAATTGTTTCTAACATTAACTTAAGATATAAAAACGTGCTTACGAGTTCTTTGGCTGCTGTCATTCTTTCAAGCAAATTAGCATGTTCACTTTTGATTGTTGCAATCCTCTGGTCATAATCATTCTTGTCGTGTTCATATTTATCCACCCAATAGACAAGTTGTTGAATATATTCACCTAACTTCATCGAATAAAAGTCTTCGAGTTCATCATGAACACGATGCTCTTGTTCAAGCGTTTTCTCTAGTTGATCCACTTGATTTTTTAAATCATGTGCGTTTTTCTCCAGTTGAATTTCATGCTGCTTGCTTTGCGCTTGTAACCAATCCGTGGAATATCTCAACTTTACGCCTTGTTCCCACAATTCATCCTATCAACAAATCAACAATGAATTGTTGTTAATCAGTCGATATTAATTAATTTACCTGATATTGATCTTTTAACATTCCCAGTTGGACATTGAGAGCTTGTGTTTCTTCATTAATCTTGTTTTTCTCAACGGCAATTTCATTCTTTAACACTTTTAAGGTGTGTTGTGTTTGTTTTGCCTTTAATTTTGCTCTGTTCAATTCATGCGTGCCTTCTTCTTTCTGTTCAACAAAATTTACTAATGAATTGAAGGTAGAATGTTGTGAAATTTCATTTTTGAGCTCCTCAAATATTGTGATTGCTGTTTTGTAATCGTTTTGGATAATTTCCCGGTCTGTGTTATCCAAATGGCTTGTTTCTTGTATTGCAACTTGTCGGGCGATGTACAGTTGATTTAAAGTTTGTTCCAATAGAGATTCTAATTGTTTTGTTTCATTTGAAGTAATATTTACTTCAAGTGATTCTTCGTCGGACATTTTGCGATATAGTCTACTTAATATGCTTTGAGGGCGTCGAATTATCAACTTGTTTGATCAATATTTCCTGAAACTTCTATGTAAAACACACCTCATTACTTTAAGTAATGGTATATATCATGTATTTAAATTGCAAATCAACTTCATTGATATGCAAAATTACGATTTATTGGTATTCAAGAAAGTACAGTTTTATCCAACGGAAGTTAGCGTTGTCTGCAGCATATCGTTGACGATGTCCAGCACTTTGTTTATTTGATTCTTCAGTGGGCCTTGCACAATCATCAACATGATATCATCCACAATACGTACCACTATCCCAGAGACTAAATTTATGACATATGATTCGAGATTTCCGGATAAATACACTTGCATTGCTCTGTGGAATAAATTACATTAGTTAGTTGTAAAAAACTAAAAACAGCATTTTATGTTTTCTTACGAATTGCTGTTGATTAGCTTGAAGGAAGTCATTTGAACCTCCACTGTCTGGAAGTTTATTTCAATGATAAAGTCTACGAGAAGGCCTGGGATTTTGGCTACCACTTTACCAATGGACGCGATCAAAAATGCAGAAGATTTGTAATTCGAAATTAACTAAAAATAGGCAAATTTTAAGTTTAAAATTATTTCAATTGCTTTTTAATACATGATTACCTGAAGATCATCAAATGTAAGCTTCACTTGAATCGTTAATTTTCTGCCAGGCTCATCATCTAAAACAATAATGTCTCCTGCACGTTTGATGGTCGACATATTGCATACAGTCACATTGGTCATTGACAAAGACACCAACTAAAATAATATTAATTCATAATTTATCATAGACTCAAACTTTAAACATTTACATAAAGCGATTGCGATTGATTCGGTGCAAGGAAAGGATCCATCTTGTATTTCGTCATTAAAGGACGAATTTCCCTCGTTGCAAGGTCCACCATTTCGTTGATTGTTTCAATTTTTTACTAAAATCATTTAAAAAAATTTAATTTGTGAGCGTTTATTAATAAACTAATATTTACATTTCTCTGCGTGTCCTGGCTGATCTTGCATCTTGACCAGTATTAATCGAATGTGCTTGACACAGTAAAACGAACGACGCGACCGCGAGCACGCACGATGTGTAAAATGATTTCATTTGTGCGTTCGTCGTTAAGTTTCAGCGGTGCTAAGTGAAGGTTAATGAATAAATGATTTTGGCAAAAACTAGGTGACGACTGCTTTGTTGTCACACTAGGATTGATGAGTTATGAGTCAAGTACCAACTCTATATATAAAGCAAAGCACTTAAATTAAAAACTGTTTTTGGCGCAAACTTATCAGTGCATTAATATTTATGAACGACTATTCGTACAAATCGAAAGCAATACAATCAAATGATTAGTTGTTTTGCAACCCTCAAATAAGCATTATTAATTTGCCTAAGTAATTATACTTATATGAATTGAATTATTGTTTTGTTGCGGTTTCGAAAAATATTCGATATTTTAATTTCGTGACGTTTTCAGGTACGTAATCTATTGAATTATGCATTTTGCATCACTAAATTAGATAATGTAGCAGTTAACTTTGAAAAATGTCACCATTCATGTGGAAACTAGACGAAATATTTAAATTAAAAAAAGTTAAAAAGAAAATATTTATTTTGCGTACGAATACTTTTGGGCGTTTATTGAAATAGTTTCCGGTACATTTTAAGATTCTTTCTCATTCATTCCATCCAGGTATTTGTGTAGCATACCTGTGATTGAGTGTAAGATAGAATTGATTTCACTTTTAAGTGGATTTTGGATAACTTGCAGGATGACGCCTTGCAGAATTGTCGTGATGGTGGGCAATGCAAGATTAGCGAGTTGTCCTTCCAAGCTGTCAGATAATTTGACATCCAATCTATTATATAACAAAAGAAACAATTAAATTTAATTAAAAACACAAGAAATATGCACTGAAGTTTGGTTTTTACCTTTTCTTCATTGTCAAGCGCAATGTTTTTAAAGTGACATTAATATTTTCAAAATCAACGATAACGTCTATGTCAACATTAATTTCAGGCACTTTAGCTACCAAAGAGCCTTTCGTACTAACTGCGGGCAAAAGTAACGGTTTTATGGATGCTTTATATCCAGAATGCAGCTAAAATAAGACCAGATTTAATTTGTTATAACTAGTTTGTTATAATTCATTTTGTAATATATTATAACTCACTTCTACTTTCGTGAAAATTAAATGCAAACTGATTGACATTTGCCCCAGGTCTTGATTATCCAAAATGACGACATCATCGGAAGTGCGTTGAATTGAGGTTAGGTTATAAATTTTTATATCAGTCAAATCTAGATTCACCGGCTGTAACATAAACATGCATTAATTAATTAGTTTAAATTAAATTTAAGTATTTTTAATTACGAATATGAATTGTTTCTGATCTGGGGCTTCAAAAGGATCCAAGTGTAACTTGTCCATGAGCATTGGGGCTTCTCTGATGAGAACATCCGCCATTTCATTGATTTTCACCACGCGACTGCAATTTTTAATTTTTTAAAATTTTTAACATTATTACACACTTACTTTGGTGATATTTCATGCACTTATACTTACGATATGTTAGCCACCGGCTTTGCCTTTGTAATTGCGTGATGTTTTTGTTTCGATTTCACATGGTGCTTGCTGGCATTTAAACCAACTTGGCAAAACACCAAACAAGCCACCACGCATACAAATATGGCGTGCATATTTGCGAAAAAAAAATGAAGTGAGGACGTAATGGTAAACAGTTCAGCTTTTATATGGTTTTTGTTTACTGTGAGATTTATGACATTTGAAATAGTTTCAATGATTAATTATTTGCTGGGTAAAACGTTTAAATTGCTAATTGAAATGCATGTGACATGTTGGCGTTTATTATACTGATTGAACAACGTTCTTTGCGCGAATAATATTAATGCATTGGGTTGGAAGCGAACAAATAAATAATTATTTATTTGTTGTACATACTTGCATTTGTTTCAAGTATGGATTACGTCAGTTGGGTTTGGGAATGTCAACGTCTGTAAAGTACGACGTAGAATTTTTGGAATTCCTAGTTTAAACTTGAAAAACATTAATCGATACGTATGAAAATGTTTTATTTTGAATTGGTATAGATAAAGAAATTATCAGGGAAACAGGGAAAGTGAGAGTGAAATATTTTAAACGGATATAAATATTAATAAATAGAAATAATCAAATAATTGCGAATTAAACTATGAACTTGATATTGAACTACAAATTATTGCATTTTAACCTTGTTACTTCTAGAAAAACAATAATATTTATGCTTTGGTAGGATTATGTGACGAATAAACGAGTTATGCGTAGAATTACAAGAATTCTGGGTAAATATGTGATTAGGTGACGTAAATTCAATAAGTTTAAGGCAATTATCATCGATAAGGCATAATATTCTATTTGTGCATTACATTGTTAATTACCTAATCACAACAATTTCCAATTGCTAACAATTTATAATTTTTGTAATGCATTTATAGATATTACACTGTCTTTATTTCAAAATTAGTCAACATTTCCAAAAAACAGTTTCACCATGCCTGTAATCTCAGCTAGAATCTTATTGATTTCTTTACGAAGAGGAGCTTCAATAATTTGCAGAATTACACGTTGAAGGATCATCAAAATCGCAGGCATTGCCGCATTGATCACGTAACTTTCCAAATTTCCAGATAATCGGACTTTCATCAAACTAAAACAATTTATCATGCATTTATAGTTTTGAATGTTGTATCAATTATTATCAAAAATACCTTCTATCAGATGTTAATTTTAACGTGTTTAGTTCCACATTTACATTCTTGAAATCAATAGTAGCTTTTACATCAACGGTAACACCGGGAACAGTAGCTCTTAATATGCCTTTAGATCCCACAGCAGGCAGGACGGGTAATTTTATGTACGCTCTGTAGTTAGAAATTAACTAAAAACGTTTAAAAACGTAGTTTAGTGATGATTAAATGCGGATTTAAATACAATACTTACAACAATATCGTCGAATGTCAATTTTAATGAAGCTATCAGTTTTCGGTTGGTTTGATCATCCAACATTTCCAAATTACTTGCCATTCTTATGCTTGTTAGGTTGTATACTTTTATGTGTGTCAATTTTAAATTAACAGGCTAAAATTAAGATTTATTAATATTATATCTCAGATATTTACCTATTGCTGTATTAAATATTTTCTTACCATTATGTATTGGCTGATGTTTGGGGCGAAAAATGGATTTAAATTCTTGTTTTGCATTAGCACCGGCAGTTTATCTATAATGCTAGCTGCTAATTGATTGACTGTTTCGATTAAACTACAAAACATGAAATATTTTTATAATTTTTTTATTAATTTATTCAATTTATTAATTATCGTGACTTACTTGGGTTCTGGTAGCCTTAGTTTAGTTTCAGCATTTTCTTTTATTTGATAAGAATTGTGTTTAGTTTTAGCATCTTGATTGTTATCAGTTTGGACTAAAAGATTATAGCTTGCACTAATAACAACGATGAAAATAACTGCTTTCATTTTTGCGAATTTAAAGTTAATTCCGGGATGTCATGTTTTTGAAGCTAATTCAAACTAAAATAAATATTAGCGGAACTACTGGTTAATATGTTTTTATATTGTACTTATATTTAAAGAATTTGTCAATGCTTCTTACAACATGCTACCTTTGGCAGCGAAGCAAATGATTTATGTGAATTGAAACAAATGCGCCTTGCGTCACTTTAAAGCGTAATCAGATTGTAGATGTTTTAAATACTTTCACAATGTAACAAGGAATCCATTAACTGAAATAATTGCAGAAAATTGAAAAAAATTTAAAGAACTGTATAATGTAAAATTTATGTTGTGTATAAATCTGAAAACAATTTTTAGCTCTAACGGTTTGTAAGGAAATTGCATGCACGCCGATGCCCGGCTTACGCGGTGCGCAATGCGCTCTGCTTAGTTTTGCGCAGTTCGTTGGTTGACGCGAACATATTCCTTGCGGAAACTACAGGTTTCTTTTTGTGTGTCCTTGCGCGAAACATTGCGCTGCAGGTTGCGCGCGCAGTCTTATCGCATGTTGTCGCATGCGCTCGCAGCCTGTTCGGCTTACGGGGTGAACGCGGTGCGCTCTGCGTAGTTCTGTGCCTGTCGTTGGCTGAGTCGAAGACTTTGCATGCGGCTCGTGTTGTTTTCTTGTGTAGTTTGTAAATTCAGCAAATCGCTGATAATATCGATCGTCTATCGACTGCATTTACTTGTATCTGACGTGTTTAGTGCTTCATCAATTTCATCTATTTACGTGTGATTATAAATAAGATTTTGGACTTGTGCACAACTCGTTGGCTCAATGGCGGTGTTCGGTACACTGGTAAGTAAAATTTTTATCATTCATACTATCTGTTTTCCTGATTTCTTGCAATTAGAAAATTGATATCTTTTGCGGAAATCATTGCTTCAATAAATTTTTCAATAATACTCAAATCATAAAACATAATTTCATGACTGAAATTTTAGTTCACTAGCATGAACTAATAAAAATCACAATATAGAATTGAATTGTTTATTTCTATATTTATCGATAAGCGTGTGGGCATTCGGCACGAGAATTGTGTTTGTTTTGAACATAATTTACTTTCTTATCGCTTCCGCCGGGTGGAATGCAACGCATGAGACTCCCGAGTGTTGTATTTCAATCACCTCGACAATCTGACACCTTGACAATCTTCTTCGTGAAAGCCGAGAAAGAACGGTACAGTGCAATCATTTTTAAATTTTAATTCACCCATTCGTGTTTGCATTGTTCTACAAGTTTTATTCATACGAGTGGAGTTACGTTTTTGCTTAGGCCGGGTTGGAACGATAGCTTATTATTGTTGTGAACATGTTTATCTAACCGTGTCTAGTATTACTGTATTTAAATGTGATTTAACTTTAGTTTGTGGTGAATTCTGCTCCCTATTCTTGGCCATGATCCAGCGATCTATTAAGGACCGTCGCAAGCGGCGATATAGTTTTAATAGCTATGTGATATGCTATGTGACAGTACATATTTTCGCCGATTGTTTTGAGACTTTTTAATGCGATTCCTAGGCGGAATTCTACTATCGCTTATCAGTACTTGTTTGTGTATAAACAAGTTTTCGAGTCGCATTTATATCCTTATTTTACACTTCGCCGAGAAGTTTTTCTTTTACTTGCACGCAGTATTCTAACTATCGTTCTCTTCTCTGTTTTATAAGTACCTTCGAGTTTCGATGCCCGAATCACGAGCTAAATTAGGAATGCGAATTTGATTCCTTCGTCAGTCGACTCGATTTAAAATAAAATAAATATTGACACCCCTTCCCGCATTTCCCCTTAACAGTAATTTATTTCACAGATTTTATCATCTTCAAGAATAGTCCTGAGTGGCATCGAAGGTAAAATACTGGTATGTAGTATGTGTAACTAAGTGTTTGTTTGTACTTATCCCCGTGCTGGTAATACGAGTATATGAACGGCTTTTTAATCATTGAACGCAGGCTGGGCGTCACACAAACTCGAGCAGGGTGTCAAGAAGTTGTAAATAAATTCTCCGTCGGGTTGTATTTGTTAGCGGTAGAAGTGACTCGATTCAAGGGTACCTTACGGGGCCAGCAGTAAAGTGAGCTCGTGTTCAGGGCACCGTATGAACCCGGCGATAATTTGCATGAAAAAAATCACCCTTTTTTTCGTGAAATGTTTGTATTTTTCGTGTTTGCGCGCGACCTAAGCGACTCAATAATTTCTACGTGGCGTTTAGAGATGCGAAATTAAATTCTCTCCGTCGGGTGGTATTTTTTGTTGCAAAAATTCGAACTGCAACCCGCGAAAGAGTGCTTATAAAGCGCGATTTCTTCACCCTTTTCTCGTGGAATGTTTGTATTTTTCGTGATTGCACGACCTTAGCGACTAAATAGAATTCAGCGTGGCGTCTAGGATGCGGAATTAAATTCTCCGTCAGGTAGTATTTTTGTTGCAAAATTTCAGGCCTGCAATATGAAAATTTGCATATAAACGCGATTTCTTCACCCTTTTCTCATTGAAATTTTTGTATTTTTCGTGTTTGCAGAGCCTTAACTGACTCAATATATTCAGCGTGGCGTCTAGGATGCAGATTAAATTCTCCGTCAGGTGGTATTTGCTTGTTGCAGAATTCGACCTGCAACCTGCGAAATTTGCATAAAGTGTGATTTTTGTCACCCTTTCTTGTGAAATGTTTGTATTTCTTCGGGTTTGCGCGCGATCTGGGCGGTTCACACTATCGTCAGCGCAGCGTCTAGAAATGCGGAATTAAATTCTTTGTCAACGTATTTGTTTGTTGCGGAATTTCGGCCGCACAGCCCACAAAATTACTGCATAAAAGGGTGATTTTGTCATCCTTTCTCGTGAAATGTTGTATTTTTCGTGTTTGCGCGCGATCTAGACGGCTCACGCACTGACGTCAGCGCGGCGTATAGAAATGCGGAATTAAATTCGTTGTCAGCTTGTTTGTTTGTTTGCGGGAATTCGACCTGCAACCCACGAAAAGGCTTGCATAAAGGGTGATTTTGGTCACCTTTCTCGTGAAATGTTTGTATTTTTTCGTGTTCGCGCGCAATCTGGGCGGCTCACTAACGTCGGCGCGGCGTCAAGACGGAATTAAATTCTTGCTCAGCTTGTATTTGTTTGTTGCAGAATTCGACCTGCAATAATGCATAAAAGGGTGATTTTGGTCACCTTTTCTCGTGAAATGTTTGTATTTTTCGTGTTTGCGCGCGATCTAGACGGCTCACTATCGTCAGCGCGGCGTCTAGAATGCAGGTAAATTCTCCCGCAGTTTGAAGGCCTCATTTTTGCTTGCTTGTTTTGGGATTGTGTTCCCGAGGTCTGACAACGTAGAAGGAACATTCTGGTTTCAGATTGTAAGTAATTAATTCCTTTATCATTTTCCCTAAATATCTTCTATGATTATCGTACAAATTGATCCCAAAATTGTGTATATTTATGTTCGAAGGGACTAATTTTTGCTTGTTTAGGGATTTTGCACCTGGAGTCTGATGACATCGTAGAAGGGCAATTATGGTATCAGATTGTAAGTAATTAATTCCTTTATCATTTTTCCTAAATATCTTTTATGATTATCGTACAAATTGATCCCCAAAATTGCTTTTTTATGTTCCGAAGGACTAATTTTTGTTTGTTTTAGGGATTTTTGTACTTGAGTCTGACATCATTAGAGGGACCATTCTGGTATCAGATTGTAAGTAATTAATTCTTTATCATTTTTTTCCTAAATATCTTTTATGATTATCGTACAATTGATCCCCAAAATTGCTTTTTTTATGTTCGAAGGACTAATTTTTGTTGTTTAGAGGGATTTTGTACTTGAGGTCACGACATCGTAGAGGGACCATTCTGGTATCAGATTGTAAGTAATTAATTCCTTTATCATTTTCCTAAATATCTTTTATGATTATCGTACAAATTGATCCCCAAAATTGCTTTTTATGTTCGTAGGACTAATTTTGCTTGTTTTAAGGATTTTGCACCTGAGTCTGACATCGTAGAAGGACCATTATGGTATCAGATTGTAGTAATTAATTCCTTTATCATTTTTCCTAAATATCTTTTGCGTTATCGTACAAATTGATTCCTAAAATTGAATTTTTTATGTTCAGGACTAATTTTTTTGATGGTTTAGGGATTTTTGCACCTGAGTCTGACAACGTAAGAAGGACCATTCTGGTATCAGATTGTAGAGTAATTAGTTCCTTTATCATTTTCCTAAATAACTTTTATGATTATCGTACAAATTGATCCCCAAAATTGCATTTTTATGTTTGAAGGACTAATTTTTGCTTGTTTTAGGGATTTTGCACCTGAGTCTGATATCGTAGAAGGACCATTTTGCATCAGATTGTAAGTATTAAATTTCTTTATCATTTTTCATTAATAACTTTTGTGATTATCTCATAAATTGACCCCCAAATTGCATTTATATGTTCGAAGGACTAATTTTTATAGTTTAGGGATTTTGCATGAGTCTGACATCGTAGAGGACCATTCTGGTATCAGATTGTAGAAGTAATTAATTCCTTTATCATTTTCCTAAATAACTTTTATGATTATCATTACAAATTGATCCCCAAAATTGCATTTTATGTTCAGAGGACTAATTTTTGCTTGTTTAGGGAGTTTACCTAGGTCTGACATCACTTAGAAGGACCATTTTGCATCAGATTGTTAGTAATAATTTCATTATCTTAAATAAATGTTTGTGATTATTACAAATTGACTCCCCAAAATGTATGCCTGTGTGTTTTTTTTAATAAAGAATATTTTAAAAGTTTTTCTAATTAGAATTATTTTCTGTTATTTCTACCTGATCACATATTCACATTTAACGATCCCTCAAACTATTTATTTTTGAAAGTGCATGCCTTTATGCCATCTATCAATTAGAAACTACAACAACCGAAAGTTTGAGCTTCAGTACGTCATATAGAGCTGACACATTTACTAGATTTACTGCAAAACTTTATCAGCCTCCTCAACTTTCTGCAGTCTAATATTCAATCTTTTATTTTTGTCGACTCTGAGAGGCAAGGAAATGACACAGAAATTGGACTCAGAAACTCAGGATATGGTATTCGGATCCGCAGAAAATTTGAGGAGAGATATGTATAAAAGAGGCGGTAACTAGTAATGGCGGAAATAAAATGAATGTTTAAAAAATTTTTATTCAACAAAATTCTGTTTTCAAATTCTGAAGGATCTCGACAACTAAGAGGGCTAGAAAATTAAGAACTGCATAATATTGATCCTCGAAAATTCTCTACAAGGTGGCATCATTATTGAAAAATCATCAAAATGGCATAAAAATTTTTAAAGAAAAGATTTTGTTATAAAAGACAAAAGATTTCTCTTTTTATGATGAAAATTAAAAGTTGGAATTTTTGAATTCTGTTTTCGAATTCTGATAGACAATTTAATATTGATGTAGAGATATTTTAGTATTTTTTTTCTAGCATTAACTGCTTAGACCCTATTTGCAAGTTTATAGAAAAAATTAGATATGTACCGACACAAACTGAAATATTTTTTAATATATATATTAATTTGGCAGAACTGTCTATGTCCACTTTTCTGCGTTCTAATACTACAGACTGATGAGCAGCAACATTTCAGTAAATTTCGACAAATTTTGTTGAAATCCATTGAAAATGGTAACAAAAATCTTTTTGAATATTAGGATCGCAGAAATTGCAGGAGGCTGAATCTCCAGCAATCTTGAATAGCGGCGTTGTTTAGTTACTCATGGGATAGATGACACTAGTGATACCGTTTGTAAATTAATATTGATACAATATAAAATTGATTTTGAACTATTTCATATCTAGCAGTGGCATTTCCATTTAAAAAGTTTAAAGAGGGTTTCATGGTTTCATTTAATTAAAGAGGTAACGATGTTGTGAGCTATGTTCACCGTTTTGGAACTCTGCACAAATAAAACAATAAAATTTATAGTTAAAAATATAAAACAACAATTTTATTGAAGGACATGTAGAATCACAAACTCAATTTCTCAATATATACACCATTTTAACAAAACATGCATGAGAAACAGAATAATAATATACAATTATATAGTACTCTTTTATATCTTTTAACAAAATACATAAAAGATATCAAGCTGATATCAGCTTCCCAAACGTAGTAAATTCATTCAATCGTGGCCCGGAATCATCATCAACACCAGCAATCAATCTTCAATTTCTTGGACACTATAAATCAGAATGAATAACAGAATAGTAAAATATAAAATATTATAAATTGCAAAATATAACATATATTCTGGGTATTTTAGTCCAGTTGACACATTGCATACGGAACCTCTCCAGTTGGTCTTTATTATTAAAAGTTGTCCATCTCAGGATAACTAATGCTTCATTCAACAGCTAGGAAAATGTTTATGTAAATGAAATATACATATACATAAATTAAATTAATTATTCTTGGGATCCATAAGACTCCCCATTTAAGGCAACGTACGAAGATAGCGATAGAGTGACTCCCATTCAAGGCACCCGTACGAAGGTAGCGGTGGAAGTTACACACCATTTAGGGCACCGTAGAGAGGAATTTAGCGTTAACGTTTACGTTAATGAAAAACTCATCAGACTCCATGGTAAGGCGTCTTATAAAAAACATAGAAGTTAAAACAACTTTGCATAAGTATTCCTTACAAAACACGAAAAGTATCACCACTTTTGATCAATAACATTACATTAAACGCGGCAATAGTAAATAATAACAGCAACAAGGAAAATCTTTAATTTTTTCTCAATTTGTTCAAAAATTAAACGCGATAGAAAAAAAACAGATTAAAATTCTTAAATTAGGAGAAATTTTCTAAAATCTTATTTTTATTATTGAGAAAATTTAAGAGATAAAATTTTGGTATACATAAAGAAAAAATGGGCAAAGGGGTGGAGGAGACACACAACTTTCCAACTCGCGTTAGGGAATTTTCCCACCAATAAATTCAAACACAGGGTGAGACCAAGAATCAATTGCGCATCTGGGAAAGGTATTTCTGTATATTATGACGCCGCGTTCGCATGCTATATTAAAAAAACTACAATTCCTAGCGCAAGCAGGTACTGCAGCGCATACACACAACTTTCAATATAACTCGCGTTAGGGGAATTTTTCTCGCAATAAATTCAAACACAAGGGTGATACAGAATTAAATTGCGCATCGGAAAAATTATTCTGTACATATTATGACATAACGTCCGCATGCTATATTAAAAGCATTCCCTAGCGCAACGAGTACTACAGCGCATACACACAACTTTCAATATAACTCGCGTTAGGTAATTTTTCTCATGATAGAATTCAAACACAGGGTGATACAGAATTAAATTGCATCTGGAAAATTTATCTGAACTTATTATGACACCGCGTTCACATGCTATATTAAAAAGACTACAATTCCTAGTTACAGCAGGTACTACGGCGCATACACAACTTTCAATATAACTCATTTGGAATTTCTCATAATAAATTCAAACACAAGAATTTGATACAAATTAGATTTAACGCATCTGGAGAAAATTTGTCTGAACTATTATGACACCGCGTTCGCATGCTATATTAAAAAACTACAATTCTGGCACAGCAGAGTACTACAGCATACACCGCAACTTTCAATATAACTCGCGTTAGGGGAATTTCTCGCAATAAGATTTGAAACGCAGGGTGAGACAGAATCAAATTGCGCATCGGGAAAATTATTCTGTACTTATTATGACGCCGCGTTCGCATGCTATATTAAAAAAAAAACTACAATTCCTAGCGCAACGGAATTACTACGGCGCATACACACACAACTTTCAATATAACTCGCACGTCACGGAATTTTCTCGCAATAAATTCAAACACAGAATTGATTCAGAAATAAATTGCGCATCTGGAGAAATTTGTCTGAACTTATTATGACGCGTTCCCATGCTATAATGAAAAACTACAATTCCCTAGCGCAACAGGTACTACGGCGCATACACAACTTTCAATATAGCTTTCGCGTTACAGAATTTTGCCGCAATAAATTCCGAACACAGGGTGATACAGAATTAAATTTAACGCATCTGGAAATTTGTCTGAACCTATGATGACACCACTTGTTCGCATGCTATATTAAAAACTACAATTCCTAACAGCAAGTACCGGCGCATACACTGGCTTCAATATAACTCGCGTTGAGAATTTTTCTCGCAATAAATTCAAACACAGAAGTTGAGACAGAATCCGAAATTGCGCATCACAGTAGAAATTATTTGGCCTTATTATGACGCCGCGTTCGCATGCTATATTAAAAACTACAATTCCTAGCGCAACGAGTACTAGTGGGTATACACACAACTTTCAATATAACTCGCGTTACGGAATTTTCTCGCAATAAATTCAAACACAGGGTGATACAGAATTAAATTGCGCATCTGGAGAAATTTGTCTGAACTTATTATGACACCGCGTTCGCATGCTATATTAAAAAAAAACTACAATTCCTAGCGCAACGAGTACTACGGCGCATACACACAACTTTCAATATAACTCGCGTTAGGAATTTTCTCGCAATAAATTCAAACACAGGGTGATGACAGAATAAAAAACTAAATTGCGCATCGGGGCATACACACAACTTTCAAAAATTATTCTGATCAAACTTATTATGACTTATTATGACCGCGTTCGCATGCTATATTAAAAAAACTACAATTCCTAGCGCAACGAGTACTACTGCGCATACACACAACTTTCAATATAACTCGCGTTAGGGAATTTTCTGGCAATAAATTCAAACACAGGGTGATACAGAATTAAATTGCGCATCTGGAGACATTTGTCTAAACTTATTATGACACCGCGTTCGCATGCTATATTAAAAAAACTACAATTCCTAGCGCAACGAGTACTACGGCGCATACACACAACTTTCAATATAACTCGCGTTACGGAATTTTCTCGCAATAAATTCAAACACAGGGTGATACAGAATTAAATTGCGCATCTGGAGAAATTTGTCTGAACTTATTATGACACCGCGTTCGCATGCTATATTAAAAAAACTACAATTCCTAGCGCAACGAGTACTACGGCGCATACACACAACTTTCAATATAACTCGCGTTACGGAATTTTCTCGCAATAAATTCAAACACAGGGTGATACAGAATTAAATTGCGCATCTGGAGAAATTTGTCTGAACTTATTATGACACCGCGTTCGCGTGTTATATTAAGAAAGTACAATTCCTAGCGCAACGAGTACTACACGCATACACACAACTTTCAATATAACTCGCGTTACGGAATGTTGTCCCAATGAATGAATTGAATTATAAACTTATAAAACAAGATCGCAGACATAAATAAAAC